CCCCATCCACTATCACCCCCTGTCTCCAGGGTTGCAGGACCATGTCCACTCCAGGGGTTGTCGATCAAGCATGTCCCCACCCCCAAGGTCAGAGTCCCCCCTGGTGAGGACAGTAGCCACAAGGGAAAGGGTAAGGCATGGGTTGTTGATGAACCCAATAGTCAACCAGCCACTGCCAGTAGCGCCAATGCTCCCAAATCTACCCACTTACACACCACCTTCACTACCTACTCCGATGGCACTCAACGCGCAGCCCTCAATCCCCTCGCAGCCACTGCCTCTGCCAGGCTTGACCAGCAAAGATTACCAGTCTCAGCAGCTGACTACCTGGATGTTGTTAGGGCACTTGACATCTTCCACAATGGGGATGACATTGATGGGTGCTCACCAGAACAGGTTGTGTATTTTGGGCTGTTGTCTCAAATCTACAGAGTGTCAGACGTAATCAATGGGTTGGTGTCAAAGATTCACACCAGGAAATTGGCCAGTACCACCCCTCTCTTGGAAGTAATCATGATCAACATGTTAGAGAAGGCTTCCTCGGATCTTACCAAGGCTATTACCAGTGGTGCATATCACCATTTATGACAGCAGCAGATAGGAGAGTTCTTGGCCCCACCTGCTTCTTGACTTCTTGATCGTATCAGACTGAAGCAAGAGGAACCATCGGCTTTGAAATTAAAAGAAGGTGTCTCGGATCAGGAGAAGGAGAAGCAGTGGCATGCTGTGGAATTAGGGTTCGTCGACTCAGGGGAACTTTTTAAAGAGGTAGGAGCCAGGCTAGGGACTGGGACTCACAACTCTGCTTGGGAGGTCCTGTTACAGGATGCATTGTGGGCCAGCATTCACAAACAATATCATAACGCCATCCATGCCACCGACCCTCTCCCTGCAACTCCCTTCATCCCCATGCCTTCTGATCAACTTCACTTCTACCTCGGAGGCCAGAACCCCATCCCACCTGACCACCCCTTATACCAACATGCCTGCTACCAATGCTGTTACCTGGGACATTGGTCGTGCTGCAATGGATGTGGCTCCCATTTTACTCCAGCCTTCGAGGAGCTGCTGACTCCATTGCCTTCATTGCCCATCACTGCTCGAACATGTTCCCACACGTATACTACTCGCTGACCCCTTTCCTCCTGTCCTGCTAATGCTCCTGGCACTTCACCCTCAAGGGTCTGAGGACCTTAGGGGGGGGGGAGTGATGTTATGCTTCCACCAGGGGTCTTTCCTTTTTCGACTCCTCTCAGTCATGTGCATCACATGCCTCATCACATCCCTCATTGTAGTCACCATCCTAGGGGCTCAAATGCTCCAGGGAACCTTCGGATCACCTGCTGTCAAGGTGTTTCCAATACCCATAGAGACTGCATCGCTGTTGTGATCCTGTGTCCCACCGCCCTCTTTGATGGATGACTTGTTTGTTTCTTGCTCTGCTCTGACTCGTATATATTGCCTAGATGTTGTACTATAGCTCTGGTGTCTGGCTCCTTGCTGCGCATTGATTGTGCAGCCAGTATAGCCTTCATTGCTTCCCTACCCCCATCACTGACACTGTTGTGAGTCAAAGTGAGGTTCAGTGGTGAAAACCAACCAAAACCAACACAAAAGACAATGAAAGCAAGTGGTGGTGTGCCTATGCGGTACCTAGATGGTAGAACCTGTTCTTTGGGAGGGTTTTTTGCAAGCTACAACACTCAAAGATGAGTGCTGAGGGTTGGGGGTGCTCCTGACAAAGAGGGAGCAAGAATGTGATAGAGAGCAATAGGGTAGACTGCTGTCAGCCTACAGAAGGATGGATGGTGACTTAATTCAATGTCCTAAGCTGTACTGAGCTCAGGGAGGGCTTGGAGCAAAGTATATGGATGATAGATGATGATAAGCAAAGTAGATGATAGCTAGACCCTTAATAAAGTCTCAACTATCGAAGCTGATGAATGATTTACTGAGAGATGATAAATTGCAAGCAAGAGGGGCTCTCTGATGTCCTCTTCTTTTTGCTACCTAAGTACAGTGACTTATATACAGTACAGGGGCATTGCCTATGGAAAACAAGGTGCAAACACTTGGCAAGTGATTGGTAACTGATGAGTAAGGAATGTAAGCAATGGGTAATCGTCTTGGAAAGCATTGGTAAGCATTGGTAAGGATAAGTAAGCCAGAAAGCTGAAGAATCAGTAAGCAAAGTCAAAAGATTGGTAAGTATTGCCAATAGGTGAGTCAAAGACAGTCAGAATGTCACAGTATGAGTCAAGCAATGTCAGGAACTGGGAAAGTGCACTGGAATCACATTAGGGGGAGGCTGTGCATGTCACATCTCAAAGAGATCACTTCTAGGCCAAAGTGGGATGACAGAGAGGCAGCACTGATCTGATGCCAATATAGTACATCCAAAAGTAGGACAGGGTGAGTCAGATGTCAACAGGGGTCAAGCTTTGGGGGTCTGTGGGGTGACAGGAGCATAGGGGATCACAACTTTCCCCCCCAAACCATCCTCTCAGTGAAGCAAATAAAAACTTCATGAATGAGGCTCTGTTGGAAGAGAGGATGAAGGGGGAGCAGTCTTCTGCTGTATCTTGCAACAAGGAGGCAAGATGTGCATCATACTCGTCATGGATGCAATCAGGGAGAGTGGAGAACAGTAGATTATACTGTAGCTGTTGCAATTTTGGAAGAATGATGGACGAGACTGGTATGAAGACAGTTGCAGGGGGCAGGGAGGAAGGATCCATATGCTTCTTGGACCGGAGAGACTGAAACAACCACATAAGACCTTTCCAAGCAAATGACAGACCTGAGGCAACCAAAGAACGTCCTCCTGGAGGTCATATTGACAACAAGAACACGCTGTCCAAGCTGGATGGGCTGAGAGGGGGCAGATGAGGGTGGGATGTACCAGGACACTTCAGGATGGAAGCTGGTAGGAACTCCTGGTAGATATATGTAGCCATGGTCCCTAGCAAAGGGGACAAGCGAAATGACTGATGTGGAGGCAGCCATATCAGAAGAATTAGTGAAATGAGCGTCTTTTGGAGGGAGTGCTGTAGAAATGTGTGGAGTGTGCAAATCCTTTCCAATCTTGGAAGGTAGGATTCGTGTGGCTGAGCACTACAAGCGAGTGTGGGAATGGTTTTGGTGTCTGCAGAATTGGTGGAGATACATCAAAAACTGGAATGCCATACATGGGCACTTAACCTGCCTCCTCCTTTTTCTTTGGCATTGACAACTTGTTCTTGTGCGAGGGATGACTGCTGACATTGCTGGCTGTCCTTCTTTGCATGAGGGCTATGGTCTTCACCTCCATTCATCAGCTACATCCATGTCCACCTCACCAAACACCTTTGGTGTGTGACACCATATGACTCCTATCTATTTCAGCAATGGGATTGTTGATTACTGCAGATATGCATCACGACACATCAGTCACGACTGGTATGGTACTCATACTTAGGGGTATATAATCCTATGTACTTCGTCCTGTATCTGCAGTTTTTCAATAGCTTGCAACTGAGCTTCATCCCTTTGCTTTATCCTTGTTCTCTCTCCATGCAAACAACCTTAGGGACTTGCCAGCAGACAGAACCTCTGTCAGATCATTGCAATAACTCAGCCATAGGGGTTATGACAAGTTTGGCCTGTAGTCTCCCACCTCATGCGCTTCATGCCTATTCCATTTGAAGAAGTCACTGTGCTCAGGCATAACATGCATGATGTACAGCTGTCCATGGAATTATAGACATCATTGGCCAAATTGGTGGTCATTTCAAACTTGCTGTTGCTGCTGGGTGCATCAATTGAGTGTGCATGTGCATATATGCAAGGCTACTTACCCATAACCACTCAGTTCAACACATTTTGGGAAGTTGTGTAGAGGTGGATGGAGTATCAGATCTGGGTAGCCAAAATCAAAAAAGCAACTGTGCAGATGTAGAAAAAGGTATCTCACCTTGGCTTGAGTGTGTCAGGGCTGGGGTGTGTTTGAAAGGCAAAAAACTAACACAAGTACAGGTATATTACATAAGGCTGTGTCACTGAATAACAAAGACAGAATGTGCTACAACATATTGACCCCCCTACAATGCACAAGGCAATGTAACCATCAGGGGAAAGAGCTGGGACAATACTCCAGTGCTGCCCACATTCAAACTGAATGGATCCCATTGCACATTAATGAAGGTATGAGTTCTCAGTGCACAAAGTAGTCACTGAGGTGGAAAATAATGGTGCAGAAAATTTATAGTACCATAATTAGTAAGCAGAGTGACATCAGAATTTAATTCTGAAGGTCACAGAGAAATTCTGCACCCTCTGGGCAAAACTCTGAGATGCTACCATAACTCCAGAACACATACTCAACACACATGTACCTCTCACAATACCACCAAACTTGCAGAATAAGGTGCAGCCATCCTTCCCTGACTCATCAACAAAAACCAGCTGATCCTTGGAGAAGTTTGCAGCAATGTCATCCTGCCAAGCTTGGCAAGCTCCTTTGTCTCACTGTGAGGAAGTCCACTGCATCATCTTGTATGTTAAGCCAAGATCATGAAGGTTATTATGCAGCACTGTGACTGAAATGTACTGCTCATGGATGAGACAGAGGTAGTCTTGGATTTCATCAAGGTAAAGAGTAGGTGACTCAGCAATGAGTGCCTGCAGATTGGCCACTACATCTGCATTCAACAGCCTAGGGGATGGCTGCTGAGAACACTGGTATGGCTGATGTTCCCAGTTTCCAAAAAAAAATGGAATCAGGTGCTCCTCACTGACATACCAAGAACTTCTGCAATGTCATCAGGCCTCCAACCATCTTCTAAGAGTTGAAGGGCTCATTTTTTTCATGTCATATGGTATCTGCTGGTGTCCCATGTGCTGTTTATATTCTACTCTGGATCAGCAATGAGTGGGGATTGATGAGAAAAGACAGATATAGTGCTGAGGAATTTTGTGTTTTTATTTATTTTAATTTTCAAACACCAAGTTTTCACGTGCGACATGAATCTCTGAAACAGCTGTAGTGTTATTTCCACTTTCCTCAGGTGATGTGCTGCAGCCAGGCCCTCGCAGGAAAATGCTCTTGAATCACTCGCACAGCACCACGAGGTGATCCCGCGGCACGTAGAAGTCTCCCACAGCACCTAGAAGTCTTTAGGAAATCCGACTCGGCGCAACGTTTTTACCATGCGACGAAGTTATACTCCTGCTAAGTTTTTGGTGGTAGCACCGCTCCTACCGTGTATATAGACTACAGCGTAGGGGCTCCAGCACCCATCAACGATCCTCCGAAGAACAATTGAACACTCCTTCCCCCATCGTCGGTCGTCAATGCCTAACTCTGCAAGGATGCCTGAAGCTTGGGATGCGCCGACGGGATTCGTAGCGCGTCTGACTTACAGGGCCATCTGTCTTTGCATTATTGGTCAGGCAGATCTCGAAATATTCTGGAGGGAAATTGATGAGCACGATGAATGGATCAATCTTCATGCCCGTCACCGTGCCCTTTCGACTTTGGTGTTAACATTGGTTAGCGTCAGTGCGATCTTCCTTAATCGTTTGCTGATCTCTCTCAACAGCAGGCAGTGGTCACGGCAGCAGCCGTCGTTTTTCTGACGACTTCTCCGCCAGTGTCTTTTGCTGATTACACCGATTCTAAAGCCTGCGGCGCGTTTTCCTCCGCATTTGTAATGTCTCTAGCAGGCATCGCGTTCCAGTTCTCGTCCCTTGGTATCTTTCGCGAGGTACCCAGGCAGATTCTCCCTGCGGACGAGCTCTTGAATTCCCGACGAGCTATCCTTATCTACTTGCTCCGTTTCCACTTTCCCTATCTCTTCGCCTTGCTGTCTCTGTCGTTCCTGACAGCAGGCAAGTTCTTGTCATATCATTACCTCTAGCCTCTCCGAGTCTAAGGATTACTCCTAAGGATTTATGCTCGCATGGCCTGCAACTTTTTCTTACTTGATCGGGTTGATCCTGTTCTGTGGTTGTATCATCGTTCTGTCGCGCTGTTGCCTGCCGGCCGATTCATGGGTGGTACCAGTGGTCGCAGTTTTGTTCGTTCTCATCGTGATTGCTTATTTCTTCGTGCTGTCTCTGGTGCCGATGAACATCCCTTAGACGACCGGGAAGTGGACAGGCAACAAGGCCGTTAAAAATCTTAATCTTCCAATGGTTTCCCTGCTCCTCGCTTTTGTGAGCAGCGTGGTTCTGGCCATTCCTCTAGTGTTTTCTAATTTTATTTTTTTCGTATACCTTATTTCATGTTGTAGAGTGGTTGGAATTACTGTACACACATTATTCACTCGTCGTTCTTTTCTTTTTTCTCTCATTGATCGATTTAGGCTGTCAGTACTTAACGTAGATGCGGGTTATAGTCGTTTGCGTGGAGAACGAAGAAAGTTTCGATTTCTTCACTGATTTCGTACATTAATGCATGGTTATGGGCGGAGAGGGCTCCGTAAGCACCCTAGCAAGGAAATCGGACGTCAGGAATAGATGACGTCGTTTCGTCGTAAAGAACACGTTCACAGATGGAATCGATGATATTTCAAAGAAATTTGATTCTAGCTTGCTCCTATGGTCGCCAGGATCGCTCCGCGTCCTGGAATTCATTTTCAAATGCTGTGTGAAGTTGAATGGCATTTATTCATTGCAAAAAGCAACGTGAGCATCAACGAGTATTTGCACAGCAGGCAAAGGCCCAGTGGCATCCGTCATATATCAAGCCCAGCATTCGCCACTGACGAAAAATTGTGATCGTAATGCAAGCTCTCACGTTCACGCTCAGAAACCTTCATAAAGTAAGTCCACTAAAATGGCTGGCACTACAATTTTTCGCCGGTGGTGAGTTTTGGGCTTGGTGTAGAAGGGATATCACCAGGCCTTTGCCTGCCGTGTTGAGTCGTGAACAGAGTGGCTTACATAATGGATGAGATGGTGACCATGGGACGGGCCCGACTGGACAACTCCCAAGCTCACGACAAAGAGAAATCAGAGACTGACACCCAAGCATTAGGTCGTAGTCGACGTCTGTCGCTGTACGCCCAGCCATAAGCATCGTGTGCCATTCAAATCGCCCCTACGATCTCCTCTAACGATGCACATCCGACACCAATCGGCCGCTTCACCTCGCAAATCATCCACTAAATCATCTTCTCGACATGCCTCGTCTGGTTCCATGCCACTCTCAGCACTCGACCAAACACCCGCTATGCCCTCGGGCGCGCATTCGTTGGCACATGAACTAGCTGTGGCGTTGATGCCGGAACCAGTGGGGGGCAGCGACGCGTCGAGGTTGCTGGCGGAAGAGTTCGGGATAGAGTATGACGAAGGTGCGGAAGGTATAGATAACGAGCTAGTTGTGAGGCGGAACAGCGGGGGAGTCGACATGCTTCATCCCGAGTTAGCCATTGTGGAAGGTGACGGGACCAGTCTGGCAGATGAGTTGGGTGGTGGGGTATTTGACGGGAACCTCGCTGAAGAACTGGGTGGTGTTGAAGCGGAGAACAGGCAAGCTATTGACCCTCTCGAGGACAGCTCGGATGACGACAAAACGGATAGAGGGAGCGATGGGGATGAGGACGATGCAACTCGCCGTGCAGCACGCGCCCACGACGCGATGGAGGTTCTGTCGCAGAACCTCGCGTCCACAGACAAGTTCCTTGCCCATCTCCGGGCGGTTGATGTGCCTCCTCCCACCTCGGCTTCGCCGTTGTACACAAAGACAACGTTTGCAACCCATACGAGTCAGCTCACTAGCTCGGGCACTTTCACAGTCGAGGGACTTGCGTCAGACGTGATCAGGAGGGTTAACGACGCAGTGCGCGAGCGCGAAGGACAGCTGCGTGAACTCATCGCGTATGACAGGGACCTCAAACGTATATTTGGAGAAGTGGGTGGTGCCGATGTGTTGGGGGATCTCGAACCGCTAGAAGAGTTTGTTCTTGCAGAAGAATCCTCGGCCCACCACGTCTCACACGTCCCGAACAAACTCGATTCTGTCATAGAAGAGGACGAGGGCGACCAAGGTGAACGTAACTCGTTCTACCTGTCCTCGTCACCCTCGTCACCGCAAAAAGCTGCCTTTTCTTCTTCACATTCGTCGGTGCCCTCTGCACCACCACCAACTACGACTTCCAGTGCCAAGCCATCGACACCGTCTGCCATCTCGTCCTTTGCAATAGTCGTACCCTCACTTGTCAGTCTTAGAGTGGACACTACCTCCCTCCTTTCTTCTCTCACAACCATATCGGAGCAGGCTCAAGTGAATGGTGCAGCGACTGCAGATGCGGGTCGCAAGATCCGTTCACTCAAGAATCGGTTGGGTGGATGGAAAGTTGAGTGGGAAAGCGCTGAAAGAAGTCGTACGAAGATCGAGAGGTGGGAAGTGGAGAGCAAGGCCCTCTCTGGGAGCAGGATAGACGGACGAACCATCGTTGCCGATCATTTGAGAGCATTTGAGAAGGCGATTGCAGAGGCTGGGGTAAAGACGCAGGCCATCATGGCCCGATAAAAGGTTTCCGGTAGATGTTGCAAGTATATTATTCCCTTGGTTTTTTTGATACTCCATACATACATTATATTATCTCCGTCTCGCATCATGGCTAGTTCACCGTCGATGACCGACACGCTCAACGTGCCTTTGAACACGCTCACGCAGCTCTCCACGGCGCTCTTCCAGTCTCTTTCGTCTCAGCCTCACACGCATGGTGGACGACAGGGTGAGCCGCCGCCACCCGTATCCGCATTCCTGTCTGCGGAGACTGCACTCGTTCATGCACTGGTTGAGACGGCTGCACACCAACGGAGACAACATCACATCAACAAACTTGTGTCTGAGATCAGCAAGTTAGATGCCAGGATGGCGAGAGATCGTCGAGAAAATCGAACAAGGGCGCAAAGAGCTCGAAAGCGTCGTGAGAGAGGGCGAGGAAAGGGTAGAGGGTATCAAGAAAGCAAAAGAAGGTAAGTACATGGTACTAGTCGGCATGGTTTTGACGACGAACGACGAGCAGCTGCGATACCCTACCCTGAATTGCTTGCCTATGCCCAGTCCCTGAGCGCATTCACGTCTGCGCCCCCAAACATGCCTGATCCCAACGCACCCCTTTCTGCAGTGCATGGCGCACCCGTCCCGTTGTTCTTCCCTCCTTTCCCCAACGAAGAGAAGATGCGGAGAGGCCGACTCAACGTCGAGAAACCGCTTGGTAGACTCGGGGAGAGCCACAGCGTGAAACGTGAGCCAGATCTTCACAGTCGAGTCACTTTTTTTTTCCAACTAAACGCTCCTCAGCTCCTTCACCGTCGCCCAAGCAGAAAGCGAATGCACGCGATCGCCCCGGTGTGCATCCCTACAGACACGAAATCCGTGCACAACAGACTGAGTTTGACTTGGATTTGGATCTGAACCCTGACCTGTAAAATGAGTGTACATATGTATTATGTAATGAGAGACAGTGTATGTATGACGGCGACGGCGACGACGACGACGACGACGATGGCGGGGTACTTTTCGAACCACTCACAGCCTGGCCACACGCGCTTCTCTACTCATTCCCAGTCCCAGTCCCAGTCTCAGTCTCAGTCCGTAGTTGCACCCCAGCAGCAGCCCGTCTCAGAGTCTCGCCCACGCCCCCCCGTAAGCCGACATTTCTCCACCTCGCTGACCACCCGTGATCCGGAGCCTGCCCAAGCTAAACATGCAGGCCACAATTCTCTCCCGGTGACGGTTCATCCACTCAGGCACACGTATGGCAGCTATTTGTCTTGTCTCGTTTGGCTGTGTTCGGTCTGATCGCGTGCTCCCCATCTGCTTTTCTAGCTGGGTGTTCTGGTTCCGCCAGCAGCGGGCACCAGGAAACAAGATCACCAATTATGAAGAGGGCATAAAGAAAGTGGCCTCTTTCTCCTCTGTACGTACTTTCGCTTCGTCTTGTCCACTCCAACCCCCGCGTTATCTTTCACTTCTTAGGTCGAGTCTTTCTGGTCTCTCCATACCCATCTTTCTCCTCCTTCCTCTCTCATTCCCACCACCGACTACCTCCTTTTCCACGCTGGTGTCCGTCGTCCAGTCTGGGAAGACCCTCTGAACAAGACTGGCGGAAAGTGGATTATTCGTCTGCGGAAGGGCGTCGCGGATCGCCTATGGGAAGAGCTCGTATGCGGTGTAGTAGGAGACCTCTTTGACGAATGTGGACGGGAGAAGTTGAGGCCGGACGCTGACGGTACTACAAACGGCGATGTCGAAGGCGAGAGTGGTGATTGGCCAGAAATATGTGGGTGTACCATCAGTGTCAGACAGAGCGAAGATATCATCTCTGTATGGAATCGCGTTGATGGGGATCTAAAAGTCCGCGACAAGATACGGTAGGTTGCATGTGTCTTTTTTTATATGTGATGCGACTAGATCCGCGCTTCCCACACAGGGATACCATTCGTACCATACTCAACCTGCCACCCACAACGATCATGGAATATAAATCAAACAACGGTACGCCAGTAAACTGTGTCTCCGTGTCATGTGTTGCCAACGTCCTTTGAAAAGATTCGATACAGGACAAGTCTTCGTTCCGCAACTCTGCCATCGAGCGCACCCCCTTTGCCTCGTGATTCTGAGGTACCCTGGTGCGAGGTATCACTCACGAATTACAAACCAAAAAAAAAAAAGCAGAACGATGCTCTGCTATATACACGCTTAATGTATATTGTGCATTCCGCAGGCGTGATCCAGGATATTGTCATTCAGACATCATCGAACATGTGCATGAGGTGTGATTGCAACAGCTCAAAGAAAGCGTAGCCCGATAGCGGACATAGAAATACAATAGTGAGACGAACGTGGACATGTGTCACCATACGAGCTGTGCGTTAAAACTCGTGGTTCCGCAGCTGGTACAATGTCTTGCCATAATACAAACCTGCAGCCGTGCTCGTCGCAGCGAGTATAGCAGGGACTGGGCCCTTCGCCACACGGGGAAGTGAGGAAAGAAGTAAGAGGGCAGATGCACCTGGGCATCCGTGAATGAGGGGACACGACCTGATCCGGACGAAAGCGACATACCCAGGGCACCTTCTACGCCATTCGGGTGGCCCTTCTTAATGGCCTCGGCGCTCCAGAGGTACAAAAGACCGACACTGCCAATGTGTTAGAGGGCTAGATCCAGTGACCAGTAGCCACATACCCAACGCCAGCAACGAGGGACGGGACGGAGCGTGTACGAACAAATCCAGTCACACCCCCAGCGAGACACAAGCCACCCATGGCGTACGCGGGAATGCCAGACTACATGATGAACATGAAGGGCTATTGTCGTTGGTGAATGGAGAGCTTACCATGTTGTACGAGTGTGGATGTGTCAGAGTCGTTGCAGTGTGGGTCGGACCCCACAGCGGAGCTCTCTCTCTATATACGCCATTTTGGCAGGTCACTCACACCACACCCCGAAGTGCATATTCCATGAAAACTGGCATGTCTGCATGTCATCCATGGCAAGTGTATAATGTAGCATAGAGAAAGGGATCAAATAACACATGTGTCGATGCATGCAAACAAGTCAAGAGTCGCTTCAATGCAGTCAGGAGGCATCCGCTTTGCCTCCCAGCCCTCCCCCTCCATGATACAGGCCCATCACCACCATGCCATGCTGGTTGTCTGGATATAAATCTCATATACCGGGTGATTTACTTTTCTGGGTTGGGGTTCCTGGGTAATAAAAAAAATCCGCGTGTTAGCACCAACTCGATAAGAATGAAGAGACGGAGAACGAGATCAGATAGGAGCGAAAGACGTGATGATTGGGTGTCAACATGCGATATTCAGCGTGAACTATGCATAATCGTTTGGATTCATCCTGCATGCCGGTTCGAATCGATACGACATCGAAGTTCGAAGGGTCCAAAAGGGCAACAAAGCACTCACATTCTCCGTTTGCCCCCAGTGAGTGTTGTGACGTTCACGAATCTAAAAAATCATATACCGTCAGAAATCCTCTTCGATGGCATCAAAGCTGTCGTTCACTCACCTGCGGTTGTACAGGAGACGCTTCTTGGCACGGCCCTTTGGCGTTTTCTTCTTCTCCTGCTTCTCTACTTTGGGTGTTTGCGATTTAACCTTACCGGCTCGGGCGAGCGATCCGTGAACTGCACGCCGATAGCATCGTTTGTCACCGCAGTTAACTTCATCGACATCCAAGGTTTACACACCTTTGCCCATGTTGACAGCGTCTTGTGAACTAGGAGCCTTGTGTGCGGTAATTGCAAGGTTCGTGTACTGTATAGTTTTAAGGCCCGTGAGAAATGCTGACTAAACATTTAACGCCACACCAACTCAGGGGCCAAAGAGCCAACATTCGCAATGAGTTCATAGCATCTTTCAAGTTCCTGGCACTCCACATCAAAAAAGAACTTGGACATTCTTATAAAAGTCCAACATCGGGTTCTCCCCGTTCCTCAATTGCGTCTTCCCCAAATCAGCATATGTCCCCATGAACTCCGCGTGACTATAAACACTGCTCTTCCTCTCCCCGACAGCCAGACCGCTCGCAGATGAAATACCGTCGTGTGGAGGACGGCGATTCGAAGGCGAAAAGAATTGCATCCCAAGAGACAGAGGCGAGCTACTCGACGCAAGAGGAGACATGCGGGAATGGTCCAGATCATCCGCGTCAGCGACTATACCCGCTGGTTGTTCAAGGATATACTCGTACATATCTCGCAGAGGCTCGAAAGCTGTTGGGAAGAGGATATCAAAGTATCCTTGCCGAACGAAGAGTGTCTGACACGGGACCATTGTACCACGGATGCTAGTTTGTACAACAGGAGCATTGGCTCCCGAGATAGCATCGGGTAAGGAAGAGAAATCCGTAAGCAGAAGCCGATGTAAAGGAAAGTATAATTGAAGCACGCGTAGAAACGAGAGCATGCGCGTAGGGATATACTCTGGCGGCGAAAGATTTGGTGCGAACGGCAGCGATGCATATATCCGACGGAGTGCGGAAGAGCGGAGGTACCAAGGAAGAGTGGGTTGGTGGCGGAGGCGACGGCGAAGCGATAGAAAGGACGATATGAGTGGATCGGTAATTCGCGTGTAGTATGGGATGAATTCGCCAGCATCATCAACAGCAACCTCGCCTTGAAATGGCTCTAAGGTACGGACGTCGTACCGCACGACGTCGTGGGCAAAATTATCTACCACCTCTGTAGCAAGAACATAGCATGGCGCACGCTCTGTTTTTGTCCACGAGAAGATACTGCGGTGATGGACGTTCACGGTCCGTTTGGTGTGACCAGCTCGACGGAGGCGCTCGCGCTGAATACGAGCCAAAGGCGCGCTGATTTCGATGATCGTGTACAATGTGCGGTCATAAACTTCCGGGAATTGTACGCGCAAGTAGTCGAGGATGTTCAGAGCGAGGGTGCCATTGCCTGCCCCGAGCTCATAAATTTTAAAGTCTTCATAGGGAAAGTATTTGAGAAGGTACTCGGAGACAAGACATTGAGCAATGGCTTGACCATACCACGGCTTGAGTCCACTTAGTTACGAACGGGTATTCACGACAACCGGGACATACCTTGAACAACTCAGTCGGAGTGTGCCAGATCTGCCTTCCTGGTCCCTCCGTCTCGGTCACGTTGCCACACTCCGTGTAGCGGCTCGCCACGGCCGACTCAAAGTGGGCACTATCTTTGAACTCATTAAAGTCGAAGCCTTCGTTCTCCTCGCCAGGAGCGGTAAGAATGGTGGCCTGCTTGGAGAAGTAGCCGTAGTAAGGGTTGTACAGAGCATCCTCGATGAAGTTGCGCACGAGCATGCGCACGCGTGTTGGGGGTGCATTGTCACCGATACTCGCGAGCTCGTTCGCGGTTACGCGCGGGTAGGATAGATGCTCATCAGAGACATCGGCCGAGAACGAAATGTTGGGATTGTAGTTGATTTTGTCCTTGTCGTGGTTGGACCGGCGTGGAGGGCTGTCTGACCACCATGGCAGCGATGATGAGAAGTACGCCTTGAGGTTCTGCCGTCGCCAGCAATGGCGACCAGCTTGGCCCAGCGACGCACGAAGCATGAACTTACGGGTTCAACTTTGCAAGGGTCGCGTCAGTATTAGCTGTGGCGATGTCGGTCATGTCGGGACTATTTGGAACTCTGAAATTGATCTAATCTCATCCACACCAATGGAGGGACTGGAGCGTCACATTCGCTCTTGGTTTGCCTCTGAAAAGGCTGCAGAAATAGAACATGTCATTTCGGGTATGTCCAACAGTAATGCGCTAGGATCGTCCTGTGAAGTTGAAGTGTCGAACCAGCATTATCATCCGGAGAATCCTCTCTTCTCGATATCGTCAAAGCATTAGGAGAGTATTTAACCTCGGAGGAGGATACTTTGCGCACGAAAGGAATGTGGGCTTCAAGTCCTGGAGCACTCTGACTTACGCAGTTGCAGGCGTCCAGTTTTTGTCGCTAGTCATTGAGGGATACCCGAAGGAAAAGCTCAACCGACAAGCAGGTACGCTATCTCTACTTCAAGTTCCTACATACTTGCGGCTCATTATCGGCATGCTTCAGTGCACGTCCTTGCAACTTTCTACTGCACGAAGTTGGAGGATACCGAAACGATCACGCCAGCTCTTAGAGGTCTCTCACATCTGGTCAAGTCCCCTGCACTGGCATCCTCTGACGTACCTGATCTTCTCAACGCGTATGCTGTCCGCATTTTTTCCTTCCTATTATATTATCTCAAGTATCTATAGTATGTTCACCCATGTCAAGATGAGAGTGCTGGTGCAAACAACTCGTTTCTTCGTTTTCAACACCATCGACACGCTACTAAAGAGTCACCCGGATGACCTCAAAGCCATGGGAGATCAGTTCGTGGAAGGCTATGCTGCTTTGGCGTCGGGGGAAAAGGACCCTAGGAACCTGACGGTTGCCTTCGCCATTGCCCGCGTGATACTCACGGAATTCGATATCTCCAAGCACGTGGAGGTATGTGACCAGGGCGCAGTTTTAGTTGTCGGCTCACACTCGCTTTTGGGTGTTTCTCTAGGACTATTTTGACATTACCTTCTGCTACTTCCCCATCACGTTCCGACCACCACCCAACGATCCATACGGGATCAGTGCTGATGATCTCAAGTCTTCCTTGCTGTAAGCGTCCTTCCGCACCTTAATTAGTGCGAACAGAAAATCACCCCGGAGGGTAACCACTCACATCGTTCTTTCCTGTAGACCGTGTTTAAGCGCGACTCCTGCTTTCGGCCGTCTTGGAGTCCCCCTCTTTCTGGAAAAACTCACCGCTGGGTCACCTGTCACCAAGGTCAGTACGACCTGCGGATGTCACACTCAATCTCAACTCTTTCGACCTAGCGAGACACTCTCCGAGCTATGTCTCAGTGTCTGCCTGTCTATGGCCCGTCAGTGGCTCGTGAGTTTGGCACAAAGTTATGGAGCGCCTTGAAGCTCGAGGTTCTGCAGGGTCACTTCCAACCCTCTGAATAGATGTTTCTCATCAACCTTTAGATTTTCCAGCCAGTCGATCCTGCCACAGAAAAGGCTTCGTTGGACACACTTCAAGTCTTCGTGCGCGTGTTGCAGTCTAATCCGGTCGTCACTGACGAAGGTCAATCTGATAACATGGACGATCTTGTTCGGACAGTTTGCGTTGACTGTCTCGAAGCAATTGGCGAGCCTGAAAAGCCGCAGGCGACAGCTGGAATGAAGATTCTATGTTCATTTCTTACCATTGCCCGTATGCCTTTGCAGTATTCCTCATATCGCGTTTGTTGCAACTGACTGACGCTGATGTAGAAGACCTGTCGTCGTATGCAGTTGCACAGGCTGCAGACAAGCTAGTTACCATCTTCCACGACCCTATGGAAGTTTCGAATCGCCCATCCGTGATTACTCTTCTGACGGACCTCCTCAATTCCTTGGCACCACCTGAAGACCTGCCCACACCTGATAAGCCCGTAGTAACAGAAAGTGGCTCTACCCCTTTGCTGCAAGACCTGCTTGCTCCTTCGAAAGATGCCGTACTCGGACTGCTTATTGTCGGGCTTAAGGCTCCCACCACTCGAGTGCCAAGCCTCCACGGGCTGGCTGCATTAATACGCATACCTTCTGCGGTAACAAAGGACGAGCTAGGGTACATAGTCTTGGAAGTGAGCGAGTTCGTCGGCAAAGAACCAGACGAGGCCGAGGATGTCACGTTTGTCGCCGCACTGTTTTCTACGCCATAAGTCCAGGCTCACCAATCTACAGTTCAGACGTACTGTCGCTACTGTCGTCTATTGCTATTCTCGCACCACAACATCTCGCCTCACAAGTCCTCCCCCCTCTTTTCCTCGCGCTTCCCGACCGTGCTCCACCTACGAGATGCCCATTCACAGCGTACAGAGTATTGGCGCGCACTGAGCTCTTTGAGTCAGCTATGTGCTCATCCAGAGCTATTCGAGACCTTCGTGATTCGGCTTACGACAAAATTGGACTTGCTCCGTTCCCCATTGCCCACCGCTTTAGCTGATCCTCCTCCCGCATATATACCGGATGCGAAGGAAATGGAACCTACTGCAGCATATGCTCACGCTATCCTGACTGCCCTCGCGAATACACTATCGGCGAAGGTTTCCAAATCACGTCCTGACGCTGACGTTCCAGAGTATATAAACACACTTCTACCTCATTTGTTCCGACTATGTCTCGAGGCTGCTATTGTAAATGACGAGCGAGTATTCGCAGACATTCGCCTCTTGCGTGTAGTCGCTCGTGTAATAAGGTTGGTCATTCGAGGCTTCACCTACTGCGTGCGTTGTCTGTTCGATCTCTTTGTCCTTGCTTTATAACATGATATTTCAGGTCACAAAACAAGTTTTTCAGTGGCTTGGACAGTGCTTATCTCGGCGGACAAGTAAAATCGGTCACGGGTGGGGAGTTCGCCTTTTCGTCAGAGGAATTTAAACCCATGGATGTCTGTAACGTTTTATGATGGTTTCTCCACTATACATCGTATATTTACATTTTTATCAATAGGCAGGAGCAAGTACTCGCCAACGCAACACGGTGCTACTCTATGCAGCAGCACATGTCCCGATGAAAAGAGATGTAAGTCAGGAATTGTCCATGTGCTTACATGGTCAACGCTCATTTCCACTAGGTTTCTTTAGATGCTATCAGGCTATCCGGGCGCCTCGCGGATCTCATAACTTGGTGCAGTTCTGATAACTGCACACCATCGCAGAGGGAGGCAGCGTCGCACGTGCTTGCTTCGTTGGTTAATAAGCGCGCTGACGGTATGGCTTCTATTGATTCGCCGAGCCCCTCATGTTTCAAACAATACGTTCTAGACATCCCTGAATTCTTAGACTATCTGCTTGATAACTATTGGTCCAACGTTGTCTACAACCGTACCATTTCTGTCGGCGACCGACGGAATGCAGTGGCACTCTGGGCTTCGGTATGGATTCTAAGTGTCCCAGTCCGCTACTATTTCACCTTATGATTAAAAAATTTTAGATCACGAGAGCTTTACTCGTTCGATCGCATCCGTCCGCAATGGTCCTTACCGACAAGCTTTTTATTCTCATCGACGACGGAGACGACGTTGGTTGGGAAGCTGCACACGCACTTGGAATGCTAGCTACCAGGGATGAAGTTCTCACGAAACGCAACCACGCGATACTCAAGGTTCTAATTGTCCAAGTATCACCTATCCTTATCTGATGCTCCATTCGAATAGATATTGTATGCACAGAAGTACCTCGACGCTGTGCTACCGAGGATATTAGAAGCAGCACAAGCTGTCACTGGTGAGCTTTGCGCATCACAGGGCCCGAGATTAGATGGTTCATTGGATGTCCAGGATCCAGGCGAGAGGCGGCATACCTGGTCGCACTGGCATCTGTGTTAAACGCAGTTCCTAAAGCCTTGTACCTATCTCAAATGCCAAAGGTATGTTTGAAAACTGTGCAGTTGTCCCCGGTTTGAAGACCATAATTCTTATAGTTAATGCCACTTCTCATCCGCGGCCTCGGCCTAGAAGACCCTGCACTCCGCGTAGATATCATAAATATTTTGACGAACACCGTCGACGCTGCATCGGACGAGAAGAGTTCCTTAACAACATATGCATCTGCATTGGTCCTTGTAATGCTCAAGAACAGCATGGTGGCAGAAATGCCAGATTCCGTCAGTGTCTATTGCCAAGTAGCAGGCGTGCTCTATTAACATCGATGGAATACGTCACTATCGGTCTGCAGAGAGTTCGCATTGCAGCACTGAAATACCTTGCCCTCCTACCGGGCGTGATACGTTACGATATCCTCCATCCTTACAAGGTTCAGGTACTGAAGGACCTTGGCAAGGTATTGGATGACCCACGGCGAGCGGTACGAAAGGAGGCAGTAGATGCAAGGTTTGTTTTTCTGTTCCCTGTGTCCTGCTCAACTGACCTGTAATGCATCTAGGACTAAATGGCAAGTTCATACGCGTGTTTCCAGTCTTCGCACTAACTGACGAACCGCTTTAGGTATAAGTATACGGGATGAACGAATATACTAGACATATGGGAAAGACCATGCCGCTGACCGCTACGGCTACAGACTGCGCAAGCCAATTTGCCGGAGGACCCAATGGCCAGCCATCGGATGTCGCGGTATAGTGGTAGCTACCATACACGTTGTACTTGAGAGCAAATATTTAGGTTGGGCTAGATGCCATGCGAGCAAGTCATTGCTATTGGAAGGCGTAACTAAACATGAAGTTGGGGTGCCTACAAAGTGCCTAGAGCCCTGCAATGAATTGCTGTAATTTATCACCTTGCTTGTGAACCTACAAAGCAAGATCCCCTAGTCTTGGTTTCGTTCACAAAACGTACACGAGAATAAATTCATGATAGCTCCTTTCACTATTACCCCATCCTCCGTTTTGAGTTAGTGCGTAATGCCTTCCTGATGAACATCCCCAACGCTGCTCCCTGGTTTCAAAGCTGCGGCGATCGCGACGATACTACAGATCATCAGACACCCTACATCAACGAAATGGCAGCCGGCCATGCGAATATCTTGCTCGAACAAGCGCGTCTTTCAGAGCGGCTTCTAACTTCTCGATCAGTTTGGCTACTCAGCCCACCACTTACCCTACCACGATGTCAGCGAACACAGTAACCTGTTCATTCGCAACGGTGTCAAAGCAACTCTTGTGCTCTCAACACTATCGGTGGCACTGGCGACGGGCAAGCCTGGAGAGGTCTTCGCAGTTGCATTCGACAAGCGTGAGTGTTTCACACTTGTCTTTGCAAAGAACGACACTACGGTCACCATCGAAGACGATCGGGCTGTGCGTGACTTGTTCAGTGCGATCACCAGCCCCGAAACTAAAGATGCATACAATGTTCTGCCCTTTCTGTTTTCTCGTTGCAGGCAGAACATCGAGAAGCGGGTCACGACGATGCCTGAAGCCACGACCACATTCTCGCTTGACCTCCCAACAATCCTACAGGGTTACGAGCCCTCATTTTCCATCGAGGAATTCCCCAACTCTGTACTGTATCGCGAGGCGGCGTACCGTGGCGAGGTACCCCTCTTTCCGCGAATGATGTCTAGTCTTTTGGCGTAAATTGTGATACTGGCTAAAGATTTCAACCGCCAGGGTGTTGATCTCTTCCTACTGCTCAGGGGAAGGGGGAGACCGCTCCCGTTCCCCAGAAATCCCGTCTCCTACGTTCGCTTTGCGAAGCCACCTATACTAAACGGCGGGCACAGGTGGAGAGGCCAACCCGTCGCCTTGCTAAGGTTTCCCAGTACAGCATCGAAATTAATGACCTGATTACGCATACGAGGCGTTAACTATCGTTGGGTTGACGCCATCACTGACACTGGCGAGACTACCATCAAACTTAGTGACGACCTGGAGGCCATATCATGTGGCGTACAATTCCTTCTCACAGAGAACTGTATTCAGGTTGTGCGAGAAGTTCCCAAACATGGAAGAAGGGCAGCACAATAACTGTATCCTCGAGACCCAGCTTCATGCGGAAATTCGCATCGTGTCTGATCTCGACAACCCGCTCATTGCTTCGGACCATCGATACCGGGAACAACAATCTACTGGATGTAGCAAACAGAGTTGCCTGTACTGCGCCCTGTGGATCGAAACATAATTAAACATTCGGCACCAGGTGGCTCCTATGGTAAGCCATGTGCTACCTGGGCTCTCCCTGGTTGCTTGTATGGGCATGCTCGTGTGGGGGATGGAAGCACTGTCGATGCAGCTGTCTGCCACGTATGTAGTACGAGAGATTGCAATCATTTTAGGTTGGCATCGTTTTGCAGCTCCACACACATTTGTTTGCAGGAGACGGTCGAGGAATTATATCCACCAAGATAGGGAAATGCATTTTAGTTCATTGTCTAGTCCCCAACGCCAGAGCGTATGGTATATACGCGGAATAAGTCAAGTCTACGATGTGAAAGAAGAGACATGGTCCTCGACAACCTTCTTAATTTTGGCCTCAATCTCTGGAGTAACGCTTCCGGCCGAGATTTCCTCTAGAAGGGGGGCCTGGGTAGCCGCCAAATGTGCACGGAACTCAGCTTCCCACTGGGTGATTTTCTCGACAGGAATAGAGTCAAGCTGCAGCAGTTATTAGGGGTGATACGTCGAGGATCAAGGAAGCACGCACGAGACCGTTGACACCAGCGTAGATAATAGGAACCTGGACCTCCATAGGAAGGGGCTGATATTGACCTTGCTTGAGAAGCTCAGTCAGACGGGCGCCACGGCTAAGCAGGAAGCGGGTCGATGCGTCAAGGTCAGAGCCAAACTGGGCGAAGGCGGCAACCTCGCGGTATTGGGCAAGGTAAAGCTTGAGCGAACCGGCGAACTTCTTCATGATTTTCCTACAAAAGGGTAAGGAAGGGGACAAACGCCACAATAACCATGTACCAACGTTTGGGCAGCTGAACCGACACGGGAGACCGAGAGACCAACATTGATGGCGGGGCGGACACCACGGAAGAAAAGTTCAGCTTCCAAGAAGATTTGTCCATCAGTGATCGAAATAACCTGTACATCGAAGTAAGATGGAAGGCTGCTCATGCAAGTGCATTGCACTTACGTTGGTCGGAATATAAGCGGAGACATCACCACCTTGAGTCTCAATGATGGGGAGAGCCGTCAGAGAACCACCGCCGAACTTTTCGCTCATCTTGGCGGCACGTTCCAAGAGGCGGGAGTGGAGGTAGAAGACATCACCGGGATAGGCCTCACGACCGGGGGGACGACGAAGAAGGAGGGACATTTGACGGTACGCAACGGCCTGCTTAGACAAATCGTCGTAGATGATGAGCGCTGTGAGCTTACGTGAGATGGCGCAGTGCAAAGAGGAATCCGTTACACCGACCATGTTTGCCGTTGTCACGGAACCACTCTCCCATGGCACAGCCAGAGAAGGGGGCGAGGTACTGCAAAGGAGCGGCCTCAGACGCGGTGGCAGCGACAATGATGGAGTATTTCATGGCATCGTTCTCTTCAAGCGTCTTGACAAGTTGTGCGACTGTGGAGCGTTTCTGTCCAACAGCAACGTAGACACAGTAGAGTTTCTTGTCCTCGTCCTTGCCGTCGTTCCAACGCTTCTGATTGAGGATGGTGTCGATAGCGACCGCGGTCTTACCGGTCTGACGGTCGCCGATGATGAGCTCACGCTGGCCACGGCCAATAGGTACCATTGCATCGATAGGCTTGAGACCCGTCATCATGGGCTGGTTGACGGACCGACGAGGAAGGATACCGGGAGCCTTCAAGGAAGCCCGACGACGTTCTGTAGCCTCGATGGGACCCTTTCCGTCGATGGGGTTACCCAGAGCATCGACAACACGGCCAAGGAGACCAGGCCCGACAGGAACGTCGACGATTTGACCAGTACGTTTGACGGTGTCGCCTTCCTTAATGAGACGGTCATTACCGAAGATGGAGACACCGACGTTGTCCGCTTCCAAGTTCAGACACATGCCGCGAACGCCGGAAGAGAATTCCACCATCTCTTCGGCTGGTGAAGAGAGTCAAGTTTTTATTATGTGGACAAAAAGGCCGCCATACCTTGCACGTTTTTAAGACCCCAGACGCGTCCGATACCGTCACCGACACCTACGAGGAAGTTGAGTTCGTCAACAGGCAATCAAGAAACCGGAGGCACGCACTCAAGACACGACCCGTTTCCTCCACATTACCACCAACAGACGTACCAGCAATGCGGGCCTCCAGTATTGAAGAGACTTCGGAGGCGGCTGAATGACAATGGCACAAAGGAGCGCGAGTATGTCAGAGCGAATGATATAAAGCCGACCGCATTTACATACCAGGCTTTGCAGTAGCATACGAGCGCGCAACGAATACGGCGATGGCAGCGTTCGTCTGCGAAAGAAGGAAGAAAAAAACAGGCTCAGTGAGTACATTTTTTTCCTAAACACCGAACGCCCAAGCTACCTTTGGTGCTGCAGCCAAGGCAGCCTTGCGCGCCGAGTTTCTTAGTGCAATTCTGTGCATGGTCGCGACAGAGAAAGAATTGGGATGAGGCGTAGGGAATTCTCGGGTTCTCGACCCAAATGGTGAATTTTAAATCGCCGCCTCAATCGCTTCGGAGCGTGACTAAGCGTGACTCCGTGTCACACACACGCTTCTGCTACTCAGCACTCTCCGCACGATGGCGGCCAGCTGGCACATTCGTAATTGGCTGTCCCATCACGTTCGTAGAGGTAAAGCAGTCGTGTTTTCTTGACGAAAGCGACCCGTTTATTGACGTTTATCAAGTCACGGCCACTCGGGCCATTCACGCCCAGTCAGTCCTGCCCGGCACGACCTCTGCCGCACTCCAGGCCATCCGAACCCAGCCATCTCAGTACATCGTGGCCTCTCTAGTCGGAAGAAAATTCATTCTCACCCCCCGCGATCTTCTCACCGTACCCCACATCAAGGACGTCAACGTCGGTGACGTCCTCGTGCTCAAGGACATACATGAAGTAGGGTCACGCGACTACACCCTAAGGGGAGACCCTCTCATCCCAACGGGACGCGTCAAAGTGGAGGCAACAGTGGTTGAACACACAAAGGGGGCTATGGAAGTTGTCTTCAAGAAGAAACGGCGAAAGGGTTATCAAAAGACTATCAAAAACAAGCACCCTTACACTCGTCTACGCATAGGCTCCATACAGTTTTCGGACAGTCCATAGTGCTCACTATGCCATAAGAAACTCTTTTCCATTCATCTACGTACATACGAAAGCATCCACTAGCCCGAGATTATACTGCATGTTACTATGTAATTGCTCATATCTCCCCTTCTTCAGGAGTCTCGGCCCTGTGTGATTTTTCTTCTCTGCTCTCTTTACGGCTTTCAATATCAGGATCATACCTTGGTCGCTAACAAATGATGAGCCGGAGTGCCTACACGAACAAGTAGCAGTTACCTTCTCAGCCCTCTCACCGTAGCTTCTCTCACCATGTTTGGACGTATCCCGGCGCTCGTCCCGGCTACGCTCCCGTTTTTCCCTGCCCCGGTCGTGTTCCTCGTCTTCGTTTCCGTAAGGCGGCGCTCCTTCGTATCCGCGGCTATGCCCCTGCTCCCGTGAACTTCTCCGGGGACGTCTCCTGTCGTCTCGGGTATCACGCTCATCGCGACTGTACTTTGAAGACCGATGGTCTCTTTCTCGGTCCCGCTCTAAATATCCGTAATCTTTAGATCTCTCGCGAGGGTGGTCGCGTGAGTAATCATCGTAGTCGTCTCGGTGATGTCGAGAACTGCGAGCATCTCGGTGCTCTCTGTCACGATCACGTTCGCGGTCCCGCTCACGGTCTCGATCACGTTCCCTGTCGCGGTCGTAATCACGAGCCTTGTCTCGGTACGCATCTCGGTCACGGTCCCTGTCGCGCTCTCTATCGCGTTCACGATCCCGGTCGCGGTCCCTGTCGCGATCCCTGTCACGGTCTCTTTCGCCATCACGGCCAGGCTCCTTACGCTTCCTGCTCGTAGTCGACGCACCATCCTCAGACGCAGCTTCTCGCATGCGCTCTTTCTGTCTCTTCACGAACTTGGCAAAAGCAGCACGGCGACCTTCTTCGTCTTCAATAGCCTTGAATTCCGGGAGGTGCTCAATCAGCGGAACGGCCTGCATATGTACAACATGAAACACAGCTAGCCAAATTCAGACGAAATAAGCAACCTACCGATTCGTATGAACCATTGATGTCTATCGGTTCAGAGAGCTTCTTGAGCGCGTAACGAAGGTCATCCTGCAAATGTCTCTGTCTGCGTTCGTAACGCTTCTTCTCCTCTTGTTGTTTCTTAATAGCTTGTTCGTGCAGCTTCCAGTAATATCAACGTAAGGTACACGCTTCAAGAGACACAAAAACAATCGACTTACAGAACGGAAGACCTCGTGCAGTTCCTCGTCGCCTAACTTCCCTGCAGATTCTGGATCCCTTCTCACTCTTGCCGCGAACTCTTCTAAAGTGGATTCCGGCGCAATCATCACGATCCCGGATTTTGCCGCATCCTCAGCCGACTCGTTGGGCGCTTCTACTTTGCGTATGGACTCCTCCGCGATCGCAATTTTTGCGTCGAGTTGTTGATCCAGCCGATCGACTACGTCCCAAAAGAGCTCAAGCGGGTTAGACCCAGGTTTGCCAAGAAGGTTCAGGTAACGCTTGTCCGCCGCAAAAGAAGGATAGACCTGCCTCCATTTCGCGCGTGCTCTGATCTTACCGGAAGCTACGAGTTCCTGCAAGAGGCCCTGGAACTCATGTTACCGTGACATCCATTTATGGCGTACGGAGAAACATACCCTGAAAGCCTCCCTGGCTTTGCGCTCGGAGCGAGTCTTTTCAACCTGCGTACGGCGCATTTGTTCCTCGAACTCACGTTCTTTGACTCGACTGTAGTCCTCGAAAGCAAGGAGAATATCAAGAGTTGGCAATTTACGCAACTCCGGATCTTCCTTCCATTCCTCACATTCAACGAGCATATCAAGTGCTTTGCGCCATCGAGTCAGGACGTCAACACCGAGTTCCTTAAAGAGGGATACGACTTTTGATATGCTGCGTGTCCTTGCTGCCCTTGTTTCTTGCTAGCGGCGACGGTACCAGGATTAAGCAAGATATAGTAATATAGAGGGCGGGCCACGCACCACTTCCCGTTGCTTTAGTTCAGCAACATACTCCTCAAAAACAAGCCTGCGTTCGGCTTCGATTTTCGCTTGCTGCCAGATAGGGTGCTGTGCAAAGAGTTTATCTGCTGTGCCAAACGTAGTATAGTGGAAGACGTTAGGATTGCCCTTAAGCATGTTTCTGATCGCTGGGCGCAACTTAGACAACCTCGCTTCTCTCTCTTCCTCTTCTTTTTGTCGCAGACCCTCAGTGTACTGCAAGCCAAGTCAGTATGCGAATACGTTGTAAAGAATTCCACTTACTTTCTGCCAAGCTGCCTTCTTCTCAGCGAGTGTATTCAGTGCTTTATACAATGGATCGGTGATGATAGCCCTCATAGTTTGATCCCAGCTCCAATCTGCATCAACGCCCGCTTTTCTCAGCAAGTGCATAAATGCCTTCTCGGCTTCCTCTATCGTGGGGAATCCGTTGTGGGGAATCAGGGGGTCATCAGGCAGATTCGGGCGAGCTGGCAAAACACCGGACGATGAGAAAGGAAGATTTGTACCAGGTATAGTCAGGGCACCCTCAGTGCCGTTGGTTTGAGAAGACGGCCCACTAGCAGGTTCGGGAGAAGCCTGTGCTGGCGGAGGACTGAAAGTGAAGTCAGTATGTTTCGCAGTCGAGGATGTGGTGATTCTATGACTGACACTGAGTTTGCTAGCACAAGCTGATTACTCTTAGATTCTTTCTCAACTTTCTCAAGGAGAAGTACTAGCTCATCTGGCATGTCCCATTTGGACTCCTTAGTTTCCGTCTATGCGAAAGGTTAGCGTGTTGCCACAAATGTTGTGATAGGCCCATACATTGTAGTAGTATTTGCGCCCACCGGAAAAGTATTCTTTCCACTTCGTCTCGGATAAGGCGCGCTGTGCACACGACACGACATGAGATTTGCGGAGAATGTCGAAAACTTGCCTACCTCGAATGGAGTCTTTAGGTCTGGACAGAGGTTCGAAATTAATGGCCCAGGATACAAAATGTATCAAATCCTAGGCCTCACCATCTGGCTTCTCCCAAACGCTCTCCCGCGTCACCGTATTGAACCAATATGTACGACCTTCGGGATTGCGATGTTCCGTCTAAAATGCGCGTTAACGTTGACACGTATACCAGCAAACCAAGCCTTGCATTCCATACTTACCCACATGCTTGCACGAGTTCACCACCGACCAAGTGACACGCTCACGGCCCGCTATCGTTTTCAATCGGAGGTTGAAGTAAATCACGTGACGAGAGATCACGTGCAAATTGGTCACCCCCTAAATCTCCAAAACACCTGCATATGACATACAAGACTAAGAGCTAATTTGGAAACCTCAGGTAAATCACAGTTAGCTCCTTCATTGCTTGTACATGTGTTCCCACTGGGGCACTTCATGTAGTGAGTTTGAATTGAGTTTGAAACATTTCCTCCTGTATGTGAGATGGATGATGTTAATATTGGTGGTGATCATGAGGAGCTTCACTGCCAATGCTTGCTGTGCCATATCACTCTTGTCATCAATATCATCCTCTGCATCATTGGTTGTACTGAAGCCTAATCTACACCAATCAGAAGGATTCTGGAGCCCCACCACATGTCAGCACTAACCAGTGAAGAATGGCTTATCAAGCTCCTCACAGGTCATCCAGAATGAATCTGATGTGAACTTGGTGTTCATGCTGATGTCTTTGCATGACTCATGGAGGAGCCTTGCCAGATCAGTCATGGCAACTCTTGATTCATTTCACTTGAAGAGCAACTAGCTATTTTCCTCCAGACATATGAGTGTGATGGGTCTGACTATCAGGTACATCAGTGAACTTTTTCAACAGCCAAATGAGACCATATCTCAGTATGTCATTACCCTTAGTTTGCTGATACTTTTCTAACCTCCTCAATCAGGTACTTTTGCAAGATGCTCTTCATCCTATCCTTGTCACCCTTCTATTCCATGTATGTCATGATGCCTGGTGCTGATGATGTTCAGCCAGAGATTAGGGGAGATAAAAGATTTTGGCCATATTTCAAGGACATGATTGGTGCATTGGACAGGAGTCATATCCATGCCACCCTGGTGTCAGAGGACCAGGTGGTGTACCAAAACTGCAAAGGCTCCATATCTCAGAACTGCTTGTTTGCTTGTGATTTCCAGCTGATCTTTACATACTCATTGACTGGTTGGGAGGGTTCAGCTACTGATGTGCATGTATACCAGGATGCATGTACAAAAGGGCTTGACATCCCAACAGGAAAGTTTTTCCTTGCAGATGCTGGATTCCCCCTGTGCCCAGGAATTCTAGTCCCCTACTGGGTGACCTGCTACCACCTCACAGAGTGGCACTGAGCACATTTAAGGTATTTTTCTTTGAATTATCCATCTTATTGTCCTGCCAAACTGACAAGACCTAGGAATAAAGAAGAATTGTTCAACCTCCAGCACTCATCTGCACACAACATCATTGAGCAAATATTTGGTGTCCTCAAGCATCATTTTTGCATCTTACTACTAAGCCCTAAGTACAACATTGACATCCAAGGCCAAACCCCCTCAGCACTCTGTGTGCTGCACAACTTCATCTGTACTCATGATGCCAAAACAGGTCTGATGCCAGGACACAATGTCCATGCAGATGAGCAAGGTGTAGGAGGGCCTGGAGGATCAGCAGATAAGGGTGGGGCTGATGAAGGTAATCCCAATGTAGGTCAGCTTGAAGCAGTATGTGCCTTCCATGACCAGATTGCTCAACATACAGTGACTTCCAAAGTTGATTCAATGTTTGCACATTTTGGGCTGTTTGTTGAATTTATCTGGAACAAAGACAAACAAGACCAGAGTGTAAGTTGATGACATAAACCATTTGCACAGGGCTATCCATCAAAAATAGGATTATGTAATTTGAGTTAGTATCCATGGCAATATACTTGAGTTAAATCATCATGTCATTGGACCAATTTTGTAACTATGTGTTGGATCCATCAGAATCCAACCAATATCACATAAAACAATTTCAAAATTCATCAAAGATGGTTGCTATGGTTATTGTACCTTAGCAATGACTTTGGTCCAAGCTATTTAACCACTGTCAACATTGTCAATGTTTCCTAACTGTACTATGCACCCCATCTCCTCTGTTCAGAAGCAAAACACCATTTCTCTGTCCTGTAATGGTCATTCTACTTGCACTATTGCCTCCAGGCTGGGTATCAGCCAGCCTACAGTCTCCAGGGTGCTCAAGAATCTTCTTCCTTATCAACAAGCACCTACTTCTGGACATCCTGCTAGCTTCCAACCTCCTCTCAGCATGCTATTATCACACAAATCACCACAGGCAAGGCCACCAATGCTGTTGAGGTTACAAAGAACATCAATTCCATAATCTCCAATCCACTCTCCTCACAAAAAGTCAGAAGGGTCCTCAGAAAACATTCATTCAAGGCTGTAATGGAGAAGACAAAACCACTTCTTTCTATAATTCACAGGAAGAAGTGATTGGCCTTTGCTCTAAAATACAAAGAATGGACTGTGGAGGACTGGAGAAGGGTTATCTGGTCAGATGAGACCAAAATCAATAGGATTGGGTCAGATGGGAAGGTTTGGGTGTGGAAACAGGCAGGAGAGGGGCTTATTGAAAGAGAGATACAGGGAACAGTCAAGCATGGAGGAGGAAACATTATAGTATGGGGATGTATGGGCTGGGAAGCTGTTGGCCACCTTGCAGAGATTGAGGGGAGGATGGATGCTAACTAATATGTGGACATTTTGGAGCACTAGTTGCTTCTTAGCTTGGGAGATTCTGGAATTCCTTTGAAGGATGTTATCTTTCAACAGGACAATGCCTCTAAAATGGCTAAGAAGTGGTTGGAGGACAACAATATCAATGCTCTGGACTGGCCTTCACAGTCTCCAGATATGAACCCCATTGAACACCTCTGGAATCACATCAAACAGGAGCTCAACAAGTATTCAACATGGCCAAAGGGAGTTTGGGAGTTTTGGGAGAGTGGCAGTGGTGTGGAATAATATAGACCCAGGGGTGTATCAGAATTTAATTGAAAGTATGCCTAGAAGGGTCCAAGCAGTGATAAAAGCCAAGGTAGGTCATACAAGTATTAATATTATCAGTTTCTATATCTCTGATACACACATCCAAAATTGATTCAATGACATGGCAATTTGAATTGTATATACCTTTATGGATACTAATTTATTTGCCTTTGTTCTTGATAAATTCAACAAACAACCCAAAATGTGCAAACATTGAATCAATTTTGGAAGTCACTATATAAACTCCCCTGTACTTAACTACAACCAAGTGAATCAAGCCACCCAATGAACCAGAAGTCACTCAAGCAGTCAGTTCAGCTCATCTCAGAAGTGACTCATCATTGACAGCTGAGGCTCAATGGAAGGGTCTATCTGTCATTACTCTCTTCTGTGGTAGTTGAGGCTCCATTAAGGGTCTATCTACCACCATTCTTTATCTGAAGTATCATCTGTGCTTAGTCAGCACACACACTTAGTCATCCATTCATTCCTGTACTTGACATCAACTTGTGCCAGGAGTCCTTTCTACTGAATACCTTTGCTCTATTCAGCATCCCTCTCACATTCATCATCCATTTGCCCACACCTGCATAACTTGTTGATGACTCACATCAGGAGCACTCCACTTGAAAAACACCCCACTTTAGATTTTTCTGCCCTCCAGGTTCTGTGGAGGCAAACCACCACTCACTCATATGTGTCTTTTGTGTTGGTTTTGGTTGGTTTACACCACCTTTCCACACTTTGACCCACACCAGTTGGCCCAAAGTTGAGGCTGGGAGTTAGGGGCCAAGTCCTGAGGTCCAGAGTCAAGGCTGGGAGAGTGCATCATGACCATGTATTCAGTCCAGGTCTCTGCTCACTCTGCACCCTACTCTGCCAGTCATTCACTCACTCTGCACCAACTCCACCTGCCCTCTATTGTTTACAAGCCTTCTCTGCCCTGGCTGCTGTCAGACTTGGTAACAGCTTACCATCAGACTGTGCAGACCATTTTCCAAATGGTCATGGACCCTTGCCAGTCCAGCCTTTGGACTTCTCCTTGACAGCACACAGTCAGGTATTCCACAGCATGCACACCTCATGGTTCAGCACCTAGACTGTTCCCTTTTTGGTTTGCTCTATGTTACCTGTTATATGTTTCTCCATCTTCCCTTCATTCATCATCCAGGAAGTTTTTACTTGAAAATTTACAAGTCTCTGTATGTCAGTTCTGATTCCAGTTACTGTACCTCCATAGTAGTATATAAGCATGTACAGTACTCTGCCATTCTCCAGTACAAATATCACCAAAATTCCTACTCCTTCTCTCTCTGTCTTTTGTCTGTTGGGGTTATCTCTGATCTTCTGTCTGCTCTCTACCTCTGAAATATGAGGGCTGAGTTCATGCAAGGGGGTAGTGCATGAGCTAAACCTGACACCCTCACTCTGCTCTGCCCCTGCCTCAGTGGACTTTGTACCTGCTGATCCTCTGCTAGTCAGAGTTCCATTCATCTGTGTCAGACTTGCTTCCATACCTCTCCTCAGACCTTGTCTAGCATCAGAGTTGGTCAGAGTAGGCCTGGACTTGACAGCATGGGAAACTGACCAGTCTCAGAGTGCACACAGGGGGAAGCTGTGGAAATATCTGTAGGCTACTACAGGATGTCAGTATAGTAGAATACTTGGAATATGAACAGACTTACCCTCAGTAGTGAACAAACTACTGAGGGAATACTAGTAGGAAATACTACAAGTATGTGTGCTTTTTGTGCTTATGTAAGCACACTAGCATCGCACCTAAGTGCCAACAAACAGTGGCACTTTATGTTCCAACAGAAGCCAGTCTGGGGTTGGATCTACCTCCCTTGGTCTCAGCTTATGTGCTGTACCCTTACCACTAGTGGCTCACAGAATTGTCCCAATATTTGCATGTCTTTCATTAATCATGGTGTAGTGAGTGAACTATTATCATTGAGTCCAAGGTATTGGTGGATGGATCAAAGCAGCTGGTTATGGCTCTCTGATGAGCCATATTACATAATATTTGGATAGAAACTGATGACAGAATACCCAAATGAAAATGAGAGCTCATTGGGACAATTATGTAGCTTTGTGATATATTGGGGATGTAGTCCTTGGGAACACATATAAAACATGGTGATATGCTCACTGATGCCTACATAATGTATCACATGGTCTAATGAATTATTTGTCAACAAACAAACAATACCAAACAGTGATTTTGCACCACTAAGCCTCCTTGCTGTAACACAAGTCAAGAAATGATCATTCTGGCTCATCAGGGACATTCTCTCAGGGCAACCTCAGCAAATTCTGGTGTACACTATAGTATAATCAATGGAATATGCCATCAGCACCATTGGTCTCTTCAGAGACCTGCTGGAAGTCATCTCCTGCACTGTTTCTCCACCAATGCTCCATGTGTCCTGGAACTAATCAGTACTGTGAGAGCTGAAAATGATGTGGAGGTCCAATCTGGCATTCATCCTATCATAAACAAACCAATCACCCATTAACTAGTGCATTTCTGTGAAGGGAAAACTGGTATGGAGGTCAGGATAAAGCTAAACCCTCTCTCACTCCAGGTACCATGGGAGGGATATGCTACTGAGCTACCAGGTTGCACATTCCTGGCCTTCTATCTGGCACTGGACATTTCCTGTAGTCTTATATGATCAAATAACTCTTTCCCAGTGATCCCCAGCTCAGCTCAGAGTACAGTCTGGCCAACCCTCCCATGATACTGGGAATGCCAAGGAGGGTTGTGCTTCACCTGAGCTTTCAGGCAGGCTTTTCTTCAGCTATGATGTAGTAGTTAGTGGGTGATTGGTTTGTTTGTGATAGGATGAATGCCAGATTGGACCTCCACATCATTTTCAGCTCTCACAGTACTGATTAGTTCCAGGACACATGGAGCATTGGTGGAGAAACAGTGCAGGAGATGACTTCCAGCAGGTCTCTGAAGAGACCAATGGTGCTGATGGCATATTCCATTGATTATACTATAGTGTACACCAGAATTTGCTGAGGTTGCCCTGAGAGAATGTCCCTGATGAGCCAGAATGATCATTTCTTGACTTGTGTTACAGCAAGGAGGCTTAGTGGTGCAAAATCACTGTTTGGTATTGTTTGTTTGTTGACAAATAATTCATTAGACCATGTGATACATTATGTAGGCATCAGTGAGCATATCACCATGTTTTATATGTGTTCCCAAGGACTACATCCCCAATATATCACAAAGCTACATAATTGTCCCAATGAGCTCTCATTTTCATTTGGGTATTCTGTCATCAGTTTCTATCCAAATATTATGTAATATGGCTCATCAGAGAGCCATGACCAGCTGCTTTGATCCATCCACCAATACCTTGGACTCAATGATAATAGTTCACTCACTACACCATGATTAATGAAAGACATGCAAATATTGGGACAATTTTGTGAGCCACTGTATGTGTTACACCTCAACCAACCCCCTTTCCATTTTTGGTCACATGACACTTATGTGTTTGTGACTCTCAGCTTCCAGGTTGTCACCATTGTCACCATGTCCATTTGGGCTGTGGTCTGGGTCATCCACCACTCATGGAAGCAGTTAGTCATGGTCTAGAGCCTTCACAGTGTCATTGCTGCACTTTGATTGCCCCATTGTGTGTTACATCTGTTTCATTCCTTGTTTATACTTGTACAGTATGTCTTTCCACCTTGTTTCCTGTCAGCTGCTAGGCCCCCTCACTGCACTTGATTGCACAGCTGGTTTGGGCAGTGTTTCCTTCACTACAGAGTCATACTGACTCATCACTATTTCATCATTTACTGTCCACAGCAGATTACTGTTTACAGAGTCATTGTGTGCCCTCTTCAGGGAGGTATATAAAGTAGAGCTACAATACTCTGTAACCTTAGTTTTTCACTACCTTGCAAATCTCTTAAACATACTCTCTTCTCACCTCCTCTGTGTTGGATCCCCCTTCCAGAAGGAGCCCATCAAAGTCAGTATCACCAAAGGGATCCATAGGGGTTATGACAAGTTTGGCCCATAGTGTGTTTCTCCCTCACTTCATGTCTAGTCATCATATCCATGACTCTCAGACTCAAGCCTGGTCCACTCTGGACCCCCTAGCCCCTATCTCCAGTCAAGTCCAGTCCTAGTTTGACCTAGAAAAACCAACTCCAGCCCTAGAAAACCCAACTCTGGCCTGGATAACTCAAGTCCAGTGTTTTACCCCTATCTCCAGTCCACTCTGGCCTCCCAGCCTTGTGCTGCTCCACCCCAGTCCTCCCAGGTCCATGTCCAGGTCACCCAGACATAACTCCAGTCTGTTCTCCTATGCTTGTGCTATATTTAGTCTAGTCCTTTCATCCAACTTCTGCTTACTGTACAAAACCTGTTCTGACTCCAATTATGCTGGTCACCTGGACTTTGACTAATACTCTTGGCATAGCCTCTGTGGCTGTCCACACCTTGCTAATCATTTTGCTAATAGCTTATTAAAAAGTCTGGCTCTATGTTTATTACCCCAGACTGGCCTCATGTATATAACTCCTGTACATACTTTGTAGCACCTCAGTCAGAATATCAACTTAGTATTACCCTCAACTCTGTATTACCCCTTGAGTCTTCTTAATAGCTAAGGCTGAGCCTTAAGCTATGTATCCCCAGCCTGCATAAGGGTACAGCACATAAGCTGAGACCAAGGGAGGTAAATCCAACCCCAGACCAGCTTCCCCCTGTGTGCACTCCAAGACCAGTCAGTTTCCCACACTCCTGGCCTTAGCCCCTGTCACCTGGTCTTGAAGCCTGGTCACCTGAGGGTAAACCCATACATCACACTAGTCCATTTGATGAAGCCACCACATTGGAGCATAACATTATGCAAGCCAGGGAGAGGTTTGGGACAGAGGCTGGGATAGCTTAAGGCTCAGCTTTAGCTATTAAGAAGACTTGGAGGGTGATACTAAGTTGATATTCTGACTGGAGTGCTATGAAGTATATACAGGGGTTAAATACATGAGGCCAGTCTGGGGTAATGAACGTAGAGCCAGACTTGTTAATAAGCTATTAGTAAGATGATTAGCAAAGGGTGGACAGCCACAGAGGCTGTGCTGAGACTAATAGTCAAAGTCCAGGTGACTGGCATAACCGAAGTTGGACACAGGTTTCATACAGTAAGCAGAGATCAGGGACTAAAACTAAATATAGCACAAACATCAGAAAATAGACTGAGTTGTGTCTGGGTGACCTGGACATGGACCTGGGAGGACTGGGGTGGAGTAGTGCAAGGCTGAGAGGCTGGAGTGGACCAGAGATAGGGGTAAAACACTGGACTTGAGTGATCTAGGCTGGACTTGGGTCACTTAGGGCCAGAGTTGAGCTATCCAGGCTGGAGCAAGGTCTGGACTTGACTGGAGATAGGGGCTATGGGTCTGGACTGGACCAGGTTTGAGTCTGAGAGTCACATATGTGACACTTGTGACAGATAGAGAATGGTAATATTTTAGAGCAAAGATTCTTTGAATATCCAGAACCAGGAGAACTGTAAATATTCTGGTGGTGGTGACTACCTTGCTTGTGATTTTTGGGCTGGAATTTATATATTTGCTGGTGGATTAGTGTCATTCATAACTATTTTGTAGCTCAGTTTTTGGAAGGGCACAGCTGTTTGTGAAACTAAGGTAACAGTACACTGTAGGGGATGATATTTGTCAGTGCATGCTCTAAGTCCTTATGTAAACAGGTCAAGCAATTATGGAAAAGTTGCCACAAAACATGTTACCTTGCACTACAACTAGATCCTGGACATGGAGATGCATCTAATTGTGGGAATGTATCAAGGATGGTGAACAGCTCAAGGAAGAGGGTAAATGAATGGGTTCTACATGAATCATGTGGGTCTCACTTCTATTTGTGCAGTTTGAAGGAGGACCATTTGGTGGAGGACACAGACAGTTCAGTGGAGGTAAAAGTTTCCATTTCCATAGCTTGTTTGTAATGTGACTTTGTACACTACTATACTTATGTAAAGTAGTTCCGCAGGAAATACCGCAAGTTGGACGGTGAGTCCTAGTACCCCCCTAAAAAACAGAATCACTTATTCACTCTCAAGACCATCTCTTCCAGCGTAATTGCCCGATACTCGTCTCCTTCAGGAGCCCACACAGCATCACCGTGGACATAAACCAATATCCCACCCTTCCCGCTCGCGTTCGACACTCTAAACAGGGGCATACGCGACTTCTCATGTGCTCTTCCGATGGGTATAAATAGCAAATTGTGTTCCGCCCCGTAGTCTTCAATGATAGAACGGAACGTGACTTCTTGCGTCCGCGACGGCACTGTCCTCTTCGGTGGAATTGATGTAGTTGGTCCAACCGCAGTCGCCGCAAGCTCTGTCCGGTAATCAGGCCGCTCGAGTTTCTTCGGTGCACCAGGCCCTAGCTCTATGGCCGTATTAACCAGCTATAAACCCCTCGTGAATCCACGCGCAACACCAGGCATGTTTTGCACGTTCTCGGGGAAGGTAGCCTTCCAGAACGAGTACTACTGTGCTGCCTCCTCAAAGCTGACGCGCGGCTGGATGTGCTCTGATCGATTTTCAACTGTTGAGGAAGCGGCTTGACAGCGCACCACGAGCAGAGCGCTTGAGTTACATGTATGAGATGCGTCGCAGGTGAATGATACGGAGGTGGTGTCAACCGTAAGCGTTGTTGACGTACCATGGAAGACTTGACGAAAGCCCAGGAGCTTTCCTGCCGAATACGCTGAGGGACGTGCCGCTTTCAAAGTTGCACGTGGAGTAGGACTTTTTTAAACCCCTACAAGGGTGAAGCCACTTTCGCGAGACGATGGATTGACCGACAAAAAAAATGACCCTCACGCTTGCCAAATGTACTAGCTGCCTAGGCTTGCTCGTCGTCAGCGCCACCGCAAGGGTATCGGGGAGGCGAAGAACGGTGTAGTGTCGTCGCGAATATTCCTGTATTGGTCGACGCCTTGGTAAGCTATGTGATGGTCTGAGTAGCCAAACTGATCGAGCAGTGGAAGCTGCTCTGAAAGACGGAGCAGGTCATGCAAGATGTTGTGGTGATTGGCTGCCATGTCGTCGATGATCTGGCAGTGTCACCGCAGGTCATCTCAGCTTTGAAACAAGCCAAATTTGGGATTCGTAGTCAAGAGTAAATGACCGACGGTTGTGGCGTAGTCAACTAATGCAAGCTAACTGTCTACAAATTACATCAGACGTAAGGAAGGTGCATGGTTTCGCAACTATTCAACGTCGTCTTCACAGGTTGACTCTGGGTCTCGGTCGTCGTCATCATCATAGTACTGATTATTCTCTTCGTCCATGGATTCCTTCAACTAAATTCTGTAATGAGTAATAAATACGGTGAAGAAAAGATCACTCCACCTACCATCTCCAAGAGCTCATGACATTCATTCAAGTGTGCCATGACGATTCCCTGACCTTCGGGAACACTTCCATCGACACCCACGAACTTTCCATCTTTCCTCATGGAGTCGATCTGGTATAACGCCAGTTGATACTAAACATGACCAATTAACATCGGAAAGTGGGCAACGAATGACGAGGTGATGACACACGGGGTAAAGATCTCGAGGACTAAATGGACCCCCATACTTGTACACTTCGTTCAGGCACTTCTTGACTGTAGAGAGCTTGTTGGCCTAATAGATTGGTGGTGAGCAGAGGGTGCATGGTCCAACACCACGATCTCACTCACTATGGGGATCAGTTCTTCTGACACTGGCTCACTCGATGAGAGTAGCCGGTATATCAGGCCGTAACACCGCCGGAGTAGGTAGAGGAGGACCTGCAAGCGCAGCGGTCAGTTTGCCTGACTATTACAAGAAGAATTCTCTCACATATTGTCCTGGAGGCCGGTTGCCATCTGCGTCCACAAATTTGCCATCAATCCGCATTTTATCGATTTCCTGGAGACTCAAAGAATAATTGTACAGATCGGTCTCCCTCAAGCTCCATCGGTGTGTGAGCACGAGGTTCTCCAACTCAGCACGGAGTTCCTCCAATCGGTCGTGTATCGGCTTCAGAGAGCTGGCGACATTCTTAGATTCATCTTGAGCCTTTATTTGCTGTAAGATGTCGAAGCATTCTTCCAAGAGGGATGAACAAATAGCCTGAGACGCAGGTACTATGCCGCCTGGACCGAGGAACTTCCCATTTACCCGTTTCCTACGAGAGGCGTGGCAGTCACTGTCAATTGCTACCCTGGTATATCGCTGGCGCAGCGGTGCACCAATCACGAGGAAAGGGTACTCAACGAATCAATCTTTCGGAGCTCTTCAGCGAGAGGTTTTAGCTCCGCCTTGTGGCTTCCTTCTTTTACAGCCAGGGCGACCAGCTGACGTCGAATAGTGATCAAGCGTTGGTGAATGGGGATGAGCTCGACAGAGATGTCGGACAATGATTCCTGTAGTGACCGCACGATAGCATCTTTATACGAGAAGGCTAGTGAGTGCTGCGGCCGCATCTAAATTTGGAGGATATAAATGAGCAGATATATACCTAACTCATTAAGTTGCCGCTCCAGCAACTTCGTCATTGCTTCCGGATGCTTCCCGCTCTCGGCATCGTGCTGGACCATAGATCGCAGTTCTTGCAAGCGACGTTGAAAGGGAAGGACATCAGACTCATTGTACAGCCCCGATTCCTCCATATGCGTGAGAATTTGCTGAAGTAAAGGGAGTGTTCCGTCAGTACGACTTCATGCGATGATGGACAACAAGAGGGATCTGCTGAAAAAGGTCAGGGCTACGCAGCAACTTCGCTCCCGAAAAGACGGGTAGAGATCCCCATTCGTCACACGTCGAAGACGCATTAGTATCGTAAACGGAAGACGAGTAGCTCTTCGAGGTCGAGAGAAGGGGATATATTTATACTAACCCGCATGGATGCCAGCTGTGAATACGCTGCGGGACATTCCTTTGTCTTTCCGAGCGTGAGATAGCAGAGCGATAACAGACTGAACACGTCGGCAAGGGTGGTGTCGACACGATTGTTGTAGGTGGTGTTATCGTCACGCACGTCGTTGAGTTTGGTGACTGCCAGGGTGAAGGGGTCAACATCGCACAGGAAACAGACGGCGGAAACACGCCACCTTGCTTCACGACGGCTTGGTATAGGGCATTGACTTCGGATGGCTTGATATACTCTGCGCGATCTCTCTTCAAGGCGGTAAGCCGGTTTCGGATGCTGCGGTGGTCAAGGGTTTCGTACCGGGCAGGAGCGGCAATGTATACACGACTCACTTTATCACAGCCTCGAGGATGGGCAAGTTCTGCGGTATAAAATGGAATGGGATCAGGACAATGGGTCTCTCTCAACCTTGCTGCTACTTGCCCTCCTGTGCGACCGGTGCATTGATCATTGCGTGCGAACCGACGACAATATTATACTCCCTTTAATTTGATCTGGCTAGTCCTGTCGGGGCTAAAGTTGGTATGCTTTGCGGGTAACCAGCGTCTCCTTGATAGCTGATAAGTTGTTGCTCAGCCTGACTACCCTGCAATTAATTTCTGCCGAGTCCATCTTTCAAATATCATTTTCCATCCTCCTCTGATGATCGGAAAAGGCAAATCTAGCTTCAGTTTCCCACGCATGCTGTATCTGATTATATAATCACCAGTGCCAGTCACTCGTCCTTGCCTTCCACCACCGCCGAGCCACAGAGTCTCTCCTCAGCCAAATACCACCATGGACAAGATCAAGGAAGTCCGTGTTTTTCCATGTGTCTTCGTCTCTCGTGCTCATCGCACCTGTAGAGAATGACTGCTTTGCGTAATGAAGCAGACGCCGCGGCCGAGCGGGCAGAAGCTGCGGAAGCCAAAAGCAAATCGCTGGAACTAGAACTGTACAAGAAGGACCAGGAAATCACGTCTTTGAACCACAGAGTATCTGTCCTTGAAGCAGACCTGGAGAAGGCGGAGACAAAGGTCACCGAGCTCAAGACATCTTCTGAAGACAGCGCACACTCTAAAACAACAAGCGAGAACCTTATTCGCAAAGTTGCATTGCTTGAGGAGGAACTAGACGCGACAGAGAAGAATGTCAAGGAAACGATGGAGAAGTACGTCTTACTTGCCACTGACCACGAGATTGCTTCTGATCACGATCGTAGACTGCGGCAAGTAGACGTCAAGGCAGAGCACTTTGAACGCCAAGTCCAGCGGCTCGAACAGGAACGTGACAATTGGGAGAAGAAGTACGAGGTACGTTTTGCCATCGATACGCTTGCATACGGTAATTACTTACCCGGCAAACAGGAAATGCAAGCCAAGTACAAGGCCTCCAAAGACGAACTGGACGAATTGGTAAAATCCATGGATCTCATCTAAGCTTAGTATTTGGTGCCAATACCACGCGTTACACCCTTCCGCGAGTCCACCATTTATTTGCTTTCTTCACGCTACTATTGTCATCACCATTTTCTTCAATCTGTACGCCTATTACCTTGCCACGTCCTTACACCCTACATAATTGGTTGCTATTAGAACCCGATAAAATGACTAACTGTTGGATGGTGATCCGCTCGGTGCATATATCTTTCTGAAGTCAACGGGCCCATTGCTAGGGGTTGCATTGGTTAGAGTTTGTGTAATCAGCACGGGTACAGCGATTAGATTTGATGACAAGGAGGCGCTTGTTGATTATCTCCTCCCTTCAGGCCCCAGGTGTAATGGATAGAATCCAGCAGGCAAGTGAGAGGTCAATCCATAACCCGTGCCTCGCCCTGACCGTCTCACCAGAAACTTGCAACATTACGTGCAGAAGCAGACCAGGCAATCGGACGTGCAGAAAAAGCGGAGCGCACAGTCAAAGAATATGAACAGGGCATCCTCGAAAGAGATCAGGAAATCACTTCGTTGCAGCACAAGTCATCGTCCCTCGAGGAGGAATGTGATCGTGTAACGCAACGACTCCGGGAGATGCAAGAAAGGTTTCGATCGCACCTCCATGAACACAGAACCTGTCATTGATCCAGCCCCAAAAGGGTAGAGGCAGACGGTCTCGAGATCGAGCGCATGACACGTCAAATGAAGTACCTAGAGCAAAAATGCGATAATTTGGAAACAAAGTACGAGGTATGATGTTTATCATCGTGCCAGTCGTCATGACCTCACCTGGTAACAGGAAGCGGTCGCCATGTATAAAGCGTCCCAAGCAGAACTGGACGGTCTTCTGAGTGACATGGGTAATATCTAGATAGCTCTGAATTTCTCTCGACCCCGTTTTGACGGTTTTCTCGAACAACTGGCGCAAGCTAATAACTACCTTGCTACATTGTCTATCACGCTACACGTAGTTTCGCGGGGAACTTCATGATAGTCCCTGGATGTGATCTGAATGGGGAGAAGGAACGATTTTACTTGCATCAACGTGCAGGTGCAACGACAACCCCCCCCACTGGCTACATGAATTACTCGTTTCCCTTGAAGCTCAACGAGACAGAGTTCACACAGTGACGTTCGTCAGCTGAAAAAGCCCATCAGCGATCCTCATCTTGAAGGAAATAGCAAAACTTGCTTGGAGTTTTGTATCCCTCTCCTTTGAATACATGCCCTAGATGACCGCCGCACGCCGTGCAGGTAATCTCCGTCCTAACCATACCCCATGATTTGTCTTCATGCCGACTGACCGCTCCCGGAAGTGCTATTCTCTCATACTCGAAACGCTGAGAGAAGATGCGATCTGACAGATAAGACTCACCATCAAAGAATGCGGGCCATCCACATCCACTATCGAATTTGGTTGTACTCTTGTACAGGGGCGTCTTGCAGCCGGCACAAGTGTAGATTCCCTCGTCGCTGAACTTATTGTACTTTCCTGTACCTGCTGGTTCAGTTCCTTTCTGGCGGAGGATACGGAACTGAAGTCATAATAACGATATGGGTAAGGCGAAGGAATTTGGAAACAGGAAGCCGAACAGTGGTTACCTGCTCCGGTGATAATATTGCACGCCACTCAGATTCTGTCTTGGGATTTGTATCGTTCATGGTAGAAGGAGAACTGTGAAAGGCCTGGCGCCTAGTCAATGCGATGGCAGTTCGAGTCGATCTAAGCATGCTTGGGGTGACGTCAGCTGACTCATCATCTGACTGTTACTTGCTGACGCCTTGACCAAGGATCTCATCGGATGGCACGTCGAAAACGCCAGTTGTTAGAGGAAGAGACGGACTCAGACGCGTCGCAAGGTTCAGACGATGCAGAAAATGCGGAAGGCGACAGGAAGCGTCGACGCTCAGCTGCCCCGTCCTTCGTCTCCTCGTCTGCAGCACCAGCATTCACCACAGGCAGCAGCAGCAAGCCTGCTACTCCTCCACCGCCCAAAGAACAACCACAACCAACACCCACGGCATTCGCCTCATCCTTCACCACCCGATCTTTCATGGGTATCGGAAAGAAACCCGCTACCCCCCTCCCGCCCCAGGAACAAGCTCACTTCCGCAAGATAGGTAACACGTTTGGGGCTCGAATGCTTGCTAAAATGGGCTGGGAGGCTGGAATGGGTCTCGGCGTAAGTGGCGAGGGTATCGCTGTTCCTATCGAGGCTTCAATTCGTCCGAAAAATGTCGGTATCGCTTTCAGAGGCTTCAAAGAGAAACCGCGTCCCACGCAGGAGGAAACAGAGCCTGGCGCAGGTGTTCAGGTGGATGAACAGAAGCAGAGGAGGGCAGATGTGTGGAAAAGACCGCGCAAGGTCAAAACGAAGGTCGAGTACAAGATCCTACGAGGAAATTGTTGCGGAAGCTACTGCCGGTCCAACGGTATGTGGTTGTATGTCATCCCATTTACCCACTAACCTTGCCACGCAGCCTCCGGAAGTTGTCTCGCTTGCTGAAGTATCAGTGGCGTCGTGGACACCGTCGACGGATCCGACCCGAATTCCAGAAGTGCGGCATAATTTACGGCTGATAGCGGAGGCCTGTAGCACGAATCTTGATGGGCTAGCACGAGAGGCCAAAGCTCTACAAGGAGCGTAAATCGTTCATTGCTCGGGAGCGCATGCGTCTGCAGAACAAGGCTGCAGACGAAGCTGAACGTAAGGTTGTTAGATTTTCCTATGTTTCTCCGTCGATTGATTCTATGTCTGCAGTAATCTCACGCTTACAACAAGTCTCCCTTGTGGCAGACGAAATTGGCACCAAATCCAAGGAACTGTCATCGACCTATGAGGCTGACCTTGACGACCTCTCTCCATTGTTCTCTAGGCTTCTTGTTGAATTTCCGGCGGAATTTGACAAATACCACCTGGACGAAATTGTTGTTGCGGCTATCCTACCGATGGTACGACGTGCAGTAGCCCAATGGAACCCTCTCCAAGATCCGTCTGGACTCGTTTCCACACTCCGAGGGTGGAAGCAAGCCCTTAAAGTAAACGTCACTGATGAGACGTTACAAGTCCAAAATCCCCATGACACCCTACGAGAGTCTCTTGTGGAATGTTTGGCTCCCCAAGGTACGGACATGCATTAACAACGAATGGAGCCCAGCAGATCCAACACCAGCGGTGAAATTTTACGAAACTTGGGCAAGCTTCCTTCCTGGTTTCGTGCGAGATAACATTATGGACCAACTTATTCTCCCAAAAATCAGTGGAGCAATTGCAGGTTGGGATCCTAAGCATCCCGCTGTATCACTCCAAACGCTTGTCCTCCCCTGGCTTCCTCACCTTGGTTTACGCGTCGAGGTACATCTTGGACGAAGCGCGCAGAAAACTCCGAAGCTTTCTCCGCCACTGGACTCCTGCCGACGGCGTGCCAAAAGATTTCAGCATATGGCGAGATGTGTTCGAGAAGGGTGACTGGGACGCCATGCTTCTGAAGCATGTCATTCCGAAACTTGGATCTGTTCTTCGCGAGGATTTCCGGGTGAATCCGCGCAATCAGGACATGTCACCACTTGCACAGGTTCTTCCGTGGTCTACACTTATTCGTCCATCTGTCTTCAGCCAGTTGCTTGAAGCAGAATTTTTCCCCAAGTGGCTAGACATTCTGCACATGTGGCTCATCCAGCCGCGTGTCAGCTTTGAGGAGGTAGCACAGTGGTACTCGTTCTGGAAGGCCACCTTCCCCGAGAACGTGCAAAACATGCCTGGCGTTGCACGCGGATTCACGAGGGGTTTACAGCTGATTAATTCGGCCATAGAGCTAGGGCCTGGTGCACCAAAGAAACTCGAGCGGCCCGACTACCGGGCAGAGCTTGTGGCGACTGCGGTTGGACCAACTACAACGGATGTGTCAAATCCACCGAAGAAGACAGTGCCGTCGCGGACGCAAGAAGTCACCTTCCGTTCTATTGTTGAAGACTACGCAGCGGAACACAATTTGCTATTTATACCCACCGGAAGAGCACATGAAAAGTCGCGTATGCCCTTGTTTAGAGTGTCGAACGCGAGCGGGAAGGGTGGGATATTGGTTTATGTCCAGGATGATGCTGTATGGGCTCCTGAAAGAGACGAGTATCGGGCAATTACGCTGGAAGAGATGGTCTTGAGAGTGAATAAGTGATTCTGTTTTTTAGGGGGGTACTAGGACCGTCCAACTTGTGGTATTTCCCGCGGAACTACTACTTTACATAAGTATAGTAGTGTACAAAGTCGCATTACGAACAATGCGTCTCGATATTCAAAAGTCGAAGTCATCATTCATAGGTGAGGTATGGAAACGGAAACCTCCGCCTCCACCGAACTGTCCGCGTCCTCCTCCACCGAATGGTCCTCCATCAAACTGCGCAAATAGAGAGGCCAGATCCGCATGATTCATGCGGAATCCATTCATGCCACCCATCGATGGGTCTGTCTGGCCGTCCTCATCTTCACCCATGTCATATCTTTGACGCCGTTGTGGGTCGGAAAGAACTGCGTGTGCTTCGACAACGAGTTTAAATTTCTCTTCGTCGCCACCCTGTCAAGTAATGTTGTAAGGTAAGTGAAAGACGATCAGAATCCGATCTATGATTACTGACCTTATCTGGGTGATGTTTCAAGCTTTCTCGGCGATATGCTTTCTTGATATCAGCTTCTATGCAGTCCCTCGACAAGCCAAGGATCTTGTAATAATCTTTCGTCTTGCTCCTTTTAAGGGCCGCTTCCGCCTTTTTGAGGTCAACCCTGAGAGTTCTGGCGTCCGCGTCCGCGCCCTCTACACCAGCTTGCTCGATGGCAGCTTTGAAGTCTGCCACAGCAGCATCCAACTTTTCGAGGTGTAGATTAATGCGTGCCCGGGTCCGCAGTGCCTTGAAGGATGTCGAACACAGCGTCAGCGAAGCTTCCGTATCTGCAAGTGCCTCTTCATAACGCTCCAACTAGTGAATATGTCATTACAACTGCTAGGGTACATTAGAGCCGCAATCACCTTGAGCTGTGTGGTAGCGCGATTAGAGAGTAGCGTGGCGCGTATCTGACCGCCTTTTCCTTCTTCCTCTGCATCACCTATCCGCTGCGTACGGTAAATAGCAGGCACAAAACTAGAGGAGGGGATCGCATTTACCTCCAAGGCTTCCGTATATCGGTCCACAGCATCTTGGAGCTTTCCGCTTTTAAAGGCGGTATTACCCTCTTCCTTAAGCCGTTCGACATCTTTGATACGTTTCCGTAATCGGGATGCATCTCCGTGTCCAGGATCTAATCGTAGTGCAGAGGTGACGTGCTGTATGGCTTGCTGGTAGCTTCCCAGAAAGGAAGAGCAGAAGGCCCCTAAGTGTAAGGACCTCTGGAGAATTGGGTTCCAACCTCAGTAAATCGCTGCGGAGAAGCCGTATAAATATGGAATCGAATAGATTGGCAAGACCCAAAACAGAGCTTACCACGAGTAGACTTACTTTGCGGCGATGTTAGCAGCATCCCAATTCGCCCGACCCAGCTCGAGCTCTATTCTCCACAGTCGCCATTGAATAGGCGCTTCGCCTCCCTCTGCATCCATACTTTGAAAGCACTTGTCCAAAGCGAGACGACCGAGTCCCCAGTCTCTCTTGCGTTTTGCAGAGTCAAAGTTGCGCAAGTGACGCTCGAGTTCCTGTACTTTTCCTTGTAGTTGCAGAGCAGTAGTATTTGAAGGCTCTAGGGATAATGCGGTGCAGAGTGATTTCAGCGCGGATTCAGACTCGCCGAGAGCGAGTTGACAACGGGCGAGACGGATCAGGGTTTTTGAGGATGGGTTATCGGATTGTAGGGTGGCTGCCTGCTGGCAATCTACGAGAGCGGGTCGGAAGCGTTTAAGAGCCATGTGGGCAGCAGCACGATTAGTGAGATAGGATGGTTCCGCAGGACTCATATCTGTAAGGAAGTGAGCATCGATAAACGCAGAAAAGCGGCGTGATTGCATACCAATGGCTTTGGTATACAATTCTACGGCTTCGGTGTACTGCTTTGCCTTGAAAGCACTATTTCCCTGTTCCTTAATCGCTTCCTGCGGTGGGTCCATTGGGTGACGAAAGGACTTTGGGTGGGGACGAGTCGGACGGCGCCGAAGAGCTACCAGCAGCAGGAATCTCCACTCTGTGGCGTGGTTGAGCATGAAGTGCGTGCAAGGATGAGGAAAAGGCAGTCGTACGAGACTTCGGCTGGCTGTTTTTTCTTTGCAGAGCCTTTTTTCTTGTTCGCCATGGTATTGTGTCTTGTCTTGAAGGCTGCTAGTGGGTCAGTCGACAAGGGTGTTACTGATAGACGTCACGTGCGCACCGCTCTCTGCTTACCACCGTCACCGTCGTCGTCGTCGCCGGCCAACACGCCTCCGTCAGATGATGGAGACGGTGTTGGACTCCATCAAGAATGGCCAATGCCAACATCCACCTAGTTCATTGTCGTCCACCATTTACATGCCGATAGCCTCGCCTCCCACCCCTGCACCATCGCCAGGTCCAATCCTCATTACTCCCAATCCTTCCCTGCGCACCCAACTTAATACCCAACACGATGTTGTCAGTTTGTCACGCATAGAGTTTGCAAACTTAGCAGCTCATGGCCCAGCTGCTCGAAGACGATACCTAGCATCTCTCCTGTCTGATTGTACTCATTCGGAACTTCTCTTCATCTCACAAACCATCACACCCATGCTCGAACGAGATTTCTTCTCTAAACTACCAGGCAGAATTAGCTTATCATACCCTTAGCTTCGTTGATGACCCAAAGACTCTTGCCAGGGCCAGCCAGGTGTGCAGGAGATGGCATGATCTTGTCGCGGACGAATGCATGTGGAAAGGGCTCTGCCAGCGGTATAACTTCCCTCTTAGCATACGCTCCCAAGAATACACCGAATCATATGACCAAATTTCGGAGGATTTCCCTTCGCCACTTAATCGAACTGGAGAATATACCCAATACCACGACCCGTCCTATTCAGCTTCCAGCGTCGCCTTCACCCGTCAGACCCTCTTACCGCAAACACTTTCAGTACTCATATACACTTAGTGAGTAAGCTCAGTTGTGCATGCGTTTTATAAATATAACATGCGTTCTACGCAAGTGTGCAACATGCGAAGAGGCGGGACCTTACTGCAGTCACACCGCATGTCTGTCGTTACCCCCGATAGCGGTGTTATCACATCCTTGGCGATGGACTACGACCAAGTTGTTGTTGGTCTCGCTAATTCAAAGATCCACATCTTCAACGCTGATTCGGGAGTCATGTCCCGTGCGTTGACTGGCCACGAATTGGGGGTTTGGGCAGTCCACCTAGTTAGTCGCGGAGGACTTTGGGAAGAAATACCAGACGACGTGGGTGTTGTAAAGAGCCGAGACGGCGAATCTCAGGGGCAAGAGGCCTTTCTGCCCCCTGACTTGCGCAAGGCCCTCGGCCTAGACGGGCCAAAGCGAATACTACGCACTCCTTCACATACTCCTTCAGGAAAGCCAAGCGATATATGTTGCGCTTCAGAGGGCTGGGGACAGCCTAACCCAATTGTCGTTAGTGGTGGATGCGACAAGCGGCTGAGGGTCTGGGACGTGGTATCTGGGTCCGTCTTTTCCTCCTCCGACAGGCTATAATGTTGACATACGTTGTAAACCTAGGCGCTGTATCTATGTATTGGAAGGCCATACGTCCACTATAAGGTGTATTAGGGTCCTGCATAATCGCCCCGTGGCCGTCACCGGTTCTCGCGATGCAACCGTACGAGTATGGAATATCCAAGAAGGAAGGCTACTCCGCGTGCTCCAGGGCCATCACCAAAGCGTGCGGTGCCTGGACGTATGTGGGAACAGGGTTGTCAGTGGCAGCTACGATACCACTTGCAGGGTGGGTATATGACGCTGCACTTATTGTACACGGTTGATGGTTGATCTTTCACAGGTTTGGAATGTAGACACAGGCGAATGTTTACACGTGCTTCGTGGGCACGGGCTTCAGATCTATTCAGTAGCATTCGACGGCATCCGCATCGCGTCTGGTGGCACAGACACTACCGTTCGTGTATGGGACGCGAAGTCGGGGTCAGCCATGTCAGCTTTTCTTAATCCCCGGTCTAACTGAGTACGTTACCAGAAATTGCATAGCACTTCTCCCAGGACACACGGCATTGGTGTGTCAACTTCAGTTATCATCTTCTGCAGGGCTCCTTGCAACCGGTGGTTCGGATGGTCGCGTCATCACGTTTTCGCTTCGCGACTACAGCCCACTACAGCGGATCGCTGCCCACGACTCCTCCGTTACCTCCCTTCAGTTTGACTCCAACTTTCTCATCACAGCCGGTAACGACGGACGTGTCAGTGTGTACGAAACACAAAGTGGTGCGCACGTGATTGACCTCAGTGAGCGGTCTGAGAGCGTCTGGAAGGTAGCCTGCAAGTACGGAACATGCGCAATCATGTGCCGCAGAGCTGGAAAGACAGTTATGGAGATTTGGAGTTTCAGGCCGAGAGTGAATAGTCCAGAGCCTCAGGGATTCCTGCCTCGGACTAACTCCTATCTGCGGAGTGGAGTATCTTATTACTCAAGGCTAAGCTGAGGACAATGTAAGTGGAACTGGAACTTGGGACTTTTGTTTTCATTTTGGTGTAATGTATGTCACTTTTACCAAGATCGTAATTAACTGTACTTCACAGCACACTCTCAGTCAATGACATTTTTTCTTTTCCCAATTACTGAGGCGACCCATAGAGAGGCAAGGAAACGACGTGTGAGTCTCTAGCTGTGCGCTGAGAACACGGTCACAAACGTGCAGCCGCACCATAGGTTTCACACCAGCTGTGAGACTCCCCGAAATGTCACCGGTTCGAATAATACGGCCAGCTCCTGTGGTACATAAGTTCGTCGTGTGCCAATGACGTCTGCAGGTTGCTTCGTACCTCAAGAGCTCGCCAGTTCTCTGGCTCGAAGCATTTGCACTAAATAATTCGAGCGCACCCGTTGTGCTGGTCAAGTTCCCGAAGGCTGGTCCAGTGACGGGACAGGCTTCACATACTTATGGTGACTTCCCTCCACGGCGGCTCTTGAGCTTTCAGGAGTAGTGGTGGCGATTGAGTCCTCATACTGGCTGGAATTCTCGAGGGGAACAGCATCGAATAGTAATTGACTACGCGGTTTTTCTCTTCCGTCGTTGGCTACTTGCTATTTAGAGTACGATCGGCTATCATATGTTGGAGTTGCGCTCAATAAACCTAAGTAGTAAGTTACGCCCAGTTGCTCCATTCCCGATAGATAAGTAACTTCATACTCTTCGATTTTCCATCAGCTTTAATGTTCTTCATGAGGTCACCGGCACTGTACAACCTTACGATGTCGAGTAAAGTCATTCGTATCCACCTTTTCCACTGGACGTGATGAGTACAGCCTGATGCAGTTGTGGAAACATGAGTTGCTGTTCCATTATTCTCTCAGTGACTTGCCCTACGAAAGCAGTATTTCCTTTGCTATTGAAATCATGGAGGGATGGCCGGCGATGTTTTCTATTTTAATATAGGATAGGATGTTCCCTGACATGCATGGGGCCGCAAAAGCGAGGTACTAGGAAATACTACCTGCGATCGAGCAGCGCTGGCCAATAAGTGAGCGGCGCGAGACAGATAAGGGTTCGAATAATGGAACCGCCTCGGCGCACGTGTTTTTCTCTGAACTTATTGTGTTCCAACTTTCCCATCTTCGTTATTACATAGTTGGTCTGAAATGCATTCCCTGTGTATGTCCACCCCTCCTACCATCCATCTTTCCGTCAAGGCAGCGGTAATCACATAAGAGGAAATCTGGTTGGACCTCCGACCCTGCGGAAGTTAATCCTGCCACCTTGGCTCAACACCGCCGACCACCGCTTCATCAAACTGAAATCCCACACAAACAGTGCTGAACTCCGGCGAAACGAATCCCCCTTTCCGTCCCATTTTTGTCGGGACAAAGAGTGTGGGAGGTAAGATTGTGGACCTGAGACATCGACATTTCGTGCCCCGTCGGAGTTTGATTTAACGGCAGTCTGCCATTCTGGTATCGCACCTTCTCCACCTTGTCGCCTCCATCGTATTAGCATCTGCCCAAATCCACAACTTGCACATTTCTCTCTCAGGTTCGTGGAAATATATCTTCTCGCATTTAATACATGGCTTGGACTTATATTTGATGCATTTCAGATTTTTTGGGATCCGTTCTGTCAATCGCGATTCATGGCTGCCCAGGTCACGTTGAGGAATGGGGAGAAGGTCAAAGTCAACGGTAAAATTCTGATTCACCCCCCACCGTTCTCAATACTTACCAAGGATCAAATTTATGAAGATCATGTTTATTGTTCTCCCCCGTGGTCGGTTCGGGATGGCACCCCTTATTCCGTCGCACGCATAATGGAATTCCTACCCCCAGAAGGCGCTTCGAAGGGCAAAGGAAAAGCAAAGGAAATTTATACCCGCGTCAGACTTGCCTGGTATTATCGTCCAAGCGACGTTAGCGACCGTCCGGTTGCCGATTCTCGCCTTCTCTTGGCGGCAATTTACTCAGAAGTTTGCGACATTAACCAACTACGGTCCAGGTGCTATGTCCTTCACAGGGACAAGATTACCGATCTTGCTGGATGGAAGAAACGACCAGATAGATTTTATTTCAACCGTCTTTTTGATCCATATATCAAGAAAGAGTTTGAAGTCATTCAGGCCGCAGACGTCCGAAATCGTGCGCTTATGATTCTCAATATGCAATTTCACCTTTTCCTAATCCTCATGTCTAGTCCCTGATCATATTCGCCAAACCTTGGTTTCCAGATATGAATATGTGGTGGCGGAGAAGGAAGTTGTCCCTGACCTCACAGATATCCTCCGTCTATGTGCAACGTGCGACCAATGGTGTGCTTAGTAAGACGCCATATTCTATTTTCTCCCAGGCGTAGTTATTTATCGTAGATCAACAGCCCAGACACTGTGGGATGTGATAGGTGCAAGAAGTTCTTTCATATGGGTTGCGTCCAGCCGCCCCTCCTTGCAAAACCCTCTCGCGGTTATGGCTGGACATGTGCTCCCTGCTCTAGGCGCCACGAAGAAGAAGTTGACAGTCACGAAGTTCGTCATGCAACGCCGGTCTCGAAACCTAAGTCAAATGCACCAGCGCCTCGCGGCCGGGGACGTCCTCGGAAAGATCGTTCTCTAGCGGAAAAGGAAGAAAATTTAGACATCAAATACTTCAAGATGTGGCCTTTCCGATATTTTGGGTGCGTGTGTGATAGTCACTTCTCCCGTCGGTAGAACCTCGGCTTACGTTTTTTTTACAAGTCAATATACAGTCGCTGAGGATACCCTTGGTGCGTCTAGATAGTAAAGCTGACGGATTTTCCTGAATTGGAATGCAGATCCCGATGACCTTATCTTTCCCCGGGCGGCGACGCGGGTTGGGCCGAAGTATCAGGCAATGATACCTTCCCCTGCTGACAATACTTCATGCCCAGGTCTGAGGAGGCACCTCTTAACAACGGAGACTCACTAACAAATTTATCTCAGATGCAGAAGAACGTGGTGGCGACAACACTGTCGAGGTTCTTAGCACTATTCATTTATTGTCGGACGAAGAGGGTAGGTGCCTTTCGTAAATCGTCTTCAGATAACCTCACCTGACCTTATTTTAGTGACGGAGCGTAAGCGTGTTACTTCGGGTGTGCATAATTACCGCCTAATTTCCCCCGCAGTGGAAGAATGGAAGGCGGCTCTCACGAGGAAGCAAGAGAACCTCTACAATGTAGACTGGCTGACGGAAGCTGCTCGCCGCTTTTCTCAGGCACACTTGATGAATAGGGGCTGGTCTACTGTTGATATGAGTGTTCTCACACGCACAGAGAAGGTAATATTAGGCCCAATATACCTCCTTGCAGGTTCACTCACAATGTGATTAAAGTGGAAGAGGGGGGAAACCAGGTATGCTGATAGAGAATGGACTGCTGAAGAAGTCGCTGCCTTCGAAGATGGTATTATGTTCCATGGTGCAGAGCTCCGCGCCGTCCGTGACGAGGTTGGCACGCGATCCATGCCGGAAGTGGTGCGGTTCTATGGTCATTGGAAGAAGTACAGCTTTTTGTTCGATTCCGTGACTTTCCGGTATCGCTGATCTCATCACATAGTTCGAGGCTCAAAGAAGATAATAAACGCAAACAGGAATTACGCTCGTCCCAGAAAGATGAAGAGGATGAGGAAGTGTCGATTTCTCAATCTATCACCCCTCTCTCAGATGATGAGGGCTCCACGGTCCGCGGGCCTTCCAAGGGATATAATAGTTGTGGTGCATGCAGAACACGTGAATCTGAGACGTGGTGGAGAGCCCCGAAAGGCCTAGCTACCGAGATTCTTTGCAATACATGCGGGACAAACTGGAGGAAATACGCTGACCTTAGCGTGCGACCTTTTCGCGAAGATTCGACGCCCACCGGGAAGAAAGGTAGTGAGAAACGGGAAGGCACTCCGTTGAATGGTCCAAACCCAAAGCGCTTGAGGGTATGATTTTGAAGCAGCTTTCATGGACAATATTTCATCCTTCTTCAGGCATCGATTACCAATGGTACGACCCCCCCTCCGAATGTAGCCACTGCTCTTCAATTACGGTGCCAAGCATGTCAAAAGATGGGTCCTCTTGGCAGAATCGTCAAGTGTCACAAATGTTCATTGCGAATTCATGCTGGTACGTAAAAAGCGGTTGTATGATCATCCGAATGATAGCTAATGATTTTTAAGGGACTTGGGGTGTCTTCGTGGATCGGGACACTTTGGAGTCGTACATATGTGCGGTATGCAAGGACGAGAAATCACAAGAAGCTTCTTTGGTAAACCCAACATTCCTCCATTCTTTTCGATGACTTCTCACGAGAATACATCGCTAGAATACGGACTGCGTGCTTTGTCCCTCCCGGAAAGTCTACGAGAAAGGGTCGGGGCATGTTGAATTTCTACGTGCGATCAAAGCAACCGAGGGGCAGGGCTGGGTGCACGTGCTGTGTGCTGTATTTTCACCCGAGATTTCCTTCACGGATGCCTCGCGCTTTCAAGTAGTGGAGGGGATTAGTACCATACCACGTCAGCGATGGATAGTTGTGAGTATTTTTTCGACGGAAATCGTGCTCTCTAACAAATCTCCTAGAGATGTACCATATGCGGTGAAGGACACGGTGCGGTTTTCCGATGCACGGAATGCACCAAGGAGTATCATGCATCTTGCGCATGGACCGCACGCCACAAATTTGCGTTTGAAGTCCAGCCAGTAAGAGTTTCATGCTCTGCGTTCTGGAACAATCCAATGTATTGAAACTTCCTAGGTTCGCAACCCCCGCCGTGACACCGTCGTAGTGACGTTCAAGGGGGAAACCGGAATCCTGACCGCTGTCATCTATTGCAAAGAACATGACGTGAGTAAGCATGAGCTATACGACATATGCGAGACAGACGAGACCGGGGAGGTCAGTTAAACGAATAGTATCCTTACTGCCCCGTCACTAATCCAATAAACAGAGTGTCATGCAATTATACACTCGAACATATAAGCAAGCGCCTGTTTCGCAGGCACATGCGTTGTTGCGCAAGGCGATGCATCTGGATATGGTTCTTAACAGCCGCCCCGAAGTTGTTGACACGTCCGAGCTTGATCCCCGGTGCGAATGCTGTGGGACGCACTATTCTCCATGCTTTTATCGTAGCAAGTATTATTCCGATCGTTGGCGTTGTCATAAATGCAACTGGCCACACCTGGTTGGACAAAATTCATGTTAGTAGGTATCCCCTGGGACATTGTAGCATATATATTGGTTTGTAATTATAGTTTACCGTCGTTGAGAACGCAAGGAATTGTGTACTTGGCGCCAAAGGGCGCTGCCCGGTTCTAGATATGAGCAACAGTATGGAGTGATCCTGAGAACCTAACTGCCTGTTGGTGGGCAAGTGGCTGATTTTCCATGCGACAATTCCTGGAATCCGGCTTCCGACAATGCCCGAGACATCTCTGGCGGGTACCTCAAGAAGTGAACACTACAAATGCATGTGGGACAAAGTCGGAGGTGCAGTAATTTCCTCGAAGCAAACATTATGGTACGGGTACAGTGGTAAAATAGTGAGGAAATGTGAGTACAGGTACGATATCAGATAGTAGGTTAAAAAACCAATAAGCACCAGTTTAAATATGGCCGTCGATGGCACCTCTAGTTTCTGACTCTTTTGTAGAATAACACGTAGGCAGGCCGGCCCTTTACAATAAACTATGATGAGGCTAAAACAATATTTATCAGAGGGACACCCACTCACAACCACTTCTTTAGCATCAGTAGCAGCAACGCGGCTATCATCGCAGTACAGCCATGATCCACGGGATGCAATAAATGCAGTATCTGACAACAATAAAGTTTGGAGTCCGCCTGCGGGAAACAATTGAAACTCACAATGTCCATTGCTGAGACTACCGAAGTGGTTCGTGACACCATACAGGTCGTACTTGTAAGGTGGCAGTTGGACTCGGGCGTCGTCAGCGCTGCTAGGCGGTATACCATTGGCGGAGCCCACCATGCTTGGGGGCAGAGGAGCGGGCATATAATTTGTGAGATCAAGGCCCTTGATGGGAAATTCTACAACGGTCTCAATTTTATCTGTGAATGGCCCTTTGACCGAGAAACGCTTCAGGTGGATCAGTAGTATTGGAGGGAGCCTGGACAGCGTCAATTTCTTTGTAGCTTTGCGCAGTTGTTTGCATTTTGGACAGTGCCTTGAAGCCGCATCAGAAAATTAAAGCAGATTCCGGGAAAATCCTACCAGGCATCTGCCTGTTCCAAAGTCTCCTCGCGGACAAATGCGTCTAAGCAGGAGGACAATGAGACCTTTCCAGTACTTTTTGTAGCCGGTATGGGAAGGGAGAGATACATGAACGAATTATAAGTGGTCGACGTCTACGATCGAAGGGTGTTGTCAGTGTAACAAAACGTGGAATTGACTTTTACGCACATGGTGACAGGTGAGGCATTCCATTCTATTCCTGAACTGTCCTTGGAAGTAGTCCACAATGAGACTATCGTTGCGCATCTTGTAGATTGTCCATTCTTGCTCGCTTGCAACCTGTTGAGGAAGCTTTTCAAGTTCAGCCTCACGTTGTGGCGTAGAGTGATTATTCGCGGGCTTGATGAGTATACGATTAATATCTTCGTGAAGGCCATCAAGAAGGAAAGTCAAAAATTCTTGGGAGTCGTGCTGGTCAGAGCCGCTGAATTGGGGGGCGTGATGACAGATAGATTTCTACACTTCCGTTAGTACCTGCACGACGCAAGGTAGGAAGGACAAGCATACTCTGAAGTCAAGCGGGTTGAAATGAGGGAGCTCAGAATGCGACATGTTGTAAAGGATGCTAGCGAACGCCTGGGCTAGCCTACCCTCTGTACCCAAGCGATTGCGCATATTGACAGCAGATTTCCACCGCCCATCTGAGGCAGGTCAGTACGACTACAGCAGTCCTTGTCAAAAGACATTACCTGTGAAAAACCTAGCAAATGGCACCGTTGCACGAAGACACTGGATTGTTGCATTCATGTAGCAAGTATTGCCCAAATTCCTCAATCCTGTGGTCGTAATCTGCGTGTCTGGCCAATAAGTGACTGGGTAATAACTGTCAATGATCGGTGGCTTTGGCTCCGTTGCCTGGGGCAGTGTCGTCAACGAATATGAAGAGGCGTGTGCAAAGCGGGGCCGAGCATCCTGACGTTCGGAAGAGTGCGATGCAACTGGTGGAGGTGGGCGAAGGGTAGGGAGCGGCAGGTCAGGATAAGTCAAACACCGGACGAGGCGTGAGTCCCGTAATTGGGGATTGTGAGCCATCCATGTAGTCACTACGGCGTCGCGATGGATTTATCGAGGCTTGTGGTGGAATGGAAACAGCGGTGAAGGGTGGAGGTGAAGAGAACGGGAGGTGGCTAGATGGGGCGACCGAGGAGAAGCTCGGATATGAGATCGGCCCGGTTGAAACGTTGGCATTGTTGGTAGGAGATTGAGGCATCACCATAGACCTGAAAGGTGACTATGGAGAGTGAGCATATGCTTTAACATATGAAGGAGAAACATACTGGTTCTGAAGGACTATGATTATGAGGCGGCGTAGACGGGGGTCTAAGCATGGGGCTCTTGCGGATAATAGATACGGGACCGTCCAAGAGTACTTGGTTGCCCACACTTGAATGATGAATGGACCATCTTTGTTAGTATTGACGACTTCCAACTGCTCTGGGTACTTACTCAGATAGTTGGGGTGGTGGATGTAATTCGGGTGGCACTTTATCGCTTGATGACATACCATTATCAAGAGGCTGCTTCTGGGGGAGCTGGAGACGAGTTGACGCAGGTGTGGTTGGAGTCGGCAGAGGCACCGGTGTACTACCGAGGCGGTTTTCAGCGACGCTTGTTAGGTTTCGTCGGGCACTGGAGGCGCCTCTAGTAACTTCATTGTCCCCGAACTCCATTTTCCAAGCCTGTAGACCACCAATGAGGAGCATTGGCGGGCTCCGGAGTGCCTTTCTGAGCGCATGTTCGTACACGAGTCGAACGAAAGTTGAAAGCGGACCTCCGTTGTCGTACGCCTCCGATGAGGCATCGTACAGCACTACCAGATCAAACTTTTCACGGTTTTGAAAAAGGACCAACTCTTCGGAAGGCGCGACAGCCAAGGAACATTCGATGCTCTCCGCTGAAGCGCTACAAACTGTCAGGTCGATCATTGCACGGGGAATTTCTCATTTACTTTACGCGTGTAAGCACAGAGGGCTCGATGCAAACTATTGCACCGTCCCTGATATGTTCTATTTCGAACTCCTCCCGCGTTCGAATGTCGACAAGAAGCACCTTGAACTTATGGAGATAATCAAACAGCTGCCTAGGATTTACAGCGTTGGAGATGGGGACCGTCCTTTCTGATAAAGGAGAGGATTTTGAGGGCGATGAAGAAAATGCAAAATTATTGATCGAGGGCTTTGATGCAATTGCTGGCGAGGTAGGGCGACTCATGAAAGCATTTACAGTAGGCGTAACAGGCGTACTTGAAGGCCGTCGTCCGGGATCGATGAATACGGAAGGAAAGGTCTTCAAGTGGGGTGGTAATATCGATTCCATATCATCCACATGAGACGCGAACGAGTCAATATCGGTGGAACTACCTTCCAAAGTTTGAGAGTTAGATGGAAATAGTGATAGGTTCAATTGTTGTATGTCGGGAAAAGACTGAGTAAAATCAGAAATACTAGTATGAGATGGACGAGGTGACGAAGAATCAGACACGGGGGATGGTGGGCCGAGGCTTGAGAGCGGAACAACTGCGTGCGGTGACGACCCTGCTGAGCTGTTTGGAGCAGCCGATGTATAAAGAGGAAGCTGAAAGGGTTGCGAATGCGATGGTGTGGATGTAGATAGTCTGTGTAATGGCCCTGCTTCCAATGACTTTGGTGCCGGTAATGGCGACGACGTATCCGGGACTTCCCGTGAGAGGCGCCCTGTTGTAGCTCCAGTAAGACCGGCATCGTTCAAGGACTTGACGCGATCAGCAATGGACGTTCCAGCCATCCTGGTGGCGGTGTTGGAAACGAGATCACTGTGAAAGCAGTGAGTCGAGTCGAGGGGAACGCATGGATAACACTCACGCTGAAGCGGACTTTTCCAGATCGGTCAACCTCCATTCGATGGCTTCGACACGTTGTTTCAGATTATTGCCGTCAGTCTGATGAATTAATCAGTCAAACGTGGTGATCGAGAAACGCATTACAGACCTTTTGAAAGTTGACGAACTCCCGGTACAAGACGCCGTGCTTTCCAGATTTGCTCTCGTTAATGAACTCGTCGCTGTTCATGACCATAGCAGCAAGAGATCCCGCTTTCAACAGAAAAGAGAGCGCGCTCTTGAGGTCGCCCGCATTTTCGCGGAGCTGTGCAGTCTGCAGCTGAGAGCGGGCAGACCTGAGAAGTGAAATCGCGGAAATGCCCTTTGCATACCGTCGGGCATCTTCTTTCGCCCTTTCCTTGATCTCGGAGATGCTAAGATTCTCGTTGGGTATGACGGAGCCATTCCGCATTGTTGGACTCGGTGTATGGTGGTTTCCAGGGCGGGTGGACGGGTATGTGATGCTGTTCTCACTGTACGATGATCCACAACCTAGTCTCGGGGGCGCAGGAGGGAATGCGGCTACAACAGGCATCAAATAAGTAAGGACGCGATATGGGCGGTAATGGGATCGAAGGATGAGCCAAGTAGACAGTAGGAGAAGTCAGACGTCGTCCAGAGCTGCTCCCTCTACCATACGCACAATGGGCAAAGCGGTGATTACGTAATACACGCAGTTCCGCAGAAACCCCGTGACATGTCTCATCTCGTCACGTGGGTTGACGCGCACGTGACCATTGTCGCGTCTCTGCCTGTCACCTGTCGTTCGGCTCCACCCAACTTCCAAGTGGGCAGTGTTAGCGATGGCAGAAACTAAAAAGCTCGTCCATTGGGCTTTGAATGCCTCTGTGTCAGAATTTGGCTCACCCTCATCCGAAGCCTCCTCCTCAAGCTTTGCCTCGACACCGGGTCTTCAGTACATCAACTCTCAACTCATCGCACATGGCTTCACCACCGCTCCTGGCCTATCCCTGGACGGCATATCCAAGGCAAATTCCGAACGTGTGGCAAAGTGTCTGCTTACCATGCTAAGCCAGAGAGTGGTATATCCAAGTGATATAATATGCAGTCTCTTCAAGTCTCACCCGCACTCTTTGTTCAGGATGACATGTCGCGTGCAGAAAATCTCTCCACAAAATTGCGCACGCTGTCTTATGACCATGAACGACTCATGGATATGCATAGTGTTTCGAAGGAAAAGGTTGCAAATGCGGAAAGAGAAGTAAATCAGTATAAGTCGCGTTTAGCGTGAGTACCCACATTTACCCAACGTTTAAACATTGACTACAGCCCATTTATTAGCTCAGAAACCCGAGCCCTTCGATATTCCGAAGCAAGCCATAAGCAGACAGCAGCAGAGCTCCAGCGCATCCGGACATCGCTTCAGGGCCTCCGCGCCACGCATGTCACAGAGCTTAAGAAGAAAGAGAAAGAGATTGAACGAATGATAGAGAAGTGGAATAAACTTGCAGACGCACAGTCTAAAGTCACCGCGGCTTCCTCGGGTATATCGATTCACGGCGCAAATGCAGAAATCGTTTCAGGATCCGACAACTTAGGGAAAGGCAAAGGATATCTTGATGTCGCCCTTGAACATGCGGAGTCGTCGCGGGCCGAACTGTTCGCTGAATCTACGAGGCTCAGGCGCTTTGCCGTTATTTGCGCAAACCGGATACAGTCGCTGACGCATAGAATGCGTCTTGCACTGTCCGTTGAGGAAGAAGAGGTGCATTCTCTTCTGATGCTGTCCCTCTCAACTGACAGGTTGATAGCCTCCGACTTTCAATCATGATGCATTGTTCCCGCTCTCTCCGATCAACGCTGCGGAGGAGAGGCTGCTGTCCTTGTTCAGTTCAGCAGACAACACACTAGTCACGCTGTCTACACGATTCTCAGAAATGTCTCATATCAATGCCAACCCATCGGCCGTTCCCTCTGGCACCTTGGACATAGCCGAAAGCGAAAAGTTGAGAACCACTATTGAGAAGCTACAAGCTGAATTGGGTCATCCTTCTTTCCTTCTGGTCCTTGACAATGGCTGAAACAATTCCTCCAGAGAAAACACAGCTCCAGTGTGAATCGCAATCCGCAGAAATACAAGCCCTGCTGAGCCGAGTTGCACAACAGGCCGCTTTGCTGGACTCGCGTCATCTGGATACCGAAGTAAAGTTTGCTCCAGAACGCGAAAGACTGGAACGAATTAAGCAAGAGCTCGAAGATGAACGGGCAAAGTTCACAGAAGCTGCCGTTACGCTCATTAAAGAGAGAACTGCTTTGGAGGTAAGAGTAGATTAACCTACAATGTCATCAAGTTGTAGCTCATTATTGCTCAGAACGACCGAATCAATTTCTTGGAAGAGAAGCGGATCTGGTATCAGCAAAATCAGACTGCATCCTCCGCACCTCCACTGCTCTCCAGCCTAGTTAAGCCTGCTGAACCGTCGCAGAAGAAATCACCACGAAAATCACCGCGGAAGAATAAAGTAGTTGGAAAATCCAACACCGGACGCAAAGTGCGCACATCCCGGAGATCGTCCACCTTCTCGATACCGCCACCTACGAATGCCGAACCTGCGTATGAGACCGAAGTGATACCGGTACCTGTGTCTGCCCGGTTGTCCAGCGATCAAGCTCAACCTACTACACGACAGTCCATACTTCCAACATCCTTTGTACTTCCACCACCATCTCCTAGGACTTCCTTGCCCCCTCCTCCAAATACTTTGCTTTGCCCTTCCAGGGATGTCTCTTCAGGCAACGGTGTGCGCACAGACAACTCATCCGAGATAGTTCTACCTTCATCTTGTCACCACCCCGTCGTGCAACCGAACGTACCTCAAACACCATTGGCAAGTCAACGCCCCTTTCCGGTGGCAAAGCCTCTTGCACAACGCATGACCCACGCATACTCACCAACGAAACCCAGTCCACTCAGTCGCATTCTTATGCTTGGCGAGTCACCCGAAAGTGCAGATTCGGTGCCTCTACCAGCAATCAGGGAAGCTGATATAACGCCAACTAACTCATCGAAGCCACTGTCCAACTACGAAGAGGACGACGAAGACAGTCCTTTGAAGGAGAAGAGGGGAGAGAAGAACGTTAATGCGAACGACCAACGGGCAGGTGAAGTGGTCATGAGCCTGCCAAAGGCGAAGATACACCCTCAGACTAACGTTCCTGTGAATGCTGGCAAAACCAAGACGAGGGGCTCACTCGAGAAGGAGAATAGGGGAAAACCTTCACTCAGGGTACCTCCGGCCACGGCGCCGCAAGGAAAACTGTCGAGCAATAGCAAAGCTGAGCCATCAGCAAAGGGGGTGGTCAAGTCCATCCCAAAACCGCCAGCAGGAAGAGGTGGTGCGAGAAGAGTTCCCATCGGTAGCACAGAAGCCGCGCCTGGGTGGAAAGCGTGATGGCATGACCTTGACCTGTAGTGTTTGGGACCCAGTACGATACCCACGACGAGACTTCGTTCTCACATATACTCGGCCAACCCGGGCCCCCTGTCTCCCCCTGAACGATATGGAAATCTCGGAATGCATAAATGTTGATATGTTACATCGATTCTCAGTCTTTAAACTGTGTGAGTAGCCAGGAACGACGCAAAGTATGCGTGCACATCCTCCAGGGCAACGGCTGGCGCAATCATTCCGACATATCCATCCGGCCGCACGATCACAATGGTCACTTCTTCGGCGCTGATGCCAAATCTTTTGTAGGCACCACCCCCCTTGCTATCCGTAACATCAGTGTCGTCGAGCAGGACTCTGAAGACAAATGCGTAAACGGCATGTCCAGTGGAAATCTTATTATGAAACTTACTTGGACCAATGAGGTCGAAGAATCGCAGGCACGCTCAGGTAGTTAAAGTTCTGCTTATCGCCTACCACGATAGTTATAATATCAAACATAAGGGAGACCTGGCGGCCCATGGGATATCTTTGTAAGAAGCTTGTGGGCGAACTCAGTTCGTTGGCAAACGTGTGAATTTCTGAAAGTCGGGATTCCTCCATGGACCCGAGAAAAACAAGAATCTTAAAACGAATATCAGCAGGTAACACGTCCTGAATTTCCACCGGTTTGGCATCGGCTGCTCGGATGAAAACCTGAGGGAGCATGCGCTCCCCAATGACGAGATTCTCGGCACTTTTCTGATGTTTGGTGTTGACAATCATAGATGGAGAGTAGTGCACGCCGATACCACTCGTGAAACCACCGAAAGTCTGAAATGCTCTACAGGAGAGGTATGTAACATGTCGACTCGGGTAGCATTTCAGATGTGATTACGCACTTCAAGAAGTCTTCGTGGGTTACACCGTCTTGGTTATTTGAGGTTCTCGGTTTACCCGAGAACAATGCTGCGAATTGTTTGTCGAAGTCGATCAAGTCTTGCGCATACTTTCTTCTTTCCGCCTCGTACTGCGAAGTCATGGTGAGCGTGAAGGTCTGTGTCGATACTAGTGCTCATACCGTCTTCAAGATCGACGGACTTGCCCAACCCCTAAGAACTTGAACCATTTTCCACGCTGGGCAACGATCAGTACTGATTTTCTGAGAAATCACTAATGCATACCGAGGTTGTGCGTGTCATTCATACTCGCATTCATTCCCTGCCCTAAGAGCGTATAAGTGGATGGCAACCCTGACTCACACTACACCAACCTGCTTTGGGTGAATGCGTATGACACGCATCACCTGCGATGAATACACGGTCTTCGACGGAATACCTAGATGCCACCCGCTGTCCGACTACCCAAAATCATCTAAGGACTGATCGCTGAAGGGGAGTGTCAGAGAGGACGTACTAATGTATATTGTCCACCATTCTACGTCTGACAATGGACGTATATGAAAGGGCTGGAATGTTTTTCTTGCAACCTGCATATTCAAATATTCAGCAGCACTTAATTCAAGAAGACCGGCCCTCACCTCAAGAATTTGCTCCGAACTCATTCTATTCTTGTCAACCCTCCCGGTTGCCGGATCCACGACGTCACTCTCTGACAGCTGAACGTAGAGTCGCACCTTGTCACCTTCGCGTGGAATAATCATGCTTGAACCATTTGTAGAGTGTATAGCCGTTTTGTTTCGTATGTCCGGGAAGTTGCTATCCGGGATCATGTCAACGACCCCCCAGACATAATCTCCAAGGACACATTTAGGACATCAAAGGGGAAGTAAACATGGACGGGCGTCTACCTGTTTGCTCTCCTTCCATAGTGATTCCGAGAGCCTTTCGGACCCACGAATGCGCACCTTCGAACTGCGTATAGTCTCTGCAAAGAACAACGCTTGTAAAAACCACCCACCATCTGCACCAACGACGTATTTGGCGTGGACTACCTCTAACTTGTCTGCATCCACAGCTGCATCCAAGCGTGCGAGCGTTACCTGCAGTTTATGAAGGGGGAGTGATATGCACATCTTAGAACTAATTGACCTTGACCGGGTATGAGGACAGACTACGAAGCTGCTCAGGGTCCCGTGAAACTTCGATGGCCACTGGCTTAACGGGTCGGTCTACTCTTAAATTATGTGCGGCCATTGAGTCCATGAATATTTGTTCGATGGCGCCTTGGTGCAGTGTAACCTAAAGCCTGAAGATTTACCAGAAGCATATACGGCAAGCTCCTTGCCTGACACACCTCAAAAGGGAAACGAGCAGTTGGCGCGGTTACGTCAGGAGCACGACTGGTGAGCTGAGTACGGATCATAAGTTCTGCCCTTCCACACAGCCTACTGCCCTCACCTGAATCTCCCCGGCGACATTCGGATTGTAGAATGCCTATCCAGAGAGTTCATGTTTGCAGGTTCCTACACAAATCAGACTTGGCGACGTACACACATGTGCATCTGATTCCCCTCCCGCAGTAGACGTTCTGCGAGGCCATAGCTCTACGTAAACCATCTTTAACTTGACCCAACGGCGCAGATCGAGTATAAGCTCACTTGCAGGACTTCAATCGTCCTAGGTTGTATGCCATCTGCTTGTCCAGCAATCACTTTGGAAGGCCTGGGTAGGAAGGTAGTTAGCCCGTATGATCTTGCAAGCCACTTCGGATCCTAGAAGTACCTTAGGTCAATGATTCTAACCTTTATATCCCCTGCAGCGGCGAGGGCATTTCCACACATGAATCCAGCGGGACCAGCTCCGATAATAAGAACATCGACATAGCTCTCGGGCGCTTGGGGTGGCATGATGGCTAAAGAACAAAAGGTTGCTTAATGAAACGCATGCCTACGAGCCCGCCCGGCCTTAAGAGGTTGACGCGGGCTGAGGCGATTATTCGATTCGCTGAGCTTGCGGATGCCCTTCTCCCTTTGGCGACGGTGAATGGGGAAGGCAAAACTACACGCCACTCAATTGAGCCTTACGTCAGTGGACAATATTGAATAGCAACCTAGGCGGGGACAACCATTGGAGCCCCCGTCTAGGACTCGCGGTTATTAGGTTCCTAGGGACAGGAGGTAGGGAACAGCCACGTGGTGCTTAGTCAGACGGATACGGTTACACACTTTAGCCTATACATTAGCTTCCCCTGAGCTCAGGAACCTCTCTCCCACTACTTCATTGGTAGCGGCACCACTGGTAAAGCGGTCGCAGAATTGATTTCTCATCCACATAAGTTGAAGGTCATTGCACATACCACGGAACCTTTGAAGTTGAACCTGCTATTACTAGCTCAGAGCGAGTTCGGTTGTACCGGTTGCAATTGTCCAAGAGATCGATAGACTGTGAGAGTCCATAATCTGGTCTTACCTTCACGTTAGCAGACGAACGATCGCAACACGCAACGGTGTGTGAATTCTCTTCCAGGATCCAGTCAACGTAAGTGTTGAAAAAGCCTTGACAGGTAATCTGTACACTTCGAATGTTTCAATCATCGCGAAACGTACTCAGCTAACCGTAGTCAAATTCTCATGCCTACGATGGATACGATGACCCTGGATGTGGAACCCCTTATCGACTTTTCCATGGGGAAAGCATCTCGGTATAAAGGGGCCCTGTGATATACCTCTATTTTTCACCCAACTCAACTCCCATGACCGTTCATTCCGCTCCGTCCAAAGTGGACTGTTCTCATCATTGGTGCCAGCCCCGCAGGGGTTACGTGCGCCAATGCTTTTGTCCCTCGCAGGTGTAAACGTTCACGTTGTGGACAAACGGTGCGTGACAGCACTCTATCGCATTCCTCGCTGACCTTGCACCAGGGAAACCAAAGTCGCGACCGGTCAAGCTGACGGCATCACACCTCGCACAACCGAGGTTTTCCAGGTACATCACACTGGTACTGTTGCAAACAAATACTTCCTGAGCAACTGTTCCACTTAGAACTATGGACTTGGTGATCGTCTGTTGCGCGAGGGTTGCCGGGTGCACATGGCTGTAGGTCTCTGCTTACTAGATAAAGTATCGATGAACTTATCCTGTCACTCCGGCATTCTACGACCCCGGCGAAAATGGCGGCATTAAGGTAATATCCAACAATTTGTCTTGTCGCATGTAGTCCGTTTGACGCGATCCAACTCCATAGCTTTCGAGGCGTGCCCCCGGCATCACGGCTCCTTCCGCTCGTTATCCCATCGATGTATTCGATTCTCTTTTTGCTTGTGAACATGAAACTGACAAACCCAGCTTGCGCTGCACCAAGGGGCTATCGAATCGATTTCTCTGGACTCTTTGAGAACCCGCGGTGTTGAGGTTCAGAGATCCTACTCGACCAATCTAAATTGAGCTATCGAACGATGCGGCTGAATTAGCCGATCCAACTGCGTATCCCGTCGAGGTGGCGGCTCACATTCTCCCATCTTCCCTGGCACCTCTGACATATCCTTATAGGTAACACTGGAACGTCTTATTCCGAATGGTACGATTCATCATGAAGTCGTGCATGCCAAGTCCGTCCTTGGCGTCGACGGTAAGTGGCCAGAAATCCGCTTGGTTACCAGGATTTTTGAGAAGTTCCGAAGGTGCGCACTAGTGGGTCCGAAATGCATTCGATATTGCCATGGAAGGAGAACAGACTGGTAAGAATACTGGTGTATTTACGTTTTTTACCCCGTTTTTATCTCACATCGTTCTTGCCAGAATTCATCCGGGGGGTTCTAGACATGGTCCCGGACACCGATTTCCCAGACATCCGGAACAAGAACCTCATTCACTCCAACAATGGATCATGTTTACTTGTACCTCGGGAAGCTGAGAGAATTCGAATTTACATCCAAATTGCAGATGCTGACGTGTGCGACCCGAAAACTGGAAGAGTGGATAAAGATAGGATGTCACCCGAACAACTACTCGAGGTCCGTGTTTATTCAGGCTCGTTCCGATTATAGCGGCTTGAATCAATACCACAGGTAGCACAGAAGTCTCTTTACCCCTATTCGCTAATCCAACCAATGGAATTAACTGGTGGACTTCGTATATCAGTAAGTTTGCTATTCAGATTCGCTGCCGTCAAGTCTAAATCAGGGTAGTTGGACAGCGTATTGCTGCCAAGTATTCTGCGAATAATCGTCTGTTCATTGCTGGAGACGCGTGCCACACCCATTCGCCCAAAGCTGGTGAGTTATGTCGCGTAAACTGGTTCAGGGTGGAGGTGATAGTGATACTTCAACAGGACAGGGCATGAATGCTAGTATGAATGATAGTCATAACCTTGGTATAATTGTTCATTTCAACCGAGCCTACCGTGCCTTGACTATATCGCGTAGCATGGAAGTTTGCATATGTTCTTCGGGGCTGGGCACCTATGTCTATTTTGTCGACAGTGAGTGACAAGAGCGGAAGTCAGGATACGACTGACAGCAGTCTACGCAGTACGAGTCTGAACGCCGCAAGTATGCACAAGACCTCATCGCCTTCGACAAAATCTATGCTACCTTGTTCTCAAGGAAACCGGTCACCAAAGAAAACCTGAAAGGAGTCTCGCATGAACAATTCCTCAAGTAGGTACAAAAAATCTCACATACAATGACTCAGACTGATCTCCTGTAGAACTTACCAGACCTTTGGAGGCTTTACCAGCGGTATTGGGGTGCACGACGATCAGTCTGTTCTCATCAACGGGAACACGTACCCAACCCTGGTCTGTAACATGGTAGTTGGCGAACGTGTTGCTCCACAAGACCTTGTCTGTGCTGCAGATTCAACACCATATAACCTACAAGATTTTCTACCATCCGATTTCCGCTTCAAACTTTTGGTATTCACTGGTGACTTCAACGAACCCATACAGACACAGAAGATCCAAGCTCTCGTGAAGAGCTTGGAGCAGCCGGAATCATTCCTTAACAAATGTCCTCGTGAGAGGTTTGACATCACGACCATCAGCAGGGGAAATAAACTAGAATTCGACTACCGGAAAGTCCCGCAGCTGTTGAGGCCGCATTGGTCGAAGTAAGTCGCTGCAGTAAAGAAAATTGAAGTTATTTCCTAAATATTTGCTCCGTAGAGTTCTTCTCGATGACACTGACGTGTCCGGTACCATCGGTGGTAAGGGGTATGCTTACTACGGTATCCCCGACGAGGGCGCCTTTGTTGTGGTACGCCCGGACGGATACATCGTGATGATCATACCATTGGATGGAAGCGGTGAAATCAATAAATATTTCGCAGGTTTCATGAATGTTTGAAACCTGTAAACGATGTCTAAATTCTACCGCAAGGCTGTATGTTGCACAATTTTTCACGGCCGCACGTGTGAAGAAAATAAATGTTGTTCTACTTCAGGGAGATATATGATGTCATGGTGTCATGGACACACGACCCACTCCGAGATAGGACCCCCTCCACATACATGTGGTGCTCAGAATTTTGTAGACAGCCTCGGGAAAATCACGACAGATTGGAAGATACCATAGTCGACTGTCTTTCAGTCCCCTGCTTGCCTGGCGGGGGAAACTGACCAACGGCCGGCATGGTTGGAGAAGTATCACATGTCATTCTTGAGCATTCTGAAATGAATGCTGCACAATAAAATATCCTTGGCTAGATGCGCACCGTACAATACGATAAGTACACGAGTATACAACAGGGAGCTCCCCGTCCCACGACGGTCAGGGAATACAAACACAAATTGCTAAATTACACCTCGCCATATAGCACACACTGTGCGTATTCTTCTTTCTCCACGCCCTCCTTCGTTAACAAAATCTGCCGAACCTGACAAACAAGTAGTTTGTATGTGTTCAAAAAACAGGGTGCCTGATACTCACCTCCGGAGGTGGGTTGAGACCCAAAGTTTCAGCTCTTTCCCATCTCTCTAGTCGCGTCATCCCGACACATGGCCCATACTCAGAGGTCCTAACAGGCGGTGTGAGTACGTGGATACCCGCGTTGCTGGTAGTTCTCACATGTCAAAGAAACGAAGCATCTGGATGATTTTGTTCCCACCATTTCCATGAACTACACAACAGAATATGTGAGCATTGAAACTCAGTTTCGCAGAGAATGCTCACTGGATTGCGTATGACCCATGTTCTCCCTAGCTTCTCTATAATACCTACGATAACGGCCAGCCTTATCTTCCGTATCGAGGGTTTCCCGCTCAGGAGTAGCGGGAACGCCCTCTACTTTCTTCAGTGTGTGTTTCTTCCTCGGTCTCCTTTGCGGTTGAACATCATCTCGACCATCTCGAGTCCTCTTAGCCGGGATGCTGGAGGGCGAGAATTCGCCAGAAGGGTGACTGGGTAGATCTATATCAGACTCCTCGACGAGGGATATCGTTCTTGTCCCCAATTTTATTGGGCTTCTCATGCTCGGCCTGCTTCAGCGACTGAGGCTGCAGGTTTCTGGGATTTCGCGTTAAGGGCGGAGTTGGTCCGTTTAGCAGTGTGGAAACTCAGTGTTCCTTGCTTCATCTTTGAGGCGTTTCTTGCTGGTGCCATATACACGGGTAAGAACACGCAAAGGGTGTGGATAAATACAGGTGGAGGTTCGAGTAACCGCGAAATCCAACGTACATCAGGGGGGTAGACGTCACAGCCACCAAACAACCCGTCATGAAAACTTAGCTAGACAAGTCAGTATCGGCCGACTAGCTCAGTTGGTTAGAGCGTCGTGCTAATAACGCGAAGGTCTTGGGTTCGATCCCCACGTTGGCCATATTTTTACACAAATTTCTGATCATCGTCCCAACTTGAAAATGATAACTTAAGGTAGCACGGTTTCCTCAGGTCTTTACCGATAGTAATGGCCCAGAAACTCGAGGTCCTATCATCTATAACACGGGTAGGGGGTGGTCGTGGTCTCCGTTCTCTTCTCACTCGCTTAAGGTATCTGTAGCTCAGTAAGCACGTCGTGCGGGTTCTTGGGCAGGTGAACACCAAGGTGTATCGTGAAACTTGGATCTGATATCATTGTTTTGGAAGAATCCAGGCAAATTTACTCTACAGGGTGACTACGTCGTTACCCTTCGCGTTCCTTTTGATCGTTGAAATTGGTCTAGGTACTAACACGTATCTTATCGGTGAGGGTCGTCCTTACATCCTCGTCGACACCGGTGAAGGCAAGCCCGAGTATATAACTTTCCTCGAATCCGTCCTCGTGGAAGATGACGTTCGAAGAGTCTCCGACAATAGTCGAGGCAAACAGCACATCTCCGATATCATCATCTCGCACTGGCACCCAGACCACGTCGGTGGGGTCCCCTCCATCTTAGCCCTTCTCCGTCGGTTGTGGGACACACAGAATCCCCATCTCCCGTTCGAACCTCCAAGATTACATAAGTTTCCGCACACGTCCCTCCCAGACAATAGGTTGGCACTTGTCAGGGACACCATTCTGTCCGGATCGTATGACCCGGGCATCGCAGGAGCACTCTTCCATGACCTCAAAGATGGTCAGACCTTCTCAGTAACTACCTTATTTCCGTTGCCTGAAGACTCTCCAACGCTCCGGGTTATCCATTCTCCAGGACACACAGAAGATTCCATATGCCTGCTGTCTTCTGCTGACAAGATACTGTACACGGCAGACACCGTACTGGGTCAAGGCACTGCTGTCTTCGAGAACCTCGGCACGTATATTTCCACCCTCCGTTCCCTCCTCTCTCTCCGTGACGAATACGTCACTCTCTACCCGGGACATGGTCCCGTAGTACCGGATGGAGCGCAGAGTATAGAGGGATACATCAACCACCGCATGGAGAGGGAAGAACAAATCTTAAGAGTGCTTGAACAGCCTCCCCCCGAAGGAAAGAGCTTTTGGTCCACATGGGATATTGTATCAACGATTTACGCAGCGCACCCTCGAAACCTGTGGGAGCCTGCTGCTCGGAGCGTGAATCAACACCTGGAGAAATTAGCCAGCGATGGCAAAGTCAGAAAACTCGGAGGAGAGGGGAAAGAGTCGCAGTGGGAACTGCTTGTAGAATCGAAGAGTTTCCGTTCGGGTTTCTAACGGACGTTCTACCATATAACAATAGGCCGCTAACCTACGTTGAATGTACCTCCAATTGACCCTTTTTGTGTGGTGGGCGGCTGAGGGTTCTGTGATCGGCTTGTTCCGAAGGCGCCATTCCATTTCCCCTGCCACAGTTACCTGCACATCGCGTTGTTCCTGCTTTCCAATATACCACAACGTCCTCGACGCACTGACCATCGGTGCGAAATGCCAGGCAACGTTGGCGACAACGGCGCTTTTACAGCAAGCGACCAAAGGGTTTGTCCACCTTCGCCATCGCCGTCACCAGAGGCGAATGACTCTGCTGGTGCGTTTGTCCGGCCACACGGCATTGACTGGCGGTCATTTTCGTGATTCATCGTGCACATTATTTTAACCCTTTCGGACAGCACATCATTTCTCTAGGAAGCGAGAACGAGAGGTCTCACTCGAGCCTACCTTGCCCAAAACATCTGTGCCCGGAGTACGTCTCATCCCTTCACTCGCTTGTGACGTAAAATTCACAGGCATTCCCTTCTACTATCAATCAGAACGCGTCAGACGTCAAGTCGCCAGCAAAGAAAGGCCGTGTACATCCTGACACCACCCTGGAAGAGGAGGATGCTCAGCAGCGATCGCGCTCTCGGACACCGCCCAATCCGCATTCCCCGGCATTGAGCGTATCTCCACCACACGAGGTCAAGGTTAGGCAGATTAGTCAAGGTGTCGAAGATATCAACTGGCGACAACGACGTCCTCCTCAGAATGACATTGAAACAGAGAAACCCGATGTTGAAGTTCTACACGATAAGGAAGATGAACAAGCAACTGTGCAAGAGAAACCCAACGAAGACCAGGACGAGCCACCTCCATTACCTCCCGTCCTGGACACAACACTGGAGGCTGACGAAACATCTGACGTTCCCTCTAGTCTGCCTCACGCGCGTCGAGCTTCTGAATCAGAGGCAGCCGAACCAGAAAAGGGATTGAAGCGGAAACTCGCAGACCGCGGCACCAGTCAGGGCCCGGAGAGTGCTCCATCCCATCCTTCAATTCATACAACGTCTGCAGAGACTGCCAAACGACCGAGAGACGATGGGGACAACGATGACAACCCACGTCTGTCGAAGAGACAGTCTCCTCCCCCAGAACAACAGGAGAAGCCTCCTGCGGCAACAGAAACCTCCACTCCGAAACTAGTAAGTGTTATTGCACCATTCAATACTACGGAACCATTCATCCTCTTATGTCAGAGTGGCTTCATGGCGTATGCTTCTGCAGCGTCTCCATTTGCGTCTGTCAAGGGACAGAACGTTTTTTTCAGCGCATCCAGCAACAAGAACCAGCCGACATCTCCCATACGAGCGTCAACTTCACTCCCAGGCAGTAGTAATCTCACCAAGTCGTCTTTGCCCCAGACGCCGCTTGCAAGTCTAGCCCAGCAAACCTACCTGCAGCAAACACCGACCAGCACAGCTACCAAACGTACCGGTTTCGAAGCATTCGCAGGATCCGCTTCCCCCTTTTCGCCCTCGTTCGGCCATTCACGACCAATGTCTCCTGGAACGGCCAACAGTAGGAGTGCATTCGTCCGTAGCAAGTCCCCAGTCCGACGAGGAACCTTTAGCGCGAATTCGGGTGCCTTCTCGTCATATGCCAGCGGTGGTACACAGGGCTTTGCAGTACCCCGCCCCAAACGTGCCAGGGCAGGATCACCGAGTAACGGGTCATCGAGGAGTTCCTTGGAACGGAAAGAAAGCATTTTCTTCAGTGCTCCTGGCTCAAATGAGAACAGCACGAGCGGGGAAGAAGAGGAAGGCGAGAAGGAAGAAAGCGAGTTTGCGCCCTCGTCATTTGGCGAGAGACTCCGGTCGGCCAAAGATGCGGATGACAGCCAAAGCGACCGAGAGAAAGAAAAACTTACTGAGCAGGAGGGTACGCGCATTCGTGTTGCTGTAAACGATACAATTGACGCCAAACCCTCAGTGCTCACTGGCGAAGAAGAGGAAGAGACGATACATCAAGTTCGCGGAAAACTTTACGTTCTTTGTCCGCAGAACCAGTGGAAAGAGAGAGGAACTGGACAATTAAAGCTGAACGTTCGCCGCACAGATGGTAGTGGTGCCCGTCTCGGTAAGTTATTGTTATGGGCCAGTTTATCCCGGGCACTGGCTGAAAGGCTTGCACCATAGTGATGAGGAAAGAAGCAGTTTACACTGTCATACTCAATGTAACACTTTTCCCGGGCATGAAGTGTTTCATTGCTCAGGACCCGCGATACCTCCGTTTCAGCGCGATTGATGGAGGTACTACGGTTCACTACAACCTACGGGCGAGTTTTGTCCCTGCTTAAACCCATCTTGTACTGACTGTTCCAGTAGGTTTCCAATGCGAAGATTGCGCAGGAGTTGCTTGAGGAGATTGATGCCAACCTCCCAGTCTTGACCTCAAACACTCGAAATTTCATGATTCTCAGCGACGTTTTAGTACATTTAATGTTAACGTTTACATGTCGTGTAAAATTACAAGCCCCCTCCTTGTATTGTCTGGGGCACTTGCTGGTGAGACGTATTGTCTCCCTGTTCGTTAAGTCGGGCAGTAGAGCTCCATGATGCTAATGAAGTGGACTTTTCTACTTACCAGTCGAGGCTATTTCCACGAAATATGGGTACAACCTGGTGAACTTTCTAAGACGAGCCCTCGTACATTCGACTCCAGGGGGACCGATACGATCGCGGAGGAAGTCCGAATGTAATATCCGAATACTGAACCAACCCGGATCACAAGATGCCATTTCAACATGCCACTAGCCATTTGGGGTGCACATCTATAAGGGGACAGCTTTCCACCGACCTACTAACTGATTGCCTCTTAATACCAAGAGATCTCGCAACATCTGCAGGGAGTCCTTTACAATATTCAGCTTGCTCCCAGCGACCTCATGCCATTCTACAGGAACCTCGACGACAGGTATTGAAAGTTGCTTAGCGAGCAGAAGCAGCTCTACGTCAAATATCCACGTGGCAAGATGTTGTGCGGGGAATATCTTTTGGGCAGCACGGCGGGTGAAGAGTTTGAAGCCACACTGCGTATCCCGGATATCGCCCACGCCGACAATCCTGAGTATAGTGTGTAAACCATACATAAGAATATTACGCAACATCGATCGCTGTTTTGCAGAGCACGTCAGAAATTGAATACTCGACAAACGGAAGCAGGTAACACAGGTACCTTGACTACAGCATCTGTCTTCACGAGGTGCGCTCGGCTACCGACGGCTACAGCAGGCTCGTTCTTTGGAGCGACTTTGTCCATACTCTTCCATAAGTGCTCCAGGTCCTCGAAACGACTGGCACCGTCAGCGTCCACCATGAGGAGCCGATGACCGCGTGAGTGTAACATCCCGTGTCTCACCGCTCCGCCTTTGCCAAGGTTCTTCTCGAGCGTGATGACACGAATATCGCTCCGGGGATACTGTGACGCAAGCTTGAGAGCAAGGGCCGACGTGTCGTCTTTTGACCCGTCGTCGACGATGAGTATTTCATACGTCCGAGAGGACTTGATAGTGGGCGAGTTCAAATGAGCCAACGTCGCTTCCAGCATGGAAGGGAGGCGGCTCGTCTCATTATACGCGGGTATAACGACACTGAGGTCAACAGAGCCCCTGTCTGCGAGAGAGGGTAAAGGTAATGATTTTCGAGAGGAAGCTCTAGAACGGTAGGTCTTCTCGGACGCTCGCGTCACTATCGGGGGAGGAGAGAGGAGGATGAGTGCTAGATAAAGCTGAACATAGTCAGTGGGAGTGCTCCAGTGTACCTACGGCAATGCGCATATTGTATGTTTCAGAAAGGAGGGAGGAAATCCCTGACCCAGAATGTGTCGTCTTCGCCTCGACGCAACGTCTCAACAGTGACAGCTCGAGGCTCGAAGAACAAGGATGAAAGGGTGTTCATCATCGTGTAATAGTGTAATAATTCACACCGCCTGAACGGAAGCAAGATATGACAACGACTCACAGCAGGTATCAAGGCCACCACAGCTGTAAATGTAATACTGGCAACCAGCTGCAGTCCATCCATTACTGAGCGAGGGAATGTTTTACAGTCGCCAGTCAGCGTCCATGCACAAAAAAAAGGAACAGAGGAGTAAGGCAGTGGTCGAAATGCGAACGAGAGTGCTGATGAGCGAGCGACGTGTTCTCGTGAACCGGATCCAAGTGCGGTGCTCGGTAGCAGCCAACGCCACAGAACTGTATCATGTAAGGATTCGGCCCAGCATATTACATCTCTACTCGTTTCTCTTATTATGTCTGCTCTGACACAACCGTGCCCGTTCTCTACAGTATAAAAGGGCCCATGCATGGGTCGTGGTATATCTTCCTCTTCGCCCCGACGTCGCGCTTCAGCGTGTACTTGTGTAAAATGCATCAACATAATACGCGGTAACGGGCATCAAAACAAAAACCCGAGAGAAACAGAAAGAGATTTACACCCGCAACAGTAGGTGGGTGGAAGAAAGAAAAGAGGGGTACGGTAAACCCTATGATCTATTTACCCCTCTTTATTTTCTTTCACGTCCCACAAGACACATCGACCGCCATCAACCAATCTCACAGAATACTCCTTATGTTCAAACCAGGGTACCCATACCCTGGTCTCACATAATTTGGCATCTTGCCCCATCGTAGCATATCTTTTACCACCTGGAACGGAGTTCAATTAGTTGACGCAAACAGGAAAACAAACTACTTGCCAGCACTGGCGGCCATCATCAGAGGTGCCGCAATGGCCATTCCTGCACCTTCCCACCCCGTCAACAAGGACGTTGCACCTGTAATGACCGACGCCGTTCCGGCAGCGCAAGCCAACCCAATCGTAGCACCCGCTTCCCAAGACTCTCCCTCAGAAAACTCGCGCGAGACATACGCCGTCCCTTGGTCATAGTCAGTTCTCTTGACCCATCTCACTTGGAAATAGAGGGGGAGCGTGGGGAGGTGTGTTGTCCAACGCTCGTTAGGCTGAAGGTGGTTCTTCCAATGTGTAGGGGCCGTGATAAAGAAAGCGACATGAATAGGTTCTTCGAGGTTGTTGATGACCGTCAAGTCCGGCATAGTGGGATTTTGTGGCGGTTGGGTAGAAGGTCGAGGGTAGGCAGATCAAGGGTATCGGTCGTGCATTTATACCACTGAACACGATGGAAGACCGCCCTAAACAGGAGAACACGCGTTGGCCACACCTGGACGCAATCTCTTCATATTGCCCCTAACAGAGCGGGGCCGCACGTCACACAACCTCGTCTTGACATATAGAGACCACTCAGGCTTCGAATTTAACTTACCAAACTGTAGGTGCAAGGGCACGTAAAGAACGCCCCCGAATATGACATTGTAGCAAGGTGTCTGCGGTATGTTGGGATATCGCCGACTTAATCCACTGACACTGCCATAAACTATACGTGCACATCGAGAGATGGAAGATCATTTGGACACGGTCTCGGCGCATCCCGAAAACTAGCTTGAATATCCATGTTTCAAACGGAGAGCTGTGTTCCTTATCTGTCCCCCTGGGCAAACCGAAGAATTTGAAGGAAGAAGGCGTCTCTTTTGTTCCAGTTTCCAGAACACGCGACGGATCACTGGAGGGCCTTACAGCCCGAGTCGGTAGGGCACTCATACGTTCGGGGAGAAGGTGGGACACAGGAACCCACGCCGGTTAGATCATGTAGTTTTGTACAGTGCTACAGGGGATGTTTCCTCAGTGCACTTATGTAAATTCGAAAAAAAAAGTTCCAGAGGCATGCTTCGGCAGGTGCTCATAGCTACCGAGGTAGTGATTTTATTAGATACTAAGTATTGACGTGCTCAATCCTTTGCTAAACCAGAACGATCCACGCGAGGTGACCGTCTCTCGGGCCACAGGGTTCCATGGAAGCATGTCAGAAGATCGAAAGAAGGTCCTCTGTCGCCCTTGCTATTGCTTGGTCAAGTTCCCGTACTTGCCCATGTATTACTACCTCTAGTCAATCTTCCGGCGTCGACGAGTACTTGTACGAGTTGAATTGCAAGTGATGCTTATTACTTGAATAAACGACGAAGCAACATACATAACGGATAGGTATAAAAAGATGTCCGACGGTCCATTGTCCGTTTAAAAGTAATGTCCTGCCTAGTCCGTGCGAATGGCTCCACCATAAAAATTCGTAGAGACAATTAATCAAACATCTAGGGGAGTATTCTTCGTTCATTCGGGGAACGCAACCGAGCGAACGGTCGCGATCCAAGACGCCGCGGCGTCGGGGTACTGAGTGTAATCAAAAACGGTTATGACATTGCTTAAGTAGAACGTAACATCTAACTCACCTCCCAGACCATGACACCCGCATCTAGCCGACAAACAGTTATCGTTGAGTATGCAACCCGGATTCACCGCTAAGGGTATAGCACTTACCCCAACCTTGTGCCTTGGCCGTGCTCAGACAACCGGCAAGCGTCGACGGATCCATATACCCGTTGCTGGCGTCACCGGTGGTGGCAGGCTTACCAATGACAAGCTTATCTAACGATACACCTGACGCAGCAATCTGAAATAACGCAGTGGAAGGCCAAGTACTAGAAGATGTTTCTAGGAGTCCGGTGCAGGTAGTGTATTCGCTGGTGCCCTCTGTTATTATGACGACAATCAGGCCGATTCAGGTATCAGAGAGGAGGGGATCGGTACAGATCCAACACTTACGGTTATAGAACTGGCATATAAGAAATTATATCAGTGAGTGGAGTACACGCCAGAGAAAGCCATCATCGTTTGCTCACTTGAACGTTGTACTACCGAACCCCAAGACGTCAAATGAATGACTCGAAAACGTTGATCTGGTACGTACCCAATCAATCAAAGACCCGACCGTCTGGTCTACTTTCAAGTAGGCACCGCTGGCATATACGGGAGAGAACCTGAAATCCGATCTAAGTAAGTTTACTGCTGTTCGAAGGCATATTACACTACCAACTTACCAAGGTGCGACCGCTATCATTTTTCAAATTGAGAATTGAACAAAGTCGGCGGCAGAATTTTATTTTTCTCACTCACGCGCATGGGTAATTATATATTGGCCCTCTGGCAACTGCGCGCGAAGAGCCTGGGTAAACGTTGACAGCCAGTTTTCGGCGGAGCCGTCCTGGGCGTTCATAGCATTGAAATCCTGTGGATGACGTGACGGTCGCGGTTTGTCAGAAAGTATTGCATCAACAGAACAAATCACCTCGTAATCGACATCGACGCCATCAAGCCCGTACTCTTGCACGAACGCAGCTAAATTGTTTGCGGTTGTGGTGGGATCGGCACCGCTGCTTGTCGGGGCATCAGTGGAACCAAAGGCCGATACAATGAGACTGATGCCTGCGGCGGCGTAAGAAGAATGGATGGAAGAGCGAGTGGCCGCGTCGAGGGTTGTCCATTCCAGTGCTTGGTCTGCGGGACCAGATATAAGCCAGAATGAAAGCGCGCTAGCCAAGTAATAGTCAGTGAGGTCTTGGTGGCTGACGGGGAAAGCGGGGGGCTCACAAAACGCTGTAACCCTTGATTTTGGAAAAAGGTACGATTGTTAACGACGTTTCTGAATTACCAATGGCCATCTACCTCGATGTCGCTGACGGCGGGCGGACCATTCTCGCCGGACACCCATTTATCGCTGTAAATTACCCAGTGCGGGGCCGCTGGCGTTGCGCGGGATGCCAAGGAGATACTAGAGCCTTCCCGCGGTTCAGTGACTAGGAAGGGATTCGCCCTACCAACTGCTGCGAGGCAGGTAGCAACAACCATGAAGGGACGAGCCAAAGCAGAGAAAAAGAGCATAATGAAATCTGATGTGAGGTAAGGATGAGCGGTGGCCGGGGAGTATGCGAACGAAGCCGATGGTCAGCCATCCTTCCAATACCACGTATTTATGGTCTCTTTTCTTTGAAGGGCTTTCCTTTCTGCTCACTCTGTGTTCTTGCTCTCCCTCAACCGGGACCTGAGCTATTCCGAGAGATGCCAATGCGAGCGGCGCAGATTCCCTGCCCTCAGACTGAAGCACACGTCGATGCACAGTGACAACAGTCATGGCGTACCCAGAAAAAGCCAGTTCATCGCATCTCGCGGCACTGGGGGCCCGGAGGTGGGGAAAAGTCCGCATCACATGAGCCCCATAGCCAGCGCATAGGTGTCTAACCTCGTCATATTCGGCGAGAGGCTCATGGGTGGTCAATGAAATGGAGAGCGTTCCATGTGTGTCACGATGAGAAACGACTCACAGAGACGGCCACACCCGGAGAGGGACGTCTGAGAATATGGTGTATCCGTCTCGGGTGCTCACGACGCACAGTATCGGCAGCGTGAGCTGAAACGCCATCACGTGGAACGATGCAGCAGAGTGTGCCAGGTCACTCGATTCCAAAGGTTGGAGATTGCATTTCCTAGGTGGTATTCCCAACACCTTCGTTGGAAAGTTTCCTACCATTTGGATAGCAGCAGAGGGATGCAGCGAGCTGCGGAGGGGCCGCCATAAACTACACGACAGCTCAGATGCCAACTGGCAAGTCGCCCAGGAGCAAGGCTACCACGGAGCCCAAAAGGCGAGAACAACTTTCGGCGTGGCAACTAATGGCTTTGAGCCAAAAATATAACTGCCCTCATCTGATAGAGGTCGCTCTAGTGTAGGGGCTAGTGCGACCGAGAAAAGGACTTCCACTGCTATAACGACCAAAGGCCTTACCATATGAAACGTACCTGAGCGGAGTGCGATGGGATTGCGAACAAAAACGATAAATATTGCAGAATACACCGTCATCATGAAGCAAACTGGCCAATCTGTTAGTCTCCCATCTCCAGGTTGTCACGCCAATTGGAGGTGGCGACCCGCAACGCCACACGAGCACCGTGCGTGTTACGAGCCATATATGCTGAATCAGATAGCAATTGGCACACTTATAGTAAAGGAATCGGTCATACCATGAGGGGTTGTGAGAGATGACAGTCTGTACTATCGTTGGGGGGGAAAGAAAGGTGGGGTCGCGATGATGGTGCTGGGATGGCACAACCCGAGGACTTCTCCGGACATGGAGCGGAGTGGGTACTCCAAATTTCCGTAGCGACTGACCTTTTCCTATCGATAGCAAGGTCGACATACGCGTGCATTGCGACAATGTCGTGGTGGACGTTACTCGCGTAAATGATGAATGCGAGGAAGCACAAAGCGGTGCACAGCCACCAATAACGCGGCAACTGCCGGGGCAAGTCGGTTGGGGGTCGCGTGTCGTTAGTCGCGGGCAGTGGTATTTAGTGAAACAAGTTGATACGATGAGCACGTCGCTCTCGATGCCATCCTCCTCGACATCCAGGGACAGCTCGCCTTCCACTTCCCATCTAACCCCCATTCCTCCGTCACGCCCCATAAGTCCAGGCGTCGCGTCGAAACTGTTCTTCTCCATGAGGAAGCAGTTCACCAGCGGCAGTTCACCCATCCCTCAGCGAAAAAAGCCAAGCGAACGTCCGGTGCGTCTTTTCTGGTGTCCCAAGTCATCCGAATAGTGGCTTACTATCGGTGGATCAGTGTGGTGGCATGTACTCCACCCCCGAAGAGCGACACCCCTATACCCCCTCGCGTGTTATTCGTCCCCGCTACATAGATGCTTCCTCAGAACGTCCTTCCATAGAACAAATAGCCATGGGCCTCCACATTTCACGCACTCCCCATCTCAGGTCTGGTAATCCTGTCCAGCGACATTCTCCGCTGTCGTCCCCTTCCCTGCGTCGCCTCGTGAATGCCCCTGGCAGTGCGCCCTATGTATTACCACATTCTCGTCCTCATGCCCTCCACGACTCGTCATTGCCTGCGCAGCAACGGCAACGACACAGCCTTCCTCCCCCTCCTAGACGCTCGTCTATGAAAAAGGCCACTGCCTCTAGCTCGACCCTTGATCCGCCGCAGAAAACCCCAACGCTTCTCAGCGCTTCCCCTTCCGCGTCTACTGTCACTTCCGGAGGACCCCTCACTCCGGGGTCGTGGTCTGTGCGGTCTTTGAAGGTGCGGATGTCCAAGTATATACCAGGTTATCATCGCACGTCAGCGACGGTGGCATCCATCGATCGGGCAAGTACATTTACCTCATCAGGCAGCGATGCCACGCGTCCGACGACACCACGCAAGTCGGTTAGATTCTCTACGAGCGTACTGGCACTGAACGACCTACCTTCGTGACGACTCTGCACAGTATTTGGTGCAGCCATGCATACTTCATTCTGTTTTTCGATTTCACCATATAGCCATTTTGTTTACTATTTTTATTCCACACGGGACTTGTTCCTGGCCTTGATACCACGAACATTCGTTATGTGTAGCCCAACGATCTTTCAAGTTCTTTCCTGCATGACTAGCATTCGATTTGTCATTCTGTGATACGTCATTACAAATAATAAATTTTTGCTTTGCACGTCTCAGTGGTGCTCCGTGGCTGTGCCCCTTGCTTTTGGTACACCCTTACGTCCAGCCTGCCGGGTCGAAACTTCGTCATTCCCCTTCCCCGCGGCTGGCAACGACTGTTGTGTTGGACTTACCCATCTGCTAGCATTTGAATCTTACCTCAACTCACTTGCAATCTTAATTGGCTTCGAAGTAGCAATACCTGACGCTATTCACCATGCCGCCGGTAGAGACCGAGTATTATGACCTGGTGCGGCGTCATCCATCAACCATACCCATGCGAGAGATCTCACCGGGTACCGCATTTTTGTTGTGCAATCGGTAACCGCGGATGGCAAATACCTTGATAGTTGGGCGTTTCCGTGGACGTCAATGATACGGACTTAAAGAAGGCTTATCGAAAGCAGGCCATGAGAGTACGTCTGCGTCATATCTGGCGTGGATTCTTGTTTCTGATATGATTTCTGATGCGTGTACAGTACCATCCAGACAAGAACCCATCCCCAGATGCCGAGGAGAAGTTCAAAGAAATAAGGTAAGGTCACCCATTTCTAATACCTTATCCACAGAATTAAACGTTCCTCACCCTACACGTGGGGGATGCAGTAAAGCCTTTCAGGTACTATCGGATCCGGTGCGTCTTCTCCCGTTCACAGGAAAACGTGCGGGCGTGGGTAGTTGACGCGATGCCATCCACAGAATCTACGCGCCGTATACGACAAGAATGGCAAGTCTATGGTATGTATACTTGATTTTGAAACATCCGCTCGGGTTTTACGGGTGGCCACATCTTAGGTGGACAAGGAGGGAAACGAAATGGAGGATGCCGCCGCGTTCTTTGCGAATGTCTTTGGTGGAGAACGGTTCCGGGATTACGTGCGTTGGGTTTCATCGCCAGTTTTGCTTTCCACCTCATACGACTCATTTGCAGATCGGTGAAATCACCCTCATGAAGGAAATGGGTTCAGTTGCGGCGACCGTGGCTACTGATGAGGAACGCGCTGAAATGGAGAAAGAGGGCATCATACCACCCGGTACTTCCGCGGCCGCAACGTCCAGTGCAACGTCCACCGCTTCCACCTCCGCGGATAATCAAGCCACTCCTGCGGGTACCCTCACACATGCACTCACTCCGTCAGGCGAAGAGACGGCATCCAGGCGGACATCCGTCTACGGACCCCCTTCTCCTCCTTCGAGGGATGGCAAAAAAGATCCTTCGAAGAAGCGTAATAGACTGTCCTCGGAACAAAGGAAGAAACTCCAGGAGCTCGAGGAAGAACGCAGAAAGGCTTTGGATGAGCGCGTCAAGTCACTCACGACCAAGTTAATCGACAGACTGCGACCGTTTGTAGAGGCCAAACGTCCTGGGGACCCAGATGACCCGGAGACGAAGACCTTCCAGGAAAAAGTGAAGCTGGAGGCGGAGGATTTGAAGTTGGAGAGCTTCGGGGTTGAGGTAGTTCCTTAATTACGAACGCGTGGAAAGCACATGCTCAAGCACTTCTCACAGCTTCTCCATGCCATTGGCACGGTGTATATGATGAAAGCCTCTTCGTTTTTGAAGTCCAAGAAATTCTTTGGCCTGTGAGCAGCACGACCTTTTTGTCTGACTCCTTATCCACGGACCATCCATCTCAGTTCAGGCTTCTGGTCGCGGGTGAAAGAAAAAGGGTCCGTAGCAAAGGATGCTTGGGGTGTCATCGGTAGCGCGTCAGTAGCTGTTCCTGATTTGGTGGGATGAGCGCCTCTCACAAAGAACCCTGCATATAGATTAAGCGTCCAATCACTTATGCATGAAATGGAAAGGCTTCAAGCCAAAGGAGAGGTAGGTGACGATGAACTACGGGCTCTAGAGGAGGACATGACTGGCAAGGTAAATTTGTGGACGAACGCGTGTCTGTCTTACACCCGGCTGACACCGCAAATACCATCGGTTTGCTGTGCAGATTCTGCTGGCATCTTGGCGTGGCACCCGCTTCGAAGTCGTTCAAGTACTTCGAGAGGCAAGTCGGCTCCCCCTCTGTCTAAAGCATCCCAGAAGCCTTGTTAATCTAACCCCTCGGATTACGCCGATCAGGTGGTGGATCATGTCCTGAAAGACCGCGAAGTGCCAGAGCAAACTCTAGTTAGCCGGGCCAAGGTGAAATGCTGAATGTGGAATCCCTGTAGCAACTTAATGAAACGTTTATCTCCAGGGTCTGTTAATAATGGGTCACATTTTCAAGTCAACGGTTCCTGACGAGTCGGACGAAGACCGGCGCGAACTCGAACGGTGTGTGCTGTCCCTGCGGAGTTCGTTCCGCGTGCTTAGTTTTTGTTTGCGCATTACTAGGATTGTGGCTGAGGCCGCTCACGGCAAGTCGAAACACCATCAGCTTCGCACAGCTGCCTAAGGCACGCAAAGACGGGAAATGCACCCCGCCCAAAGAGGCTGCGGAGCAAGCCGAAAAAGAGCCCTGCTAACGTACCTCCGCAGAGCCACGCGATGAACCCCCCAAAGTGACTTCATGATCACGACATGAATCTAGACTCTTTACTGCCCTAATCGAGTATTTGTAGCTCATTCGAACGGTTTCTTTTGGTTACATACATAGGTGGTACTAGTACAGCGAATGTGAGAGCACAGGTCCTGTCTCAGGACGGAACAAATTTGGCGTTACAGCTCAGTCTGATGCGTGTCCGAGTCGGATAAAATTAGCTGTTGCACACCTGCTGGCCCACTCTCGTAGGCCCCTCTCACCTACACACAACGGAGGGAACGTTGAGCTTCTGGGCGGAAGCAGGGCGGCTTTACCACTTACCTGCTGGAAGAGCTCATCGTCAGCGATAACACGGAAACCTGTCCATGCCAAGCCCTTGGAAACTGTCATGGTTGCTTTGTGAGCATCCGTGCTTCGCGCAGATTCCGCAAACGCTGGCGTATGATTACCCCCATTGGCCACCGTCGGTATCGCTATCGAGAGCCACCAGAGAAACCTTTCGTCAATTATAGATTCGGCTGCCATGATGATGTACAACGTACCAAACGATGGGTGCAGAGAGGGCAGAGCTAGTGTAAGTATTTGGGGTAAAGACTTGGCCAACCCGTAGATGTGGCAGAAACGCTTACCATAAGAAACGTTCCCCTTGGAGGACAAGTGAGTTCACATTTCTTTTAGATAATAAGAAGGGAAAAACCCACAAAATCCGTCGATGCCCCGAACCCGCGTTGGCCAATGTTCATTCCGAAAGAGTTACTCACGGCGTGCGAGAAGCAAGCCGCTGGCAATTGGATAGAAGGTAAACATGAGGTAGGTCAATGACCCAAGGGGATGACTTGCCAAGAACGCTGTTCTGCCGGAGGTCATGATACGGAATACCCTCGGTGAGCTTGAATCGACATGATGTAGCCAGTGCTGCCCCTCTGTCCATTTTGGTCAGAACAGCCAAGGAATGCAATCTGCCAGACTAACTCAAAGCACGCTTTGACTCTTTCTACCAACACAGACAATTGATCTTTTGTCGGCGCCCTTACCAACCAACGCATGCCGGCATAGTCGGGTATAACTTTTGAGTCCATTAGTCATCCCCCTTCAGCTAAGTGGAAGAATATCACCATTAACTGCGCTCTTGGAGCCCTGGATCACACCATGAATTCTGTGGTCAGGTTTAATTTGCTGACGCAATACTGAGATGCTCGAATAGGCTAGGAATGCTGCATCGAGAGCATTGGTCCCGTCCCAAGGGGCATTCCCCGCATGTGCACTATCTCTCACAATTAGGCAGTGTAAATTATGTCACGTTAACACTCACGATCGTCCGAAGAATTCCGCTTCTAGCGATTGCATTGCAAGACAGGACCCGAGGGATACCGAACCTGCGGGCCCCGCTGCAGGGTGACACCTATGAAGAAGATTGTCAAGAAAACAGTCAAGCGCAAAAATGAATGCTATCTGACATGAGACAAACGTCTATGTCTCTATACCCGCCCCTCTCAAGCATCACTGCCTTACCCGCGCCTCCCTCTTCCCCTGTGTGAGAATAAGTCGTGGGCAGAATCTTATCTTAGTTAGAACTTACCCGGCGTTCCAAGAAGAACAACTGTTCCGGGGACGTCGTAAGTTTGAAGAGCAGACTTGACAGCGATCGCTACACCCACTCCACTTACAGCAATGAGGTTGTGACCACATGCATGTCCGATGACAGGTAACGCGTCCATTTCTGAATTAATCCCAAGCGTCCTGCCCCCCTTACCATGTGTGAATTCTGCTCTCCACGCGGTTTCCAAACCTAAGTAATGCCGGGTTACGGCGAATCCATGACGTTCCATGAAGTCACACAAGATGTCATGAGCATAACTGATGCAAGTATTAGTGTCACGACCTGAAAGTGCGACGAAGCACGAACCGTTCCTCGAACATGAGCTCGGGGTGATCTTTTTGGGAGGGAGACGATCGTTTAATTCAAGCTTACAATTTACCAGTGCACTAACCGTGAATTTGGAGGCTCAAGGCCCTCAAATCATTGTCCAGTGTCTGCATCGTTGACTCGATGACAGACATCACTGCGGACATCAATTGAACGCTGGTCGAGGAATCTAAGTACTTTGGAGGAGGATCGACTGAGCTAGGCAGTGATCGTCTGGCCGAAAAGTCGCAACAGGACTCAAAGTGTACGGGCTCCTAATGATAAACAAGAGAGGGGAAGTCAACCTAACTACCTTCGGGTTGCGAAACCTGCGAACGTACAGAATTGACGAGCGTGCTCGGTCGATCTGAGGAGGGCTGCTTATCATGATCTTCGCTTTCCTCACTTGAGTTCCGTTGATCTATCTTGGTCGGTGATCGTATGGATAAAGAACGGCCGACGGGAGGTAGCCTGAAAAGGCGCTTTAGAGAGAGGCAACCAACCTTGTTGTGGTCGTCAAGCATCTTGTGAGACATGGTGAAGCTTCGCTATCGGGAGCGAATGCGCTGATGTGGCAATATTCTGTAGAATCGGTTTGCATTTATCAATGCACGGGCGCTAATTGCCTGAGGCGTGCCATCACTTGGGGAATAGTCGTCTGATCCGAGAGCTCCGACAACATCGGGGCTTCCTGTGACAGGCTAGTTTCCTGGTACGAATCGGGGATAACAGGTTGACGACCTGTCTCATGGTTCGTGTATACATTTATACCATGAAGATGCCACCTAACCATGAGAGTATGAGTCGTTATGTCAAATCCAGCGCAGAAGTTGAGATCCCACGGGTGACTTCTCATGTTGATAAGTAATCCGCGGGCGTCTTGGAAGTCAAAGACATTGGGCTTCGTCCATTTGGTGATCCTTCTCTACTTGCGGAAGCTCATCTTCTCCACTCAAACCCAGGGTGATAATCCCCCCAATCTGCGCAGTCAGCTGGGAATGATCCTCCTGCATATGTGTGTGCCACAGATTCAGACCGCTGGACCGCCGCTACCGGATCTAGAAAAATCAACTATTTTCATTTGCAGGCAAAGGAGATGTCGTGACCTCTATCATCTTGCCACCTGCATGATTTCAGCCAGGTGCAACTCTACTCCAAATCGGATCTCGATGGGGAATAACTATAAACAGCGAGTCCAGGCAAGTCCAATTTCGCCTCAGATAACTGCCCCACATGTGGGATATGGAAGTATCCATCGTGTTTGAAGCTACCTGTTGCTGTCCGATTCGCACCAATCAATTTGCGGTTTGCAAGGGCCTGTGATGGCGGGGAGGGAAATGCGCTTTTACGCGGTTAAAACTCACGCCGGGATCTCTGTATATAAGTATGGATGGACCTACGGGAGATAACGAGTGCGAGGATGAGGGAGCAATCGGATATGATTTTACCGAGAAATGACCGTCTGCAGCTTGAACTTCTGTCGATGGTCGGAAATCCGGAAGCTTGCTGGAGAATACTACCGAGCGCTGTGTGAAAAACGGAGGGAAGCCGTTGGGTGTCTCAGCCTTCGTGTTCCCGGAGCTACCGCAATTACCGTCATTGTTTCAGATAAGTTCATCCTCCAGGAATCATTTGTGTGCATGTATAAAGCTTCTCACTAAAGACTGAGACCAAGATTCGTCTGTTCTGATATCATGGGAGGCGTAAAAGGGGTTCCGAGTTGTCACGGGAACATATTGCTGGACCCATTTAGAGGGCAAACTGCGACTGGGCGAAGAACTTCCGATGAAACGACTCCGGCATCAGGATCCCGGACATCGCGCGATGACTAGTACATGTTCGCTGGCACACCCGCCTTGTGTGGAATATGTTGCCGACATCGCTGCAGTTCTTCAAACAAAGCTAAACAAGACGATAGGCCATCGGTGAACTGGTTTTGCAGGTGAAGAGCAAAAATCAATGGGCCTGGCCGGGAATTGAACCCGGGACCTCCTCCATTTGAGAAACCCTAAGAAGGAATCATACTACTAGACCACCAGGCCGATGGTCCCTCTCAACAAAGGAAGCTCTGAAATGGTGGGCACACAACAGGAGCAAACATACTAACCGGTAAAGGAGGCTGTTGACTGTTTACCGCCGTGACCGCCGTCCGTACTGCTCACGAGACCGGTGTCAAGCATGGCGTCCGCGATCTCACCAATGCACACTGACAACCTTAGCCAGATCTTTCAAGGGCTTCGTAGTCCCACGCATGAAACGAGACTTCAAGCCGCGATCGACCTCCGTCGTTATGTATGACTTTTGTATCCACGTCATGGTGTCTCTTAATGCCTTCCAGGTGGTTACAACTGTGGTAGAAATGCCTAGCGATGCTGCAGTCAAACTTTGGGATGATGACATCAACAAACGCCTGTTCGACCTGATGCACAGCCAAAATAACAATGAGAGGCTCGGCGGCTTACTAGCAATCGGTACTTCCTGTCTACGTGGCCTCCCGTAGAAACCTTTGGGTGTTAATTCGTCGCATAGATCATTTACTGGAGAATGATGGCGAAGACCTCGTTGGATCCAAGAGGTACCTCTACAGATTCTACAACTACGTCAAGCAGTTATTGCCGAACCACGACATGAATATCATGCTAGCAGCGTCCAAGACGCTGGGCCACATTGCAGCCATTGGTGGTGCGGATTTCGGAGAAGGTTTCATGGATGCAGAGGTGCCAGCCGCAGTGGACATGCTGCAAGGACAAGAACTGCCTCGCTATGCCGGTGTCCTTATTCTGAAGGAATTGGCACGGAACAGTGCCGCCTATTTTCATCCTCATATCAGTCTTGTCTTCGACAAGATTCTCATTCCATTGCGTGACCCTCGAGTATTTGTCAGGGAGGGTGCTGCTGAACTTCTGGCAGCTTGTTTAGAGATCGTAACGACCAGAGAACGCCAGACACGGACCATGTACCTGATGAAAATCTTACAAGATGCACAACTTGGTTTGAAAATGTTACAACCAGAGGTCATACATGGTTCGCTACTCATGTATCGCGAGCTTTTGCTGCGTGGAGATATCGTACGTGTGCAAATGGTGCTAAGTGGATTCAGCTCGAAGTTCTCATTATCATGCCGTTTTAGTTCATGCGAGAAGCGTTTTTAGATACCGCAGAACAGATCCTTCGATTCAAATCACATAGAGATAACCTAGTTCGCAAGACAGTCATTACACTCATTCCCACTCTTGCAGCATATGACACACAGACGTTCATCGAACATTATCTTCACAAGTCCATGGGCCACCTCCTCACACAACTCGAAAAACCCAATGAACGATACTTCGGTATGTGCCATGGGTTTTGATTTTTGGCTAGCACCAATTACGCGACATACAGCCTTCATCGCCATCGGGCATACTGCAACCAACGTGGGGAGTGATATGAAACCTTTTCTGGACTCTATTATGATTCAAATCAAACAAGGTCTTCAACAGAGAGGGTAGGCGATGTTCTAGCAGCTTTGCTTGATGACTCACAGCTGGTTAGGAAGAAGAATGCACCGTCTGAGGAACCCATCTTCCAATGTGTTGGAATGTTAGCCTCTGCCGTAGGTCCGAACCTCACCAAGCTTCTTCACGATCAGTTGGACCTTTTCTTTGCATGTGGGCTGAGTGAGCCGCTACGACAAGCGCTGACTGACATCGCACGCAATATCCCACCGCTACTTAAAACCATTCAAGGTATCCACATCGCTGCTGGCGCAGGCAGCGGTTAACATTTTCCCTTAGAGCGCTTGTTGGACCTGTTGTCGATGGTATTGTGCGGGCAGCCTTACAAAGTAATAGGTGCACCACCCTCTTTGGTCAGAGGTGATGTTGCATCCTACGCTCGCGAGTTTAGCGCATCTCAGGCTGCGAAAACTGGGAGGAACTCTGAACTTATCACGCTAGCGCTTTCCACGCTGGGTTCCTTTGATTTCTCTGGTGAGTTAGGGTCAGCAATCCATGATCGCGAGGCTAATCATACACAGGTCACGTTTTGAATGAGTTTGTTCGAGGCGCAGCTCTGCCATATCTCGATGACGACAACCCTGAAGTTCGTCGCGCCGCCGCAATGGCATGCTGCAGGGTCTTCGTGAAAGATCCCATATGCTACCAAGCCAGCAGTCATGCTATTGAGATCATCAGCGATGTCCTCGACAAGTTACTGACAGTCGGGATTGCTGATCCTGGTGTGTCTTTTGGTCCTCATCCTTGGAAGGAGGCCCTGAGCTTGTTATAGAACCCAGTATTCGACTAACAGTACTCTCGTCTCTGCATGAACGATTTGATAAGCATCTAGCACAAGCCGAGAATGTGCGATCCATTTTCATTGCACTCAATGACGAGGTTTTCGAGAACCGGGTCACTGCGGTCGGGTTGATTGGACGACTTGCGAAGCATAACCCTGCGTATGTTATGCCATCGTTGCGCAAGTCATTGATACAACTTCTTACTGAACTGGAGTACTCGACGGTCACGTATGAATCTTTCTATCTGTGTTGGGATACGTAGTGAACAATTCATTCACAGGCGCAATCGCGAGGAATGTACCCGCTTACTCACCTTATTAGTGAGTGCCACGCAGAGGCTAATCAAACCATATGCGTTGCCAATCCTTCGGGTCTTACTTGGAAAAGCGAACGATACCAACCCGACCGTTGCTGCCAACGTGCTCATGTGCCTGGGGGAGCTTACCGCTGTCGGAGGGGAGGCTGTGACACCGCACATACCGGATCTGATGCAAGTCATAATTGCGAAGTTACAGGATCCGGCACACGTCAAACGAGATGCCGCCCTCCGTACACTTGGTCAACTATGCTCTAGTACCGGATACGTGATTGCGCCGCTGGTTGAATACCCGCAGCTGTTGCCGATCTTGCATAGGATCCTACGAACCGAATCTGGCACATCTCGGCGTGAAGTAGTGAGGGAAGTAGTGAAGGTTTTGGGTATTCTTGGAGCTCTCGACCCTTACAGACGCAAGGTAAGTATTTCTCCAGTTGATTGTTGTTTTAAGGGTCAACGTGGCTGCAGACTAAGCCCGACGAGGATCCGACTGCGGAGGGGACGCTGCCGGCCAATTCCACAGCTGTTTTGAGCACTACGTCATCGACTGGTTCTGATGACTACTATCAGACTGTCGTGATAACTGCGCTACTTGCTGTTCTCCACGATCAATCTATGAGCAGCCATCATCACAGCGTTATCGAGGCTATCATGAACATCTTCAAGACCCAAGGACTACGATGCGTAACTTTCTTACCTCAGATAATCCCTGCTTTTGCCACAGTTGCGCGCACCTCTGCAGCGCGACTGCAGGAGTTCCATTTGCAACAACTTGCAATTCTGGTGGGGATCATAAAGCAGCACATCCGTAATTACATGCCGGGAGTGTTTGGGCTTGTAACGGAACTTTGGGAAAATGCCTCTCTGCAACTACCGATCGTTTCCCTTGTCGAAGCCCTCGGGAAGGCGTTGGATGCCGAGTTCAAACCATTCCTGCCCACCATCTTACCGCACCTGCTCAAGGTATTTGAAGGGGAGCTTACGGATAAACGTATGAACACGCAGATAAAGATCTTTGACGCGTTCCTGACCTTTGGCTCGAATATTGAGGAGTATTTACACCTCATTATCCCAGTCATCGTGAAAACTGCCGAGAGGGTCGAGGCATCTACGATCTTGCGGAAGCGTGCCATACAGAGCATAGCGCACTTGTCTCAACGTGTTAATTTTTCTGATCATGCATCGCGCATTATCCATCCACTGGTCAGGGTTCTCGATGTACCAAATAACGAGCTCCGCCAGGCAGTGATGGACACGCTTTGTGCGATTGTTGTTCAACTTGGTTCAGACTTTGCTGTTTTTGTTCCCATGATCAACAAAGTATGTGTTTCGTGGGGCATTGCGTAACTTGTCCAAGCTCACCTCTATAGTGCTTACACCGAAATCGTATTCATCACCCTCGGTATGAGAACCTTATCGGGAAACTACTCAATGGCGAGCGTCTACCGCAGGAGTCCGGTATCCATGAGATGCTGTAAGTATTCCACAACAATCGACGCAGTGCCCATTATACATTCTCAGGGAAAGCTCCAAAGCTGCTGAGATATCAGCGGTGGCTGAGCCAGCAAAATTGACCGTGAATCAGCAACATTTAAAACAAGCATGGGACGTGTCCTTAGTCGCCACAAAAGACGACTGGGTGGACTGGATGCATCGCCTGTCTGTCGAATTCATGAAAGAGTCGCCCTCACATGCCCTTAGAGCGTGCATGAGCCTAGTTGACATTCACCCACCACTCGCCAAAGAACTCTTCAATGCTGCGTTTATATCCTGCTGGACGGAGCTATACGATCAATACCAGGTGCTGCTTCATGAAATGACATCCCCACCTACTTTCCTATACTGACGTGTTACTGCAGGAAGGCTTGGTTCGCTCAATTGAACAGGCGATCACTTCTCCGTCTGCTCCATCTGACCTTATCCATCGTCTTCTCAGTCTTGCTGAGTTTATGGAACATGAAGAGAAGCCTCTTCCCATTGAGCATCGAACCCTCGGCGAGTATGCCATGCGATTCCACGCTTACGCAAAGGCTCTTCATTACAAAGAGCTCGAGTTCTTCACAGAAACATCGCCGAACATCATCGAAGCCCTCATTGGTATTAACACCAAATTGCAACAACATGATGCCGCATGGGGAACGCTAACCATTGCTCGGGAACAGTATGATGTCAGTAAACACGAAGAGTGGTACGAAAGACTTGGGAAATGGCAAGAAGCCTTGGTCGCATATGAGAAGAAAATAACAGTCGACCCCGATTCCCCGGATGTGCAGATTGGGAGAATGAAATGCTTGCACGCGCTGGGCGAGTGGGAGCAACTCGAGCAGCAGGTCCTAGAACCGTGGGCAAGTGCTAACCATGAAGAGCGCCGTGAAATCGCTCCGATGGCTGCCGCCGCCGCCTGGGCATTACACGACTGGGAAGCCATGGATGATTACATCGGGGGCATGAGGAACGACTCTCCTGATCGTGCTTTCTACAAAGCTATTCTTTCTGTCCATCAGAATCAGTTCCCAAAGGCTCTCAAGGAAATCGGAAAAGCTCGGGACTTACTTGAGCCAGAACTAACGTCCTTTGTAGGAGAAGGTTATGGTCGATCGTATAAGTGAGTGGCTGCTTATCCTAACATTGATGTTGTTGATAGTCGCTAGTACGTTGGTTCGCGCCCAAATGTTGTCTGAACTTGAGGAGATTATTATGTTCAAGCAATATGCCGACCAACCAGAACGCCAGCAGGCAATGCGCAAAACATGGATGAAGAGGCATGTTCATTTCATTCTTGGTTCTCTGGTTAACTCGACTCTTGTTTTACAGACTTCAGGGTTGTCAGCCAGAGGTAGAAACCTGGCAACGCATATTGCAAGTTAGAGCGTTAGTTCTCAACCCTGAAGATGACCCGGTCATGTGGATCAAATTTGCAAACCTCTGCCGCAAGTCAGATCGCATGGCTTTGGCTGAGAAAACAATCAATTCGTTGTTGTCACCAGAAAGAGTGGGTTACTGTACTTCACACAAAGAACAAACTTACATTGGACCTAGCTTCAGCACGTACGGGATGATCAACACATGAAAGCGCCACCGAACGTCGTTTACGCACATTTGAAATATATGTGGGCTAGCGGCTCCCGGGAGGAGAGCCTGAGCTTCCTCCGCCAGTTCTCTGGAAACCTCGCGAGGGACTTGCAGACAGAGAATAAGGAACACTCTCAGCGTACCAGTGTCGGCAAACAGAAACTGGAAGAGCTTTCGCGCTTGCTGGCACGCTGTTATTTCAAACAGGGGCAGTGGCAAGTCGAGCTAAAAGAAGACTGGGGTGCTGTAGGTTCATGTGCTGGCTTTGGGACCATCACTTATCACTGCTCGCAGCGCAACGTCAAGGATATTCTTCACTCCTACTTGCTGGCTACTCATTACGATCCCAACTGGTATAAGGCCTGGCATACGTGGGCGCTTGCAAACTTCGAAGTCGTCGGCTATCTCGAGAGCCAAAAGGAGAGTGTCGTTACCGATGTTCCTGGTAGTGGCCTCGCAGCACACACAGTACAGGCCGTACGAGGTAAGCGTTTGTGTCAGTGTGTCCTACTTTCTTTAAATCCATCGCAGGTTTCTTCCGGTCCATTGCGTTGCGTAACGAGAACGCTTTACAAGATACTTTGCGGTTGTTGACCCTGTGGTTCAAGTATGGTGCCCACGACGAGGTTAGCCAAGCTATGGCCGAAGGCTTCTCTGCGGTAGAAGTTGACACGTGGCTGGAAGTCATCCCACAAGTAGGAACTATAATTAATCATCCGCATTTTTACTTATGCTGTGTCGGCAGATCATCGCTCGAATCCAAACGCCCATCGCGAACGTGCGCCGCAATATCAATAACTTGTTGACCGAAGTCGGAAAGCACCATCCTCAAGCTCTAATATATCCTCTCACCGTAGCTTCAAAATCGTCCAGCGCTACCCGACGAAATGCTGCTCTACTTATAATGGATAAGATGAAGGAGCATAGTGCTATCATCGTCGAGCAGGTAATCGCCGCTGCCATTTGACGTCAAATTGGTGCGCTCACTAGACTTTTTAGGCCCTTTTGGTCAGTCAGGAACTTATTCGTGTCGCAATTTTGTGGCACGAGATGTGGCATGAAGGGCTCGAAGAAGCTTCAAGGTTATTCTTCAACGATAAGAACCCAGAAGGAATGATCGCTACGCTAGAGCCCTTACACGAGCTGCTGGAACGGGTGAGTTGTGACCCTTCACCCGAAGAATCGATCTGTCTTACATTCTGAAGGGCCCCACAACAGGCGCGCGAGATATCTTTTATTCAAACTTTTGGAAGAGACCTCAGGGAGGCGCGCGATGCTTGCCGGCGCTACCGAGAGTGTGGTGAAATGACTGAGCTCAACAAAGCTTGGGATATCTATTATGGAGTTCGTCGTGCCTCCTTCATTCCACTATAGTTCGCTCATGACTTCCTGTCGTCAGGTATTCCGGAAGGTGGAGAAACAACTACCTCAGCTTACTACCCTTGACCTGCAATACGTTTCGCCTCAACTCCTCAAAGCAAGGAACCTAGAATTAGCAATGCCAGGTGAGATAGACTCAGATATGAAGACATTGTTCACCCTCATAAGTGGTGTAGGAACATATCAAAGTGGTCGACCTGTGATCAAAATTGCCAGCTTCGCAACGAAACTTACTGTGATAGCATCGAAGCAACGACCAAGACGATTATCACTGAAAGGCGACGACGGCAAAGATTACATGTATTGTCTCAAAGGTACGTTGACAGCATCACATACTACCGTCAAAAGTCACGCATATTCCAGGTCACGAGGATATGCGTCAAGACGAGCGTGTCATGCAACTGTTCAGCCTCGTCAACACATTGCTTTCAGTGGACACCGACAGCTTTAAGAGACGCTTGCATATTCAACGATATGCTGTGATCCCATTGGCACCTAATGCCGGCCTCATGGAATGGGTTAAAGATAGCGACACCCTTCATGTGCTTGTTCGCGATTACCGCGATTCTCGTAAGGTGTTGCTCAACATCGAATACCGGTTGATGTTACAGGTTTGCCTTGCGAACTGTCGCAGTTGCTTCTCGTTTGCTGATCCGCGTCATAGATGGCTCCCGACTACGAGAATTTGACATTACTCCAGAAAGTTGAGGTGTTTGAATATGCTCTGGAAAACACCACCGGTCAAGACTTGTATCGAGTTCTCTGGCTGAAAAGCGCAAATTCGGAACACTGGCTCGAACGTCGTGCAACCTATACTCGTTCACTAGCTGTCAATAGCATGGTCGGCCACATCCTGGGTTTGGGAGACCGCCATCCATCCAATCTACTTCTCGAAAGAAGCACCGGCAAAATCGTTCACATTGATTTCGGTGATTGCTTTGAGGTCGCCATGCATAGAGAAAAATTCCCTGAAAAGATTCCTTTCCGACTCACGAGAATGCTTACGCACGCCATGGAGGTATGGTCAAGTTTAACGTCCTTGCGTGACCTGTCTTGACATCGATACACAGATCAGTGGCATCGAAGGCAGCTTTAGGCACACTTGCGAAATTACCATGTCAGTACTTCGGGATAACAAGGAGTCTCTTATGGCCGTGCTTGAGGCCTTCGTTTACGACCCACTCATCAATTGGAGGCTTATGCAGGCTGATGTTGATACAAGGAGACATGATGGTCTGTCGTTGTCGCGTGAATCAGCTACTCATGAATTAACGCTCCTTGATACTAGACATTGATGTTGATCCTGGGCGGGCCGCAGAGCTTGCAAGAGTTGCAGCGTACCCACAAGTACCAACCAGAAGGTTACGTGCAGACGAAAATGACATCTTTAACGGTATGCGTAGTCTCGCCCTACTTGAAGTAACGTTGAGAATTCTGCTTTAGAAGCCGTAGACGGGCCATTTGCAAGACAAGAGGTCAGAAACGAGCGTGCTTTGGCTGTGTACAACCGTGTGCAGCATAAACTTACTGGTTTGATCACTCCTTTTGCAGTCCTGACATACTTGACTGACTATGCTTGCGAATAGGAAGGGATTTTGATCCCAACGTGGTGCTTTCGGTACCGGTCCAAGTTGATAAACTCATCTTACAGGCAACATCTTTGGAAAATCTCTGCCAGTGTTTTTCTGGATGGTATGTGTCACTATCTGGGCTCGCAACACGGCACCACTGACGACGCTATTTGCAGGTGTGCGTTCTGGTGAAATCTGTTTCGTTGCACAATATCATCATTGTATAATGCTATGGTGGCAGACGTGTACAATACATATAACTTAGCTCTGCACTCAATGAGATAAATTAATACCCTGGGCACGTCTGTTATCGATTAAGTTGGATAACAATTCGTGATAGGTTTTGGAAGAAGCGCGTGGAGTATGAATATGAACTTCGGAACTGGGCGTCAAGGCACTTTAGACTGTTTCAACGGAACGCGTTGCGCACCGAAGCACCTAGAACTACTTGCACTCCGCATCGCTATCAACGAAAACCATGCCGCGCGGAATACCGAATGCTAAAAGGGATGATAGCGGCATGCGCTACACAGTCGATGCATGTTCCTCTCGCGTGCGTTGGGTACTAGCTGTGTCGAAGTTGAACTAGTGTAGCTGATGCTCCTCGGAGCACAGTTCTAATCCAAAACAACTGGGTGCATCGTACCTCAAATCAGAGTCACAGACACTATGGTCGAGAAATACAGCCAGGAAACAGAAATTGCCAGCAGAAGATGCTCCAGCACCTTCGCAAGACCAGAGGTACGGGCCCACCTCCTTTCTCAGACAGACAGACGAGTAAACTAGTACTGAAACGCCAAGCACAGACGTGGCTCACAGGTCATTGTCATCCATCCAGGCTCACGATGGTTGCGTATCGGTAAGGCCTCTGAAGTGACTCCCGTTTCAGTCCCCAATGTGATTGCGCGGAGGCACAAATCTCCCGTCCCAGAACCGAATTTCATAGAGGGCATTATGCGCCCGAGGAAGAGTCGCACCGCCCCGCCCTCCGCTGCGCCGCAACCCCCGAGTGGAGACGAGTATGCGGTGGCAGCCGCATCTGATGACCCCGTACGCCCCTTCGTCCCATCATACGATTCGCTGACTGACGAGCTGCCGAAATACAAAGTTTGAGGTGAAGCTGGCTTCCATCACGGTTTCTCTTCGGGAGCGTATGAGATTCTACAAGCTTCGTGTCACCCAAAATGCCACAAGTATTGCGTCGACCTTTAACGAGCAGTTCAGACCCGAAATTATTCCAGAAGCAAATGACCCTTCTCGGGTAGAGTGGATACACGAGCCCGACAAAGAGTACTTGATCGGCGAACAAGTAAGGGGTTCACTCTCACTCTCACTCACTCGCCCTCTATATATACATATATATATCCCGTGATATGGAGCATGTTGACGAGTTTCCGAGCAGGTCCTCCGAATATCTGACCCTCAACAACTGAACTATGCTGTCAGGTGGCCAATCCATGGATATAACTTTAACACTAGGGATTATCCATCTGTACAAATGATTCTGGATGACATCGAGACTATCATCAGCACTGCTCTTTACGAGAAATACAAGATGTCTCGTGGTGATTACAAGGTTCGTGGCCAAGAGAGGTCAAGGGCGAGTGAGCTTGTCCTAAACACATGCGTAGAACTATTCGGTTGTCCTCGTCATCCCGGACTTCTATGATCGTGCATATGTCCGCGAATTCGTGAACATCCTCTTGCGCACCATGGGCTTCAAGCAGATATGTGTTCAACAAGTATATCTACCAATAGCTTCCCCTTCCCCTTCCCCTTTGCTAAGATCTGTTCTAGGAATCTCTCGCAGCCACCTACGGAGCGGGAATTTCCAATGCTTGCGTTGTGAATATCGGAGCTGTCTGTACGAGCGTCGCTTGTGTAGACGAAGGCCTGGTAATTGCTGACTCCAGGTAAGGATGGATAACCCAATTACTTCGTTCGAGTTTCTGAGCATTCATGCAGGATTTCATTGAACATGGGCGGAAACGATATCACGGAATTTCTGTATGTGCTACTTGAAAAGATCAATTTCCCATATCGCGATATCAATCTTGCTCTCTGGCACGACTGGCATGTCGTAGAAGATCTCAAAGCTCGCCTGTGCACGTTGACCGAGGTGTGTGAACCGTTGTGGCACTTTGGGCATAAACAATGACGAACGAGCCCCAGGGAGACGTCGCATTAAATCTCTATGACTTCGTAGTACGACGGTATGGGAAACCAACAGAGAAATATGGCCTTCGCGCTTATGATGAGATAATACTCGCGCCCATGGTTCGTAGTGGGCTTCATCTTATTTTCATTGCTGATTTTACAACAAATCGCTTAGTGTATTTTTGAGCCACGAGTGATAGAGTTCGATAGAAAGAGGATCGGATCGAAGCCGATATCTAGTCCGGATGTGACAGAAGAAATCATTGAACATCCTGCAGACCATGTTGTAAGATTGATCATTTTGTTTACGTTTGTACATAGCTCCTAGGGTGCCCACAGACACAGGCGATGATAATATCCACTCAACACCTATTGCCACCACCACCGCCTCAACCATCACAAGCCCCGGTGCCCGCAGCACCACCAGAAGGTTTGAATGTTTAGTCGCCGTAGTAGCCTACATCCACTTCTCAACTTAATGTAACAGGACGTTCACCCCTTCCCTCTGAAAATGGGACAAAACTCGAGCAACAAGAAATATCGTTACCTTCTACTGCCAATCATACTCCACCTCCCACACTCCCGGCAAGGGAGCTGATCGAAGTATCCAATGGACCTGTGGAAACGGCTGATACAGATGTGGAAGAGAAAACAGCTCAAACGACCCAGCCTCCTGCGCAAAGTGCTCAACAAGTGCGGCTTGGCTCTGTGCCATCCAGCTCGAACTATCCAGGTGGTTTGCCCATCGATGTATGCTTTGAAGCGAGCAAACTTCCTCTGGACGTGGCCATTTTCAACAGCACTCGGTCATGCGGGGGTGATGACAAGATACGCAAATATCTTCAAGCTGTTTTGGTAATTGGTGGAAGCGCACAGATCCCTGGCATGGCCCATGCTCTCGAGAGCAGGTCAGCGATCAGCTATCTATTATAACCCGGGGCCAGTTCCTCACTGTTCGATAGGTTGCAGGCCATTGCAACACCTCTAGTGCCACACATGGAGAAGGTGCAGATTATACCGCCCCCCAAAGATGTTGACCCGAAGATACTCGCATGGAAAGGTGCAGCTGTGCTTGCAAAGATGGATTCTGTTGCCGATCTGTGGCTCACATGCACTGACTGGGTATGTGGATGGGACCACTTTCATGGATGAGAGCGGCTGCTGACAACTTTGATAGGATATACTCGGTATGAGAGGTCTGAAAGAGAGATGTTTTTACCTATGTTAAAGCCCATGAAATATTTGGCTATGTAGTTCACTTTTTCATTGTGTGCGTGTACATACCTCCATATGAGACATGGGATAATCGGCTCAACGGGGACGAACTGTCCGTCTAATTGCGCCCATCCTTCCCGCAATGATGTATTACATAATTTGAAATTTGAATCTCACATCCTCACATCCGTTGCCCGGAGCAGAGCAATGGATCGGGTTGGTGTGGAGCGGTGGCACACTTGTCCGTGTTTCCCATACAGAGGTGGAGTCTGATAGCTGTGGTAAGGTGGCCATGAGCGGACAACGTGCGCAGTACTTTTGTATATGATGTTGTTGAGTTATCCCGACTTTTTTGCTTCCTTCGCTCGCTGGTAGCTTTTCTTCCCAGTCGATCAATCTCATCACGACGGAGCGTGATTTTCAAATAGGCGGGAGGGAAAGGACGAAACTGGAATCGGATAACATGCAAGATGGGCGATCTCCCTCCCGTACTGTACTCCCAGGGACGGGCAGTATTCAGATCGCTCACCCTGGCATTCAGGATGCCTTCGTCGGTTCGTTCGCTGTGTGACCGCGTGCACTCCTGGAATCGCCCGAATGATGCGATTCCCTCCGCATTACCCCAGAAAATCCCATACATACCAACTTCAGCTCCAGGCACCTCAGGGTGGAATTCCCGGCTAAGACAAGTATGTACTTTGCTGACATGAAACCCCCTCCACGCAGCATGCGCGTGCTCAGAGTTCCACGGGTTGGGTGATGCAAAGAACCACTTAATACACATCTACGCTTCGTAGATCTTGGGAGTTCCTCTTTGCCAAGGGGTGTGGGCTGCGGCGCGTCGCCACAGGCCCCTTCCTCGGAATGAGCCAAGCCCATTACAGTTCAATTCTCTCACTTCGGGAGTCTCGGGCAGATTCGTGTGGAGGTGTACTGGGACGTTCTTTCCCCTAGCGTGTAGTGATATATACATTTGTGAGAAACAGGCCATGACGGAACGTTCCGGGTACGAAGACCCATGGCAACTTCCCAAGAGACGTGAAGACATCCCTGACATCTCCACGAAGTTCCGGACGAACGTGGCGGAGTCATGGATGTCGTTGTTCATGTTTCATTGACAAGTGACAGACTGACATGGCACCTCATGGCACGTCTTGCAGGGTCCGCTTCAGGGTTTTGCAGCTGTCCAATCCAATCCCTCGTTTCTGACGCGCCGCATCAAAGATCCACCATGCCGTACAGAATCAATGGCCGGGAGAAAACTGGTTCCGCAAATATTATGGCATTTCTTTGTGTCAACGTCATCGATAATACAATAAACAGCGCTGCGATGGGATCACGCACCCCCAAGGTTTTATTATCGAATGCACGTCGATGCTCTCTGTATATGGACCATGCGGCCGCCGGTGCGAAGTCGCAGTTACAAAGTCCGATATAGCATCAAAACCAAACTTTAAGTACATACATACCGTCACCGAGGTCTCTGGCTGTGTTTTGTTTTGGGCGTTGGTCGGGGATGAGTTGATGGGCTGTGCGCGGACCGAAATACCTCAGTAATATGTTCCGCTGTACATCCACGCATCCTGATCCGGAAGTGACACAGTTTTGAAGGTGTCTAGGCGTGACATACATATAGGAGGGTGAGCACGCCATCCTTGTGGAGTGATGCAGGGCGGAGACGCCGAGCGCTCATTAATGCCCATTGCTCAGGGGCAGAAACGAGTGTCGCTCTTCTGACGGCTTTGACGGGGTGATGCATGTGCCTAATACTCAGGGACCTGTTGATTGCAACGTCTTCTTGACGATGATGACTCGGAGCAGGAGTTGCATCCGGCACCTGCATAATGACAACCCTAGTAGTACATTGGTAATACCGGTGCATAAAATGATATCCTGATGCAGTCGGCCGAATGGGGCACGACCACGATTGGTGGAAAACACCGATTGCACCGTGTGATAATTGGTCGCCGTCGGAATGGGATGCAGTGCGAGTACGAGACGCTGCGGCGGGTCGTTAACGGGGCCACAGGATACTGAGGGGGAGACGGTATTTATATTTTATCGCGGGAGAACACATGCGGGGGACGAGTCGAGTTGTCGGCAAGTGCACAGACTTACTGGAGGGGGCGATGGGCCGGTGGCGTCGCAGATGCGAATGCATCCGAGGGCCCGCGAAACGCCGAAGAAGGAGAAGAAGGGGAATGGAGGTGCATTGTCATGAGGGGTGGTGGCGAAACTCTACCTTGAAGTGGGTTGTTGACGCTGGGAGACTGGGAGCTGCGGCTCGCGTGTGTCAGACAGAGGATGTCCTAATGGGGAAGTCGGAAGCAAAACACGATCATGTCACTTGCCTAAACGAGTATTATTGCGTTAAGACGGGATCCAACCCACGCCTGCGGGCCCGAACATTCAGTGAATAAAGGCGTAAGCAAGCAGTCAAAGGAGAGCGGGGAGTAGCTGTGCAGGCGGTGATAACTCAGCGCTGCACGGCGGTTTATCAGAATGGCTTGCGCCGAAGACTAGTAGTACGCAAGGACCGAGACGGAAAAACTACGGATATGTCAAGGATATCAGAGAGAGCTTCCGTATTCGGACGATTGTCGCGTGACAGGCTCGAAATGGAGGGTATGTTTCCAGAAATGGACTGCAATAAGAAGTCGAAAAAAAGACGTTGTTCGGATCTGCAGATTTCACTTCTCCTTCCTCTTTCCTGCTTCTCGAGAGAGATGGGAATGTCACGCCTGTCACGGCATTGGGCGAGCGCTGGCTGAGGATGTGATGTCAGGATCTGAGATGGCAAAGTCGACGAGAGATGCTTTGTCATGCGGTTTAGTTATTAAACAGACTTCCCGATCACCCCAAGATCGCGTCAATCTCGTTCGTGGGCCAGCGGACGAGTCCTTCCATTCTACACTCGGTTTCTTTCTCAGCTTCTCCTCCATATGCTCTCCATCCAACCCCCTCCTCTACTCACCATACCAGACCTTACCACCCTGGACCTGAAGCATCCTGACCTCCTTGGAGACACTCACCCAACGGCGGACACAACTTCAACCATACAATTCTCTCCATTCAATGACTCGCTCGAGTCCACTGCCAGTTCGCCTGCAGAGCCTTCTGTAGGCTCCATGTCACTGCCATTCAGTCAGCACCATCAGTTCCATCACTTGTCCGGTTCGGCAAATTCCCATGCTGTTCCTCCGGATTTGGACGGTACCAGAACCATGAACGTTATGATGGACCACTATATACGGGGAAGCGATAAATACGCCCATTCTCACAACTCCCCTCAGGATCAACGCCGCATGTCTGAGCCAGCTATGTATGGCACCACAGCTAGCTCTTACTCCGCCCATCCATCCTCTGATCTAGTCGCTAGTCGATATCACCTCTTCAACAACAACGCCTTCTCGTATGCCTCCCCCAGATCTTACTCTTCCTCGTTGCACCGTACATCCTCTCTCGGCTCTTCCTCCTCTTGTGACCCCGTAACCTCGTTCGACCATCAAGTCGACCTAGATCAACCCTTGTCTCCCTTCAATCCGTCCTTCTCGGGAGGGGAACCACCTTCAAGCATGGGCGTTCACAATATCCCCCTCCATGAAGACTACGGTCCATCCCCACCAGGCACAGGTACATCCTCGTCATCAAATCCCCTTGCCACGCGCCAGCTCTCGCAGCAAGACGGTGGCTCACCCCCCAGTTCCAAGCAATACTCCTTTGTTTCCCTACCTGGAAACGCCGTCAAAAAGCGTCCACGCAGGCGCTACGACGAGATCGAGCGCCTCTACCAATGCTCTTGGCCAAACTGCACAAAGGCCTACGGCACCCTTAACCACCTCAATGCCCATGTCACGATGCAGAAGCATGGCCCGAAGCGCAGCCCAAATGGTGAGTTTCCGCTGAATTTTTGAGTCGCAGGACCAAAAAATTATTTCTCTTGCTCCGGTCCGATCGCTGACCATCTTCTCCATTCCCCAGAATTCAAAGAGCTTCGCAAACAGTGGCGCAAAGCCAAAAAGGAGGAGGCAGAAGCAAGAGCGCTGGATAGTATGGCCATGCGGCAGACTCCGCAGCACCCCTCTCAGCGCCATATCTCTCGCGAGTCACTATCAGATACGGAGTATTCACCCTACCACCACCGCATGCCTCACGGCCTTCACCCCGTCCCGTACGCCACCTCAGGTGAGCTCCATGACGCTCAGACGTACCATCGCGAGATGTATGTCCGCAGACAGCAGCATCAGCGTTACAACAGCACCTACGTGTCTCCCACTACAGCAGCAGGTAGCAACGGCCAACCTTACCATCCTGTCTCCTTACACAACTCCAGCATACCCATGAACCGTTTGCCCGCGAACAGCACATTGCTCACGCCACCAGCGGGGTATGAACCACATTCCGTGGGCTCTGTGCACCACATGGAAAATTATGGAACATATGAGTTATACCCTCCTGATGCTCGCCCGGATTCTGGCCACGGCAGTGTAGGGAGCTACGACGAGAGGAGGCGTGCCATGTCTATCTCGTACGCAGAAGACGGACGACCTCGTTCAACGCACCTCAGCCTGGGCTCGGGTCATGCACCAGACTACCATTGACTGACATCGCCCTTCTGTTTTATTCGACTTGCTCTTTTTTTTTACTGTCCACGGTACTGCAATTGTTCTCCAGCAATATGGTCTCGTTATAGGTCATTTACCCTCACATGAATTCCTTCTTTAATCGTGGCAAACGTACATGTAGAACCAGTCAAAACCCCTCCCTTCCCAGCATCGAATCCAGCTATCTGCGCCAGAGCCTGCGTATACTTTCCTATTATTCTTTTTTTCTCACATGGTCAGGGAGTCTTAGAGGTGCTCCTGGGCCTAGAGGTTTTTGTCGTCGTTTATTTTTGCATAATAATTTACTACGCCAGTTTTGGGTGCAACACGATTACTACAGTGTAATATTAGGCTTCGATGTGGATAGCTACATACCTGGTTCGTACGAGATCATGCGGGGTTTCAAGTACGTAAGTCCGCGGCTTTGTGGTCCCGCATGCAAACCGTGGGTAGCATATACATACTAGCTATAGATTGTGTATAACAAGTAGCCATATGGAAGACAGTCAGTAACCATCGCCGTCTCAGTAACACCAAGGAACCAGCATGGGTGATCGTTTCTTTAACGTGGCGTTAGTATGAATTCAGGCTCCAGCAACGTCGAATCCGTGATCTGGACTCTGATTGAAACCAAATCACGAAATCGGCGATGGTGCGATGCGATGCGATGACAGGGAACGGAACGTTGTTCGCGTAGTATACCCTGGCACGGAGTCCCTCCAAGCTTGACCCTCCACATGGCGGCAACGTGGGCGCCCAAACCGAGCCCGACACTGCAGTGGCGCACGGTGGAGAGTCTGCGTGCTTTGTCGTCGCCGTCGCCGTCGCCTTCACACGTTCCTACAGTGAGTCCAGACTCGGAGCGATAACTACCCCTGCCATGCAACCTGCACCGCAAGCTCACAGGTTAGTAATACAGCGCGCCACTACCTATGCAAACGCACATACATTTTAGGGTTCACACAGCAAGTCTCAGTCGCCTGCTATTCGGAGCGTGCCTGGCCGGCTTGCCAGGATTGGTGAGTGATTTATCGGGTGTGGTTCTATTGGTTGTACATATGTACAACGTGCAATGGAGGGGGGAATTACGCATCAAATATACACCGTCTCAGAACCCTGTGCCGCGGCGTAATTCTGCGGCAAGTACCATATGATCCATTGGGCCTTGGTCCTTTTGTTCTCTTCCGGCGGATGGGCCACACTGTTGTGACTGGACATGCTCGAGAAGGGATCCCTCAGGTCCTGACCCAGTTCCAAGCCCCACCCAGGGTGGATTGGGTTGAGCACGTGCAAGCGATCCGTTGCTCGTATCCAGGGTTTCTTGTGCCATGATGTGCTTTGCGTGCATACGAGGTTTCCAGCACCTGTTACTATGCACAGACCTGCCACAATCAGATTATCAGACGAGACGAGGGAAGACGTCTTTAATCTCATGAGAGCACTCTCATAGTTACTCAGACAGGAGGGAAGAACCAAGGAACCACATCCAAGGTGTACATAGATAGGTACGTTACTTACGCCCTTGAATTCACCACACCACGAGGGCTGCCCGACTGGAGTAGGCCAGGGGACCGATCGAGAGTGCCCCCATCGGAAGTCCTCCCATTCATTGCAACTACACGTGTGGGAAGAATGTTTGCATATTATGTGTGTGGTGGGCAAGAATCCGGCAACACTTCCCTCCTTTGCATGCCGAGTGGCGGCGGCAAAGTCCATGGCTCCACGAGTGTTATGTCAAGTCACTGACCGTTGCGAAGGGGCGAAAAGAGTCCTGCAGGGGAGATGGGAGGGGAGTCTGGATTACTTGTTTGCTGTGCTTACAATTACGCCTGATTGAGATAGGCGAACGAAGGCATCACATGCATCAATTCCAAAAAAGCCTGTGCAAGTGCTGCGACTGTGAACTGTGCACGGTACACCAGTACCGCGTGATATAATATTTTTGCGATGCATTTAACGACAATGAACGTGTTAAGGGGTGCGATGCGCGAGACAAAGTAGTCCGATGCGTGGCACGCTTGCCAGACGTGACCAACGTCTTCAAATCTGCACTTTATTATGAAACGTTCAGCGTGTCAGCACGAGGTCTCTGCGCCCATGCTGAGTAAAGGCGGGCTTGAGACTTACAGCATCTCGTCTTTTGCTTACTCGCTGCTTGCTGTAACTCTGATACATGTACCATGAACCGATGAGCCCGTGTAGCATCAATCGGTCAAGCGGATCAATCGCTTTTGTATTTGTTTTCTGACACCAGCAGGCTGGCGCCATCCGGATTGTGACACGAGGTCGTGCACATGGTAGGGATGCAGCGTGCAGCGTGTTACACTCATGAGAATGAGGTCCTTGCGTACTGCTCGTCCATGGCATGTATTGCATTCTGGTGGCCTGTAGTCCTGCGACGCCAAGAGATCAGCGATGCGGCCGGCGGCCGACTGCAAACCGAGCAATGACGGAGAAGCATTTCACTTCGCTCATCGTGTCTTGTGGGGATGCACATATCACCGGTCGCTCCATACTCGCATGCGCGGGGGATCATTATGTTCCCCAATCGGATCAAACGACTGAGCAATGCACATGCATACTACCCACCAAGAAGCCAGATGGCAAGACCCGGGCGACATGTTTCGTATGTCGTATGTAATGTTACGACTCAGATTGGGTTCCAGTTAGGTTTTCGCAAGTGACACGGACTCACGTTTGTTGAAATGGAAACACGCATCAAAAAGTTCAAGTCGAGGCAGGAAGGTTGCCGACGGAGTCGGCACTACCTCTGAGCCGGCCGTTCGCCAAGATTGAGGAAGCTTTCCAAAACTTCGGTATATATATTAGTTTGCCGTGAAGCACCCAACTTCTTCATCGTGGCGCTTGTGTGTGAACACATTGCGCACATGCAGTGTCCGCGTCGAAGAAGCATAAATAAGTATCTTGTTCGCAAGCGTCGGGAGAAAACATCCACCCCGGAGGTTGGTGTTCAATGTATGTAGGCAGCGGAGCATGGTAAGTGGACCGGTCGAATTAGACGTCGAAGCTGGGGAAATCGGCTATGCAGTCAGCTGAAACGAGTATACCGGGAACTTACTTAGCTGCGCTCAATATCGGCGACCTTATCTGTCGGGCGCCTCGTACGATACGTACTGGGCAATTGTGACAAGATATGAATCCGACAGTTATGGGGCATGTGTATCAGAAGCCCGTGATTCCAGAAACACCCAGCATGTGTACGTCATGCATCATGGCGTGCTGGCACTCAAACCTTGAAGGAACCGAAGGGCAGCGTGCACGATTCTTGCCTGTAGGTGATGCCTATTCGTCCCCTGCTCGTTTGCAATTGCTGTCTTGTCAAGGGCGCGTTCCTTCTTTGCAGGCAAGGACTCAGAGGAACCTCGAGTCCGGCCCGGGAAAGGTCGCCCACCAGCCAATCAGCATCTATCTAATATATCGCGACGTACCCGGCCCGGAGTCTTGAAGATAAGGTGACAGGTCTTCTTGGGTCTCTTCTTCCCGCGGGGTTTTGCGCTGTCAAGATGTCGTCTTTTGTTTTTGTTTTGCTTGTCGTTATTATTTGGACGCGTCGATCAAGAAGGCAGGCTTCCAGCTCGGCCAACTATTTGTGGCGCCACCGCCGCCGCCGCACGACGCCGTGCCGACAAACATCTTTTGCGTTCCATGTTGCTGCATATTCATGTTCCCTGCTTGTGGGGGAGTCAGATGATACACACATTGAGGGTCTCATATATGTTATCAGTGTCCGAGATATCAAGAGACGTCAACGCTGTCACCACTACATATTATATGCTCCTACTTACTGTGCACGTCTTCAGAGACGGTGTCATATTTCAATCAGAACCTTGGCTCCTCACACTCATCACGATTGCGAGCGAGCTTCGGTTAGATATCCGCAACGATCTCATATAATATATTTGGTGTACTCAGCCCTGAACATCGTGTCAGGTTCCGAATATTAGCCCCGTTAACACTTTCTGAAGCACAGATCTGCCAACCGAATCATGGGGTAATAGTGCTATCTATCCGCATCTATCATACTGTAGCTGCAACACCACATGGTTTATTCCATATCCAGTTTCCATCGAGAATGTTTATTTACTCGAGCACGAATATCTAACGCACTCGGTTTTCATGTCAGTCGCTTTCGTATGCAACAGGATGAAGAAGGTTATGACTCGTACGCCAAGGGAACTAGGCTGGCACACCGAACACACGTGTGTAAGCCTGAGTCTGGGACCATGTTGATCCTTGAAAGGCTGTCACATTCATATGTACATAAATATGACAAGATGAGGGGAAAACAAAACGAGTCCATTGCCATAGGAAACATACCAGCGTTTGTCAGATTTTAATAAATCCCGCAATATTCAGGAAAGCCGCACGCCTGGAGTACGGCCCGTTGGAGCGGTGACAAGTCTGCTATGAGGCATCCTCGTCGGGGTGTACTTCGGGTTGGGGGGAAGCAGTTATTCACTGTGCGTTCCAACCATCGGGCAAATTCGTTCTCTGAGTCGCCGAGTGCAGAAACTTATGTCAGGGAAAGTCGCTTTGAGTCACTATCCAGGCGACCGCCCACATCGAAGACAGAAGGGAGCAGAGCGCGGTGAGACCAACCAGCACACCACTTGCATGGACGCTCGATCCATTGACTCACCCGACCTGCTCTCGACCTCGCTAACACCGACTAAAGGTCAGCTCAAATGGTGCTCAGCAAGACCGGAAGAGCGGTCAACATACGTCATGGTAGACTATATGACACCGAATAGTGTCGACGTTTCCTAGTGGTGACAGCTGCAAACCTGGAAAGCTGAACAAGACTTTGGAGACACGTTATTCCGCACTTTAATGCGACTGCATGGGCCAATAATCGGTCTGCCGTATATAATTCTATTACGGTGTGTGTTAATCGGACGAGGAAGTAAGAAGAATCACCGACCAAAGTTCCCACCATCGCTATCAGTCAATGTGGAACAGAGGCACGAACCTTTGTGAAGGATGAAGGAACTTTAGGTCAATGCTATCCCAAGTGGCGGTAGCGTGTACGACGGCATTCAAAGTTTCAGCCAACAACAATAACAAGGATGACAACCCACGTTCTGCGTCAAGGGCGAACCACCAGGTATCACGCTGTTTAACGTTACCTTCGCGTAAACTAGCCAAACCAGGGCGAGCGTCTTGCGCTGTTTGAGGTCTGAGCCAGATGCCGTGACACTCAAGAGGCCAAACAAACCAAGGTCCTTTTATATTCAGTATAAGCCGCATGGGGAATGGCCCTCTCCACCTAACATGGAAGTATACATACATAGTTGGAGACAGCCAACCACGCACGAACGGAAGGCAGAAGGTGGGGGAAAGCGGTCCTAATGGCGAGGGAATACAACGATGCATCACGCAGTTCTGCAAACAGAAACTGAGGTGATGCCAATCGACCAGACCGTTGCACACAAGAGTCGGTCCCGTATCGTTTGAACGTACTGTGTATGTCATGACGATAGCATCGGTACATGTCACATCAGTATATTCCACAACAGCCTTGACCAGCTATGGTTCCGCCGGTTCAAGGAGCTAGCGGGGAACTGTCAGATGCATTGCGACGTGTCAGGGCTACGGTAATGGTGATCAGAAATAGAACGTTGTCCACTTCCCATCTTGACGAATTTTGAGGGTGGAAGCAATGAAGGTAAGGGCGTAAACCTACTGTGCACAGCGCTGCATGCTGTACAGCAGAAAGAACTCACGGATCTTCGGAGGGAAAAACCTACCGAATTATAATATCCCTTTGTGATATCAGAACTCGCCCAAACGGTCAAACCTTGAGAATGCACAGCAGATCGCAAGCAGCACGAGAAACAAACCACGAGGACAGTTGACTGATCACTCATGCAGTCTGTAATCCGATCATTACACGGAATAGGAAAAAATAATCTAAGTTCAAGATGAGGACACCGCAGAGCGCAGAATTTTAGAACTGCGGTCTGAGTTAAAGTTCATACTGCTCACCGCTGGTCAGATGCTCGCACGGCGTCTGAGCTCGCTCAGTCCCCACCCGACGTGAGCACGGGAGAGACCTTACTTGGTGGGGATAAGAGCAGCTGGAAAATTCGCAACAAACAGCGGTGGGGGATATTGACAAGAAGCAGAGCCATTTCGCGGCCGACCGATCGGGTGAAATGGAACCACTTAGCGACGCTGTGGATGGCGGCCGTGCCAAGACGAGTTCAGTAAAACGAAAGGTGAAGGGCTATGTATTACAGTGCTTAGCAATTTTCCTCGACATCTGCGCCTGGGAGCCGACTTTTAGCACATTAATTAGGCTGTTCTCGAAACTAGAAATCAGGATGGTGGTCGTTGAGGGGGGCTGCTACGGGTGCTTCAACACTTCCCCCGACCCCAACATAGCGTCGATGGCTATTACTCAACGACGTGGCGGGCCGCCGGAAACCCCTTACGGTAACCCCCCTCAGCCTACGGGTGACCCCTCCCAATCGAAGACCCTGTGTGACGTCATCATAACTTACTTGGAAATATGTACCTGTAATGGACGTGTCAGCCCTGGCAGTGGCTGACCCGGGTCCGACGGTTCAGGCTCAAGGCTGCGGTTTTTGGCACTGTCGAGACGGCGACGACGACGACAAGACCAACTCAAGGTAGTCATGCCATTCAGGCTTGCGGAGATCCCCATCGAAGTTCTGCTTGACAACTTTCTGCCCTTGCTTCCTGTCCCTGACTTGAACAATCTCGGGTCGACAAATCGGTTCTTTCATAATCTATGCAATGACAATACCTTTTGGAAGAGGAAGATCCAAGAGGATTTCAATTTCCCGTGCAACGATACCGCGAGGAGCAGTGGTTGGAAGTTTATCTATCGCGGCTTGAGAAATCCACGCACTTACGTCTGGGGGTGAGCTCTTCATTCCGACCATTGGAGGTTGCACACTCAATATTTGATCCTCGGCTCCACTTTGTAACATTGCATAGAGAGTCGTCCAAAGGAAGGTTGGGCGTGCCAAAGTTCCGAAAGGCGATTATCGGAGATGCCCCGTGGCCAGTCCGGCTCCAAATCGGCCGCCCTGGCATCCGTATCGTCCACTTATCTGCAGCGGGAATGTACGTACATCTATGTCTTCCACAGCTAGCGAGACAACGTTCGTCGTTCAGGTCATTCTTCGCTATCGATTCTGCAGGCGATCTCTATGCTTGGGGTGAACCATATACACAAACTTGCCAAAGTCTCCCGATTGACGATTTGGGTCAGGCACACTGGACGGCTTGGGGTTTGCCCCACCTAACGAAGGGTATTCTGCACCAGGAAAGATTGCATTACAACCAAAAAGACTACAGCTGCCCGCCCCGACACATGCTATAAGGTAATACAGAACTTGCTGTGTCTCGGAGCTCACTGAAGTGATATATATATATCCAGTTGTGGAAGACTGCATGCGACGACTCTAGACGAGAACATGCACATTTGGACCATTTTGAGTTTTGGACGACCCTTCCGTTTGGTAACGCCGTTCTTGGATGTGAGTTCTCCCCAGACATCACCCCACCAAGTGGTTTCGGGATGGAACTTCTCCGCTACATTGACAAAGACTGGTGGCGTGTATGTTTGGTTCCCATGGGGCGCACAAATCTCCAGAGAAATCGACCAGCAGAACGACATGATGAATCAACAGGGTCAGAGGGTAGATGAATTTGAAGAAGGCGTTATACCCTGTGTGACCTGGCAACTCCACCACGATCCCCATGGGTTGCCTGATCTTCCACACTTACCTTGTCTTTCCAGTGGCACCTATTCCAAGGATATTCGCCTGGTGAAGATCGCAGCGATGGAGCACGACATTGTTGGACTCACCAACCAGGGGCACGTCATTAAGTTCTGTTTGCATGGGGGTGAGCTATCCAGGTGGACGTCATGGGAATACGTCAGTTTCGTTTTCTCTGTCGGTCAGTGATGACCCTTCTGAGCTTCTATCGCAGCTTCCCTTGTTCTCTGAACCTGACAAAATCAAGGAACATCTAACATGCATTGTCCCTGGAATACAGCTTCCTGACAACATTCTGATCACTCACGTAAACCGAACTTGCTTGCGTGTCGTGTGCTCCTGCGCTCACTTACCCTCTAGATCTCTGCTCAATTTTCAACTTTCGTTGCGTATTCCACTGGGTCTAGCTCGGTAGTCCTCATGGGTACAAGGGAAACCGACACCCACAGCAGACCGGAAATTATCCCCTCATTGCAGAACCGCAACGTCATTTCTGTTGTCATCGGAGACTATCACTACGGGGCATTGACGTCCACGGGCAAATTATTAACATGGGGCAATTTCTCCCGTGGCGCACTTGGTCTGGGAGACCCTGCGAGAATTGAACCCGGTAAGCCCGGAGGGTATATAAGCGAAACACAGCGACAGTCGGCTGCCCGTCATGGAGGGCCATTTCCGCCACGTGTGACGGAGCCCACCGAAGTCAGGTTTGATCACGACGAGAAGCGCCGCCGGGAGAGGTTCTGTTTTGCAGCGACGGCGGCAGGGTGGCACATGGGAGCGCTGGCGATTGATCTTGAGGTATGTTCTCCGTACGTCGACTTGGGCGTCATAATTCCCCAACTCTGCTATATTAGCCAGACGAAAGCGATGAAGACGAGGAAACGGTGCGCATGCCTGGAGGTTTTCCTCCCACTCAAGAGACTTCGCATGACCCGGATGACCCTGGCCCCAGCTTCCCATTCGCCATAGGGCCACCACATTTGTCGATATACAGAATTGGTTTTCCTGGGAGAGGTGGAATTCGCGGTTGGCAACCCCCACGCGGGCGGGGTGGTTGATGGGCATGGGCATTTTTCACAATGTAGAAGGGTGTATGGTGGCTATGGAGTTGTATCTTTGTAGACGAATACTTGTATCTCACGTCACTGTATCGAAGGATTCTTATTCACTCTGCAATACTGGAAGCTGCTCGTCTTGGGTCCTCTCCAGCATTTTGACAAGCAGACAGCAGCACCCTATCTAGGGATTTCCAAACCTTGGATCTACATCACTGTTAACTCCGCGTGGATCGATATTGTTACAGCTGCTTTCAAAAGGGGCATGAAAATTTACTTGCCATGAATTTCAGTGCTTGGTAGGGATTCGAGTTCAACAGACTCTCCTGCCTGAAGATATGTAGGTGGTGGCCTCTGGACTGCCACTTCTCCCCCGGTTCCTAGGTTTGACTGAGCCTAGACTGTGGAACCCACCACAGTAGGGGTGAGCACACTCAGGACAAATCGCAACAAGACAGAACGTGGACAGGCGTGTGGGATTGAACAACCGAGCGTACGCTCTGATACAGGATGATAGAGAGAGAAAGGAAGAGGGAAAAGAAGATATCCCTGCGCATACATGTAGCACCGATATATATACCCCCAGGATCCAAACAGTGCAACACAGCGAGAGGGATCCGCATGCCCAGACAAGGAGATAGGAGACGTGATAGTGCGGTGCGACAGGAGATGTGACAGCGTGAAGCAGTAGCGTGAGCGTGAGTGACGCGTGAGTGGTAAGTGTACGCTTACAGACTGCCTTGTGTCCTGACCTAACCTGAGTCTTCTGGAATTGGGTGTGGAGGGCGCGGCAGTTCATCCCCCGTACCAGACATAAAGCCATCCCAGTCTATGGGGCGCTAGTAGGTTAGTCTTACGTGCATGGTAAGTTGGTGTGAACGAAGCATTACAGAATATTTGAAGATAGGTCTCCCATTCGTGTGGGCGATGTCGTTGGTGAAATTGAACATACTGTCTGTTGACAGGAAGAGTAGAACATCTCTGGGGTACCTCCGAAATATCATAACCCGTACTTCAGGAGTAGTGGTATTGTGATTTAACTTAGGGGTACTCGGTAGGCATTAGGTTCGAGCAACGCAGTGACCAAGAGCTGGATTACATAAATACCAATGAGTCAACCTGCGGAGAAAAATAAAAAGATCCGGGCCTGGCCGGGAATTGAACCCGGGACCTCCTCCATTTGGAATACCCTAAGAAGGAATCATACTACTAGACCACCAGGCCTCTGCGGAGGTTGCGTTCAGGTCTTCTGAGTTCACGGAGTACCGCTTTAGGATACGCTACGATGTTCGTCGTGCTGTAAAGGTGTGGAGCTGGGACACAGGGAAGCAAGAATCAAGTCCGCTCCGCAATGTATAATATAAAGGGGAACCCATGCCGGTATCCATAGGAGTCTCAATAGTCAAGAAACGCACATATCGTTCGTTCATAAGAAGGGCTGGGTGACATGGTGTACTAAAGCTTGAGCGATGGGAAGCGCATCCTCTTGCGTTGACTGTATGGGCTTTCGACCGGAACATGGTCTACTGGAATGGCGGGAGGAATTACACTGGTTTTCCACCTACATCGCTGGATGGATGACTCGGGTGATATCTTCCCACAAACCGAGGCAATGTGGTGGACAGCTCGCGGGGAGGATGGAACAGAGAAATCGTCCATCGTACGACGATAATACGCACTCTGGTGTGTGAGACTGGTTGCAGGAGCACCCGAAGGTGGCTGATGGAACTGAGAACGACGATAAACTGGGTAAGTGATTAATGATCTGGAATCCCTTGCAGGTAATCCAGTAATGTTCTAAACAACATGAGAGAGGGAAACGTGTCAAACTAAAATTAAAACGAACATGTGAATCATGTAGGGAGTCCATCGTTCTACGATAACCCTGCGTGACCGTCGGTATCGAGAAAGCTCGGGAAGTTGCTGGGCCCTGCTGATTGGAAAGAGTTAACCATGAAAATGGATGGGAAAGCGAGGTTAGTACTAACGGAAGCATTCACATATGTCTCTTGTTCACTCTTTGTGTCGTTAGAAAATGGCGTGGAGATCTTTCCTTCCAAGGCGGTGGCACGAGAAGCCATGTGCCAGGATGTTGGCGACCTCCCGCGTGAATGATTATGGCTCCCACAAAGAAACTTTGTGCTCGATGCTGCAGGTCTCAATTTACGAGAAGCAGCCCTGACCCAATCAGCAAGATCTTCCAGTTGTTGAAGTATATCGACGACATCCTGGGGAAAGCCAGTGTTTCGTTCTTCATGCCTGAAGTTGGCGGAGAGAAGAGCACTGTTACGCTTCTTTCCAGAGGCATGTTTATTGTCATCGGCGATACCGTACATGCTGTGTCGGTTGTTCTCCGACCTGGGAACAACAACGTGTATCCTACTAGCTTGCTTGGGGGCACATTCACGATTTGGTGGAAGAACTGGACTTTGAAGAGACGAGGCGATGGTATCATCTTGATTTGTTAAGTTAACTCGAGTCATCGGTAAGCCTTCCGCCTGGATAGTCTTCTGTACGTCTGGCACGAGCAGTGCACACCGCGGGATAGCGGTGTTAGATATACGAAAATTTGATACAATGGAGTAAGGAGAGTCCACGGTGCGAGAGAGAACCGCAGAAGAACTACTGCCAGACTTCTGTGGCGCAGTAGGTGAGTTGTCATGTGGAAAGCCTAGCAGAGCTGTAGCAAAGGAAGGGTAGCCTGCTGAAAAGAATACGGTCGGTAGACAAGCTGAAAGCAAGAAAGCGAGCCGTGCCATAGGTCGTATCAACCTGACTTCAGCCCCATTTTGAATGCTTGGAGGGGAAAGGTTAGATTCACCTCGCATGACAGAATGGTGGTGGTTGCTTTCAAGGGATTATAGACGAAGTCTACTTCGCAGTCGATCCTGGTCCACAGAGGAGAACAAATTCTGGCGGTCCTTTCGATTCGACTGAAGTGAGCAACAAGCCATCCGCACTCCAGAGCATTGGTGAGGGAAAGAAACGACGCACTTCGAGTTTTGTGGATTGAGAAGACAGCCTCCCCGGTACCCTGGGTGCGTAAACCAAACAGGAGGGTTAAGCGTCTTCGATGTCTTGCTGCTACTACACAGCGACGAACAATATGAACGGCGTCTCGTATCCCCCGTGATGCACGATTCCCTCGTGGCTTAATGTCGGTAACTAGAAATTATCAGGCCACGAACGGAACAGACGCTCAGGAATAGAAATCCAGATACACTCGTCGTCGACATCAGATCGACAAGCTAAGCCCAAACCTTTGGTCAGGACCTCCGACCCGCCGGAGGGTTCAGCGTGAGACGCCTGCAGACACGAGAGGCACACCCGCCTCCTGCATCTTAAGTGACAAGTTCGCACAGATGCCGGGCCCAGCATACCTGCGAAGGCTTGATACCCACGGGAGTATTCGCATCCTGGAGTTATTAGAAAATGGCACGGGGGCTCTCTTCCCTCCACAAGAAGTCATGTGCCGGGAACTTGGCGACCTCCCGAATGAAAGAAATGATAGTCTGTGAAGAAGTCCCTGTGAACCTCTCCGATCGGGTCGTCTGACTTGCGGTCGGGTCCAGTGCGAGACGACCTGCAAGTATTCATGCTGATCATGAATATCATTTGACACTAGCGATACTCAATGGGAGACGTAGGTTCGCCATGATGATAATCAATGTTCAATTGTGGATGAACTTGGGTGATTTGTATTTTGATGGACGCTTGAACGAACATTCCGAGAGTTTCTCACGGCCCTTTCGGTTTCAAATCGACCCCGGGTGCGCTCGACTGACGCGGCGAGTGTCTCCACCGATCGCACGGACCAATCTTTCTTCGTACGGCTCGGCAAAAGATCAGCATTCGAGATCACGACGGAGTCGTTTGAAGGCCGAAACTCAAGTCTGTGCGAACAGCATTCTTCTGTTTTGCTCAGATCTCTCTACAGGTTGTTCAGCATCTGTCACACGCAGCATTCAACTTCAACGTACGAAGATACTACCGTTCCCTCTTTTGCCGCTATAATTACCCCGTATTTTTCTATCTTGCAACGTGGTGCGCTCAGTGGGAATCGACCAGTATTTCTCCAAGTTGCTGCCCCCGGGAGGTTGCTCTGAGATCCTGGTGCACGTGGGTTTCACTCTTATTCATTATGAGCTTTGTTATTTTCCTTCTGAAAGGCAGCCCGGACATTTTGCATGTGCGGAGACATTGTATTGTTCTACACAATAAAGTCTTCAACACAAGTCACTAATCATTTCTCCCTCACAGGTTCAACGTTACTCCGCTCGTAGTAAGTCACTTTCTCATACGTTACGGAGTGATGATATGCTGTTTGCACGTCAGTCCGACCTATGCAAAATGACAACGCATAGGATTAGACGAAGAGTTCGCCATATCTGACTATTATGATATTTCTTATTCTCGCAACGCACACGACTAATGATTTGAGCAGACCCCACGGATTGAAACTCTTGCTTCACGTGCCTCAGCCTTAATCTGTATGTCTCTATCTGACTGACCCACCGCCTTATTCGACATCTGGTTCCGTTGTCCAGTTACAACTCATGTCTTCTGCCAACAACTCAACTCGTGCCACGCCCTCTCCCTTGACCTCTAATGGTGTCCAACCGAAATCAACGACTGGGATTATTCCCACTAACAACGTCACAACAAAGGCAGGAGTGACTGTGCGGGCGCGCATTGATCCGACCCTCACTGTTGAAGATGTCGTCCGCCAACTCTGTCTCCATCTTAAAGTCACGGAACCCCATACCGCCCTTGCGTTGAGAGACCGTGACACGGAGGAGCTGATAACTAGTGAAAACCTCCGAAAAAAGATCAAGAACAAAGTTCACTTGAAGTAGGTCCTTATTCTGAAGTAAATTGAGGTGTTAATGTTGTCCCTTATAAGGTTGGTTAATTCATCTGCGATCGAAGCAGCGGGAATCGTCGCAAAACTTAGTTTACGTGAGGAGAAATCGTTGCGAATGTCCTTATTCTCGTTGCAGAGATTCATAAAGGTGTGTGAGTCTTACATGTGCAGTCCTTCGAGCCATTGTGAATGTGCCCGCAGGAAGAAAAATTTGCCCAAGAATTTCTGGACCGTGATGGCCTCCGAGAGCTCGTCGACGTAATAGAAACGGCACATGGAAATACTCTTGCAGTGCGTATTCTCATTGTCTATATCTTAATCTCTACGATATGCTTTGGATCTCCCTAGTATGCGCTGACTGCAATGCAAAACCTCATGGATCTCGATTATGGCTGGTCCACGCTCGATGATAGTTTTATTTTCAAAGTCGTGCAAATATTATCATCTCCTAATTCTCTTATCAACGTCTGCAGACCAGCTACTGCGATCTTGAAGAAACTGGTAGAAGCTGACCCTACGAGCGTCCCTGGTCCAATCATCGCCAGCTCGAGTCGGATACCCCCAGTAGCCCCAGCTGGATCGGTATATCGATATGGGTTTCAGAGTGTATACGAGCAGATGCGAAGGCAGAAGGGATCATTGGAAACAGTGGTCAGTCGTTTGGGAAGTCCTGACACTGCTATGGCACAACACAGGTGAGTACACTATATCACTGTTGCAAAGCACTAGGAATGAGTATGCTCCATAGCGTGATGCTAATTAACTCATTGCTATCTCATGTCAATGATACCTACTGGGATGAGTTTATTGCTGATCTCGAGCGACTGAACGTTCGAAAAGCTATAATAGTATGTCATTCCTTCGGGGCCCTTGCAGTCGACTTAATAGCACCTTATTTTATTAGCGGCTGATGTCGTCACATGTTGATGACCTTACCTCTTGTGTTCTCGATTTCCAAGCAAATATTGTTCGCGTCACTTACAGGAAGAAAACCACACTTGTTGAACCTGAAGTAGAACTTGCTCATCTCTCTGCGCTTCATTATATTTGGGAATGCAGCGGGGTTCAGGAGGGATTGGATTCAGAAGGGCACCCATCGAAATGGCGAAGACTTGGTTTTGACAGTGAGAATATTGTGGAAGAGTTCCAAGATGCTGGTGTTCTGGGTCTCGATTGCTTGGTTAATTTCGTACAGGACGATCCCGACTTTTTCTCCAAGGCATGTGATGGTGACCCTAAATGACACCCTACCTGACCTGACCCGATATCCCAGGTTATTTTGGAGCAGCTCAGTCGGCCTGAGGAGCGCCGATGTCCCGTGGCCAAAGCATCGAATGAAGTTGTGGAATTACTCTCCCAACACTGGACAATATTCGCTCCAGCCTGTATGTGCTTATAGTTTCTTGTTTGTCTCACCTGTTCTGATCCATTCCAGATTCGACCTCAGCCTTTCAACCCCTCTTTCTAAATTTCCAGAAGGTCCATTGTCTGGCTTTGCATTTCTTTCTGCGTATGTGGAATGAGAGTGGTTCTGCAGTAGATGATTTCAACCGCATAGCTGACCTCACACGAAGCCAGTGAGTCCTATCTTTGCCGGTTATCAACTCTTGCCAATCATAAATGGAAGAATCAAAGTAGCACTGCAGCAGGAAAGTGCAAAGCCGTGGCATGAAGTCGAGCACGACTTTCTCGAGCGTGAATATCGTGCAGTCAGGGACAGGCAGATGCAGGAATTAGAGGCCGGAGATGACCTCTTGAGCAGAGTTCCAGTGCGGTACGTGGCTGGTTGTAGCCCAGCTTTTGACGATATCTCAAACAAACAGTGCATTTATTAGTAACCTCAAGGAGAAGCTCACAAGGGAGTCCGCGGAATTCGTTCGCCAACAAAGGATACATTGCCTGCTTCAGGGCGCGTGGTTCTTAAACGGTGTGCCAACCCAGCACACCGGATCCGCGAGACGACCAAACGGACAATGGCGATTTATGCGTTTGGTGAGTTTCTATTGACATCGTTCCCGCGTGTCTGAAACACACCACCTTTATCAAGGATAACGGCCTCAAATATCTGCATTACGTCGACAGTTCCGCCAAAATCGACGTCCGCAATGGTACAGAGGACCTTCCCGAACGCATCGAGATCGCCTCCATAAATCAAATCACCACCGGTACCTGTGCTCCACTTCCGAACTTGGCGCGGGACCACCCAGATATACCTACCACACTTTCGCCATCACCTTTATCATTCTCCCTCCTGAGTGCCGGAGGAGAATCCCTGGCTGACCAGATTGCCACTCACCAATCCAGATGGGCTGACTGGACTGATGGGTTGAACATGCTTCGGCGGGACAGTGGTCACGTCACATCTGAGGAAACAGCAGGATACATTAAAGCACTCACAGAGATCGGACTAAAAATTAAACTTTTAGGTATGTCTTCTACGATCAGGAGCTCTCACAGTCACTCAACGTCTCTTGTCTCTTCATATTAGATCTTTCGGGCGAAAAGGTCGATATACCCAGCGGACTCGTAGCGGGACCGCCCCCTACTAACACAGACTTCTTCTTCTCAGACCTACTATGATTGTAAAGCGACCTGTAATACTTTCTTTTGATTGCTTAGCTGTAAGACATGCCATCACGAGATGCCAAGAAGGGTTGGCCAGGAAGTGTAAACCATGCTATTAGTCTTCCGTTAGCCTTTACAGTAGAATCACAAAAAAAGCATTCCTCCACTAAAACAAGTATCCGGAAGCAGTATGCAATGCAGTTGGATGCAGTGGATGATATACAAACAGCAGTTGATGCAGGTAGGATATGACAGTACAGTGCCCGATGTTGGATATTTATATAAGGAATGGAAAATATGCATAGGTGTGCGTTACGGGGGTTGAACCCGAAATAGTATACTATTATGAACGTCACTGGTGGTGAGTTGGATCATGTCAAGTTTGCGGCGGGGTAACCGTCTAGTTCAGGTCACCATTGGTTTGGGCTGAACCGTTCGCTGTCGCGCGAGACGCGGCATACTTCTCCCCGGCCTTGAAGAAGGGTGTGAATATTGCTTTAGTGTCTTTAAAGTCATTGTGAACGACGTTGACGAGATACGAGTTATTCATGACGTCCATTATGAGTTGCCGCGACGGCGAGGCAGTCTCATAGATGTTTGCCCACTTGATGCCTAGGTCATATGCCTCATCCTATTGAGCACTACGATCGGCCGAGAAGCTCTAACGGATGAAGGCAGTAGTGCTCACCTTCCAAGCCATAAAACTAATAGCTTCGACAATTGTGGGCTGAATAATTTCCTTCCCTGGGAAAACACCCCAAGTGACAGCGTTTGGCCCCTCTGAATGGCTGTTCGTGCGCAGATCACCCTGCTTGTTGATGACATAGTACGTCATCTTGGTGTCCATCTCTATTTCTGAGATGAGTATCTCGAGCAACTCGGGGTTTACGAAGAATTCCAGGTAAGCCTACAAACCAGTAATTTAACGAAGCATTTCATCGCAGAGTTGGTAAGCACGTACCTTCTGGTACACGTATCCGTCCCTTGGTCCCCACCCGAACTTTGGATCATCACTTGGCGCACCATTGACGGCGGGTTGTGAGTTGATAGTTAGGAAACCGAGTTGGTTTATCTTTGATAGTTCTTTGGAAATGATCGACGTTTCACCAGAGACCGGTTGGTCTGACCATGGCAGCGCAGAAAGTTTCTTCAAACAGAACTGGCTAAACAACTGAACGATGTCATCAAAAGTCTTGGGTTCGCCCCAGAGTTTCAAGGCTGCCTCGTCCTGAAAGCACAACAGCTAGTTGGGTCAGTCCACAGGGTAGCCACGACATTTCCATACCGTTTGTTTCAGTGAGACGCCGTAACCGTCGAGTTCGCCATATGCCGGACTCCGAGAATCACCAAAGCGACCATTGGGGAACTCGTCCCAATTCTCAGTGCGCGACAAGTAAGACTGTGTTCTGTTTGCCCAGAAGATTGGACGGATATTTTCTTGCCGACGATTTGGGGTAAGGGACTACGAACGGCAAATCAGTAAGGGGCACCTGGCAGCAGGAATATCGATCGTAGTAGATTGTACCTGTCTCCAGGGCAGCGGCTTGAGCGTTTCGACCCGTGGCACCAAGTTGAGTTCCTGCAAAAGCATCTTGGTTCCTTTTTCCAGGTTCATGGTGTAGAAATGCAGTCCTTTGATGCCGAGATCTGCGTCGAGAATCTTGCGACACATATCGGCAACGAGCTTTGTGCCAATAGCTCTAACCTTTTCATCGTCGTTCTTGTGGGGTTCCAAGGCATCCATGAAGGATTGGGGAATTTTTGTCTGTGCGAGGGAGGTGGCCTTGAGGAAGCCGTTCCATGTTTGTATGGGTGCAACGCCCGGTACAATAGGAATAGTGATACCCGCTGCTCTAATTGCCTTTACCCAATCTATAAAGATATCCACGTCATAGAACATCTGAGTGAAGATGAAGTCGACACCAGCATCAATCTTCTCCTTCAGGTACTTGATCTCGAGGTCACGTTCTTCAGGGGGAAGGAGCATGTTCTGTGGGAAACCAGCGACGGCGATGTCGAAGTAGTCACCGTATTCTTTGTGGATATGGCGGACGAGATCGATGCCATGAACAAAGCCACCTTCGACTGCTTCCCACTCATCTTTACCCTGTGGTGGATCCCCACGAAGGGCAAGAATGTTACGACAGCCATGCTTTTTCGCCTCCTGGTTGGCGATGTGAGTGTAAGTTCTTAGGGTGCAACGACGGTGGTAATACTTACGCAGAGGGCGACGTCTACCTTCTCTCTAGGCATGTTGGTGCAGGTTAGGTGCATGCAGGTCTCGATGCCAATAACACCCTGACATAACCTGACCATTTCCGAGGTAAGTTCGGATGTCCGACCACCAGCATTCCTGGAACCGACGACTTGAGCGGGATACCTCATACTAAAAGGGGGACTCACCAAGTAATATCGATGAATTCGGGGCCCAGATTCCTCATTCTTTCTATACGATCTAGCAGATTTTGAAGACCCTGCGAATAGGAAATAGAGGAGCTCAAGCAGGAGCTTTCTAGTCTGCAACGATTAGGACTGACCTGAGCGGTCCGAGGAGGGAAATATTCAAAAGACCACCATATCTTCCCCTCCTTCTGTGACTGCTCGATCTTTTTGCTGACCTTCATGAGGACCACTGGTGCTGGGATGGACTTGATGGACTGGACAAATTCTGTGAGGGTCCCTGGGTATTTCTAAGTGAACGTTGGGAAAATGGTTCCCAGACTCAGAAACAATATCACCGTTCCAGGTACAATGATTCACGTGACGTTCTGTTAGGTGTTGGGTAGTAATAGTCTGTGGTAACTTAAGTATTGACCTGAGCTATTTATGAGAGTAGCTGGCCTAATATGCTCGATAATGCATGACTAGGCAACGAAATGTGATCCATACAGTACAACATGTGGTAAGATAGTTGATCCTGATAGTCCTCGGGGCGCCTTGCACTACTAGATGAATCGGAAGGTGTGGGACGATTTCGCACGGCCTTATCGGTTCTCGCTTGCAAGATACACGATGCAAGTTGTTGCCGCAATGACGGAAACCACTGACATAAGGGATAAATGTATCCTGATCGAAGATTTGTTAAGAATCAGCCCCACGATACCATCGAGTGATGAATACGACAACCCACCTGGTTCCCGCTAAGAAAGCCCGAACCTTGAGCAAACACTTCACACCGGTATGATACTCCCACACCGCTGCGGCTACGGTGAGTAAGGCTGCGATGTACAGCAGGATCGCTATAGGCAGCCTCACTCCACCCATCGAGGCATGGCCTCCATCTGACTCTGATGGCGCAGGTAAGCGAGTACCCAGCAGCGAGGAACACAAAAGCAGCAGTAACAACAAGACTAGCTTGAAGTAGGACAAGTAATTGCGTTCCAACATGCAAAAGTCGCGCACTGTACTCCCAGCGATTTCCGCATACTGAGGCATTGCGATAGGCAAATATCGCCGGAACTTTGATCTTTTCCTAAATGTCGTTCCTTGGAAAAAAAAAAAAAAAACTCAACTCACGTGCCATCGACGCGTTGTTTGTGAGTATTTGGTCGTAGTTGATGTTTCAACTTTCCTGTCCAGCCATTCCAACTTCTGCTTCCAGTGTACTTCTCACGAACTCTCCTGAGAGAGCAGCAAAGGCCGCCATCTTCAGGTTCACGAAATTGTAACGACACACTACGCTATGGGCATCTTCAAAAAGTTCTTCTCTATTGGCAGCAAAAAGTCCAAAAGGCGGTCTGCCGCAAAAGCTGTTACTCAGCCGCCCGTCCCATCTCCAATCCAGAAGAATCTTTCCGTGTCGCAAGAAGATGAGGCAGAGGCCGCCGTCAGCCGTCTGTTGCGGTCATCTTCTGCCCGGATCGCTGCGGAATCTGAGGTGGATTTTGCTTCCCCTACCACCTCTACGTGGGTATCCTCAAACTTGACATCCAGGCCAAACTGACCCACCCACAGCCCATCCCATAAACACTGTTGTCCCGCCTCTTGCAGTCTCGAGTGCAACTGTCTCCACTGTTTCGCAGCGCAGCACTTACTCAGTGACAGTGCATGGCAAGGTTGTCCACAGTCGCACTGAATTTCCGAACGCCTACCCGCCGATGGACAAGATTGTTACTCCAAAACGATCACTCACAGATTCCGCTCGCCGCCGCGCGAAGAGCGTGCCCATTACTCCGCGAGACCATAACCGTCTTCTGACGTTGCGTCAAGACCCATCCGTCGCGAGTTTGCTCAACCACTACGACGATAAGGGATGTCTTGATTCGGGTATTTTCTCGAACACGACGCCTTCTTCACTCATGGAAGGCCGCGTGCAGAGACGCCGGACAGGCTCAACGTTACGGCAGTTACTTGGTCACCCTTCATCACCAGAACTCAGAGACAGTAACACTGATGGTGACATTTCTTGGGCAGACAAGTTCCTTGGGTCAGTTTAATACTCCCATCAGTTGCGGACCCGTCTCACAATGGATTACTTGTTAGGGAAACTGACGGGGATTCTTCCGCACCCTCCTCTGGCCCCGCGACGCCTGCAGACACTCGTTTTACGGACGCTCACTTAGCTCAAACCGATCACAGTATTGCTATTTCCACAGGGTGCGACTCGGCCACTTACCACCGTACCTTCTCTTCTCTAGAGGTCGAGATTAGCATCTCAATGGAACAAACTCATGAACAAGTTCCCGATCATACTATGACACCACAGAAAGCTTCCGAAATCTTTAGTTTCCTTACCGAGAGGAAGAAGGCACTGGAACTGCCTCCACTTCCGCGGCTCCCTCAAATCAAAGCGACACCTAATGTTTCTCCTGAATCCCCACAACTGGATACCCACCATACCCGCATGCCTCGTTACAATAGTACTCGTATACCTCGGTCAATTTCCCCACCTGCCCACCGCCGCTCCTCTACCATTTCTAGTCCAATTAAAACGAATCATTCCTTGTCAATAGCGGTTGCCTCTCAACTCCGCGATGATGCACATGAAACCACCAAGCCTCCGCCACGCATAGCTACGCATTCCACTGGTCGAAGTACACGTGGTCCGCGCGGACCACGGACACCTTCCAAGTTACCTCCCCGGTCGGTCAATGGGGTGGCCGGTACAGGGACACCTGGGACAGATGGGGTGCAAGTAGGAACCAGCGCCAATGATGAGCACACAGGCACTCGAGCGGCCCTTGGCGAGAAGTCCAACATTAGTGCAATGTACCCAAGCCCCGCATGCACCCCTGCAGCCAAGTCGCATATACCAAAGCTGCGTACAAGCTCAGGCTCAACCGTAGGATCTGTTGAGTCAAAGGAGACTGCGGCAACAAAGGTCGTTCCTGACCCCTCTTACAAGACCGTCTCCGAGCCAGTTCAATTTGCCGCGAAAGCTACTATGGGTCAATCTGCTGCCACCGGTACCCCAGGTAGCGATAAAGAAAACGGGCTGTCTCGCCTTCCGCAGCCTGTGACGCCTGTTAGGCCATTCGGATTTCGTCCACCGTACCTCGTTGAACCCCCTTCTCCTGCGTCTTCATCCGAACTCTCACCTGTAGCTAAACAGATGATGGAGAACCTGCGTCAGAAGCGGATGCAGGCGCGTCAGAAAGATCGTCAGGCTGGAAGGCTTGGAAGTAGTCACAGCAGGATTCGCTATTGATGAACGTTGGCGATTATCGTTCACCTCTTTCTCGCTTGGATGGCATCGTTATACTTTTAGTTTGCGGACTGGTTCCGTTCTGTTTCGAAGTTGGCTTGTGACTCCGGAGCCTAGCGTCCATTCTCCCTCTATTTCTGTCCTTACTCTCTTCCTTTTTTTCCCTCTTGCTTTGCAAGTCCTCGGCATGTACATTCACTATCATTGCCCTCGTTGTACAGCTGTCTCGTGTATGTATCCTTGTGCACTTGAGTCACTTAGTTGCGCGCGCGAGTTGCTTGCTGAGTATGTAAGTCCTCAAGAATCAATCTTCAACAGCAGTCTGGATTTTTAGCACTCCAGGAACATGTATTAGGACCTGTTTCAGAGCAGGAAAGCACCGACAGAGAGGAGAGCAGGATGTGTATTACTGATGCGTGCTATACCAAAAGACTGAAATTCTGTTCGAGAAGCCTGGTTTCGAGTGAGAACATCTACAACAGATTTTCCGAAGTCAGTTTATGTGCCTGATTACCTTCGGTGACGTTGTGACCGACCAAGAGTATGAGGGTAGCCAACTGCAAGTACCTCTCTATGTAGCGTCTCCATACTCTATCCTAGTACAAGGTGGTCTTTGTGAGCGGATGGTAAAGCGTCTGCTTTACCGTTTAACTTCGTACTTTTCCCATCCAACCTTCTCTAACTTGTCCACCTTCTCCATCACCTCCATCTCAAGTGTCTTTAGGTATGTATCCATAGCAGTGAAGAGATGCGGAATGCCAGTGCCCAAGATACGCACTGCCAACAATCCTGCGTTCATCCCGCCATTAATGGCGACAGTCGCGACAGGGATGCCACGCTGCCGAGAACACACACCGTGTCAGCCGTATATCACGCCTTGGGAGAACAGACATACCGGCATTTGCACGATACTGTGCAGTGAGTCAACGCCATCGAGGGAACTTCCCTTGACCGGGACACCGATAACAGGCAATGGCGTCATGGCCGCGACCATCCCCGGAAGGTGTGCTGCTCCACCGGCTCCCGCAACGATGACACGCAGGCCGCGAGCGCTGGCGGAACGCGCGTACTTGACAAGGCGGTCTGGTGTCCGGTGAGCAGAGACAATCGTGAGTTCGTACGGAATAGAAAACTTGTCCAGGGTGCGCGCAGCTGGGAGCATTACTGGGAGGTCAGAGTCCGAGCCCATAATAATGCCGACGAGAGGGTGTTTGCTTGAATGCCCACTCCCTGGCTCCTGTGATAGGGGGGCGTAGCGTTCGACTTCTTCTGTGTGGTTGCCTCCTCCCGGGAGGGCAGACAGAAGTGGCCGTAAACGCGCACGTACTGTAGCGTCAGAGTCGCCAACGACCGTAACATGACCCATCTTACGACCCTTGCGGCAGTCGGATTTTCCATACAGATGGACCGTACAGCCTGGTACAGTAAGTGCAGTAGAAGCGAACGTGCGAATTTCATCCATGGACGAGGACGTGCCGATGATGTTGAGCATAGCGGCAGAAGGCACTTTGAGCGCTGTGGAGCCTAAAGGTAGCGAGAGCACGGCACGAAGGTGATTCTCAAACTGCGACGTCTCGCAAGCTTCGATAGCGTAATGACCTGAGTTGTGTGGTCGAGGAGCAATTTCGTTGATGTAGATCGAACCTGTGAGTCGATATCATGTCAGACGTGGTACCTTAGTTCATGCAATGAGTTTAAATACCGTCTTCCATCAGAAACATTTCAACCCCAAAGATACCTGCACCTTGGAAGGTTTTGACAGCAGATTCTGCTATTCGCTGACTGTTTTCGGCCACGCTCGGGTCGGAACTGCGTAACGGCGCAAAAACGAGGTGACATATGTTGTTCTTGTGGACGGTTTCTACAACAGGGTATGAGAGCACTTCGCCTTGCGTAGTGCGCACAACCATGATTGCGATTTCCCTTGTGAATGGGACCCATTTTTCCGCATAAAGTGGTCGGTTTCCAAGGGCTTTGAGTGCCTCGACGGCGTCGCCTACCTCCCGAACAACGTAATTCCCTCGACCATCATACGCCAACGTCCGGCTCTTGAGCATGAACGGGAGACCAAGGGTACGAGCACATTGTTGTATCGACTCTACAGTCGAGTCGACAGGAATGAATTCCGAGACTGGGCACCCCTGATCGCGCAAGTGAGACTTTTGCACGAATTTGTCTTGGATGACCTTGATGGTAGACGGACTAGGGTGAATAGCAATCCCTTGTTCCGACTCGATCTCCTCCAATACACGTACATCCACGTGTTCGATTTCCACCGTAAGGACGTCAGCTCTCCGTGCCAGTTCTCTGATTTTAGCGGGATCTGAAAACGACCCATCGATATGTGCCAGTGACGGATTTCGTGGGGAGAGGATCTGCTTCGCAGGTGCAGATTCACCGGAATCGAGAATGATGACGTCTACATTGAGAAGCGATGCTGATGCAGCTAGCATACGGCCAAGCTGGCCACCTCCTGTTGTGGGGAAGTGGGTGGAAATTTCAATGAGCATGTTGTTCTACAATGCGGTGGGATGGTAGGAAATCTCGCACATACCGAGCACTCCGACCACCTTCTTGCTCATAGTATCCACTCAGAAGTCGTTGAAGCAAGGAGAGCCTAATACATAGACCGACGAAAGTGTGTTCTCGGATCAATCTCGGATGTGTACGATCTATACGTTCGCTGACTAATCAGCACCTTTGTCCATCCTCGCTCGACGATGGCCCCGCGTGCAGCAGGTGCAGGAGCACGGCCTATTACGAGGAAAAGAAACAGGAAACGGAAACGGCGCATTGCGTCTTCCTCATCTGAGTCGTCCTCGTCGGACGATTCTTCCTCTGATGACTCGGTGACGTCCATTCTGCAGACCAAGGCATGTGCACAGAAGAACCCAGAACCAAGCGTTCCTAGTGGGGAAGACGACCCTTCATCATCGTCATTGTCATCATCAGATGACGACTCAGAAGCGGATAATGAGATACCTGGAAAGCCAGCCTCACCCCAACCTGGTGTTACGGGGCCATCAACTGAAAAGTCCGCGTCACCGACACGAAACTCTCCTTCTCCACCTCCCCCATCTACCATCACCATCCCACCCTTCATTAACCCTGATTCGCCCCCCGAAGACGAGCTAGCTCTCAAGGAAAAGTTCCGTAAGTTCTGGATGGCATCTTTGGCAGAAGGGTTCAAGGACGATCTGGAAGTAATACGCAAGGCACGTGGACGTGAACTCTCGACCCATTGAACGAGAAGAGAGATGCTTAACCCTCACCGTTCGGTCAGGAACCCAATCTTGGTCAGTCACGCCTGGCCCTTTTGATCGAGTCTCTTGCGGCTGGGGCCGACGTGTTCTCATCCACATCGACCAATGGAAACGTGAACGAGATGGAGGTTGTCGTGGATGAGCTTTCATAGGATTTCCTGTCACTGATACTCGTGCTACGAGCTGGTCCCTGGTAAAAAAAAAAGAGTACTATTCTATCGAGATAGCTCGTATCCGTTGTGTGAAAAATGCGAACTGTGTTATATTCGACTGCGCGCTGGAATTTATGCCAGTTATTAGTACTAGGTTCAAACATGTACTGAAGTGGCTCAGCGACAAAGTTCGGGTCTTGCCAGCCTCGGTCCCAGACCAGCTGCATTACAGCAATTGGCGGTTATAGGTTTACCAGACCGAAGTAGCGGATCGTGGGACCACAGCAGCGGACCATATCTTTCCACCGGCCACTTGACCATTCACAATCACTGCCGAGTAGTATTGCTACGCGCTGAGGGTCCGTCCATCGCTGCTGCAGTTGCCGATATTTCAGAGGTGTACACTCATTCTGCGTAAATTGCGCAGAAATTAGATCCGGGACCACCCCCCAACGAAATGGTGCACGAATATGGCGCAGTAAAGCTCGTGGCCACTGAACACGACTTCGCTGGCGACAGAGAGGTTTGTTCGACTGAGGACAGTGCCCTCCTTGGGAGCGGAAATGCTACAGTGCTTAAGGATGGTCATGCGACCATATTCAGTAGTGTGTGCAACCTGGCCAATACTATCCTCGGCAGCGGTGCGTGCGCCTTTCATGAGAGTTGAGCAGTGGCACTAATCGACCGACATGTCATTCCAGGCATGCTCACATTTCCACTGGTACGTCTCTCAATTCGCGCTTAGGTTTCTGTCCGCTTCTCAACATACACAATATAACTGAAGGCCATGGCTTCCGCCGGGGTCATACCCGGGATAATCACCTGTGTCTTTTCTGGTACTGTGGGAGGCTTCGGTCTCTATCTCCTCACGCAATGCGCACGACGCACTCCCCACCGTCGAAGCTCTTTTTTTGCGGTGGCTCAATTGACATTCCCCCAAGCGGCTGTCTTTTTCGATGCTGCCATTGCCATCAAGTGCTTTGGTGTTTCCATCGGGTACGTGCCGTCTACTTCAGCATGCGATGTTGCCTGTTATGATGATTCCCTCTCACATCTTTATTATACAGTTATCTGATCATTATCAAGTCGTTGATGCCCAACGTTGTCGCTTCCTTATACCATGATTTGACATCTCCCAGTACCAATCCCCCCGAATGGGCGCTGTCCGGATCAACCTGGCTCTTTCTTTTTATGATTGTGCTTGCTCCACTTGCTTCTCTTCGGCGACTAGACAGTCTTAGGCATACAAGCTATATTGCTTTGTTCTCTGCCGGTGAGGGCCTTGGTTATAAATTATGGGTTGCTTTGCAGATGGCGCTGAACATGTGTTTTGGACAGCATACCTTGTTGTTATCGTGATAAGGTGTTACTTCAAGCCATTAGAAGGCACAGTCCCACGTGGCGACGTTCACCTCGTTCACTTTACGTCCAGCTTCATAACAACGTGGCCCGTACAGGTGTTTGCATTCACATGTGGACAGAATGTAAGATTTTTAGCAAGTACCGGGCCATTTTGACGAGCCCACCAAATAGATGTTCCCGATATTCAACGAGTTAAAGACAAACTCGGACCGACGGTTGAATATCGTTGTAGGGTCATCCATTGGTGGTGCCGTCCTGATATATGAGGTCATTGCCGTCTTTGGTTACTTGACATTTGGTTCCAATGTTGGGGCCAACATCATAGCGATGTACCCGTCCACCTCAGTTTTTATCGCTGTCGGACAGTTAGCTATCGTCGTGCTGATACTTTTCTCGTATCCACTGCAAGTGCAACCGTGCCGGACCTGCTTGGATAAGATTTTCCATAGCCAGCAGGTATACAAGCCAGTAGGGGAGAACGAAGCAGTAGAGGATGACGAAGTCGGGGGTGACATGTCGGCCGTGAAACATGCGGTGCTTACTGCTGCCATTGTCGCATGTGGGTTTGCCATCGCGTATTATGTGGATAACTTGCAAATGGGTGAGTGACACCTGTCGATGACCTGGCTTGGTATTGGTGCTGAGAAGGTGGGTCGTGTGTGCAGTGCTCTCGTTTGTGGGCTCGACTGGGTCTACGACCATCTCGTTTATCCTTCCTGGGCTCTTGTTCTGGAAGGTGAGAACGGAAAGACTATAATAGCGGGTGGACGTGTCGTTGACTTGATGTTGTCGCGTGTAGCTTACCAAGGACGATCCGACAGTAAGCCGCGTGCTGAACAGGGGTGCGATAGCCCTCGTCGCTTACGGATGTTTTGTGGTCGTGTTTTGGTGAGTGGAAGCTGGATGTCGTACCGGGTAAAATGTTCTGACATGACGCGCAGCCTGGGATTCAACATATACCATGTGATGCACCCATCGAGGGATGGCACTGGAGTGTGATAAGGGCCTTGTATTTTGGGTAGCGTACACGGAGTGTGTAGGACTATAATTGCAAGGTTTTTGATAGACGAGCGCCAATTGAGTGTGCCGGTGGGGTTTCTCACGCAAGGGGCCTTGTGCTTGTATCTTTGGGAGACTTGCTTCTGGGTCTTGAGTTCACAGTACTTTCCCCCTAGACCAGCGGATGGCTGTCTATCTCGTACCACCCAACTGTTAGTCGGTCGTCGTCGCCGTGCTTGCTGTCCACATCGTCCTCCCCGCTGTCCTCTGTAAGCCTCCATCTCATCTGCCGCAGCACCCACCCATGTCGTTTGACGGTGAGCAGACTCTCTCGCAGGCGAACCCAACCTTGTGTTGTTTCTGTTTCGACTGTCTCATGCTTTTTACAGTCTGCCCAGACACGCTTCCACCGCCATTTGTCATGAACCCGTCCCTGCCACCCCCTGCCAGAGACCCAACCGCCTCCATAGACGCTCTCAGGTCTGACGCCAATCCAATGACTCCCGCAGCTCCAACCCCAAATGCATTTTCGGTCCTCGAGCCCTCCTCTTCTTCTATCCTATTGCCCTCTCGTCCGGGCTCTGAACCATCGGAGTCGGATGCAGCCAACGGTCCCTCCCTTTTGGATGTCGACCCTCAAATTATTGAGGCCCTCAAAAGTAAAGATAGATTATACGTCCTCAAGCTCGGAGAGCAGATGGAATGTTTTATCAACGATCACAGGTAAGTATCTTTTCCCTCTCCAGACCACTTCGTAGACTATCTGTCGTGCTATCTTCGTCGTACGACTGACCGTCCTGTCTTTTACATCCTTTTCCTTGGCCAAAATACCATTTGGGGAATGATCGGTGTACTGACCATGATATGATCGTGCATACGCTATGCAGAACTCGTCTCGATTTGACGCCGACAACTTCTTATCAGAGACTTCTGGTGCACCGCTGCTCAGCCTACTATAAGCTGGCACCAGAAACCGATCCCATCAACAAGACGATCAGCGTCGCTCTCACCATCGAGAGTAGAATGTAGGTCTCTCTTGTTGTACGCCCACTCGATTAGAATGAAACAGAGGACTCATCCCTATTCTCTCAGTCCTACACGTCGCATCGCCGATCTTGTCCCTGCCCCTCCATCCCATGCTCAACCCGCCTTTAAAATCATGCAGCGAGCCGCTACCGACCGTCCACGCTCCAAGCCCCAATCGCATGCTGGATCAGTCATTGGGGAAGAAGCAGAATCGTCAGACGTGGAACCATCTGAGGCCGGCAGCGTCGGTGGACGAAGTAATACCACTGGAAGCGGCAAGAAACACATGACGATTGCCGAACGTGAGGCGGCCTACAACGAAGCTCGCTCAAGGATTTTCATGGACTTTCAGGAGAAGGAGAAAGTCAAAGAGAAAGACCTGAGCGCGAGCTCTTCGAGCGCTAGTCTGACCTCGGGCTCCGTGACCAGTAGCGTGGGCGAAACTAGTAGCACAGGTGACCTGGAGGATTCGATCAGCTCACCTGCTACAGAAAGCGAGTGGTCCGGACCCGCGGTACGTGATAGAAAGGACGGCCGTCGCTCCAACGGTTCATCTTCCAGGAGTATGCGCTCTAGCGCTCCCACATACGGCTCCAACAGCTCCCGCGAATCAAGACCACCTTCACCCCCATCTTTCAGATACCCTAGTTTATATGGGCCCTCTCTGGCCACCGCTCCTTACGATCAATCGCATCATCCGATGCATCCCTCCGCATACAATAATTCATACATGTACGCATACCCACAGCCAGCTCCTCCACAGGGTTGCCTTCCATACTACGCACCTTGTTCGTACCCACCTCCTCAGGCGCCCATACCTACTGGCGATCCTGCTCTACCTTCTACCCAGGCTGATGCCTTTGGCATCCAGCAGCATAACAATGTTTTTATCCCCTGCGGTTGGAATTACCCTCAACAGCCGCATCCTCTCCCACATCCGCCTGCCCAACAACAGCCTCACCAAGCTCCAGGAACTCCTATAGCTCCGCCCGCTACCCAGTATCCTCCTTATCCTCCTGTTCCTGCTTATGCCTCATACTCAATGCCTGTATACTATACACCGCCACCTCCCCTGCCTCACTTTTCCTCCTCACCGGTACCTCAAAACCTTCCCCTTGGTCCTCCAGAATATAATGGTGCCCACGATACGTTCTCACCTGGTCGACCCTATCCCGGTGTTCCTGGTCAACAGTCCCCGACGATGAGCAACAAAGCTAGAGGCGCTCCTCCTGCCCGGAGTGCTTGGAGTTACGGTCCTGGAGTCGGGATGGGCGGTTTCGGAGTCAACAACGTTAACGGTCGATCCGTCAGCAGCAGCGGCAAAGATGCGGTTGGTCCACGTTTAAATACGTCAACCAGAAGACCCGGAAATGGGCGCTCCAGTGGTTTCAACGGGACGCCAGCAGGCGACGAGGCAGCGTCGACGGCTGTAAGTTGTTTCTATTCCAATTGTTGAACTGCTTAATCCTTCGGATTTTTGCAGTCATCGTCTACGTCGTCGTCATCACGGCGGACGTTTAACACATCTACTTCGTCTCAACACCCTCTTCCAGCTCGGCCCGACTGGGCCGTAGGTTTGAAAGCACAGCCTACCCTTCACCCGACGCACAACCGCCATCACGACCACACAGTGAACGCACGTACGTCTCCAGTACGTAACAACGGGCAACGCGGCCCACCAGCACCGCCTGTCCTTCAAGCGACTGATTTCCCACCTCTTAACCCGGTGTCACAAACTGAGAAACGCATGCCTCCTGTGGCAGGAGTGTGGAATAACTCATCTTCCACGCGATCCATCTTAATGCCCGGTAATAATGGCTTGCAGGGCAGTGCTCTTGTGAATCATTCTGCCAATGGACGTGTGGCCACCGGCAATACACCAGCCTGCAGACTGGAAGACTATGATGGTAAGCCCGATTAGTGACTGTTTCTGATGGTATTTCGAGGATAACGTATTTCTTCCAGGTAACTGGAAACCTGGAATCACAAGTAGCAAGAGTCCTGTACCACAGCAGGACAAGGAGCGAATGAGGGGAGATGCAGTATCTAGTGCGACTCTAGCGGAAAGGGTGATGGTGCTATCCATCGATGACAAGGATGGCGCCAAGCCCTTAACACCTGTGACGTTGGCGGTGTGAGCGGGGTAGAGTGTATATTGCAGCATACTCATCGTAGGAGAAGTCACTGTTTTAATTGCTGCTGTCTTTCGTACTGCCTTCTCATCGTGGTGTCCCGTGTGTAGTCGGGTGCTGCTGATGGGTGACCCTTTTATCTTGTATCGCAGGGAGTTGACTTGTCATCCTATACGGGCTAGACATATTAACTTAGAGATGTTTGTAAACATGTAATAAACTTCTTGCATCATCCCGAAAACCCCTTTTGTCTCTTGTCTCTGATCATGTCCACACGGCTACGACTCAGGGGGCACGTTGAAGACGAGGACGCTTCAGCGCTAAAACTCGGGCCTGGTGAGTTGAACAACATCGCGTTCTACGAGATAATATGTGACGGAGGGATTGGACTCGGTGTCTCTGGAATACAGAATTCAATAATGCGGGTTGTCTCTTGATTTCGGAGGTGAAGTACCTCCTGGAGAACAGGGACAAGGATGCACCTGATACCGCGTATGTCCTGTCCTGTCCTATCCTGCACTGCGACTCGGAGGGCTTTCCGTTCCTGCTCTCACCACTTCTACTCCGTTTCTCCCTCTCCCTCTTGTTCGCGTATGCGCAATGGAAATTGACATCGATCTCTCTCTTACTTAGAGTGTACAACAAGACGCTGGAATATGTGAAGACCTTTGCCAAGTTCAACACGACGGATTCTGCCAGTGCTGTCCGAGAGTGAGTGGTGGTGCCCACAACGAAGTTCATGGAGGGGCTGTATTTTGTCTTTTTTTGCTAGGACTCTCCGTAGGGAACCGGCGCTCACACAGTTCGAAACTGCTCAAATTGCAAACCTATGTCCTGCTACGGCAGAAGAAGCTAAGAGTATTGTACCGAGGTGTGTGGGTTTTGTTCTTATGATATATGATATTGTCAATTTCCCCAGCCCCTTCAAACAACCAACCATTCATATGCTTATATGCGTTTTTTTCTTTTGCTTTTCCAGTCTCGTCAAAATCGACGACGACCGATTACAGACGCTCTTGGATGAAATCCAAACGCTTCGCAAGTTCCAGACTTGACTCGGTCATCTCTTTCTCTCTTTATTCCCTATCTTGTTTTCACAAAAATCATATGATGTATAAATGTAGCTGTTTCATTAATCCTATCCGTAACTTTCATCCCTCCATCTCGTCCAGCTTGCCCTTACTAAGCCCCTCTTCCTCATTCTCTTCGTCGGCTGCTTCGTCCCCAATTATTAAGGCACCTTCTTGCTTGATATCCGCCAAACTGGTGATGTCGAACCGCTTCTTCTCCTTGAAAGGCCTCGGTCTCTTGATACCCTTCTTGATGACGGCGGTGGAGGGGATGATGCCTCTCTGGTTCAGATACGTCAAATCGTTACCTTCGTAACTGTCCACGTATCGGATCCAGGCGTCGAATCTTTCCGGGGGGATAATGGCGTTAGGGCCTCATTTCATATAAAACATGCGGGCCAAGGGAGTGAGTGAAATTGACTACTTACATTCCACACTGGTCCTCCGTATTCCGCATGTTGTCGTAGATATACTTTTGTTTGAAATCGTCTATTTCCTTCCTGTGTACCTCAAAATCGATTTCGGGTCGATAGTCCGCATCCGAAGGGTCGTCGAGTTTCTCGTTGTTGGCGGATATGCGCTTGTTGTATGTTTCGAAAATGGGATACTCAAGGAGCAAACCAAGTGCAGGCATCTTAGGGACCATGACCATACGAGGACCGTATAGCTTTTGAAAAGACTCTTTTCAAAAAGGTGTGAGCTGAGTGATGTCCGCGCGACACGTACCTCATCAATGATTCGACTGGGTGTTCCGGTACGACATGAGAGGACGAGAGCGGACATCATTTTACGCTATTCCACTGATGGTGAGCTTCTCTGTCCTGGCTTGTTGTGCCACAAACTTACGATCTTTCCAAGAAAAAGCATGAACACTGAATAACATTTGCTTTCGTCGAATGACGTACCTGGTGAAGCATGAAGCTTTGGCCATGGAACAAAACGCTAATCCATTCCGTGTCACCATAAACTGCTGGATCTGATACCTGCAGGAACCGAATTAGTGCGCCCATGCGTGACGGGGAGGCCAACAGAAGGTCGTTCACCTCTATCCTAATCATATGCCGCTGATTACTGCGATCACCGTATTCTCGGCCGACGGTAAGATTGTGGAAGTTATGTGTCCCCTCAAATTTCTTTGCCGCCGCTTTCAGAGTTTCGACCATGTCCATGCTTATCCCTCCATGTTCGTTTCCGCACAAGGTCTTCTTCGGGTGTCGTCGACTCGGCGTTGGGAATGTCCCAGAACACGTGGGGTCTATTGGATGGTGATGGCTCGGTGGACGCGTCTTGTGCAGTCGACAAGGGGCCGCTGGACTGCAGGGTACGAGCGAGAGCGGTATTGGGTTTCGGTGGGATTAAGAGGTATGTAGGGAAGAAATAGGTGTATTTCCGGCTGTCACAGGAACTATTTTCCATCGAATCAGGCACTCAAGTGGCCGCTAGCAATGAGACGATCCACACCTACGTTCGTGCGTTGAAGGAATTTTGCACGCGAACCTTGCAGGTTAGAATTTCAGCCCACAGGTATGTATAAGACGAAAAAGATCACAGACCTTTCCCCAGACGCGAATCTCTGGTGGGAGGAAGGAATTGACGTGTCCGATCCAGTCCTTTATTCCAGGAATCGTCGTGATCAGTTTCATGGAGACCAGATTGCCTGCTGCATGCACGCCTGCATCTGTTCTTGCTGCGCGCCCAAGGCCCACCTATTCACCAAAAACACAACTCAGATCGGGGACATGATGGCAGGCATGGTCGAGTGTGTACCTTGACGGGGTCATCTGCATTATCTTGAGACACGGCGCCAGCGCGGACTAGCGCATCGAACAATACGCCTTCGATAGTGCGTAGGTTCGGTTGGCTGATGGGTATATGGAATAGACATTCAGCGGATGGAAAGCCAGTAGCAAAAACACGCGTACATTTGCATCCCGCTGCATCCAGTCCCGCAAAAGCCGAGTAGCAGGGCTGTCTGGCGTTTCGGCAGCCTTAGTGGTTTTATTTTTTGTCCTTCCTGTTCAACTGCTTGTGGTGATGCTGCATCATCATTATTATCATCGTCTGCTTGTTGCTGAGTTCTTTCACTGCGCGTGCCCCGTCGACGAGGACCGACATTCCGCTTGTCCTTCGACTTTCCCTTTCGCGATTTGGGATACCCTGCTGCGTCGCGTTTTCCTCTACGAGGTTCCGCGTTTCCATCCTCCGCTACTTTCTGATCGAAGGAAAGACTCGGTGTATCGGTTTGTCCTGCAATATTTCCGTCGTCATCGGCGGCGGTGGCGTCATGAGTTGATTTCACTCTCTTTAAAGGGACGTCTACAGAGGTTTCCGGTGGGGACCGTTTCGCAGGAGGCGGCGAGAGCGAAATATGGCGGTGTGCGCTCTCGGAGCCAGACATTATTTTTACGATAAATCTACTATGCAACTTTTTTTAAAGCAGTGTAAATCAATTGATCAGTAAAAAGTTGAACACAGACTGGGATGTTCGCAGGCTAATACTCACGTCGACGTGTCGATGGTTGACTCGGAAGGATGGAAAGGAGAGCGGACATATCCAACGAGTATACCTCATTTAGCAGCTTCGAGATCATGAATTGGCTATTAAATGTTACCGTAGCAATTCTCGGGCTTTGCGCACTGCCATCCGCTTAACCGTCGCACCAGACCAGAAGACTTATCTCTAAAATATCTCGGACAGCTCATGTTGATTGCACGCCTTTGGTAGTCGATGTCTGAGGCCTCTCCGATGCTGGTTACCAGCCTTCAGTGATTCGCTGTTTCGCGCGAGCCGATGCGCGACTGCTGGCAACTTCAATGAAACTCCTATCTCTCTGTCGTCGTTTGTCTATTTTACTTGGCGTGCCTTGCCGTCGCTGCTCCGTAGCGCGAGTCCGTCGTAGTTTCACATCCGTGGTGCTGGCAGTCTTCGCATCCTGGGACAACAGGGGTGCTAATATTATGCTACGTAGTAGCGGGGGATAAGGTACGCGATAGCGTGCCTGCGAGACTATTGGCTTGACGGAATCAGGTTTCATATGTGCAGTCAACGATATCATCCGTGGTTATTAATTTTACTTGCAGTGTTTCCACACCAACAAATCATAGAAATGCTTCTGATCCTGCTGCGGACAGTGTTACTATGACTTCAGAAACTACGTAGCCAGTAGCCGCTCTGTTCAGCCTGAATAGGGGCTTTTTGACTGAGTTGGCAAGGGACAAGGAACCCGGAGCGTGGGAATGCTGACATGGTGGGCCATTGGAGACGGAGGATGGGAGCATTAGCAGTGGCGTTGCGACGTGGGGGCGTCGCCGTTGCAAGGAGTCTATTAGTTTCGAGGTGCTGCTTGTCACTGTCGTTGTCACTGTGGACGTCGTTGTCACCGCAGCAGTGCGCGGGCCAGTTTTTGCCGTAGAGTCGATTTAGTACTACCTCTGTGCGTGTGATCGCACTGCCTGATTCCATTCCAGGGTCCTACCTCAGCTCCTTGTGTTTGCCTGACATTTCTTATTCTTCTCTTCTCTGCCCCCGTTCTACCTCTGTAGAAGAAGAAGGAGAAAATAAAATAAAAATAAGAAAAGAAGCCAAAGACCACCGTCGAGGTGACAATGACATCGCCGCAAGGAGGGTCTACCGCTGCGATCAACCATCCCAAGTCTTTCCACAGCCAGTCGACCTCTAACAGACGCCAGTCAAGAATCACAGTCGAGTACCATCGCCCGTCCAGAGAGTCCATCCAGGAATACTCTGATCTCCTCAAAGACGCCAATCTGAACGCATACGCTGCATCTTTCAAGGATCAGTACCAGCCGACGAGACCCGCTCCTCCTGCCCCCGTCGCTGCCCTCAAAGCAAAGGCCGACGGACACCCCCCTCGTGTCCGCAACTCCCTCCAGAAGCCCCCGCCTCGTGCTCGCAAGCATTCTCTTCCTTCCACGCCACCTGCTGCCCGTGGAGTCGACCACGATCCTTTTGCAGCCGTATCTCCCACTTCCACGGTCATATCCGCCTCTTCCCCTCCTTCCCTCAATCAGTCCGGGATGACATCCCCTCCTCCTCGTCCTTCCCGCGCCAACACTGCTACCTTGAATGACATATTCCCACTCCAGCAGTCCCACATCGCTGCTTCTTCCAGACGTTTATCGGTCCCTGTTTCAGCCCCACTACTAGACTCCCATTTCGCAGCCGATCCCTCCGAGTCTGTCCCTTCACTCCCATCTACAGATGCTTCCCCCACTCCCCCGGCTTCCGCCACAGGCACTCGTTCCAGGAGTGGTACCATCGCTTCTAAGCCAAAGAAGGGTATGCTGGGATTCATGTCCGAATTCCTGAATACCTCAAAGCGACCAGAGATCAGCACTCCTTATGATCCCGTCCACCTCACTCACGTTGGTTTCAACTCATCCACAGGCGAGTTCACCGGACTCCCAAAGGAATGGCAACAGCTCCTCCAGGAGAGCGGTATCTCCAGATCGGAACAGGAAAAGAATCCTCAGGCCGTGATGGACATCGTCAAATTCTATCAGGAAGGCCATGGCGATGTCTGGGACAAGATGGGAGCGATCGAGACCACTCCTTACCTTTCCTCCCAAAAAGGTCTCCCCGCCGAAGATAGCCCCCAGAGTTCGGTACGTGCCTGCTCCGATATTGCATCGCGCATCATTCACCCCACATGCCATGTCGTTCCTAGCGTCTCGCACCTCCTCCCCCGAAGAAACCGATGCCCTCACCTGTGTCGCCATCGGCATCTGCACCGTCCACATCCTCCCCCAGTGCCTTCAGGCCTGCACCGGCCCCACCTACAACAGCTATTCCTGCCTTAGATCGGTCCACATCACAACGCACCCCGACTCGGGCAACCAAACCCCAAGACTTAGGGCGCGCCAACACGACTCGTATCAAGCGGACCCCATCCACCGGGGCATCGCATAGCCCTCAGCTATCCCACGGAGGTGCCGGAACAGGTCCTGGTGAGGCTAAGCCCTCACCTGGGCCATCACGGTCTGATCTCCCTTTCAAAGGTACGGGTCCGCAGCAATCGTTGTCTTCGTCAAAAGAGCGAGACAAGGAACGTGAACCCAAGGCATTGCAGCAACACTATCAACCACATCACGCTCAACAACAGCAGCAGCAGCAGAGTCCTGCGGTCGCCAGTCTTGCCAAGGCTGCTTCCGGCGCAACTCCGCGACGGAGGGAAAAGAAGGACAAGGACAATTCAGACGACATCATCCGACGCTTGCAACAAATATGTACTGACGCAGACCCCACTAAACTCTACCGAAATTTGGTCAAAATCGGTCAGGGGTAAGTGCCGTTCTGCATCATGGCGAAGCAGCACATGACCCAGCCCGCAGAGCGTCTGGCGGTGTTTATACGGCCTACCAGGTCGGCACGAATCTTTCGGTCGCCATCAAACAAATGGACCTCGACAAGCAGCCCAAGAAAGATCTTATCATCAACGAGATCTTGGTGATGCGTGCTTCGCGGCACCCCAACATCGTCAACTACATCGATTCATTCCTGTACAAGAACGACCTCTGGGTGGTGATGGAGTACATGGAAGGCGGCTCCTTGACAGACGTTGTTACTGCTAATCTGATGACAGAGGGTCAGATCGCAGCCGTTTCAAGAGAAACGGCGCAGGGCCTAGAGCATCTTCATCGCCACGGTGTTATCCACCGGGACATCAAGAGTGACAACGTGCTGCTGAGCATGAATGGGGACATCAAATTAAGTGGGTATAGCTAAATTTATCTTTATTTGACCGGGGCTTGACATGCACCCAGCCGACTTTGGGTTCTGCGCGCAGATCTCTGATCCCGCCAGCTCGAAGAGGACTACCATGGTTGGCACACCATATTGGATGGCTCCCGAAGTTGTGACGCGCAAGGAGTACGGGCCCAAGGTGGATATCTGGTCTTTGGGTATCATGGCTATCGGTGCGTGCCTCTTTTTGTCACTGATGTCGACTGCCTGCTATTACTTGCTGCTTGATAATACTGACCCAACTGACATCCTCTGGTGACGCACAGAAATGATTGAAGGGGAGCCGCCATACCTCAATCAAAATCCTCTTAAAGCGCTTTACCTCATCGCTACCAATGGGACGCCCCAGATCCAGAATCCCGAGGCTCTCTCTGCGGTGTTCAGCGATTACCTCGCCAAGGCACTCGAGGTAGACGCTGAGAAGCGACCCACAGCCTCGGAGCTTCTCCAGGTGAGGATTACATGGGTTCGATTTGATGGTTGTTTGATCCGTTTCTTGGGATTTACAGCATCCGTTCTTCGAAAGCATGCGAGCCGCTTCGGACATTATCGCCGCTCATCAAGGCCGCACGGGAACTCGCAAAGTCTAAATAGACTGGTGTACTGGCCTATGCATTGTCTCAAAAATACCAACCACATAAAGTCACCCGGCATTCCATCTTTAGTTTTTTCTTTCCTCTTCTGTAATCGTCTCGTTCCTTCCCCACTTTCCGAGTTTCTCTCCGGAAATATCCATCACTGTGCTGTTCGGGAGGGTTTTCTGCTATACCCGCTTAATCGTGGATTATACTCGCTGGTCCTTCTCGTCCTCTCCGTTCGCCATGCGTATTCCATCTACTCTTATGCGATGGAAAGGAAATGGCAGGGCCCACATGCCGTCACCCACCATGATCAAGTTGCATCCGATGTCTGTAAACGAGTTCGGTATTCCTTGTCGAGCTCAAATTACAATGTAATACCAAGTTGGATCTCTTCCTGTCTCGTTTCCAACACATTCCGGATTCCCCGCCCATCCCTTGTGCTCATTCCCTGTGACTCCGATGTTGTGGTCTATGTGTCAATCGTTTGTCGTACCTGTCTGTGTTTTTTCGTGTGCCAGTATGACGAGTATCCTCACCCATGGGCCATCTGCGTCCCCTGTCCATCTCCACCTACCTACATAGACTTTTTTTCTCTTCTCTCTCTTCTCCAAGTTTCTCCTCTCCCACTATAGCTCTAAAACCATCTTTCTACATCGCCTCCTCTCCCTTCCAACGATGACAAGAAAAGCAAAGAAAAAAAGAGGACGATATACATAATCGTTTCGAGACTGGTTCCTTTGGTTCGGTAAATTTAAACGTGATGTATCTTTGCGAGAGCTTTCTATCGATTCTGTGGACTTGTATGGGTTATCGAGTTGATCAGTACTATCATTTCACCAGTTTTGCAAAATGAGTCACAGTTGCAAAACACAAATTATAACACGACACACTTCGACAAAGCATGTCCATCCATGCAGTTGCAGATCACACCGGATAAATCTGGAAAGTTGTAATGAGTTTCTTCAAAATAATTTCCCACTCCAAAAGGAAATCTCTATTGCAATCACTGTTGCAAGAAGGTGATGCAAGGGTGTGACAAAATTAAGCGGAGCAATTCGGAGTGACGGTGCGTGACAGCCCTCCGTTTGGCATATGGGAAAATTTGCAACCCTGTGTCTTTTTGTACCATAAACCGGCATCGCTCTGGCAGCTTCCATGACTCATTCTTTGTTTTCATTTCTATCAAAAGTTTATGTATACGCGAACCCCTATATTCCTATGTAGTTTTTGTATTATTTGCCCATATGATTGTGTGGTTTTGAGATATGTCAGAAAATTATTTAGTTCATTGCAATGATGTCAGATTTTTACACGGTGATAATCAGTTTATGATAAGGTTGTGTGTGGGAGTGTGGGGTTGCAATTTGCTGGCAAGGTTGTTGCAATGCCCTTCACAATAGTGGCTGCTACTGATTCTGCCTCTCATTTCCCTTTCCACTCACTTTTCTCCCTGTACTAACTGTCTTTTTTCTTAAGGACTGCATTCCTTTCATTTACTGACAATATGCCTCCCAAAAAGCAAACTGTTTCGTGCAAATTGTGTGGGAAATCATTCAAGCCAACTGGAATAGGTCCTCATTGCAAATCATGTCTCAGGCAAATCCACAAAACACATGAAGATTCTGCTCATTTTGACTTGCTTTGTCAACAAGGTGTGCCTGGTTTCTACTGGTTGAATTTCCTGATTTATTGTTGGGGATCTGTTCTGGCACAGGTGAATGTTCACGAGGATGACTTGCCATTGATAATGATCTGGACTCAGCAACTGGATCCTCCACTGCAGCAAACATGGGACCAGCACCTGGTAAGTATCCTGTTACCCTTTGGATTGCATTTTCACAACTATTCACAGAGCCTGCAGTGTTATGGCCCATGGTTGTGGATTTTGAGTCAGCAGCTAGTGTTGTGGGTGCAGATGACCCAGTGGATGGTGCATGTTGATGTTCAGTTTGTATCATTCATATTGATTCACTGTGCAGCTGTTGAACCTGAGGCTGATATCAATGTTGATGATATCCGAGTCGAATACCACCTGAATGCCAGCAAGCCAACTGTAATGGTGCCATTTACTGAGTTCAGTTGAGGCCATGCACCCAAATCATACACCCCTAATCCCTGCACAGCTCTGTGGTATCCATTTCACACTCATCTCGATTTTGACCTTTCAGAATTCATCCATGGGGCCACTCTCAACAAGGAGCAAATTAATTTTATCCTCAAGCTTTCAAGATGTTTTCATACTGAGGAGTGCACCCTAGAAACTTACAACAATCTTGAGAGTACTTGGCAGGCCACTTCCCATTGCATGATGACGGTATGCATTGTTAACTTACTATTACTGCCAACGCTAATCACACACTAGTCCAGTTTCAGGAAAGTGTAATAAGTGTGCCATTTGTGGGTGAGATGATGGAGTTTGAAGTGCACTATCATTCACTGTGGGATTGGGCTTCTGATCTTTTGAAGGATACCAGTGTGGGGCTGTATTTTGTATTCGGATGCTCAGTGCACCTATCAAAGTTTGATGGCTCCTTGTTTGTTCATTTCATTGACTGAACCATGGACAGGTTGACAATTTTTGGAATGTACAAGTATGTTGTTAGTCTTAAGTCTGTATCTTCAACGATTGCTTTTCCCTTTTTTCAGAGTGACTTACCACCTGATGGCAAGGTTCTGGCATTCATCTTGTATGCTGATAAAGCCAAACTATCAGTCATTTGGTCAACAAAAAGGGTATCCAGTTGTTGCATGACTTGCTAACCTCCCCACTTGGATCCAGAATGGTGAAGGCTTAGGTGGTGGCCAGGTAGTTGGGTGGCTACCAATTGTACAGTACTTTTATTGATGGTGTCGAGTGTACTTACCAATTTTTTGTGCTTCTAGGTAAATGAAGACAAGAGGTATTCTAGGAAAGACATCTTTCACCAACTTCAAGAATCTCATTTGGCATGAATCATTCAAGAAGATTCTGGACACCATTTCAGTCTACTTGAAAAATGGCTGTTGGGTAACATGTTGGGATGGTGTCCTGTGTTGACTTTTCCCTACTGTACTAATTCTTTCTGCTGATTACAAATAGCAGTGAGTGGTTAGGGTAGGTGAAATCATGCAACTGCAGACTGACTATCTCAACATTTAGAGCAGTCATGGCACTCATATGTGGTGTCATGTCACATCACCCTTGTCTGGTTTGTCTCATTCATCAGAATGAGATATCGAAATTCCCCATGAACTGTGAACTTCATACAAGCAAGAATGTTTCCAAGACTTTGCAGGAGGTGCAGTCCCAGAACTGAGCAGATGAAAAAGAACAAATTCTAATCAAGCAAGGACTACATGATGTAGATGTAAGTAACTTGTGTCATTACCTTTACTATGGCCTGATTCCTCTTCAGAGTGCCTTTCATGCAGTCACAAACATGGACATTTATCACACATTGTGTTGGGATTGGTTGCATGCAAACTGTGCAGGATCATTCAGTGATCATCTGTGGGGAGAGCTTCTGAAGATCCTTGAGAAAATGGGTCATCAGACAATGGGAAAGGCTGAGCAAAAGTGAGTATCTTGTTGCTCAAAACAGGTTTGCTAATGATATACTAGTATCAATGCAATGCCCCACTGGCATGGTCTCAATCATTTCAAGGAAGCACTTTTGATTTCATATACAGATGGTCAGAAGCTTGAGGATCTTTCTAAGGTAATGTGGATATCCCATCAAGCTTGGGTTCTGCTGACATCTTCTGAACAGATAATTGTATTTGCCTGTCATGACATCTTGCCACATGAGACAGAAAAAGGTGGCTACCTTCTGTTGCACTGTTTGCATGCTTACATTGAGTTCGATCTGTATATGGTGCTCGAACTACATATGACACACACACTTACCACTGGGTGAGAAGCACTGCATACCTTCAACTCCTTGATTCAGGTTGGCACTGTTTTTGGTATTTGAATTGTTGCTGATGGTTTCTGGAACAGAAATATGCAGAGCAGACTCAGCATACAGGGAAAAATTAGGAACTTTCCTGAAGAACCACACCCATATGCATATATTCAATGACATTGAAGTGAAGGGTGTCACCTGCAATTTCAATATGAAGCCAAATGAGAAAACACATGGTCTGTTGAAGCAAGCATACCAAAAGCAAACTAATTTCAAGGATGTTGCTCAGCAAGTAAGTCAAATTGTTGGTTAGTATCCAGCTTACTTATGCTTGTGCAGATTCTCCATGTCAATCACCTTAGACTGATTTCTGAACATATCCAATGCAAGATCAAGGAATATGATTCTTACAGGATGTTCAGAGTGGCAATGAATATGGACACCATCAATATTGCTGTTGATGAGCCTGAGGAAGAATATTTCCATGTGAAGTTGGGTAGCCAAGTGAAGGAGCCATTAACATTCAAGGATATTGAGAAGAAGAGTATTGCTGACAACACATTCAATTGATTCTGGGGAAAACTCAGCAAGTTCTTCAATAAGTACTTTGTCTTTGCAGGGAAACCTCTTCCTGGTGAGAAACACATCCAATTCCAAAGGAACTGATATGGTAAGTAAAACTGTCTTTTTGCTCTATCATTCAAGTCTCTAACCTTCACCAAAGATTACAGAATATTCACTTTGTCAAAGTCAACTTCAAGTCCACCATCGAACTGGTGCCAGTACATGGATTATCTACACTCCCACCCCAAGTTCCATGGGCATCCTCATTATGACTCTGTACTCATCAAGACTCAGCAAAACTGACATATTCAGGGTGACTTATACTTCTGTTCCAGTGTGTTGTTGGTGGAGAGGCCTTCCCCTTGGCTCTGATACAGCCATACAATGCCCCAATCAGGCAGTGACTTCAGAAGGACAAACACCTCAACTTCTGGAGGGTACACAAGTGACCACAAGGATCATCTGAGATTATTTTGGTCCACTCAATCATTTGCAGGTGCCCTTCTGTATCCAGATCATATGAGAGCTGGTGAGTACCTCATTGTTGACACGATCAATACTGACATGTTCCTTCATGTGCAAATGATGCACAAGACTGCAGGACACCACTAAAACCATCAACTATGTAAGTTGGCCCTTTGAAACATTTTCACCCAAAGTACTGAGGATCCAGTTGATGAAATGACTTTTCTGTTTATTTTACCAGTTGTCTGATTGGCAAATTCACCTTCCCATACCAGATTTGTGGATCCATGCAGAGGATCCATGCAGAGTATGAGCTGCTTTGCCTTGATTATAATTATTCCCTCCTTTTCATTCATTTGTTACCATGTACCACTAATAATTTTACCTACAAGGTTATCATATTATCCAGTAACAGATACCTCCCCACCTGTTGACTCATGCTGAATGAGTTCAAGACTATGGTATGGAAAGATTCCATAGGGCTGAAGTTGCGCACCGTAATACCTCTCCCCTGTCATATGTTGACACCCTGCTCACACTGGGAAAGTTCAAATCTATAGTACAGAAGGATCATGCAGGGCAGATTGTTTACTTCAATAGCTGAGGTCACAGGCCTTGTGTTGAGCTCATGTCTTCCCCCTATTGACTCACACTGAGCAAGTTCAAGACTATGGTACAGAGAGATTTCGTGGGGCTGAAGTCTTGCATCATACCTCCCCCCTGTCATATATTGATGCCCTGCTCTCACTGGGCAAGTTTGAATCATACAGAAGGATCTTGCAGGGTGGATCACTCACTTTGAGAGCTGAAACCACAGGCCCTGCACTGAGTCCATATCTTTCACCCTGTTGACTCACACTGAGTCTTGCATCATTTCTCCCCCCTGTTGTATATTGACACCCCACTCACACTGGGCAAGTTTGAATCCATAGTACAGAAGGATCTTGTGGGATGGATCTCTCACTTAGAGTGCCAAAGCCACAGGCCCTGTGCCAAGCCCCATATCTTCCATCTTGTCAACTCATGCTGAGTGAGTTCAAGACTATGGTACAGAAAGATTTCGTAGGGCCAAAATCTCACTCACACCTGGGGAGATAATTCAAAGCCATGGTTCATTGGCATACATTGATTGCTCAGGTCTTTTTTCTGACATGCAGACTTTTCAGGTATCCAACAGTTCAAAAACTGTATTTGACAGATGAATCCTTATGAGTTCCAGTTTCACAACATTCTTCAAGATTGTGAACAAGTGGAATACTGCATTGATCAGTCTCATGACATACTACTGTGAAGCTGTTATCACATGAACGAGTTGTTAGATGCCCTTGTCAGGGCTGAGAACAAGATTCAAACCTGTGTCAAGATTGGGTTGAACAATAAGGTGCCTTCACATTTCCCACCAGTCATTTTCTACACTCTGAAGGGGCTAGGCGGTCTTAGTATGTTGTCAATGGGTCACATTCTGATTCCACAAAGCAACCTGAGGTGGTTGAAGCAAACTGATGGTGGAGATTGGTACACACCATCATTCCTGCATCTTTACAACCACTAATGAATGTCCTGATAGTTACCCACTTCCAAGCCAGTATGTTCTATGAAGAGGACCAACTCATACCCAACTTGTACTGTTATCTCTGCCCATCAGAGGTGGAATTCCTGGATTCAGCCTGTGTCTGGTTAGAATACTCCATGAAGCAGAAGGAAGTGAATGCTCAAAGCCATCATCTCACTCTTGAAGACCTTGAAGACAGCTGGGACAGAGGTATCCCCCATATCAATACTCTGTTCCAGAAGGATCGCTGCACATAAGTTTATTGTTTCACTATATGTGGAATCAACAAAGTTAATTGGTTCTTTAGTCTCACCACAATTGTGGTTGGCATGTTCATACAGATCAGAGGCAACATCAGTCACTCAAACAGTGCACATTTATTCCTTCTCCTCAAATGCTGCAACTAACTATGATTGTAGCAATCCATTCTGGTGGACTTCACAATGACATGACAGAAAACTTTGGCAGCTTGACAACTACCAAGTCAATGTTATTTCTGCATTGGGTGGTATTTCCCAACCTGGGAGAGTCTCTTCTGGGAGAAGGTGTCAGGCTTCAAAGAGTCCATTTAATACAAAAAGCTTGCAAATGCTCAATGTTTGGGTTTGAACCAAATTCCCAACCATTGGTTTGCACTCACCAGAACCTGATGATCAACCTAGCAAACATCTATGTAGGTTTCCAGGTCCAACTTGATCTGACAGGTATCTTCATGCATGGCAAGATCCCCACCTGTAAGATTAGTTTGATCTAGATTTTCTGTGCTCACTTGTGGCAAAAGAGATGGTCACATTCTGCTGTATTTTGCAATTTGTGCTGACTGATTTTTTTTAGTTCACAAGATTGTTGTCATGGACTTATGTTGAGTATTTGATCAAGAACTCGAGCCCCTCCAAATCAAGACAGTGCAGCAAGAAATGATTCACCCTCAAAAGAGTTACAAGATGAACTTGTCCTGTGCAGATATCTTGTTATTCTCAGCCTGCAAGTGGAACATAACATGCCCTTTGCTCATGACTGACATATGTTACATATTTATGCCTTACCAAGACTGCACCCACTAATGCTCTATCTACAGAACAAGGACATGTTGGATGGTACAACAAGCAACAAATACCAGATTGAGGTTCAGCTTGGCTGGGGTGACTTTGACTTGCACAATATTGAGCACTATACACATGCAAAATTCTTGGACTATGTACGTTCTTTGTTGCTTTCCTAAGTAATGTGCTGACAAGTTCCTCTCAGGTATCCAACTCTATGAGTATATACCTGTCTCCCACTGGTGTGATCAGCATGGATTTGGTGTGCAACCTTTGTACTGGTGCTTGAGGAACTCGAAAGGCTGTCCCGATCAGGTGTGGCATGAAGCCCATGACCTGATGCATTGCTAAGTTTTTTTGTGTGCTTCTTGTTTTGGATGACATGCTGACTTTGGGAACTACTGGTTAATTTGGACTGCACCTCATTGAACCCACATGCTGCTACATGCCCATTCACATTGTCATCCTGCTGACTGGCAGCCTCTGTTGGCCACTTCCTTGCATTCCAAGTTGGTATTCATGCTCCATGTGTTCCTGTGCACTGTCATATGGTGAGCTCCAAATCTTCTGATTGCCAAGTGCTGAAATTTGTCAATCACCAACACATTTTCCTTCAGTAGGCTAACTTTAATATCTACCTTGAGGTTTGCTGATGTTTGATACTGCACACTAGGCCTTCAGTAAGAGGCATCATGGTTGCATCATGACTTAATATTGCTCTCATCAGGCACTGGCTGTACACACTGCTCCTGCATGCAAAAGGGCACAAAGAAACAATCAGTGACTCCAACACCCAGTTCCCTGTGCTACCTGACCATGCTCCCAGCCTATCTGCAATAATAATGAATCTCAGTGGGTGCTCTCAATCCACACTCAGCCAACCTTGATGACCCTGATGCTGAAGGTCATCAATGGACCATTGTGAGTGCATTGTCCCATTCAAGAGAAGGCAATGGTGATCTTGCAGAGGTATGTAATCATGTTTTTTTGCAAAGAACTGTTCTTACTGACTACTTCACAGGCACTAAGGTCTGTCCAGCTGCAACTTGACATAGAAAAATCCCACAATCAGGAACTATTGGAGAAGAATGCTGTCCTAGAGGCAAACAAAACCTGCCATTCTACAAAGGACATTCCTGCCAACATGATTGCATATGACAGCAAGATCAAGACACTGGGGAAAAAATATGCTGTAATGATGGAAATGTTCTTGCCACAAACACCACTAACCAATGCCATGTCAGAGCTGCCAAAGTCACCTTCCCCTGTGTTTGCAACAGCTGAGTGTTATGCTAGCAGGATGGCAGAGGAACAGGGTCTTGTCACTGAGCTTGATTCCATACTCCCAGAGCATCTGCATAGAATCAGAAACACTCATTTCTTCCTTGATGTCATACATTCATGCCCACCATATGATCTTACTACACTGATGACATCACAGTTTGCACAAGCAATGCAAAGTGGTCAGTCTGACATCCTCTACAAGCTACATGACAATGCCCATGAAATCTTTGCTCTGCTGAAGAACCACTTCTTGCCAAATGCATCTTGTCTCAAAGTTCCCAAAATTGCAAAGATGCTTGGAGTCAAGGACATAGGCACTCTGAACCAACATTTCACAATATGGTTCCACTTTCTCTTCAAGGACATGAAGCTTGACATGCATAAACCATTCATGAACTGGATACCACTTGCTCAGGTGAGTCAAAACTATGTTCCTTCAATTTTCCACTGACAAGGAATAGATTTTGAAAGGAGCACTATGGGGCAAGATGTCACTCACAGAAGGCTTTGTTCATTGTGGTGGACCAAAGATGAATGGGTAGAAGTGGCAGGTCACAGCAGTGACACCAGGATCTATTGCATGGGCTGCAACAATGGTGAGTAACTTACAGTGATGCTGTGTTACATGTTACTGATTTAATTCTTGTCATTACAGTGTATGTTTCTACTTTCTCCTGACAAGGAGTTCCCAGGGAATGGTTGTGGGGCTATCTCAAAAATTGATTACTATCAAGTGTTCTGTGCATATAAACAAGTGCTCATTATGAAGTGGACAGACCATCACATCCAGAAGATTGTCATGGAGATGAACCACTTTGTGTTTGGGAACCCTGGAGCAGCTGCAAAGTCCAGGACAGGTGCAATGGAGGACTTTTCTGTGGAGATCAATGCTGCTGATGGCAGAAATGGACTCTGCCACACTATCAGAAGATGATGCAGACAAGACAGATAGTTCTGGTCTGTCCACCCCAGATTCACTTTCAATCACTGACACAAACATTCCTGCTGCATCTGAATCCCATCAAATTGTAATGTCTGTCCCAGTGCCTGTAACAACCCTCAGAATGAGCAATGACAATAGCACAGATCCATCAAGTACTGATACTTTGGAATCTGGTAGCATTAATCCAGTACAGAAGTCAAAAGGGCAATAGTGGTAGAGGCAGACATGTTAAGTAGATTCACTTCAACCAGTCACTATTTTACTGTTAGGACTCATAACTAGATTACTATGTATCTTGTGACTCCATACTGAATACTAGCCTTCTCTTCCTTCATAGCACTGCCCTAGTCACCACCTGTCTCTGTACCTATGCTCCAAATGTTATCTGTATCCTGTCTTTGCCTTGAGTGCTTCAACCCATTAGAGCCTTCAAAGCAATTTCCAAAAATTTGTCTAAGTCCAAAAAGTTTCCTTAAGGGGACTTGATGTCCCTATCAATAGATTGGGTGTGTAGACTAATGGTAAGCTATGCTAATTAGACTAATGACTACACTAGTCCCTAGGTTTGAACCCTGGTCAAATCAAGTTAAAAAAAAATAGTTTGTAGTTGTTGTAGTTGATTAGGAAAGCATGTAGTAATGATTGCTATGTAGTGTAATAGTGATGAATAGCATATGATAAGATTACAAGATAAGATAGTAATGGTAATCAAATCAAATCAAATTATCAGATCCTAGATAAAAGAAAAAAGGGTTAGAATGAGATAAGATACTTGTAATATATTTTTCCATTCCCTCGGTCCAAAATTAATTGCAATCCCCGGTTCTCATCACAATACATTACAAATCAGATTACAGTAATATGGCAGTGCCGAGAGTCTGGGCTATTTCTACATGGCACAGCTATTGTAATCGTCATTATAATAACATCGAAATAAGGGGGTGATGATACCATGTTCATAATATCAACCCCCCAATGACACTACATTTGGTATTGCCATTTGTATTGCTATTGCGATTGCAATGGTCATCGTAATTACCATTGTGACTATTATTACATAGAAAACTTTAATATCACAACAACATTTCAATTACAAGTTTAATTGCAGCCATTGCAATCGCTTGCCACCCATTGAAATAATTTTACAGATTTTCCGACATACGGTGTTTAGATTCTGCAAAGCACTTTCCAAATCGCCGCTGAGATCTTGAGAGTCAAAGTTACGTCCACATAGACGCGGTACAAAACCTGAAGTTCGAAAAACGGTAGCCATGTGTCCCTCCAGGATTCCATTGTCATACCTCTCCTACTTGGAGTCTCGGTGAGAGTCTGGCACGATGACGCACGATAACTCTGCTCATCACGATTGCGAGAACGAGTACACTTACATTCCACCCTTCTATTATCGTGGGTTCTTCCTGACACAACTGTACCCTGAATATCGACCTATCAGAGATCGCCAGCCTCGAGGCAAAGTAGATGCCCTACGCCATATATAAACCCATGGTGATGGATCCTGTTATGGCTGTCTCTCAGCGCATCTGACTCACTCCCTGACAAGGCTGCACATCCACTTGCGACTTGAAGAGATACATATGACATTGCAATACAAGATCACCCATGTTTTTTGTCCCCTACAGCTTCCTGATGGAGATGATCATTCTCACTCAAATGATCTTGCTCTATCTGAAGCACTATGCCATTCGGCATCCAGCTACTATAGGCACCTTGATAACCCTATAAAAGGTCATTGGAAATGCGTGGAGAAGCTGTTGCACAATCTTTACGAGGCAACGCGTCTTGAACAGTTAGAAGAAACTCTCGTCTCATCTCAGCTCGAATCTATGGCAGTAGGGGGTACGTACTATATGTCGCAAGGCAGTTCTTTTCTCGTGCTGACACCATACAGATGTCGTCGCCTATCTCATCCGTGCTCAGAATGCAGCTGTTGTATTCAGAAGAGGTGCAGAGGAAACCATTGCAGAATCATTCGAAGTATCCCCTACTGTGGCGGCAGTCATGAGCTCCTGTGATAAACTCGTGTGCTCGTACCCGGGCCCCGCGATCGCCGTCCCAAATGTAGTTTTTGGTGATGCTGTGTTCCGCCTCGAGCTTGCCCATTTTCTCTGCGAGATGAACAAGGACAATCTCGATGCGGCTCCCACTACCCGCAAGGCGGGTACCACGGTCTCCGAGACGCGGGATACGGTCCACCCTCGGTATATAACGGAACTATTGACTGGCATCCTGCGAGCCGTCGGCAGGCCTGCCGATGTCCAGCGAATTAACAAACGTATCGGCGATGACGTTGTATGGCGCAATTCCCATCTCCCTTGGCGTCGCTCTTCGCTCTGGTTGATAATCAGAGTTGTCCTGCAGACTACCCTTGCACGAAATGGTCTCGGGGTAGACGTCTACAAGGCATTCGTGTTATTCTTCATGAATGGACTCGCCGGAGAAGCCGTAGGCCACGGAATGTCGGATGATGTCTTGCATTGGATATCTGCCAAGCTCAGCCGCCGGTTGATGAAGCTGGGGGAGTCGGCCCCCAACTGGTTGTCAGCCTACCGTGCTGTCGGGGTGTACAAACATTCAAAAGCTGTTGTGTAAAAGATGGAAGCAGGTGCAGGATATCGATGCTTCCTCGCCGATGTGGAATCCTGCTTCCCTCAATATCTTGGCCGACACACAGCTTTCCCTACTGAAAGGTGCTAAGTACATCAGCGGCATCCTGAATCAAAGTTACTCCGCTTTGCAGCCTGCCAGTTCTCTGACCAGCCGTCGCCCGCGCGGTAGTTTAGACAAATTTCTATCGACGATGGGCGACTTCTTCGAGGATGCTTACAAAGCTGACCCTCGAGTGACGCTCTACGATGTGGAGCGAGTAGTTCGCCACGGTATCGATGATTGGGTTGTCGCTGTCTTGGTGGATGACACCTTAATAGCATGCGAGAAGCTGGAGCTCCTAGCCAGCAAATATTCATCGGCAGCCAGGGAAACCTACAAAGGCAATCCAGAAGATTTCTCACGAATGCTTCTTACCGTAATCGAATTGTGGGTTGCAATAGACAAACTCGTCACGCGACAGATCCCCATGCTTCATGAATACTCCCCTGAAATACCTATCACTCTCCTGGAACGATTACTTCTTCGGGACGCACATGACATCCAGCGCCTTTGCCTCGTATCTGGTTACATTCGCCAACGTCACTCTGCAGCCAAGAATGGGTGGTCTGTATTTTCAGACCGAGCGGACTCTAGCAATTTTGCAGTGCGCTACTTCAACCGAGATCCTCATTTGCAAGCGCTTAGGAACCGCATTGTCGATGCTGCTGATCAAGCGCGGCGGAACAAAGTCGAAGAGCTCAGACAGGCAAATGAGCGCTTCCACGATATCACAAGGCGTGCTGCAGGCATGGATCATGTTTACAGGATTAATACGCACGGGATAGAGGAGCACCGCCCACGAAAGTGTGCGAAGTGTAAGCTTGAAGCCCAGTCGAAAATCCAGATTACGGTGCACGAATGGCCACTTCCGAAGGACCGTTGTCGTGCCGCGGCGGCCGTCTTCGAGCTACATCCCCCACCTTCGTTCGACGTGTGGCGCTCGGTCATTTGTCTCCTTCTTGTTGATATTTGTTCTCCCCCACTGAAAGAAAAACACCCTCATACTTCTCTTGGAAAATATCCTGCGTTGCACTCCTACCACACCAAGCGCACAAGATCTCGTATCGTGCTGGCGTCTGACGTAAAGCCTTTCATGAAGTCCCACTACCACTCAATCCCTGTACCTACTGTGGAGAGCAAAGTCTGCGTCAACAACGGTCTCAGCTTTTACTATTACGATGAACTTTCCCACGCTTCCGCCGCCGACGCCTTCCACTCCGTAAATGTATCTGGCCCTTGTTCCTACGAGCTCCCACCAGGGCCATATCAAAATCTGCAGCGCTATCTGCAGCATACTACCTACACGTCAAACGAAGTGCTGTGTAGTCAGGCTGACTGCCACAGTGATCTTTCTATTCACGAGTTCATAGCATATGGGCACCTACGCAGTGGTCCTTTATTGCAGTGGCTTAACATTTTGCGGGAAATTCGTGCCAATACATTAACTCTCCGCCGCGAGGAGGTCCACGTGCTGTTCGCTCAGGCAGCCAGCGAAGTTGGTCTCGTATCCGGTGACGGGAAGTTGGTATGGCATGCTGAGCTGGAACAACCACATTTCCGTTACTTGCTCTTGGGCGAACTTGAAACTCTTGTGATGACTGTGTCGGGAAACTGGCTGGAGGGTACGACAATGGATACGATTTCATTTTTGGTCGCTAGGATGCTTTCTGCAACATGCACCGTCCAAGACAGCGGCTATCGTAGGGCTCTCGACCTACTCCTTACTATTCGGGAGATGACATTCAGTTGGGTACTTGAACTCTTCTATAAACTGGAACAGGCCGTGTGCGAGGTTGAGAAGGACCAGCTTCGAGGACGTCTTCGTGACTCGGCCGCAATCTGTCGCAGCACTTTTGATGTGGATCTTGACACAGCAAAGCAGCTTCTCGGCTCCTCGCGGGCTCTGGAGATTCTAGTGTGTTGTGGGGTAATCATCCATAACAACACCCCACCGCAATCGAATGCTCTTTGTGCAATGTCAAGGCTCCTTAAAGAACGTGACTGTCGCGTATCATGGAAATTGGAGGAGCTTGTGGGCACTATGATCCTAGAAGGGAATGACGGGATTGATCTTGGGATCAAACACGTTTGGCCAGGGTACCGTAGAGGCACTCAATGGCGGAGAGGAAGCGCTAGAAATCGCGGTTGGTTCACCACCAATACGTCCAGCTCCGCTACCCAGCGTTCGCAACAAGTACACTTGGATGTTCTCAACGGCACTTTCTTGGTGGACGGACGACCGATGGGAAGACTCCCAAATGGGATCAGGGAAGATCCGATTTTTATGCTCATTTTCGGTAGCGTAAGCTTGCTATAATGTCGATCTGTTCCGTTTACTGACTTTCAGCAGCAAGCACCAGACGTCTTTCCTGGGGATATGGCTGGGATGGAATATGCTACTCGTGGTTTGATTGGCGATTACCGCGTAGGCGCTCTGGTCGATTTGTATCTGCAGGTCACTGAGATTGATCCTGCAGGTTTACTTCCGAATGGGAACAGACGGATTGAGAATCCGGGCCAAAAAAGAGGCTGACCCAGATATTTTCGAATTGATTCCTCCCAAGAAGTTAGCGTCCGATCTCCCAACTGCACTGGTGGAGAATCATGTACATTGGTTCAACCTCACGACGCGAATGATCGAGGCTCGCCCTATAGAGAATTTATGGAAGTCGTCCCCCGACAACTGGAGGCTTCAATTTTCGCCTGGAAGCCATTCGATGACCAAGGGAGATGCCAGACTCTTAGACATCCATAGTCAGACCTGGCGGATGTTGTCGGAGCGGCTTCAGCCTTTGGAAAATCCACTGAACCTCATTATCATACTAGACGGTTCAAATACCGTGTCTGTCGACTTGCCACGTTACGGTCTATCCTTCTTCATCAACGATGACAACGAGTTGGAGTGCCGCCACCCTCGTGGCATGCTGTATGACGAAACCCAATCTGCAGGAACGTTGATTGGGCTAGCAAACAAGCTTGTCTTGCGACCCAAGGCCCATTTAGCCGATGAAGATGTCCAGAGACTCATTCTTGTACCGGAAGGGGATGTATCATTCGCGAGGGAAGGTGACCATGTGCGGGTCACGATCGATATATCAGGTCCAGCGAACAGGCGGTTCCGATACCAAATATTCCGGACTGACACCAACTTCAAATGCCTGGCTGGCAATGCTAGTCTGGCAAGCAATCTTTATCGTGCCTACCTGCATGCACTGACCAGCAAACCGTGTTTGGTGGACCCTCTGACCCAAAGGACGGGTACAGAGGAAGCGCTATCCATCTTACGTTCTGCTGCATGTCGGTCGTTCATGAAGATCGACACTCGCTGTGCCAAACTACTGTGTCGCATTGCGGAACTGACTACTCAACGAACGTGGTACCCTAAACATATGAAGTGTATGCAATCCGTGCATTGGCTGACGGGACTCCCAGCCGCATCCCAGCACCACGGTTTTTATCTTGCTTGCTCGTCTATCAAGGAGATCCAGCAACAACTACAGCTTTTTCATGATAGTCAATCTACCCCACTCTTCGATGAGTTCCCACCTTGTGATGACCATCTACTTCGCCGTGCCGCAACCAGGGCTGCTATGCTTTACCCGCCGTCGTCTGATAATCCCGTTCCAGGTGGTGGATCCGACTCCGTTTACAAGGCAAGGGACGCACAACTGTCCTCTGCCAATGAACTCCGTGTATACAGCGCTGCACTTGCTGTTTACAATTGGTCGACTCAGAAACGTCCAACGAATAGCATTCAAGGCTTAGTTGAATCATGGGAAACTATGCAGGGCGGTTCGAAATCATTCTCGTTGCGTTACAGCAGAAACTGGCTATCTCCACCCCTACCTGACATTTGGCTTTCATTGTATAACAGCTGTCGCAGGAGCCAGGTAGCGCGGCACCGCTTCCAACTCATATTCTCCTTGCCTGCGATGGCATACGCCTCTCCGGACCTCAAGAACCTCATCAATACGTTACTAGCATTCGCAACGATTCCCCAATTCAAGGATGAAAATCCTCCTAACCACCCCATGTATAACCTCTCTGATGGTTACAAACCTTTTTTACATGTGTTGGACGAGTTTGTTTCTCGGCGGGCAAAACCCTACCGGGACAGCGTAACTCCACAAGAGTACAGGGAGCGGCTCCAACGGGAAAGGGGTAAAGTAATTAAAAAGGTGATAGCTGCATGGCCGTGTATGAAACCTCCTTCTTGCCGCAACTTCCTGGATCCCGCTTGGTATGACACTGATGGATTGGATTCCGATCTTTGCAAAGCGTTTGCGAGCTGCTACCGAAATATGGAATTGAAGAATCACTTGGATCGTGTGGAGTTAATTCTGACTCAAAAGGCTCCCTCGTTTCGGGAGCCTTCAACTAACAAAACTAACAAGACGACTTCGCCCGCCGACCAACCACTGGGATATTCCTTCGCACTATCCACCCAGGGTCACCACCGAGAGAACTGGGAGGTGACCCTGGAAGTCCTTTTCCGTCGCACTGCACCTGCTGTGCCACCGGATGGGGTGACGCGTCAGGGGTTGAGGCTCAACCTCCATGACAACTATGCTTTGAATCACCTCGTCCAGAACCCCTACCGGCCTCAAACGTGGTACTTGCTTTTTTACTCCTTACATCTACGTCGTTTTGACCCTTACTTATTCAGCGGATCAGAGAAAATGAGCCAGTTGATTGACAATCTTCACCAGAACGCAAACTCGGCGTTTCAGGTTATGTATGCAAATGGGCTACAAGAGAGCGCGAAACATCTTACTTATGACCGGACGACCGTGCACGTAAACGATCTCAAACGCTTGGTGGAATCATTCAGAATACATCACAAGCAAAGCAGAACAAGATACTTGTCGGCCCTAAGGTTCCTTACAGAATACTTGGGTCCGCAGACGACAAACGAGCACGGGGTCTACAGATCCGGTCGGTGGCCACGCATCACGCCGAAGATTCTCCTTGGTTGCCTCGCATCGACATCGCAAATTCCATTGCCCCATGATTGGCGAGTTTGTTTAATAGAATTTGCGAAACTTGCACTAGAGTACCAGCGTGCTCGCCGAATGCTAGCCTTCGCGAAGAATGATCAAGCCGAAGATCTGCACAAGGAAATGGAGAATACCAGTTGCGATGGTTGGGAAGCGGAGTCGTACGCCGACTGGCTCTTAATTCAGGTACTTTTATCTTGTCACCTCTTATTTTGTGTGAAGCTTATCCACTCTTGCTATTCTCGGTTCAGCTGGACGGAGATTTCCTCGTTCGTCGCGTCCAAGCACATGTTGCGTTAGAAATGATAGCTCCTCGTTCCGGCCAGAACACCGTTCTGCAGCTAAATATGGGTGAAGGGAAGTCTTCGGTGATCGTACCAGCGACGGCGTCGGTCCTCGCTGATGGAAACCAACTCGTGCGAGTGGTGGTCCCGAAAGCGCTTGCTTCCCAAATGTTCCATCTCCTCGTAGATCGACTTGGTGGACTCGTCAATCGACGGGTCTTTTACTTGCCATTTTCAAGATCGTTGCAAATCGATCAATCGGGAGCCAGAATAATCCAGGCAATCTTAGAACAGTGTATGCGCGAGCGCAGCATCCTTGTCGTGCAACCAGAACATATCCTATCTTTCAAGCTGCTGAGCGTTGAGAAGCAGCTAGGTGGTACGAAGAAGATCGCGAAGCAACTATTAAAGACTCAGCGGTGGCTCCATTCACACGCTCGCGATATACTTGATGAAAGTGATGAGATCCTGCATGTTCGAAACCAACTGATCTATGCTATCGGTTCACAGAGACCTCTGGAGGGCTCTCCCACTCGATGGTCGACCACTCAACAGGTACTTCATCTGGTAAAGAAACATGCCCCCATGCTCCACGCAGATTTCCCGCTCGGTGTAGAATACGAACAATGTCACCGCTACAGTGGAGCTTTCCCCCACATCCGCATTCTTCATGAAGAGGCAGGGAAAGAGTTGATTTCCAAGATTACTCAGGATGTCATGGACGGACGGTCAGTCAACTTCGGTCGGACGCGCCGTGTCGAGAGAAGGGCAATTTACGACTTTATCACCCGCATGGACGTTGCCTCCTCCGAAGTCCAAGTGATACGGGACTACTGCGGAGGCACCGCCATGTGGATGAACTTGTTACATTTACGTGGACTTTTAGCATCCGGGATTTTGTTGTTTGCCCTCATGGAGCGACGATGGCGCGTCGGCTACGGTCTTGCACCTTCTCGGACCATGCTGGCCGTCCCCTACCGTGCCAAGGACGTCCCAGCGCCGAGAGCAGAATTTGGACATCCAGACGTGGCCGTAGTGCTGACATGTCTCTCGTATTACTATGGTGGACTGGATCGGGAGCAGCTCATGTTATGCTTCGAGCGTCTCCTGATGCTAGATAACCCAGACCAGGAATACGAGTCATGGGTCCACGGTTGTCCCGAAGTTCCTGCAAATCTCCGCCAGATCAGCGGCATCAACGCCCAGTCTTTAGACCAGTGGAATCAGCATCTTTTCCCGATATTCTCATGCAATCAGTCGACCATAGACTTTTATCTCTCTCAGGTTGTCTTCCCGAAGGAGGCTAAGGAGTTCCCTTCGAAGTTGTCCAGTTGCGGATGGGACCTTGCAGAACAAAGGGAGCACGTAACCACTGGTGAGTACATAGCTCAGCTATAAACGCATATAATTCATTTGTTAGGATTTTCTGGGACGAATGATGCGCGCTATCTGCTGCCGACTTCCACCATACAACGAGACCTTGATCATCAACGTGCTACCAATGCGAAGGTTCTCGCCTACCTCCTTGGGCCCGAAAATGACGCATACATGCGAACGTCGTGGTCAGATGGCCGGCGACGAACAGCTGGTGAATTCCTTGCGCTTGTAGTGGAACAAACACCAGAAATACGTGTGATACTGGACGTCGGTGCTCAAGTCCTCGAGTTACAAAACAGTGAATTTGTGGCGCTCTGGTTGGAGCTGAAACCCGATGCACTAGCTGCCATATACTTCGATGACGACGACGACCTGACTGTCCTCTCTCGTGATGGGACCACGCAATCGTTGTTAGAGTCACCGTACGCAAGTCGACTGGACGAGTGTGTAGTGTATCTCGACGATGCACACACACGAGGCACCGACGTTAAGTTTCCAATTGGCTTCCGTGCAGCAGTCACGCTAGGGCCCAAAGTTACAAAAGACCGCCTGATCCAAGGTATGACTCTGGAATCGGTTGATAAGACGTCCCCCTGATCTCGGTGCCAGGTTGTATGCGCATGCGCAAACTTGGACATGGGCACTCCGTGATGTTTTTCGGTCCTCTGGACGTAGACAGGCGTATCTGCAATGCAGCTAGAAAAAGTGATGGAGACACAATACATCCATCAGACATCTTGCTGTGGGCCATGGGCGAGACCTGCGTTGAGATCCAAAACAACGCTCCCTACTGGGCCCAGCAGGGAAGAGACCACGCTTCGCGGTACCGTGCATGGTCGGAGTTCTGTAGCGACGAAATAACTTCTGAAGAGCTCGCCACAACCTGGCGTCGGCCAGATGCGAAAACCCTGGAAGAACTGTATGCGCCATCCAATCGTGCGGACCAACCAATACTGTCTATCCCGGCAATCGATCAACGGTGCCGAGGGCTTGGCGTTTCCTCCTCAGCCAACTCAAATATGAACGAGGAACAAGAGCGAGAAATTGTACACGAAATAGAACGCGAAACACAAGTAGAGCGACCCTCGCCAGCAAGAGCAGCTGAGCATCAGGTCTCTGCGTATGTCCGTCGATTCGTGCACAGTGGCATCGTTGACCCTAATTCAACTTCCTTCATTCTGATGTTTGATTCATTCTGCGACACGAGAGCACCTACTCAAGAAAAGAACGTGTGGTCCCGACGCGCCTTCGCCACCTCCGACTACTGTACTGTGGTGCAGAAACGAGGAGGAAAAGGAAAAAGAAAAACAGGAGCGGATGTTGGTGAATGCCTCCGTCCAGTTAACTGGATACTCTCGAGTCAGTCAAATGGAGACCCCATTCTCGTCATCCTTAGCCCATTCGAGGTGAACGAGTTATTGCCGAAAATCAGAAGCAGCGGATCCGTATGTCTTCAGCGTCTACACGCCACGAACCCAAGCAAGGATGCGTCCGTGTGACGACTTGCTTCTATACACGATCCCTCGTGCTCGTTCCGACTGTATTGCACCCTCTTCACTTGTCGACCAGGTCAATCTGTTTGCTGGACAGCTGTACCTGCGCGACTACGACACATATCTTCGACTTTGTCGCTTCCTTTGTGTCTATGCCGACGATCTCGCCGATGAAGGAGACTTGGAGGTCAATAGCGATGGCTTTATAGCTCCTGCACATCGCCCCCTGAAGGCACAGTCAGGATGGCTCTTTCCAGAAGTCACCACTTCCTTTCCTCAAGCATGTTACCAACTTGCGTAGGAGAGGGATGAGCTTCGCACCAACACACATAGGAAGAATTCTGAATGGACGATTGTTGAAGGAAGAAGACTTCGAAGACCAGTTGGATACTGAGTAGGACGTAATTGTACCTCTCATCAAATTAGGATAAGCTGCTACAAGGGGCACGTCGCCCTGTCCAGTCTCACTTGCCTTCTACCACTACTGATATGCCGGATCATCTACGTTTTCTTCTGTTTGTTTGGTTCGTACTCTTCGATACCTGAAAATTGGCTTGAAGTTTGAAGTTTGAACCTGTGAGCTGCCTTGTAGCGTAGTCAGCTTATCCAAATCCTCGTTCGACGCGAGACGCGGACTGCGTTACGTAACCAACATACAGCAAGAGGTGGCAGACTTTCAAGTGGCGTCTCACATGCCACTTGTAATTGTCCTTGTCTTTCCAAGATTCCATGTCGAACCTAAAGACGGTGGTGGACCGTCTCAGGAGTGAAAAGGTCAAGGAAAGGCAGGAAGGGATAGCAGCGCTACGCTCCACTTTTGCTCGCGAAGACGCGGTCTACAGCATCGAGGATGGACGCGGCTGGTTGGTGTTGTACCAGGCTCTGTTCACCACGGTCAAAGTCGAAAAGTTAGACACGGCCAAAAAGGCGGGGAAGGCGGGGACGGCGGGTGCGGACCGCTCAACGTAGGCTCGTTGAAGCCGCTGCCGCGGTCCGATGGCTTGTCGAAAGGAGCGTACGGTGCCTCAGCAAGAGGGCACTAACGCCGCTTCTCGAACACCTCACGCAAATGCTCGTACATCGTCATGAATTGTTCTCGCCGATAGCCTTGGACTATCTCAAGACGATCAGGGTACTGCTCTCGTGGACACCTCACATGGACCATGTCAACTTGGAAACCTGGCTGAAACTAGTGGAGATCTGCTTCAACGTCGTCCTGAACGAACCGATGGACAAGGAGCTTGTGCCTTCTGAAGAAGACAATTCGTCTGGGGAGAATTCAATGTATCAAAGTGACAGTAACGACGATGATGCAGGTAGTTCGTCTACTCCAGCCCAAACACGAAAGAGGCATCTCGCAGAGCGTGCCACGCCAGGTTCAACTGACAGCTCGCATCGTTTCCGGCGGTCTGCACGACGTACCGTTTCCCTCGAGCAAGTCGAATGTACGGCTCTCCTCGCACTTCTCTTCCGTCATCCTGCCGCACCGTTCCTGGCCACAGTTGACAGGAGTGACCCCGACAGGAAAGGAAACCTCATACCGGTACTCATCGCGTCCGCCTTATTCAAACGCATGAAACGATTCTTGGAATGTTACCCCACCGACACATCGCTCCATCACGACTATCTTCTTGCTCTACGATCATTTCTCTCCCAAGTATCCCTTAATTGCAAAGACGAGGTTGACGACTTGGCCCGCTCTTCGTGGGATGCATTGGTAGGGTCTTTGGGGGACGAAGAGCAAACAACTCAAGGAAAGTCTCGTTGGGATTTTTCGGATCTTGTTCCCCTTCATTACTGTAGCCCAAAGCGCACCATCATATGGATGGGCAGATGCAGTCCAGAACCTCCTGGTCCTTCTAAATGGAGAAGCAGAGAGCAAGTGGGGCGTAGACGGCCTTTTTATCGATTCGCTCAGGTTGGATGTTTCTCCTGCCGAAGTCGGCGCTGGAGAGATTTTTGTCTCGCATACATTCAGAGCTGGCTGGAACTTCGATACCAACCAAGCTCTAGCTTGGACTCTATTAGAGCTTCAAGCAGACTGCATCGAGAAGGCACGCTTTACTACCTGTTGCCAACGCAAGTTGCTGACTCTTCTCAGTTATTTAAACACTCAGAGTCAGTCCATGTTGGTACACCATCATTCTCGTCCACCACAAAGCGGATGAAACGGGAAGACCCAATATGTGCCTTGCTGCAGTCGATACGATCTACGTCTACAACTAACGTTCGCGTTTACAATTTACAAATTCTACTCTTCCTTATCGATCGGCACTGGGCCGAGTTCCACAACGCACTCCAGAATGATATCATCAATGTACTTCTGCAATTGATCTCAGTTGACGACGTGTCGATTCAGTCTTGGATCTTTCTGTCTCTTGCAGCCGTCGCACGCTGGGACGGCGAGGACGGTGTCTGCCATTCGGGAACTGTTTCTGCTACTGCTGTCCGCACTGACCGGCGCGGTCCTACGACCTGGGATCCAATCTGGACACATGCCGTGCGTCGTGCTAACGTGCCCGTGGTCTGTAGGGCAGCGTGTCACACTGCCTACCTACTCAGTCGGGCATGCGAAGCACCTTCTTACGTCACACCGAGTTCTCGCTGAGATCGAGACATTCGCAAAAGATCTCGACCTTCAAGGCCCCAACTTTCCTTATGATGCCGTCTGCATGTTTTTGGCACAGTGTTTGCGCGTAGCAAGTCAGGATGTCCGGTTATATCGCATGCAACTGGAGGAGAAGGTTTTGAGCTGGCTACTGGATAACTGGGCGATAGGGGTTGTGACCAGCAATGTTAGCGGGAAAGCCCGTCTACCACCGCATACGATCAATGATTTTCTCAATTTGTTGGGCAGCATATGCGGTTACAGGCAGCACACAGATCTGATCTGTGCCTCGCCGCTGCCGGACTGCGAAATTGCGGAGGTTATGGAAGAACAACGCAAGACTAAAATCATCCGGGATTACTTGCTATTTGCTAAACTTCCTCAAGTTCCCCATTGTAAGGGCACGGTTGAGGATGTGGCTTTGGTTTCCTCGGATGAGTTGCTTTCCTCGAGGTTGGATCAAGAACCTGTTTCCCCCCGTGGACGTGAACGGCGTGTTTCCATCTTTCTGCACAAAGCCATAGAATCTTTGGTGGTGGGATGGGAAGTTGCTAAGGTTAATAATTTTACTCATGCTGCCGCCGAGGAGATCCGACAGTCACTTGACGTTGCCATCACTGCTATCATCTTTGACTCGTTGCAAGCTTCAAACGGAACACGGAGCAATCGTCGGGTTGTACAGTTGGCGGGGAAAGTTGTAGTGCTTCTCGCGCCTCTTTTAACTGACTCTCGATGGACCGCTGAAGAAAGACTCCTCATTTTGAAGGCGTTTGATCCGCTTATTCTTGACGGTGATTCAGGAAATGACGAAGAGTGGGAGGCGATGGTTGTTCCAAGCGTCGACTCTGGGATTAGATCGCATATTTTAAATGCTCTCAGAGCACGCCTGTCTTGTGATGTGCGATCCCGTGTGCAGCGCCGGAGTCTCCAGCGCATGATTTGGAGAAACGCAGACGTTAGTCCCTTCTCAGTATGCTGGAGCTCTAACTGCTAACTCCCGTTAATGTTCAGATCCAAGATGATTTTGCGGTCGTATTTCAAAGCCTCAACCAGTTGCTTTGTGTCCTTATAGACCAAGTACCCCACGACGAGGACTCGAACGCTGATGAAGAAGGGGATCGTTTTGAACCAATCAGGACTGCTCGTGCCGCTATGCCGGCGGATGATGGTTTGCAGGATCACTCCTTGGCCGTTCGGCGCTTGGTGGAGATATGCGTTATTTTCCTTTCCGTCGTTCCTGCGCTGCAAAATCCAGTGGGTGAAGTGACCCACAACAAGGAACTCGTTAAAGTGATGACCGACTGTTCTGAAGAGAAGTTACTGGTTCTAGGGCCTCCCCTGTTGACGGTCGTATGCAAGAGGTTACTAAACCTCAATGCCCATATCTTGGATACCCTATTGGGCAAATGCGCTGATCTCCTGCAGCGTTATTCCCATGCCTTCAATGCACAGTTCCATCTCCTAGTCACTGACCTGCTGAAATGTACCATGCACATCTGGTTGGAGAAGAAGGTCGCCGGTTCTGCATTGGGTGACCACGTTCTGGATCTTTGTGCTTGGATTTCAGGCATCGCGAGGAAGAAAGTAACATTCTGGAAGGTCCGTGATTTGGTCGTCCAGTTCACGGCAATGCTGCTCGCGGAGGATCCTTCTCAGTCATTCTGGCCTGCGGAAGATGGGGAAGAATCTGTCAGTCGACCGTTGCACATTTTGTTGGCATTGAATGCCGATGAGGATATTCGGGTTCGATTTTCGTGCAGCCGTTAAGACGGCTAACTTATTTGCCCTGCGCGAGGATGATGGTACTCGGGACTTTGGGAACCTTGACTCGTTTTATACCAGCGTTCATGAGTCGCTCCCCAGGGATCTTGCCAAGTAAGTGCAACCTGCAAACCCCGTTTATGAGTACTGAGAATGTCATCCTTCAGACGCGAGTACATGTTCACAAGGTCCCTGTGTTTGGGGAACATTATGATCGCTAGTTCATACGTGCGTCGCGGTCCGTACTGGCACCTTCTAGAAGTCGCTTTCCATAGCCCTAGTTATGCACGTCACATCCAAGTCGTACTCAACGGTGTATCCATGAGGCTTGGATTGTCCGACTCGCACGAACTCTTCGAGGCTTATGCATCTCAGATTGCGTTCTCTATACGACAAAACTTCTACGACGTCTTGCGCCTACCCCCCAGTCTACTGGGCTATGACAACAGAAGAGCTTGTGCAGAAGCAGCGTTTCGCTTATGTACGCCTGCGAACCTGATGGTGGACGGCGGTTCAGATGCTGTGGCCCATGGACGGACGCTGTTCAATAACCATTGCACTGCTATTCAAAAGACAGTTCACGAAGGCCTCCTCACGTGCGTCGGAGACCTTATAGGCCTGCAACTCGTTTGTTTCATGGATCGTCCTCTGGGGAATAGTGGCTCTGTAACGCAACAGCTACGAGAGGTCCTTACGTCAATTGGCTTGAACTTCCCATCTCAGGAAGCCTTCGTGGAATGCGTGAGAGAGAACGTTGCGGGCATTGCTGTCGCTATCGTTCGCTCACTCGGCGACCAAGACTTTTCGGAACGGGGTGCCATAGTCACTGCACTTCGTAAAGTCACCTCCACTGATACCACGGGTACATTTTTATCTCTCAACCAGTATCGCCAAATAGGCGATTTCAGGTACCATCCCCCGAACCTTCCCCGTTTCGGCACTGGCACGGTCCTGCGAGCCTTGCAGTGGTGCATATCGTCTTCAAAGCGGGAGGATGCGGCCGCCATATCTTTCCACGTTCTCCACCAGCTCTTTTCTGAGTTGCATTTGACCCCGTTCGTGAATGAACAGCATCGCTTACTCAATGGGATCGCCCTGTTGGTGTCGGTTCGTCATTGTGACTTCGGTGACCCGACGCTCTTGCACACGTTTGTTCAGAAGTCGAGTCTTCTGCTCGCGCAATCCGACTTAATTACAGCTGGCCAGTCCTTCCTTGAGTGGGGCTTCTCTATCTTTCGGAAAACACACCAGGTTGACCAAAGACTGCCTAATATTCTCGCTCATGTTTGTGCGTTGGTTGGTGATCTCCAGTCTGCTTCGACGTCGGCGTCGGCAACGGCTGGAAAACTTCGTAGTTGGCTCGATGAGCAGGCGCTATCGCTATCTCAGGACCAGAAGATCAGGCCCATCGTTCTCAAAGCCCTACCAGTGTGGTCTCATGAGCCTTCTTCGGAGCTCTCAGCACTAGTTGAAGACCTCAGTGCTGACGACCTTTCAGCCACCCTTAGTGATCACCGCATCACCTCTAATAAATTCCGGCTTGTACGACAATTAAATCGACTGGCAGAACAGCACGCCTATTGTCGAGTGCGGATTTTCCACTAGTGATTTTTGGCGACTAAAGGACAACATTCCGCCCAAAGGACGGCTGTCCCGTGGCGATATTGATGCTTTCGCGTCCTTGCTTATTGCCAATGCTGGCAACATCTATAGCTTTAGAAGTGAGCCTGCGTTCCCGCAGACCCTCCGGGCCAGACATTGCAGGGGTACGAAACGTCAAGAGGATGAGAAGACAGAACCTGCACCACAGCATGCTATCTTGCAAACCTTACTTGCGATGTTGGACGATGGCGATCCATCAGAAGTAAACTTGGTTTACCTCGCCCTGAGGTCCCTGATATCTGTTGCATCTCCTGGTATTCTTTCGTTTCAACTCTGGCCTACTGAATATCGCACACCAATTGAATACTTCCAACGTTTTCCCGTACCGCCGTCCAACGCCCGGCAAGCTCGTACCATTGATCAGTTGGACGCCATATGGCCACAGAACGCCGACTTTCCTCAGTGGATATGCTCTGTGACTACCTTGTTGGCTGATATCCTCGCATCCAAGGATAATTTCTATGCTCAGCTAGTTCCGCTATTGCAAAGGAACACCCTTTTCGCCGAGGAGGTCCTTCCTGTTCTCGTCCACACATTACTTCAGGCGGAAAGAGCTCGAGCTATTGAGGTTTCTGCCAGGAAGGGGCTATCGGACTATTTCACGAATGTCCTCCGGACTGAGGAAGTCAATCGCCTTTGCTTGCGTGCCATCGTCGATGTCATCCTTCATTTGCGTAATTTCGAACCTTCCAACTCCACAGACCAATTAGCGCATGATAAATGGCTCGACGTCGATTTCCATCTTCTTGCTAGGAGCGCCGTCACTTGCGGTTCATACACTACTGCGCTGTTATTCTTAGAACTGGCGTGCGAGTACCAGCAGCTCAACATGGATGCCACTGGAGGCGTCGAGCACTTGCTCTTCGATATATACAGTCACATAGACGAACCCGATGGCTTCTACGGCATCAAAACCACGGACCTCCGCCATTTCCTGATCAAAAGATTCCACCACGAAAAGCAATGGGAGAAAGCATTTCGTTTCCACGGCGCTGCCCTTGAAGCTGATAATCACGGGTCGATCGACGCAGATGGTCTACTACAGTCGTTCCATGCTTTTGGATTTGACCATCTTGCGCTCCGTGCTCTCCAAAGTTCTCAGGGTGGCATTGATTCTGATGTGGGGTCTTCGACTATGTCGTATCAGCTTGGGTGGCGAACGGAGACTTGGGACCTCCCTGATAGTGGACAACAGCATTCCAGCACTACATTGTACCGTGCTCTGAGAGCCGTTCACCGTGAAAGAAACCATAAGGTGGTTGACGCCACAATCAATCAAGCGCTTTGTGACATGATGGAGCGCCTGCTTACCCTCGGTAACGAGGATATCACAGAGATCCGCGAAGTTGGCCGAAACTTCATGTGCCTTAGCCAGATAACCCGGTGGAGAAGCGGTAAGCTCCAGGAATACCTCGATTCCAAAACTTCGGATGCGCGAGCATTCTCTCATCTGGTAGACATCGATCCGGATTTCGAGTGAGTTACATTCATCCTTCAGCGTTTTCGTAGTCTAAAATTGCGAGCAGATTTTTGGATCTTGAACGAATACTCGCCACGAGGCTTTCTTTGGTTCGCTCGGTAAGGCAAAAGGAAGAGCGGGAACAAATTGGGGAGCTTATCAGTCCGTTCACTCGGACTCTCATCGATGTGGAAAAGCGCTGCCTTGTCCGACTTTCTGTAGCTGCTAGGAAATCCAATCAGCTCCAGGTCGCATTAAACTCAATCATGAAGGCCCAGCAACTAGAAAAGACCCCCTCCTACGAGATTTCGCAGGAATTTGCCAATGTTCTGTGGTTACAGAGAGAGCAGAAACTCGCTGTCCAATTCCTGAAGGATCTTCTCAGCCAGAAAAAGGCAGAGCCTGGTTCTAAACCTACAATTGAGGAAGCGATGACCATGGCTCGTCTTGTAAGCGCGATCTTTCTCTTCAGTTGCTTTTTATCTCATACATGCAGGGCTCTTGGATCTCGGAGGCATGTATGGAGAAACCGACGGACATCAAGCAGAACTTATTTGACGCGGCTGTTCAGGTCGCAGCCTGTGCAGAAAAACGGATGCCAACACGCAGCGACTCATGCGCGAGTATTTACCACAAGTGCGCTCAATTCGCTGAGCGTCAGTACCATGCCATTCTCAAGTCACCCGATGGCGTGCGATGGAAGGTTTATGTGGATAGAAAAAGACAGGAGATCAAGCAGATGGAGACTCAGCTCCGGGGAACACAAATGAGTAGTCATGATTATGGTGTTCTCGTCCACGAACAGACAAAAGCACGAGCACTCCTGGCAGAGGATGAAGATGCATACGAACGGCACAACGGAGCTCTGGTAACATTCCTCGAGTCAGCTATTGACATGTATTCACGCTGCCTGGCTGCGTCCGATGGATTCGACGACGATGTCCCAATCCGCTTCAGCTCCCTTTGGTTCGCCAGTTTCGATGACGAACGCTTACAGAAAGGGATAATGGCTGCAGTAGATCGCATTCCCTCAAGAAAATTTGTGTTCCTATCCCACCAATTATCTGCTCGCATATCACGTCCTATACATGGCGAAATGCCGAAAAGCCAACAGATTCTGCAGCGTTTGGTCCTCCGCATGTGCCAAGAGCACCCCTTCCATAGTCTCTATCAGGTGTATTGCATACGTCCAGAAGGCTCCGTTCAGTCCGGGAGTATGAGGAGAACATCCTCACGACTAGAGTCTCCCACCTCCCAAACTGATCGAGGATTGGCTGCTTCCCACATCTTCGATGTCCTTCTCGCTGATCCCAACCACTCTGCGAGAACCAAAGCTATTGAACAAGTCTGTAATGCATCCTTGCAGTGGGCCAAATATCCCATCAAGGAGCTCACGGGTAAGAAGACCAACATCATTCTCAATGTTCCTGAAGGCCTGCTCATCCGTCAACTCCGCAACATTCATGTCCCTGTATTAACGTCTCACCCGCCCATTGATCCTACACTTAGGTACGACAATTGTGTCTGGATTAGCCACTACGACAAAACTTTCCAACCCGCCGGCGGAGTTAACATGCCGAAAATTAATACATGTTACGGTACTGACGGACAGAGATTCAAACAGTTGGTATGTGGTCCTCTTCGTTTTGCCATCGGCATCACGTTACGTTTCCTAGTTCAAGGGGGAAGGAAACGACGACCTTCGCCAAGATGCTGTCATGGAGCAAGTTTTTGACCTGGTTAATACCGTTCTGCGACATGACAGGGAGACAAAACGCCGGGACCTGAAAGTACGGGGGTACACGGTTTTGCCTTTGGCACCTCAAGCTGGCGTCATAGAGTTTGTGGGCAATACCAGCCCCCTTGCTTCTTGGCTGCAACCTGCACATAAAAGGTGCGTCTCCCGTGTTCACCGACCGGCCAGCTAATTTGATACCATGTGAAGGTATCGACCGAATGACATGGATCACCATCAGGCCACGCGGTATCTCAGTCAGACGCGAGAGAAGTACAAAGGAAAGACAGAAGCCTTAGTGGCAGCCTTCAGTGAGATTTGTCGACGCATACAGCCTGTCATGAGACATTACTTCCCTGAGAAATCCAAAACTCCTATTGCATGGTTCGCAATGCGGCTCAACTACACGCGAAGTGTGGCAACCACTTCTATCGTGGGACACGTATTGGGTCTGGGAGATCGACACATCTCAAACATTTTGTTAGACAACAGATCTGGAGAAGTTGTCCACATCGATCTTGGTATAGCCTTCGACCAGGTACGGAAGAACGAAGACAGTAGGATCATTCGCTGACAATGCTACAGGGAAAGCGTTTGCCTGTCCCAGAACGCGTTCCGTTTCGCATGACCCGTGACATGGTGGATGGTATGGGTTATTCTGGGACGCAAGGAGTCTTCCAGCGCTGTGCAGAGGAGACCCTCCGCGTACTTCGTGAGCAGTCAGACGTCGTCATGACCGTCCTCGAAGTCTTCAAGCACGATCCCCTGCATTCATGGTATGTTTGGTCTCTTTGTACCGTTTGCCCGATGGTAATCACTCGAGATGACTCTCAGGACCGCGAGCGAACTCAAATTGAAGAAGATTCAAGAGAGCGCAGTGGGACCTCCGCAGCAACTCAATCCCCTTGCGGAGCGACCCGACTTCGATATGAAGAGTGGGTCGGCGGAGGCTGCAGAACGTGCTCTGGGTTCAGTTGCACGCAAACTTGACAAGTCGCTTAGCGTAGAGTGTACCGTCAACGAGCTTATCGCGGAGGCCACAGACGTTGTGAACTTGGCGACTATTTATTATGGTGAGATATTTCTTTCCTTAGGCACCTCAAAATTCCTGACTGTTTTAGGCTGGAGTCCGGACTTGTAGGGTTCTCTCTATCCAGTAGCAACTAGCATTTTGTCATGATACAGGATTCAGTTTCCTTCCGCGTTGCACTTCCTGCACTTCCTTTTTTTTCCCCACCATCAGTGGGTACAATATATCATAGCAAACCCTCAGCGGATCGATTACGAACAAATCCATCCGCTATTACCTGTGATGACCCGCATTGCCATGTAGCCCATACACTTCCATAACATTGACTGTCCACGATTTGAATGCTTACGGTTGGCCTGTGCTGCCGCTTGTGAATTCATCAGTGATGAAGACAGCTAGCTACCTTCGCAAAGTTTACCTCTTGTGTAATTACAGTTTGTTCCGATTCTGAGCACCAGCTTCGGAACAGGCTGTAACAGTTCAAGATGCAACTGAGGGATCTCCACATTTATATGCTTACCACAGGAAACAAGCTCATTTTGTACATCGTCAGCATCTGGTTCGATGAGTTGAACCGTTGGTACACAGTGTGACCATCAAGAAAAATAGTGTCTGGGGTCACAAGTATGCGTAGTACGTCGAGACCATGTAAATTTTGACCAAAGGGAAGGTGGCTTGAAGAAGGGGAGTCTCAATACCAGGAATTGTGCAGGCCGAGAGTTTTTGCAAGAAAATGAAATAGGGTTACGAGCCGTCCCTTTTTGCAAAATGATCCAAGTCGTAGATATTCAGAAAGGCAACATTACCTGACTATGCGTGGACTTCGAATCGCTTACCGTCGAGCGTTGTCGTGAAGCCTTTCAGTTGTCCGACCAGCACAGTCCCTGTAGAGCGCCATCCCTCACGTGACCGCGACAAATCGCGTCGACGCGCGACCTTCTCTGCAAGCTTGCAACGCCACGTTACTGTAAGCAGCGCCGTTCCAAATTCCAATCCACCACCCTGACCTCTAGTAGATTTGGTGCTGCCTCGCTATAAATGTCTCAACAGAAATCTTCACAGTCGGGGCTTCGGACAGTAACACGGGACTTCTCGTCCAGCACAAAGGCTAAGGACGAGCCGATATCATGGCCGAAGACAAACGAGCCCAGGGGGCAGCGTTTTAAGGATATTGAAGCTGGTATTTCGCAACGAGAAGTTTCTATCCCACCGCAGAGCAATGAGAATGAGAATGTTGCACCTACGCATATAGTCAGTGGTAGTAAACGACTTCTTGAAATAGCTCTGGAAGATCTTCAAGCCCCGAAGAAACGTCAGCTGCCTCCCAATTGGCAGGAAGATCCCCCCACGAGGTCCCCTTATTTTTCAAATGCATCGTACGCGAAAAATCCAAAGGCTCTCTCGCAGACACGGGCCGAACCAATCACTTTGGCAAACGTGACTTCTAACACCGCATCCAAGATAGTTCTCAGTCAAGAACAGACCCAGATTCTTCAACTTGTAGAACAGGGGAAAAGCTTGTTCTACACGGGTAGTGCTGGTGCGCGAAGCTTCTGGTCGTCAGTTTGCTTCGGTTCTAACCGCTTATCAGGTACTGGGAAGTCGGTTCTCCTCCGGGAGATCATAAAGAGTCTTCAAAAGCGCTACTGCAAGTCACCGGATGCAGTTGCTATAACGGCTTCGACTGGTATGTGTGCGTTCCATGCAAGTAAAGTTTTTCCATTAATCCACTCGAAATGTAGGCATCGCTGCATGCAACATAGGCGGAGTAACCATCCACTCTTTTTCAGGAATTGGCATCGGAGAGGGTTCCGCAGAGGATCTTTCTGTCAAAGTTCGGAAGAACAGGAAAGCTACTTCGCGGTGGATACGCACTAAAGTTCTGATTATTGACGAAGGTCTGTAATACCTGCGTCTACTCATAATCCTTGAGTTAAAGCAACTTTCTAGTTTCCATGCTCGATGGTGACCTGTTTGACAAACTGGCGAAATTAGGCAGTATAATTCGAAAATCTTCGGTACCCTTCGGGGGAATACAGGTTCGATATTTCTTATTTCTTGTAGTCCCTATTCTCTGACCCTGCGGCAGGTCGTTGTCACTGGCGATTTCTTCCAACTGCCACCGGTTTCGAAAGGAAGCAGCGCGGCAGTCAAATTCGCTTTTGAAGCTCAATGCTGGAGCCAAACCATACAACGAACGTTTAACCTCACCAAAGTCTTCCGCCAAAAGGACGAAGGTCCGTACGTTCCCGCAAACAGAAAAGTAGTTTTTAATGAAGCTTTCTTTCCCCCAGAGTTTGTGAATATGCTCAACGACATGCGGTTTGGGAAATTATCTTCCCTCTCAATTGATCGGTTCAAGTCCCTGTCTCGTGCCATCGACTACAGAGACGGCATAGGACCCACAGAATTGTGAACTTCTACCCGTTCCCTAGTAATTCAGCTCACCTATCTCTTGTCCGTAGATTCCCTCGTCGAGAGGATGTCGATAGGTCAAACCAATCCCGAATGGCATCCCTCACAGCGGAGGAAAAACAGTACACCGCCACGGATGGTGGATCATTAAAAGACCCTAATCAGCGGGAGAAAATCCTCTCGAATTTTATGGCACCCAAAAGGCTGGTGCTACGTGTGGGAGCACAAGTAATGCTCATCAAGAACATGGATGAAACGCTGGTGAATGGAAGCATGGGGAAAGTCGTGCGCTTTGTTCAACCACAATTCTACCGCACCGAGTTCGATGAGGTTAATCCCAACGAAAAGCCCAAGAGCGAGAAAAAGAAGCCTACAACGAACGACATGTTCTGCCCGGTTGTAGAATTTATACTTCCGAACAGGACCACACGCCAAGCCCTTATCGAACCTGAAACATGGAGGGTAGAACAACCAGATGGAGATGTACAGGTATCCAGGATTCAAGTAAGTACACTACGTGGGCTTTGGATAGACTGGACTTGACAGTGAAGAAGCTCCCACTGATCCTCGCCTGGGCAATGAGTATTCATAAATCTCAAGGACAGACCCTAGAACGCGTAAAGGTCGATCTTGCCAGGGTGTTCGAGAAAGGCACGTGAGCAAACTATTCGCCAGTTTCTTTCTTTGACTGTGGCTACAGGACAAGCATACGTCGCCTTGTCCCGCGCGACATCTTTGGATGGTTTGCAAGTGCTCAATTTCAACGCGACGAAGGTAAATGAAATTCCCCCCATCTTACCTCGACCAGGTAGACAAATACGATATTGTCACCAGGTTCAAGCCCACCCTAAGGTAGTAGAATGGAGCAAGACGCTCGAGACCATTATCGACTGACAGTCACTTAATGCGGCACATAACCCAGTCGGAGGCAGTGAGGTTATTAGAAGAAAACGCTCATACAATACTATTATTGCAGTATCATTCACCGCATATACTCGTCAGTACGTATACCTATCATTCGCATCGTCTCACGTCCCACATCGTTTGGGTTGCGAATAATATTATCCCAACGAAGCTCGCTACCTGCACAGTGGACGGCAAAGTGATACGACTGATGATTGGTGTCTTCCAAACATTCCCCTTTCGGATACCACTGTTGCACTCCGTCGGGCACCCGATATGCGCTGTGTAGTCTCCCTTCGCTGGATTTCCGCTTGCCACCTTCGGAAAGCTCCCGAAGACGTTCATGACTCAAGCAGCTCAAACACTTTGACCTCCGTTTCGTCGCGTAGGTTCACAATTTCGCCTTGGTAGGGGGATAATGGCTGGATGCACGGTTGCTTGAAAACTGCTGGGACCTGTCAAGTTTCACGCAAGTTTATCACGAACCAATCCATAGACGCCAAAATCCTCATCGACGAAACCTCCTGTTCGAATGCAGCAATAGCTCCATGCAAGCATCAGTCATCGGCACTGTAACTATGCGGAGTGTCCCCCAGCGCAAAATTATTGGCTAATCACTACAGAGATGTACTACTAGGGAATGTTATTTATCGGTGACTGATATGGGGTCTAGCCTTTCCCCAGCCCACTGTCGGGCTGGGTGCTAGCTGACTGAACAAACCTGCTCCAAATCGTAAGATTCGAACGACACAAGAAACAATAGACGCACTCTATGTACTGGGTGTTCTCTACGCCTCTAAGCACAGAGACCCGACAACAACCTGTGCTGCCAGGTGCGAAGGGACACCAACCATGGTCATCGAGTCCCGCCTGCAGCACCAACATTTACATTGAGAAAACTCCCAGCAGCGTGGCTTCATCAGAGACTCGCCTTTTTCAGTCTATATATACTCCTCTTCACGTTCTTCGATAGTCTCTAAACGAGCGAGAGACAACGGAGGGGATTGTTCCTTGTGAGCATCTTTGCGGATAACCCCTGGGCGTGCCGACATTTTCTCTGCCCGCGTAGCCTCAGAACATGGACTGTCACGGAGAGGCTTCCCATAACGCTTTTCAGACGCGTCGTCTGCATAGTCATGGTGGCTGCCCGAGATGCACGGCACGAGCCACTGCAGCACGCGCATAAACGACTTTCGACCTTTGCTCGGCGGCAATTGCTTCCCGTAGGACAGCGTGGACAGTGTGGTAGACGAATTCGACTGCAAGCGCAAATGGCCAGAGACTGCGTGGGTCACCCGGAGGAAGGATAGATCCGAGGTCTTCGCCGGTGGTAAGCTGTACGGGGTGGGCGAAGTGCAACGGCTTATGACGTATTCCATCTCGTCTGAATAATTACGGTCCTCCACAATGGCAAGTTCGGACGATTGCCGTACGGGCAATGGGTAACGCAGCGGCGACGAGGACGACCTGGTACCAGAAAGGAGAGGACGCGCCATGCTGCTCTTAGTATGAGTATGAGAGTGGAAGGGACCGGACACGACGAGGTGGGGCGTCAAGCCCAGTGGTACTTGAGTAGGTTGTAGCTTGAGGACGACCTACAATGCCGACTGGGAAGTTATGACACTGGTGGCCGACGTTCAACGTTTGTGAAGACTTTGGACCCCCAGGCCAGGTCCTCAAGAGTTGCCACTGCCGACCCTTTCGCTTAGCGCTTTGCATTCATTGTCCCTCACATTAACCATACGCAGCTTCGCTCGTTCGCTTACCCGCCCAAGCTTGCTGCCCGAGGGCTATTTCCCAGGAATGCATCAACCATGTCAAGGCTGCTCTCTCTTACAGAACATCAAAAGTCACTCCACCAAGCATAATAACGTGACCGCGTACGCGATGGATCCCTTTCAACTCCTCCATTTGACAGGCGGCGACCTCAGTCCCAAGCACGATGCCGAGAGGGAGGACTGGGATTCAGGTTCAGCGATTATTTATTGGTGTAGGTTGTGTAACGTGAACACAGCTATCTCGGACGTGTTGCTCAAAGCGACGCGGAAGGCACCGAGTAAGTATCACCGGAGAAGTTGCTTTGCTTCCCTGCAAGATGATACGGTGATGATGTCCACGTAAGCATCGAACAGAGAAGGATCGTAAGTAGCAGTCAAACTTGCTCGCCAGTCGTGTAATCACCGCCCGATCGCCCTGGTATGCACTTTTTGGATCACGTTATTGTTCTGAGAGAGATACACACGATAAGACGATGATACGGTTGAGGTTGCTTCCCAAAGCTCAGGCGCCCGGTTCACATTTCACTGAGGACAAGACTAAATGGTTATGTTGTCTTTCCGTCGCATTCAAGGCGTGGTGAGCCAGCTCACAACACATGACATAAACAATGGCGGATGCCCCGAATAGGCAAGTGTTGTAGTGGTTCCGCTTCGGATGCTTTTTGTCTCCCTCCGAGAACCCATCATTTGGATTCGAGGGAAGACAAATAATAAGCAATAGATGGTCGCGACAATAATCCTCCGGGCCATTGTCGGACCCTCCATATAACCCGAAGGTATAAGACTGACGCCTCACAGCGGATCCCAGGGCTGCTCAACACTCGTGCCATTCCCCCTGCGTACCTATTCTCTTGCGCTCACTACACCCTTGTGCTCTGGGAGCATTACAGGCTATTCGATCCTTTCATCGTCTGTGACATATTGGCAACATAAATTTCTCTGAACCCTTGTTTCATCCTTCTTGCAATGCACGCTGCCGCACCCTCTTGCAATGCCTTGTTTTACCCCACGGATTCGTTGTATGTGGAGGTCAGACCAACGTGAGTATCACCAAATTCAAGATAGAGCAACCTCGAATAAGTCCTGACAACTCTCATACCGATAGACGAAAGACCCGCACTTCGTGTACTAAATACATCGAACGCCAGGTGATCCGAGCATGGAAACGCATGACTGGTGTCACTCGCAGATCCCAACGCTCCTCCTTCCTCCCTAATGGTTTTATCCTCGTCACTTCCCGTCGCCGCAGCGTGATGTTTGCATAATCGAAAAACACGGTCAATGCAACAGAGATTTACTATATGCTCGGACGTACTAGCAACAAGCGCAGTGCGCTTACCAGGACATTTTCTTTCTTACGCTTTCATCTACCCCATAGACGATGTTTTTCTTAATTGTCACAATTGTTTCCTTAGGACTTTCTAGACTCCCAGACTCTCTTGTACTCTGTACCATGGACACCGCTTACTATAGCAATAATATAATAACGTGTATCCTCGTTCCAGTTTTCTAGAAAATCACGGCTCATGAGCGGAGATCTCAGGAACTACAGAATCATACCTTCGACGTATTAGAAGGGTGAGATTCAGTCAAATCCATTCGGTGGACCAACCGTACCTCAGAACAGAGTCTCTTGGAAATCGCTGAAATATACACAAGTACAATAGCATTACAAGCGGTCAGCCGCGCACGAGTCCCTCAAACAAAGTCCCATAATGCCACTTGGTTGGAACTACCCTAAGGCAGCCTGAGCCGTACCGATCAACAACTCCAGAGTCGATTCAAGAGCACGGATGCGTTCGCCCATTCTTTCGATCTCCGCACGCAATCGTTCAATTTCACTGGCCTTGTCGTCTCTCTGGCGGGTAAGTTCCATAGCACGCTCGTTGGAGTTGGTAAGGTCACGACGCAATGACTCTAGGTCACGCTCAGCCTCGGCCAACTTCCTCCCAAACCTGGTTTTGGCTTTGGCAAAGGCGGACTATGCCGTGTATGAAGGAACATTTCAGAAATTTTCATACCCAAACTAAAAGACCAGTCACTTACCGCTTCGATAGCTGCCTTATAAAGGCCGTCCAATGCTGCCAAGCATCCTTCAAAGGCGGCAGTTTGTTGGAAGAGTGCACCAACCTCACTTGCTTCTTCATATTCTCCAGGTATGGGTATGTTGCCAGTATCGACCAAGCTCCCATTATCAACGACATCCTCCACTCGCGAGACCGGAGATGGAGTAGAAGGTGTTTCGGGTACAATGCAGGCCGTTCTTCGAGGAAGAGATTCAGGCGTCGCGTACCATAAGTTCATTATCCCCGAGCAGACCCAGTTGATGGGCTGTGGGACTCGACTAGAAGTACCGCTAAGGTAACCACGTGACTTCAAATTTAAAACAGACCCACGGAGTCACAGGGGTTACATCGGACACGGACGCATGAACTCCCATATCGACCTCTCTTGTGTTCAGACTATCTGTTTCCAAGCTATGGGAAGTAGTCAGTCAAGCGGTCATCGCGGAAATGGATACCAACGCGAACATCTCCCTGGGCTCCACATCCATCGGTTGGTGAATACCACCATCAGACAGAGGTTCCGGTCCTTGAGTACCCACGACGTGTTCACTCTCTAGCAGAACCGTGAACGAGCTCACTTGGTTCGCATCTTGTGTACTCAGGGTCCTCGTCAGCAGCTTCCGCTTGTACGATTGTAGCTTTATGTATTTCTCGATATTGCGCTCAGCGAACTTACAGGAAAAGTACTCAGCCATAAGTTACACATGCAAGTTATTTGATGGTAATCGCCGTACCTGTTCCTTCGTAGGTTGCCTGCAGCCATTGGGGAAAAAGTTGCGTTTCGCAAGTGCCAAAGCTCCTTGGTATACAACTCGCTCCGGCAAGTTATCAAACCCCCGCATTCTCGGGAGGAATCCAGTAAGCCTGTGCGTGATCAACGAGACATCACATACTGCCCATGCAATTTGATCCCGTGCACTCACTTATCCCTCGCAGTCGGGAGGACGACGATAGTGTTGATCTGCCTAGGCGGGGGACCATCGTGGTAGTGCAGTTCCACGTACCCATTGTCAGCCTGTAGCATTCATCTGTACCGGTGCAGACAGAAGAATTGAGTATGACTCACTGCATCCTGGAGGAGCTGACGAGCAGTTTTATGTTCCGTCGTTCTTTTACCTAGCCCGGTAGATACGCCGCGCTCATTCACTGCAACGCAATAACGTAAGATTATCGGTCACAGTGTATATTTCTATACAGAAGGGGGAGACGTACACCTGTCCATGAACTCTCTAAAGCCGATCACCACGAGCCGTTCGTCGAGGGTAGTAGTAGTTCCAACAGTGTTTCTCAATCTCTCATCAACTGTGTACGCCAATTCCGCCCAGATTCCTGTTTGCCGAAACACGATTATGTTGAATATGCGTTACAAAGGTTAATCGGACTAGACTATTGGGTGGCACGTACGGGCATGATGCGAAGCATATCGAGGGAGAACTATACTCTCCAGTTTTGTCAAAGGCCTGGGCCTTTGTTTTTGAGTTCGATGAGGTGCCATGGCCGCTCAGCGACGGGAAGGATGTGAACGTCTTTCGTGGCGGTCTTGAAGACATGTGGGGTGCCATCGACCCCGTATATATGCCATGGTAACAAAGAAAGCTGCAACGGTCCTTTTGAACGTGCTGTGCTGGACAAAAGCATCCTCACCGATCTTTGACAAAAAGAAATTCATTCAGGCTCGTCGAAGAGAATTAGCAAGGTCATCTCAGTTTGTAATCCTCGGCTACATGGCAACCAAGACAAAGGCAGTAACGAGTCAGTACATAAGGTGGGAGAACTTGGCCGGAGATTCAGCACGGCTCGATAATTGTTCAACACATGTCCTATTTACAGCAAGGGGTAATTGCTACATAATAACAGGGGCATTTGACCGGAGATCCTCTCCCTCATGACGATTCGAGGCAGGGTATAATTATATGGGCACTGCTGATCCCCCTAAAAGAAAATTCCCAAGGAATAGGTGTGGCCGTCTATACCATGACAGTGTAAGAGTCCGTTGAACACTACAGTTCAAAATGATCGGCCCAATGTCGCATAACACATTCTCCCTTCCAGTTATGCTGGTACTTCGGCATCCGACAGATAATAATGGCATGCGAATTGAAAACGTCTGCAAAAAATGCTAAGGTCTTCTTCAGCTGGGGTATCTTGTTGAGATTGTCGATGGATCGTAGTTGACCGGCAGTGAGCACTGGCCGTGAAAAAGATGAAGACCCCGTCTTTGGTACTACCTCCATACCGGAAGCGAGCTCTGGCACCTCTGAGCCACCAAATGTGGGATTGGTGGATGCACTGGGTCCTCTGGGGTCTTCGCATATCTTCAATGCGGCAGCTTCGAGTTCTCTCTCGAGTTTGGCAACCACATGGATAAGCCTCTCTCGAGCCGACGCATCAGCCTCAAGTGTTTGCAATCGGGCTCTAGATTTCTTAGAGCAAATCGAAAATCGAACCAGTACAACCGTCGCGAAAGCCGGGAGTAGGATTGGAAGGAAGGGGACAGCCATCTATGTTCCAAAAGAGTTAACTGTTTCCCACCACTCGTGACCACGCCAACAAACCCACTTACCACATTGAGAGGGAACGCAAACCGTAGCGGTGGAGGTACAGGTGGCAACGACTTCCGAAATTCTATTGAAAAAAGGTCGTTGAGCTTCCAAGGTGGGTAGTGTGGTGGGATCCGGCGGGATATATGATTTAATAACGTATTTGTAGTTCTCCTCAAACTCTCTTGGAGGATGTGAGATGCACTGCATATCCAAAAGAAGGTGAATGGACAAACATCTTTATTCCATTTCTCTGATAACCATAGAAGGGGTCCGTGGATTCGATGGCACCTGTAACGTAGGGTACACTGAGGTCATTAATCCTGGGTGGAGTTAGAACAAGTATGGCACATCAAAATAGTCGCTACTCACGCATTCGCGTAAATTCCGATATTGCGAAAGAGAACAAGCGCTTGGTAAAAGATATAGTCTGTAAAAATGTCACTAAGCAACGCCAATGCACGTAAAAAGATATAAAATGACGGACCTGGGTCGCCAAGGACCTCAATTAAGGGCCTACCCTTCGGAGACCATTTATCAGCACAGTAGAATTGTTCCCCTGTTCGCGACAACAATTTCCGTCCCACGTAAGAAGCCACAGCAGAGAGTGGAGTAGGAAGTGTAGGGATGCCAATGTGAGGCGTGGCGATGGTATTGAAGTTGACCGGTGTCACCTTCTCAAAGAACTTGTTCTGATGGAGGATGCTGTCGTCTGATTAGACCGCTGTTCCGTATGTCGAAGGACCACATACCCAATTACATATCGTCCAACGAGCCCACCTAGACTATATCCCATTAGTGAGAAACGTGTGACCCTCCTCCCTTGACTTTCAGTGCTTGTTAACTTCGTCAATGACTCTAGGGGAACCACCAAGGAAGGATGAACGATCATTTCAGAGGTATGTGCTGAGGTAATCTCACCTCGTCAGCAACCCTTTCGCCGCCCCAGTCGATACCGTCATAGGTTGCCTCGTCACGGTTGGTCTGAGCGATGAGAACAGCGAGCTCGGTCTCTTCTGAGCCATGTCCCTTGACTTCTTGGATTATTTCATGCATCCGAGCAAGGTGGTCAGGATTGCCCCACATGCCGTGGATGAGAACGAGGAGATGTATGCTTCTCATAGCTAATGAATTCGTCTTGAATCAAGGGGAATTAACGGCCAACATCATAGACGCGCGGTCAAATGACTTACTTGGATTGTGCTGTGAAGAAGTTGGACTGATAGGTGGTCCTTATATGTGACGGACAAGGGAGGTGTAGCTCTGCGGGTCCGTCAGCCGGAGTACTTCCTGTAGCCTGAGTCTAAGCGTAATTGGTTACAGTATTGTCCCAAGCGTGTAGGCGTGCCTGGCCGCATTAGGATTGCGCAAGCATGTCAGCTCACGGCACACCAGCGCTCGGGCCACACAGGCCCCCCTACACAATAGAAAGCCCATCGGTGGTGGGCCCCGACAAAGTGTTGTTATGGTTGCATTGTCGTATTTTATTATGGTGGCTCAAAGTTAGTGCCCATGCCGGCACCGCCGCCTACGCCTACCGCAAGACTACTGCAATTAGCTGTAGACCTAGGCGCCAACTCTAAGCGACCTTATTATCACAGAACTCGAGTGAAATGGATTTTCCAACAGCCACACACAGCAGCCTGATCACCCTATCCAATCATATCCTAGTAGGTCCTCACACAATACGATAGTGTGGACGTCAAGAATGTATGTCATAGCAACACAACTACGGACGAAACATACATTTTCCAAACAGCATTGTCATAAATCGTTCATAAATCAAGCTCTCCAATCCTCGCCTAATTCCGCTCACAGCCATTCACTCAACTTACGCAGGAACATCGTACAAAATCACCAACGAAGCCGGCCACGGGCTGCAGAGCTGCTTCTCGTTCAAGTACACGTAACGGTATTGGGGAAGGGAAGCATTCTGGAAGCGGACAAGGTCTCCAGATTGACCCGGTCCACGGCGCACGTTATCGAATGAAAGGATGGCACGCAGAACCTGGACGATTAGTTTCGGCGCAGTTTCGGCACCAATGACCCGGAAGGCAATGTCACCACGCAGGTAGCGCTCGCGAGGAGCTCGGGTTGCGTCAAACGTCGTGGGGTTAGGGAATGCTTCCTCCTTCAAACGGATGAGCGTCCGCACTATACAAGGAACGATAGCACCACTTACATTCAAATTTGCTCCTGTGATGTCCAAGAACAGGCGCTCGCCTTCCTTCACATTAAGCGAGCCCACGGTTTGATCTTTCTTCGCAGTTCCTGTGTCATACATAGCATTATCAACGAATCTGCCTTTCCACAAGAAAACACTGCTTACGGTAAACGCCAGCAAAGGGAGGATCGATTCCTGTAGACAATTCAGCAAGTAGTCGCCACATTCTGGCCACACTTACTGAGCGCTTCAATGACGTATGCTTCCAGGGCACCGACATCCTTGGTATCGACGCTTCTGGCTTGAGTGCGGAACGTTGCGTTTTCCTCAGACACGAGAAGCAGATTGACAACGTTGGTTAAAGCTAGAGTGCCCTGATCAGCGCTACCCTCAACCCAGCGAAGTACGGCTACCAACCAAGCGACAGCTCCACCGTCGTACCGACCATCAGCGCGAGGATTTCATTGACCACTTCATCAGTCGAATGGCCAAGCTCGAACAGGCCTCTTTAACAATTGCGAATGGCTGTTCTTCTTCTTGGTGCCGAATAAGGTACCGAAGATACCAGCAATGGACAACTAGACGATTCAAAGTCATGACCAGACCATGCGTAGGAGTCGAGGGGAGGCCTACCCTGCTGCCTGCGCCACCAAAGGAGGATTTGATGCAGTGGCTCAATTGTTCAACATGTTCCTTGACCCTCTCTCTCGTAACCATGTATTTAGCTGGTTCGAGTTCCAGGAAGACAAATCTGGTCGGAGTTTCAGTGACCGTGGAAGGGATACCACAATCAACACCTACTGGTAGATCTCGCCAAGGATGTCATACAACTCCTTAGGTGTGTATACACCGTGTGGCTGTTGCCTTGTCTTGAGAGGAATTCCGCCCTAGACAAAGGTGTTCACAATCCGCTCTCTGCCCACGTCGTCTTGGCGACTTACGATCTCGACAGCAGTCCAGTGTACAGAGACATACTTCAACACTTCGCTGACGATATTGACCGAGCGTGTGTTGGTACCAATTAACGGAACTGAGTTCTGCTCGACGAGCTCCCTCGTCTTCTTGTAGAAGTAATCGCCAATCTTTTGAACCGCCTCAGCCGAAGGTGTGAGTGCACCCAAGAATTGTGTTCGGATCTCGCCCTCTCCAATCGCAGCGAAGAAGCTAGATCATAATACTATATCATCACCCGAAAGAAAGGAATAAACCGTCTTACCCCTTGCCCTTAATGACTTCCTTAGCACGGTTTGCAATAGTCAGGAGCGAAAGCTGATTCGTCCCGGAGGATCTCTCCAACCTCAACGTAATTGGTGACGGTCGTTGAGTCACTGGTTGGTTTAGGTCTTTCAGTAGTATATTGGTCGAGTTTGCCGAGATCTTTCAAGAATTTCTCCATCTCTTCAGGCTGTATGAGAGGGAACCATGTGTAAATACTCGTTTCATTGTACTGGCCAGGCAACGTGCGCAGGAAGAGGCGGCCTAGAGTCGAACCAAAGCCCGACCCATTGGCATCACGTTGACAATCAGCGAATCCCCATGCAGTAAGGTTATAAGGTGTGAAGTCCTGATTGAAGAATCTGTCACCACGGGTGAGAGCAATAGCATCCGACAAAATGGCACGGGCAATCGTGTAGCCTGTAAACATGGTGAGCCAATCATTCATCGCAGTGGTAGGTGTGTGATACCAGGGCAAAGACCTGCACCAGGAGCGACGGGCTTGATTTCTTCAGCCTGGAGGCCAACGTACAGCTCCAAATTGTCGATATTGCCGTAAAGTTTCTCGGCAGCGTCAGCAACTTTGGGATCGGGGTTCCACTCCCGGAAGCTAGAGTATGCTGTTCATTCCATACTGTCAAGTCAAGTTGCGTGATGCCAGGCACGCGAAACTCACTCTTCAAACCAAGGAACTGTAAACACAAGTGGTAAGAGACATGTAAAACGAAGAACACTAATAGTCCATACCTTGCGGAAGTCATTCAGGGAACATGTACCCCAAAGACGGTTGGACTCGATACCCATAATTTCATTGACACGCATACAAGGAGGCGTTCCACGAGCACCGAATGAGGCCGCGTGATGGGACGTACTGGAAAAATAGTAGTCAGCCTTACCGTTTCCAGAAGGACATGCCAGGTTGTAACGTACGCATTCATGAGAATGTTGGCAAGCTCGGAGTCATTGAATGAACCGTCTTCTTGGCGCGAAAGGCTAATACGCAATCACATCAGCCCTGTCTATACTCTATTCGATTATGTTGAGGAATAACGCACTTGCCGAATGTCCATTGTTCAACAGTGGGTTCAGACGCCTCCACTCTAGCCGCCGTCCTGTAGAAGTCGGCCAAGGTGATCTGCCGATGCCTGTGAGCAACACATTGTAGATCGGAGTTAATACTAACCTGTTCAGGATTCATGCCTGGGAAGAGATTCTCAAACTGAAGCTTGATCCACTCCTCATCCTCCAGAGAAGTTGTTGCATGCCACCTGTACAAGCAATTGAACTGTGGGAGTATAAATATTGGCTAGCACCGAGATAGGCACTACGAACCTCTACACTGCACGCGTTGCCACGACCGCGCTCGAATAGTTGATGGTCTTCCTCCCGGAACTCGCCAAATGGTTCCAAACTCCAGCTAGACCCTTGGCGGTTTAGGCCGAGAATAGCAGAAAAGTAGTCGGAGAACACCACTGCTGCAAACCATGCACAGTTGCAGAGGCGTGCGATTTGGAAGATCTCTAATGGAACACTTTCAGTTGGAGTGAACTTTAGGATGATAGACGTTGCACGGACCCTCGTCTTGCTTAAGCATTTTGTGCGAGTGAGGCGACTCCTTTGATGGATCACTCCATGTACCGCGCTCATTGATTTCCAACAGACGCCGAGCGATGTACTATGCAGTACCATGTTGATTAAAACATACTTCTCCAGGTAAAGAATACTTACGTTGTGATTCCTGTTGAACAACACAAGCAACACACACACGGCAGGAGGAAGGAGCAGGAGCCGGTCTTCGGCGAAGGCGTCAGGGTGAAGCAGCCCACGTCCTTTTTTATCCCGGACCTAGAATAGGTCGTCAGAATCAGTCCATTAATTTCCCCTGGGAAGAAGCTACCTTATTTTGTGTGGTCTGGTCGTTCCCATAAAGTGGAGCAAGATCAACATAGCCAGAGGTCAAGTTAATCTCGGGCTTCTTGTGGTCTGTACGGAACACACTGTGGATGACAAGGGCAGCGAAAGCGAACATGAGCGAAGACAATCCCGCCGGGTGCTTTCTAAACTATTATCCGAAAAAGGTTAGCTCAAAAAGTGTGGAGTTCACTGCGCAGAAGACCCACTTCATCTCTCCGAAGAAGGGTATCGAAGACTAGTCCGGCATCCGGCATTTGGTTACGAGGAAGTGGGTTGGCCTGCTGCACAGAGCGTGCGTAAGGTGTGCCAGCTTTACCCATGTCAGGCTGGTCAGGATTGTTGTTTGAACCGTCCGCAGTACGGAATGCGTATTCCCCAATAAACGTAGACGGAGGATGTGCAAGGTCATAGTACACTATTCGCAATTACGTCAGTTGAGTGAGTGGGCGACCGACAACCGCATGAGACATACGCGTTTTGACAACGAATGTCTGAAGCATGTCCTGAATCTTGCCGGAAGGATGGTTAGCCATAAAGGTTAAGATGTGCTCCAACTAGTGGACGTAAAATCAGCAAGATGACGGGAAAACGCTGTGTGGAGGGAACGTACCAGCTGTTTGCGGTCGTCGATAGCGCCGGAATGGTTGACTGCATCGAGCACCGCGGACTAGAAATAAAAAAAATAACCTCAGGTCGAGAGGATGCTCAATAGGTAGTCCACTTACGAGGGTGGATTCGTTGATATCCTCCGCTGCACGTTTCATCTACAGAAGCGCCAAGTTAGGCTCTAATGCAGAACTACGTCTGAAGAAGTAACTTACGAGGTCCTTGACGGCGGCAAGAGCCTTGTTTGCCGCCGAGTCGACGGACGGATGATAAGCAGCCTCAGCAGTGGGCGAGGTTGCAGCACCATTCTGTTGGAGGCAAAAGTATTGAACACCAGCCGTATGATCCTAATAAAAGACGACGTACCGCTTGACTCTTTACGGAGAAGCGGGACGAAAAGGTTCGACTGAGACCAGACATGGCGTGAACAGGTTGAGGATATGAACCACGGGGGAAGAGACGGGGTGCCTCTTATAATGGGCGCGTAATTGCCTTCTTAGAAAGGCATGACAGCACTCACACAGGGACCCAGACCGAACCGAACAAGGTTGCGTTCTCCAGTTTTGATGCATCATCCACCCATTCGGATACATTGAAGCAGCCTCGTGACGGTTGCTATTAATATGGACAGCTTCTCTGCGCCGACGTTCACAGGGTCTGGCCCTCCGTCGTCGTGTCGCAAGGTGAAATCCATGCCGCGATCTTCGACGTCCAACTCGTTCTGTAATTCGGAATCAGTGATTGACGATGTCATGGCACTGACAGCGGAACCAAACTTGGGCAGCGACGGTCCCAAGTCGGGCCGGTCGTGGATTACATAATCTGCGATGCGCCCCACTAGTCACGTGCTTTTGAATTTGCAGGAGAGCCATTCGATCGCACCCCAGGACAACTGACATGGATTCATCTGAACTGTACTATATCAAGCAGCAATTCGTGCTCGGTGCCTACCCTGCACTCACACAGGTCTCTGTTCCAGATGCATCTTCCCCAGACTACATACCAACACTGGTCTACAAAGCTCGCGCATTCCTTGCGCTCAACGACCCCAACTCGGCTCTGGAATTGATCCCAGAGGACTCTGACAATGTTGCACTTCGCACAGTCTCCGCTCTGGCAAAGGGCGAGGAAGGTTTGGAGGTTCTCCGTGATCTCTGTGTTGAGATCGAAGGAGAGGAATTCAGTCAGTGGGAAATAGAAATGGTTCGGGTGCTCGCAGCTACTGCCTTTATGCGCGCCGGTGAGGTTGAGGAGGCGCTTGAGACTTTGAATGGGACAGAGGATGCCGGTGACGAGAGGTGAACCTACATCCTTTCAGCTTGCGATCGACGCGTCCTCATGCTCTCACAGTTCTGCAATACTAAGCCAGATCTACATTTCACTTTCCAGACCGAGTGTCGCCCAAAAGATCTTGACATCCGCCCTGAAAGTCAACCCAGACTCTCTGGTGCTCCAACAAGCGGAAGCAGTGCTTGCTTTGGTGACAGCAGCTCAAGGTTTGGGCGGTAAGCGAGTGATCCTACTCCACATGTTACACTTCCATCTTACTCGTCTAGGAGAACCATACTCCACGGCAATATCATTTTATACCGAACAGCTAGCCAACCCTTCTGTTTCCTCGGCTGCACTTCTCGTCGGACGTGGGGTTGCCCGTATTATGCGTGGTGAATTATCAGCTGCCCGCAGTGACCTCGAAGAAGCAGAGAGCATCCTGACACGTGCACAAAGCAAATCGGGAACGGGTGAAGTACTCGCCGCAATGACCGTCACCGCAGGACTCGGCTCCGGCAAGCGTGGCGAGGCAGACGAATTATGGAGGTAAGGGAATTCGATTATTATGTGTAAACCAAAAGAAGTCACCTGCTCGTTGCTGTCACAGTCGGCTTTGCAGTGAACATCCGTCGCACGCGATGGTAGTCGATCTATCTGCAAAAGCTGAGTTGTTTGACTCATGCGCAGCCAAATTCCAATTGCCCCCACGAGCCGTGACCTCTGCATAGGATGTATCACTACCACGATGTCAAAAGTAAATGGTCATTTCCGTCGGGTCTGCGGCGGATAGCTGTGGCTGGCATGCCATTTGACGTGGCCCTAGTAGTCCAGTCTCTGACGCGAGGAACAGTTCGCAGTGGAAGATGTGACCAACAACATCGAATCACATTCCCATCCTTGTCTTTAAGCAGAAGGATTGTCGCCCTTAACCGATGGTGGTGTGAGTTTCGGTGAAAAGTTAGGATCATTTTTCCCGGCCAACACAAAGGAGACCAGTAGTGTCGCATAAAATGGCAGTTGGCTGACAGAACCCACACTTCTATTTGGAAGGCTCCACCATCTACCCAGTGTACTGCGTGTTAATCGATCTGTTAATTGCGCTGATTAGCAGTTCTTTCGACTCGCCTTGGCATCAGGTTGCGATTGCCACGGCCTGTCCCTCTTTGTCAATTGAAGCGCTTCATGACTGCCATATACACTGCATTTGAGCTAGGAAACCACCGAAGGCGACCTCTTATGACTCGCGAGTACTGTCATTTCCTATTTGACAATGATTAATGATCGATGGAGCTTTTGAGGATGTCATGTGGACACTTGTTACTCTGCTAAGAATCGGTCGAAGTGTGTATCCGAAGCAGACAGCGTGAGGCGAAACATTGATGCTCCATGCACGACCACATCAGGACACCAGCTACTTCCGTCGTGTTGTATGAATTTTTGAAAGCCGACGGAAAGTCCAGGGAACATCATGAAGCTATCCTACCACCACTAGTGGTCAGTGCCCTAGTTGTGGATCATGGCACATTCATTTGGTTCCGTCGTATGCAGGGGCTTCACCAATAACTTAGACCCCGTTCCTTGTCAGGGTCCGTACAGCAATTGCCATGATGGCCTCATAAATATGTCCCCGAGACCGATATCAGCGCACCAATTTCAGCTGGTGCTATGATGCCTTCCTTTCTCCGTCGTTCTCCCAAGTCGGGCCAGTCAGGCTCACTCACGCAATCCCCTCTGCCCGGTCAAGCTAATACAACTTCTCCTCCCCCAAATTCTCCCTCCCCACTGTCGAGTGAAGTATCCCCGGCTGGCCTAGCCTCGTTGCAAGCTGAAAGCTCGATAACTCAGTCCCTACATGGTTCTGAGCAAACGTCGCATTCATCCCTTCATACCATCTCGCAGGAGATCGCTGCCAGCATTGAGTTTTCCCCAGTCAACAGGAGAAACGATGTTTTCATCGAGAAACTGCATCAGTGCGTTCCTCGCGAGTTCCATTACATCCGTTTCAGTGTCTAATCAACGTTCAGGGTTCTTGGTCAGAGTCCCTACCAACATGACATCATATGGTCGGATTCTGGTACCAGGTGAGCACGCTCATTCGCCCTTAAAGTGATCTTTTTTCACTGACACCAACCACAATCCAGCTTTATTATCACGGACGTCGAAGCTTTCAAACGCCATGTTCTGAGTCCGCTCTTTCACGACCTTCCGGTATGTGGTCGTTCGCACTCGTCAATCAAATTATTGAGAGCGTTTAAACTTCTGCGTAGTTTGCGGACTTTGTCCAGAAGTTGAACGGATACGACTTCCGTGCGACGATCAAGGTAAGGATATTCTAACTTGTGCGGGAGGTTAACTTGGTCATAGTTTTCCTCTCAACTACACACATTACTCTTTTCTGACTTTCCAATGGCAGAACATCCATTTTCTAGACTCGTCGGCAACATCAGAGGGCTGGGAATTTAGTCACCCTTCGTTCCATCGCATTGGCACTTCAAGTGCTTCAGCGTCTGATTTCCTGTCATTATCCGACTCTGAGCCAAGGTAACCTACTCTCCCTCGCGGCAGAGGTCCAGTCCTGACCTGCATAATACCAGCACAGAAATCCTACCTAAAGTAGCATACATGCTTGCCAAGGCCCAAGACGAGATTAGCAATTACCGCAGAGAGATCAACAGTTTACGAGGACATGGTTCGCCTGGCACTCGAGCCTCTCCCAGATCTCGGTCTCCACGCGCGTTGTCTCCCCTCTTGCAGCCCGTAAATGATGACGACGATCACGTCCTCATATTTCAACCGGATGCCCCCGGGGACCATAGTGAGACACAGAATCCGCCTCCTACGGGTTCCCCTTCACACCTGCAGGCCCCTCCCCAACTAGACTATATCCAGGCCGGATTCCAACATGACGATCACCCAAATGTGCAGATTCATCCTCCTACCCCCGGGCCGGCGTCCCCGCAGACGGGCGTTCAAAACCTGCCGTTACCCGGAAGTGGAGTCGACATATCTCCAGCTCTCCCGTTTGTGACGATGTCTGGTGCGAGAAGTTGTTCAAGCTCTCCTGCTCAGACTTTGCGTGGTGGAGAACCTGGGTATTCTCCATGGCACTCATCTCTCAGCTCACCGTCATCTGAACCATCAACTCTGTTGAGCCCCAGTCACATCCAGTCTATACCTTTCAATTCATCGTCATCCTATGGGGAGGACAGGGATGATTGGGAAGTTAATCTCGTTGCCAGTCTCACCAGAACCGGACTGTCTGGGAATGCACCGCACAGTGCCAAATATGTTGATTCCAACATGGCCTCACCCGATCTGGCAGACCCTGATGAAGTTCGCTCCCTGATTTTCGATATAGTAAACAAGACTGTTGAAAGCCTTCCAACTCATTTGATCAACACTGCCGATGGAAGGTTGTACGAGCGGAAAGCGCTTCTTAGCCATTTTGAAGCCTCGCAAGAATACATGCACCTCGTTTGCCTCATGAGCACAAAGAATCTCATGAATGAAGATTTCATCACAGAAGTCATTCGAACATACTTCCGACACGCAATGCTTTCTCACAAGTGGGACGTCAACGAACCCCTTTTTCACGAACTTCCTAATGGCGTCTTTGCCTCTGGCCTGCCCCCGCGCTTTACCAAGCTCAAAAGCTTTTGCGAGGTCGTGAAGGGTCTGGGACTAGGTTGGGCGTGGTGTGACACCTGCTGCATCAACAAGGACAGCAGTGCAGAGCTCGAGGAAGCGATCACGTCCATGTTCCGATGGTACCGCGATTCAGCGCTCACGATCGTCTACTTCTCTGACGTTTTCGGGTTTTCACGCGAGGACCTGATCAAGAGCAAATGGTTCAAGAGGGGTTGGACTCTTCAAGAGTTGTTGGCACCACGTGTAATGCGGTTCTACGACCGAACCTGGACACCGTGCGTCAGAGGGCCAGAGTACAACCATAAGCTTGTCCCAGAGTGGCTCGATGCGCTGCAGCGTGCTACTGGCATCCCGCCCTCGATATTGCAAGGGTTCACGCAGGGACCAGAGAACCCAAGGGAAAAGCTTCGATGGGCGTCGCCCAGGGTAACGACCAGGGTCGAAGATCTAGCTTACTGCCTCTTCGGTATCTTTGATGTCACGCTGCAACCGCAGTATGGAGAAGGGGAGAAGGCGTTCGGCAGGTTGTTAGTTGAGCTTATCAAGGTCACTCAAGATACGGGCCTCCTCGACTGGGTCGGGAAGCGTTCGGAACGGTGCAGCATTCTCCCGGTCAGCCCTTCCGGTTTCCGGGACGTAGCCTTGCCCAATAATAATACGACGGCGAGCGGTGGTAGCTCGCCCGCTTCGAGTCAGATACACACGGATGCCGACGAGGGCTCGCTTATTCACAGGCTTAGTCCTGGTAGCAAGGCCAAATTGACCACCCCTCCACTGCTGTCAACGGGTGACGGCGTATTTGAAGTTCTGTGCTTCGTTCATAACGTGAAGGACAGCTCTAGGATTGCGCTCGGAAGCACTAGTATGCAGCGCAGTGGGAATACTGATGCAGTGGTACATTACTCCATCCAAGCTGAAAACCTTTTCAAGCTTGTTGTTGCGGTCAGTTTGAAGGACGCACTGGAGGATGTGCCTAGGTTGAGACAGCCATTCGTGTTGGCCAGAGTTTGGGACTCAAGCATGAACGAACAGAGCGCTGATAGAGTAATAGTGAAGGCGGTCAGGAAACCCCGTGCCGATTCTTTGATGAAACCCTTCGTTGCAATATTGCTAATGAAGGATCCGGACGGTACTCGGTATTCTCATCGGATACCAACCGAGGCGCGCATCGTGGCGCAACTGGTAAAGCAACCTCGCGACTATCAGCCGATTACTCTCAGACTTTGTTGATCATGGACCTTTTCCTCTTGTATTTAGCATCTGCAAACACATTAATCATCTCTACATACATCTACTATACACAGTTGACACCCAATCCAGACATCCAATTCTAAACCGGGATGCTAATTGCACCAATAAACTCGCACGCACAGTTGCATTAATTTCCCTTATCTGACGTCGTCTGTGGGATACGCGGAGGGCCAGGGCCGAGAGCAAAATCCAAGAACCACTCCTTGCTCATATAATTGCGGATGCTATGCAGAACGTCAGCCAAGCCCATCTAACAAAGTCGGCGAGCTCTTCACGTACCCGTCAGCCAGGAGGATCACTACATTCAAACCCTCCGTTTGCGCGACCTTCTGGCCCCGTTCGGTTTTCAGCCATGCCAAGGCACCGCTGAGAGCACTGCCGCTACTTCCCCCGACTAAGAGCCCTTCCGTCTTTATGAGTCTCTGGACCGCCTGGAATGCCTCGCCGTCGTCAGTCTTCACCCAGTCGTCAATATCAGCAGGGTCGCGCGAAAGAACTTGGGGCACGAAGTCATAGCCAATGCCCTCGACGACGTAGGGCTTCGGACTTTCATCATTAAGACGTTCAGGTGAGGCAAGGATGCTGCCAATCTGTTGGTTAATGTCAGAGGGGGGTAGGTCACACGATCGATGTGTATTCTGACTGGGTCAACTCCAACAACAATACACTCCGGATTGTGTTGTTTCTTCAATGCGCGTGATACACCCGTAACTGTGCCTCCAGTTCCTGCACCAGCTACAAAAACATCCACCTTTAAGGACGAGGGTTTTGTCGGCGTTGAAGGGGTGGAAGCTACAGCAGCGATGATTTCAGGACCTGTAGTACATTCGTGCGCCAGCGGATTATTAACCTGGATAAGTCATGTTAGCGCTGTGCCGCAAAACACTGCAACCAGGCAGACATACATTGCCATACTGATCCAGGATGACACCATATCGAATTTCTTGCCGGAGCCTCTTCGCTACACCTGCAGTCGTTGAGGAATTCAGCCACGAGGTGTGCTTGGATGCCTGTAGAAAGCTCTACCTATGTGGCTTTTCGCAGAATCCCATGGTTCATCGTCAGGCGTACGGACGACCTCGGCACCTAGTGCCCGAAGAAGCGCTTCCTTTTCCTTCCAGTGGCGCGCAATAAGTATCCCGCATTAATAGTGTGTGTGCGTGTTATGATGATTACAACGTCAGTGGTAAAGATATGGAGAAGCGTACCTGAGACATCTTATTAGGCATGGTGATAATCACTCGATATCCCTTATATCTGCAGTATTCAGCAACCATTCGTGTGTTTTGCTACTGCGAGGTCACCTTGATAGCACATGTCATCGCAAGCCCAATACCTGTGTGCGTCACAAGGTCACCGGTAAGCAACAGAAGGACTAATGGAACTGCCTAACGTACCTGTGTTCCCTGACGTGGGTTCGATAACAACACTCTTCCCCGGGATGAGGATTCCATCTCTTTCGGCAGCGAGAACCATGGCTTTCGCTATTCTATCCTTTACGGATCCACCTACAGAAAAAAACTCTACTTTCCCCACTGCAAACGCAAATTGGGTACAGTGAGTTTCTTGACAAGGGGACAAACGAGTACTACTGCTACACACGCACACAGGTTGCATTTGAGGCCTTCCTCTTGAGCGAGCCTGTCTAAGCGGACTAGAGGGGTATTCCCTACGGCATCAAGAGCAGAATCGAGTATCTGGGAACTTCGGGATGCGTGCATTGGTGTGCTATGGAGTTTAGCAGACTCGGGCCTCTGAGGAGTGATTTTATAGATGCGGTTCCGGATCGGACCAAAGTAGTTTATTATGTCAACATAGGGGCAGACCAGAGCCGATATCGTGCTTACGTTCGAAAAATTTGCGGGTGGACTGACTTATTCACCGCTGCATGCTGCATGAAAGGCAGATAACGCATATCCACAAATGACCTCCCAACAAGTACAAAATCGGATAGGACTAGCACGGACGTCAGTGGCTTGACGAGTTGAGCATACGTACATCTTTGTTCTCGGAGCTAGTCCGAACTAGATAGTATGGCCGAACTTCGTAAACCTTGTTTACATTTGCATTTGAGTTACTTAAATCCGGAAGTTATCGAAGTCGTATAAAGTTACGATGCAGAGAAGGTATGTGATAATTAAAGGGGAAGCTATTGTGAAGACAAGTGAAGTTTACCAAGACTTGCAGACGGGGAAAACATCGTGCATGAGATTTTCCTTCGCTGGTATCTACACTACCTCATACCTGCAATTTAATGACAACTACACTGTTAATATTACCTGCAGCCCTACCTCTTTAGGTGTGCAAGCATTTGCTCAGTGGAAATCTACTTACTCCACCATATGATTTTACGTATATTGACAGCGCTTACAGTTAAGTCGGGCTGAGAAGGGGAGACGGGGGACTGCCGTGCAAGAATGCAGATGGCCAAGGAAAGAGTACGACTTACGATGAAGATGAATCGCAGTCCGTGATCAGGTCGGAGAGCCTCTGAAGGAATCTGGGGAGGACATGTCTAGTTCTAAACGTAAGACCTGACTTGTCGACGACATCTGGAATGACAGGTGATTCTCTTTGCTTGTGCCCTCGGGCTTGAGTCGGCTGGACATAGGCTGTTGCCAGTTCAAGACATGGTGGATTTTCGGTGCCAAGGCCTCGAAGCACGCACCAAGAGAGAGACGACCTGGCATGCAGCGCTCGCCCCAGTGACAAGCCACAGTGTGTGCACACTGCTCCTAGTTGCAACTGCCAAGACCAGAGTCTAGATCGAACATCATCGTTTTTGTGAATGTGCAGAGAAAGGATGTCTTCTGCGAGCAGAAGAGGATAATCGAGGATGGAATTCCCCTTCCACGAACCGAGGTTTGGAGATAAACCGTAAACAACTTCTGTGAAAGCATCGAAACCCAGTCCATAGAAGAATATGCACGTCGCAACGTACACCAAGAATAGAGCGCCTGACTTTGTTTCAAACGACTTGGCAATGGAGATTCCCGGCGACCGGTTCCAAGCGATACCCCGCGTATTCAAAGGTAGGTCCCTCGCATTCCAAAAGGCCATAAGAACGCTAGTCGGAACGTTGCCTCAGACGGAGAGTTCTTGTGCTGCAGCCCAAACGGTCATTCGCGCATGTTATCATCATGTTATGACTCTACTCCGAAAAGTTATGATCCACAGTTTCCAGGTGCAAGCAGACGGATACTCGCAACGAAAATGGTGAGTTTTCATGGTTCCCACAAGCAAGATCAAGCGTCGAATTAGGCTACCAAGCAAGCCACTTGATAGGGATTTGTTCAGTGGAATTGTATTCTCAACCAGAGTAACAGAACTTGACCGCGATAATCAATTTTACGATGAGAATTGTGTTGGAAGTGAAATGGTTTCTCTTCTGCTGTCGACGAAAGAAAAAAGAGTTTCCTGTCGTTCGGAATATTCACGGTGGTGGAATAATGTCCGACACAGCCACAATTATCCCGGGCCCACATGTATTGGCAGGTTATACGACATGCGATCATGTATGGATTGGATCATAAGGGCGTGCGACGGTTACTTGCTGAGAGCCTTTCCGACTTCATTGTTGCGATCAGTTTGAAGGACACATTGGGGGGATGTGCCTATGTTGAGGTGGCCACTCCTGTTGGATTGAGTTTAACTTTAGAACCCGAGCAAAGCGCTGGTGGCAAAATAATGGTGAAGGCGGTCAGGAATCCCCGCACCGATTCTTTGATAAAACCCTTCATTGCAGTATTGTCAGTAAAAGATCCGGACGGTTCTCGGTATTCTTATCGGGTACCAACCGATGCACATATCGTAGGCGCAGCTGGCAAAGTAACCTCGCAACTGTCAACCAACCACCCTCAGACTTTGTTGATCATGGAATCTTTCTCTCGTATATAGGCATCTGTAAACACGTTACGCATCATGACATCCAGTGCTAGATCAGAATGCTAATTGCACCGATAAACCCGCATGCATAGTTGCACTAATTTCCCGTATCCGACGTTGTCTGTGGAATACGCGAAGTGCCGGGGCGAAGAGCAAAATCCAAGAACCACTCCTTGCTCATGTAATTGCGAATACTGTGCAGAGCGTCAGTCAAACCCATCTGAAAAACTTGACGAGCTTTTCACATACCCGTCAGCCAGGAGGATCACTACATTCAAACCCTCCGTTTGCGCGATCTTCTGACCCTGTTCGGTTTTCAGCCATGCCAAGGCACCGCTGAGAGCACTGCCGCTACTTCCTCCGACTAAGAGCCCTTCCGTCTTCATGAGTCTTTCAACCGCCTGGAATGCGTCGTTATCGCTGGTCTTCACCCAGTGGTCAATATCGGCAGGGTTGTGCGAAAGAACATTCGGGCACGAAGTCATAGCCAATGCCCTCGACAACGTAGGGTTTGGGGCATTCGTCATTAGGATGTCCACCCGAAGCAAGAGCGCTGCCAATCTGTCGACTAATGTCAGAGGAGGGGAGGCCGTGTGATCGAAGTGGATTCTGACTGGGTCAACTCCAATAACAATACATTCTGGATTGTGGTCTTTCTTCAATGCGTGTGATACACCCGTAATTGTGCCTCCGGTTCCTGCACCAGCCACAAATACGTCCACCTTTAAGGACGAAGGTTTCGCCGAGGTTGAAGGAGTAGAAGCTACAGCAGCGATAATCTCGGGACCTGTAGTATATTCGTGTGCCAGCGGATTATTGACCTGGACAAGTCGTATTAGCGTTGTAATCCAAAACACTGAAACGACGACATACGTTGCTATACTGGTCCAGGATAACACCACAGGGAATTTCTTGTTGGAGCCTCTTTGCCACACCTGCAGGAATTTAGCCACGAGGCGCGCCTGGACGCTTGTGGAAAGCTCTACCTATGTGGCTTGCCGGAGAATCCCACGGTGCATCGTCAGGCGTACGGACGACTTCGGCACCTAGTGCCCGAAGAAGCGCTTCCTTCTCCTGTGGCGCGCAATACCGCCGCAATTGCGTAAGTACGTTATGGTGATTACAACGTCAATAGTAAGGACGTGGGGGTGCGCACCTGAGACATTCTGTTTGGCATGGTGATAATCACTCGATATCCCTTATATCTGCGGTATTCAGCAACTATTCATGTGTTTTTCCACTGCAAGGTCACCTTGATAGCACCTGTCATCGCAAGCCCAATACCTGTGTGCATTACAAGGTCATCGACAAGCAACAGATGGACCAATGGAACAGTCTGACATACCTGTATTTCCTGACGTGGGTTCGATAATAACACTCTTCCCTGGTATGAGGATTCCATCTCTTTCGGCAGCGAGAACCATGGCCTTCGCTATTCTATCCTTGACGGATCCGCCTACAGACAGGAACTCTACTTTCCCCACTACAGAAGGCAAGTTGAGTACAGTGAGTTTCTTGACAAGGGGACAAACGTAGTACTACTGCTACACACGTACACAGATTGCATTTGAGGCCTTCCTCTTGAGCGAGTCTGTCTAAGCGGACTAGAGGGGTATTCCCTATGGCGTCGAGAGCAGAGTCGAGTATCTGGGAGCTCATTGGTGTAGTATGAAGTTACTTCCTCTGCAGAAGAGCGGCTCAAAGACACGATGTTTAGTCACCTTCAGAAGCGGGTTATATCAACATCGGGGCAGTGTCACGTGATCGAAACCAATCAACTTCGCCATATTCACCGAACAATTGCGCATTATATGCTACTTGCATGGATAAGGTAGATAATGCATGTATGAGCACATCCACCTAACAAGTACGAAGTCCGATATCGGGCTAGCAGGGACGCCGCTGGCTTGAGGAGCTGAGCATAAGTATTTATCTTCGGAGCTACGTAGTCCGAATTACTCGGTACGGCATGCGACTATCATGATACAAGTACCGCTTGGATCACAAGAACGTGCGACGGTTATGAGCAGTACTTTGAGAGCCGCTCGGTTCCAGGGAAGTCGCCTACAGCCTGTTTTCAGAAAGAAAATCCTTGGGTACTGCTCTCACGGACTGAGTTGTTCTTCGGAAAGGCGATACGATAGATACCGTAGCCGATCTATTCAAGAATACAATTCGCAGTGTATCCACGGAGGTAAACTTGGAAGCCGAGTAATTTATTATCTTCGGGCGAAAAGCGGACACTGTTATTGGCCTGCTGGATATACGGGGTTAGTCTGGTCAACGGTCAAGGTGAGTCAGACTCTCGCAGAATCGGTTTCAAGGTTAGTTGTTGCTACCATCATATGTACAGAGGGGAGTGAAGGAGCGACAACTTGGCATAGAAATAGTTGCTGTCGAGGAATCGATGGTATAACGGCCCAACAAATACAAGGAATGCGCTCGATAAGTAGAGGGGCTGCAACCGTCGATAAAGGCGCATCCTCGGTCGGACAACGGTTGCCTCGTGTCTTAGTGGCAATGTCGTGCTGCCTAACGACTCGGTTTGAGGTCATACCCACGCCACGGTAAAGTTTCGCTCTCGTTCGGAGGTTCCGAATCAGCAGGAGCCTCGAGGGGATTGCCGGAGCCATGCCCGATCGTGATCGAACCATATGTCTGTTAGGCTGGAACACGTACTTATGTACTCACTTCTGGTAAATGAACTGCTTAGTTCGTATTAAGTACCTGCGGCAAATTGGGAGTAGATTATCCTCTGGGGTAATAATGGATGAGGATAGGTGCCCCTATTTCGTGCGATGGGCTCTAAGAATTTCTAGATTCAATGGCCATGGCTTTCCAATCCAGCTGGCGAGCTCCGCATGGTCCCTATAAGTATCATCTGTGTTGGGGTGGACCAAGACACTAGATAGTGGAATGTCAGCGACGCTCTTCCCTATCTCGGGAAAGGGGCGCACTCAAGAGGTCCTCGATTGACGACGAGCCAGCCAAAGAGAGCGCCGGTCTGATGAGGGGTCTTGGTCTGAACCTCAAACATCGCAGTAGGGTGAGGACCTGAACGAATCTGATCAGTACAGATGCTGCAGATTCGTCAGGGGTTACCTATGGGCCTATCCCATACGCGATAGATGGGAAGCTATAGGGGATTGTGAGTCGAGAGTCCCCCCGATTAAAAGTCTATGGTACGCACTTCAGGGAACTCGGTGGAGATGCGTTGATGGAGCTGGAGAGCATGCTGGACGTGGACTGGGTTGGTTGGCATAAAGTACACTGGTAGATGTGGTGATCGGGACGGGCGGAGGCTATGAGCGAAGTGACGAACATACCATGGAAGTCGAACCCGTTACGAGAGGACAGAATTGGGGCTGGGAATGTCTCGTACGCAGAAGAACGGGGTTTGTCTGGCTGTGACATGGCGGAGGTGATTGGTGATTGAGGGTGTGAGTGAACGCCAGGGTTAAGGAGTCGTCGTCGTCGTCATGGACTCGAGGATCTAAGCGGGTTAAATAAGGACCCATCCACTGCGCACTTGCCAGCACTTTTACTGACTTACACCCACACTCCGTGCGTGGTTTGACGACGACGAGCACGACGACAAGTCTGCTGCCACTGCGGACGTCGTCGGTTTAAATGACATCTTATACGCCAAGCAACGAGTGGACATTTCGAAATAACAACCCGTCATCGGGCTTGGACGTCGTCACCGCTGCTCGTCCGCCCCCAAAGTCTCCTCGACTCAGAAACTCGACGTTAAAAGTTTTTCAATCCGTTTTCAACCGACACAACACAACTCGCTCGCACCACACCGCTGCGGCACCGTCACTCCACTCGTCCCTCTCTGCAAGTAGCGCCCGACTTGCCTCCAGCACTAGTCCCATCCAGCATCCATTCGCCCCCATGCCTCCAGCACCCGTCCCCATCGTATCCTCGCACGACCCCGCAGACGACGAGCAGGAATGCCCCGTCTGTCTCGAACCTCTCAGCTTCAGCTTCAGACTCCCCGGCGAAAAACCTCACGTAGTCCCAGAATGCGGTCACTCCCTCCACGAGGTAACTCTTCCTTCCACCCTCGCAAAAACCTTCCCCTCATGCTTTCCTAGGCTTGCTTCATCGCAGTTTATGGCCCACCTCCGGGTCAGTCACGTTCTGCAACCCCTCGCAAATCAAACTTGGGCGTCTGTGGTGTGTGCAGACGACAAATGAAAATCGCAGATGGCGATCACAGCAAGACAAACAGTTAGCCCGCCCTTTATCTGTGCACGCAACCACTATCTAACCACCCCTTCGTAACAGAGCTGGCAGCCCTTACAGGTATGGGCGACCCACAGGCTCCGGCTGTCTACCCCGGTCGCGATTCCCCAGCCGCCCGATCTGGTCGAAGTCAACCCCAGCTGCCATGCAGTCCTACCGACGACGACCCCGTCGACCATGCCACCTCCGTTAAATCCAACCCAAGCGACACCGGCTACATCATTGCGCCCTCCATCCAAGTGCGCCCTGAATTCTCTACCATTGTTCGTACCGGCGAACAAACTCAACCCATCACCTGCATTGTCATAATCGAACTCCCTGCCAGGCGTGGTAATACTCACATACCAGCACCCCTTATATCCGAATCATATGGAAACCAAAATGGTCCGTCCCACCCTCACATCGACGCCGATCAGCAACCCGTGCCAAGGGCGCCCGATCGTCCCCACCAATATCCTTCTCAAGAACGCTGGGCACCCCCCCACAACGGTTCCGAAACTGATTTGTCTCGGTACACTCCGAACATGGCGCACGAAGATGATTCCCCCTTCAATTCCATCGTAGAGGATCTGAGAAATCGCATCGCCGATTGGAAGGGTCACGCGTTATCAGAATTGGGTCCTTTGCTTATGTATGACCTGTTGTCTGTCCGTCGTGACACTCTCGTGCGGGAATTCTTCGTCTATCTCTTCAAGGAAGCTATCATCTGCGTCGCCGAGGAAAAGAAACGACCTCTTGGCCGATTCTTGCCTTCACCGTCCTACAACGATTCGTCGGCAGCATCTACTGGCTCCGGCAGTCCCTCAAAGGGCGTCCTCCGTTTGAAAGGCCGCATATACGTGCGACACATCAAACGATTGCATGTAAGTACATCGGGCGACATGAGTCTGACCATAGAGATGGAGGATGAACGTCTGGACTCTTTCATCCTGGTCTTCAAAGACCGCTCCTCGTTGGAATCATGGAAAGGGCAAATTCAGTCCCTTGTCGCATCGTTTCAGCAGCCCCCGGGCTCCCAGCAGAATTCTTTCGATCGAGGTCTTGATATCGAAGAGTTTGGTGGATCTGGGAAAGCGGCACGTATGCTCAGTGGCAGCACCGGTTCGACTAACACTAGCGCCGTCGACAGCCTTCAGGGCTTCGCGCGTTCCACTACATCTTCTTCCACCTCGCATCACTCAGTGCCCAGGGTACTACAAAGCAAGCTGCAGACCCTCGGTGAGGAGGCTGTCATGACCAACTATGATACACCCCTAGTCATGCCTCACGTCTCCTCCGGCTCGTCCAATTCGCTCGCCCCTCTTCTACACCCACCTCTCGATCTCATGCTAATCGTCTCACTGCCCCCTCCCAACGCCCCACGCAGCACAGCCGAGCTGAAAATCCGCGTCATCAAAACATCCCTCGACTTTATCTTGGCGTCCCTGGGGAATAGGGACCGGCTCAGCCTTGTTACTTTCGAGGTCGGAACGGGTGGTCGCGTGAGAAGAACACCGTATCTATGTGTGGGAAAGACTCAGAGTCGAGGAAGACTGCAAAAGTTCATTTACGACACTGGCCGCATGGACGATCCTAACATGGAGGATGAGTTTTTGATCAGGGCATCCAAAGATGAGAAGACCGACGTCGTGACGGCTGTTAACCACGGTGCGTCTCCCAACTTCCATTCCGTGGTGGCACAATGAACTAACCTCCGTTGATCAGGCCTTGACGTTGTTCTTCAGCGAAAATCCCGAAACCCTGTATCGGGTATGATTCTCGTCAGCGATGCAGCAGATAGCACGAGGCGTGCTCAGATGGATCTCGTCCTCGCCCGTGCCGAAGCGGCCAACATGCCTATCCACTCTTTCGGCTATGGTCGCTCACATGACCCTGCTTCACTTTGGCTGATGTCGAACCACACCAGTGGGACGTATACTTTCGTCAAGGACTGGTATGACCTGCGAGTGTGCCTAGCTGGCTGTATAGGTGGAATGATGTCAATTGGCTTGCTGAACATGAAGCTACACATACGTATCGTCGACGGCCAACGCTTCCGCATCCGCAAGGTATCTGGTGGACCGTTACCTATCCTGTCTACAGATGGCCAGAACGTCGATATCGACGTGGGCGAGTTGCGGTACGGCGAGTGCAAAGAGATGTTGATCGAATGCGAACTCGATAACCGCGAGACCCGCCGTCAAGGTGCTTTGCAAAACAGCAATCGCGCTTTGAACGCGACGGACCAGTTCGTGCAGAGCATGGGTCTCGAGGCATTGTCGATCGAGGACTCAACCGACCTCGTTGACGGCATGATGGACCGCATGATTGACGAGGTGCCCGTCTTTGAGGTTGATGGTTCGTTCTTCGATCCCTCCGCTGGCAAGCACATCTCGCGACTCGCCCATCCCGTTCTGTTGACGATCACACTTCTACCCTCCAATCTCTCGAACTCATCAAAACAACCGAAGCCGTCCGATCCTGTCATCGTGCGTCGTCGAATGGAGCTCCTTGCATCAGATATGATTACTCGCGCGCTCGTCCTGGTGTCGAGGAAGAACTACCCCCAGGCGCAAAAGATAATAAACGAGACTAAGCGCATCCTTCACACAGTTCTTCAAAATATATCCAGAGCTCTCCCTTTGCCAAACAATGAGGGCTCGACATTACGGAACAGGAAAGAATTACTGACTTTATCGGCGGTCCGCGCCATGCAAGCCATGCTTCAAGATCTTCAGATCCTCTCAGAGGCCCTGGAAGAAAATGTAGAGTTGTTCGCACATGATCAAAGAAACTTTGGTGCACAACAGGTTTGTTTCCACAGTCCTCCTTGATGTTTATGTGGCAAAAAATGACGTGGATTTGGCAGGCAATGATCCTGCGCGATCAGAAAAGTTGGACTAACCGTAGTGCAACCGAACGTTTGTTCTGGAAGATAGACAACTCCATCGAACTCGCTACTCGAAGTACTGACTGGGTCCCGCGTGACTAGGTTTCGCTCTTGTTCTGGCTCTGGCTTTTGCACCTGGCACCACTCCCCAGCCTCTTCCACACGCTCATTTTATGCTATTCTGATGGTTTTTCTCGGGTGGCTTTCTTGCGCTCCCTTTTCTTCTTTCTTTCCTTGTGCTTAATTATTGTATTTCCCCTTGACGCTGTAATGGTCATCCGGCCGCGTCAGGGCGGGCATGTTTTCCTCTTCTGATTTATACCCTCCCGGATGTCTTCATTCACCTCGTTGTTTGTAGCGTAGGCCCTAGATTCCGTCGTGTCGGAGTTGGGCGTGTGTCGGCTTGGAGAGTACAGTAGTGCCATTAATTATATCAGCTTGCACGCGATACACTACGCCTATGAAGAATGTCTCAAAGGGCAACTGGCTAAGAAGTGATATATGCTTAAGATGTTGACGGAGAAACAGTGTCTCCCTCGCCTCCTCGGGCTAAGGCTCTATGAAATTTGAGACCCAGCCACCGCCCTTCTTAGCAGTCTACTCCGTCTCGAATAGATATGAGCTTCATTCGTACCCGAGTTTCTGCTTTTCGATCTTGTCCCGTTCCAACTGTGCGACCTTGCTTTCCGCCCCACTCAGAACGTCGTCCCATGCGACAAATAGTTCTGACAGTGCATCCACCTGTTCCGTGTGAGTGAGACCTCGGCAGGGGGTGGGGGTGGGGGGACATTTAAAATGAGAGGGCACCCACATGAGTCGCGTGACGATCTACTAGGTTTGCGATCCGTTTCTCCAGAGACGCTGCTAATTTTAAATCTTCCTCCTGCGCTGCAAGGAGCCTCTTCACGCGGGGCTGCAGTACCTCGTAGTCTACAAAGACCCTTGATTAACTAACTAGTCGTCGCAACGTGTCTCAAAATCCGAGAAAAGATGGGAGGAGTTCTTTTACCTGGCAGCTTGCCGGCACTCAATACATCCTTTTGTATTAGTAGGTCGATCTCGCGCATGTCGCGGTCGGCGGCACGAATGTCCGGTTCCATTTCTGCGAGAAGCGCTTCCAGTTCCTCCGCGGACATGTTTCCGTAGGATGGGCCCGGTCCGACCGGCGTGCCCGAGTAAGCGAACGTCGGTGTTAACAGATGGGCATGACGGTCATCTGTAGTAAAAGAAAGGAAGAAAGAGATATACACATGTATCATATGCCAAAAGAAAAAAAAAACGAAAGAGAATAACGTACATTGACTCATGAATTTCTTCAGGCCGTCGTTGGATTCTATCACGCTATTCAACCGATGCTGCACGTTCTCCGCTAGACGGATGAGGGTTGTTTCCCCATCCTTGAGATCAGTGAGCTTGTCCCCTCTCCCCCTGCGTTCGCGCGGGTCCTGGCGAACGCCGATGAGTAGTGCCTCCAACCAGCGGATTCGCAGTTCAAGAGAGAGGGCAGGATCGATGGAGGTGGGTAATTGTGTTGCACCCGGAGTTGAAGTAGGATGGGGATGAGTGGGTTCCTGGCGTTGGGCAACGGACATGGAAGCCTGTTCAGGTAGATCAGGACCGCCATCGACGGAATCAAAAGTCTCATCCAGAGACTTGGAGGATGCCAGGGCCATACTCATCGAATTGCTAGCAGCATGTGCAGGCGGGGACGAGGGTGGTGGTGAAGATGTCAGAATCCGGTGCCTATGCTGAACGTCGCCCAAGAAAACACTTCCGATCGGAGACATATAGGGGCAAAAAACCGAGAGAAGACCACCTTCGCAAGTAGCTTTCGGCACTTGGCAGAGTTGGCAATCACTTGACTTCCGAGGTTTGACTGGATGAGGTGGATAGCCACTTACGTTGCAGCGAGTAGTCAGGTATTGATTTCCTATTACTGACCAAAATAGCGCGGAATTATACAGTTCAAATAGCAGTACGTAGGCAAATGGACATTCAGGCCATAGCCAGCAGTGAGTCACTACTCTAAGCAGATCATGCAGATTCAGCATGGCTACTGTCAGAAATATCTTCGTAGCCAGATGCGGAGATGCGGGAGTGGTATGTATCAATCTGCGCATCGTAATTAAAAGTTCTGCACCAAATCGGGGTGCCTACGACGACCTGCACGCTTTCTTGCAGTTTAGCCTTACTTTCGCGCATGTTTGTACCACCGACACTAGCATGGCATTCGATGTTCATGTAATCACAAAGCGAGCGTGTAGGCGCGAGGATGAGGATCTAGCGGTACTGGACTTGCAAGATGACATCATGACCTTTGGTTATGGGAACAATGGCACGGCGTTGTATAGCGGATGGCCACTCGAAACTAGGGAGGAATTAGCACACTAAACGACTACACGTCGAGGAGGAAATTACCCGTGGGCCCTAATACCGCGAAGGAGTTGTGGCTTCAAAATTTATATCATTGAAGCCGAACGACCTCTTACACACTGGAGCACTTCACACGACTCACACTAGGTGAGACTCGGATAAGTTGGCATAGAGACACGAAGAATGCGCTACAATAGAGCGTTGAACGGCTTGCTCTCCATCATTCAGGCGTGTTCCAAATGCGGACGTTCCCTCAATCCATAAGAGGCAGGGGAGGTCAAATCAGACTCCGATGGTCCGTGCGCAGACCTGAAACGTATATAAACCCCGGCTGAACATCCTGAATCCTTACCACTCTGGCCTTTTGGCTTAGATCAAGTGTAGTATCTGTTCTTTACAGCATAACCGCTGTAACGGGGGCACCGCCCCCTTTAGTTGGTTAGCAAATTTTTGCCGCCCTTGTCCCTGCGAGCTCTGCTTGCAACTCCGGGGACGCGATGACCTTGCTACTGCAGTACCGGCTTGTGTCGTCAGGGGATCTCCCTAGCTTTTGCTTTCTTTTTGTTGTGCTACTACTATCCTACCATTTGGTAGGGCATGGGGTTCAGCAAATGGGAATGCAGAGTAGGCTTTGACTTTCTGTAGGGTTCCAATAGTTGCTGGTTGCATTATTGTACTTGTTTTTTTTTGTAGTGCTTATTAGTAGCTTTATTATGTCTCTGTGTCCAGTATTTTCAATGTTGAAGTCAATTAAGCATCCAGCTGTTACATTGTGCTACTAAGTACAATATTACATGTTATGGCAAAGCTATAATATGCTTACACAGATTCACTCATCTCTACAGGTAATGGAGTATACCCAACCATTGATCTATGATGGATCAATGCAATGAAAGAACCCCAGACTTGACCTGCCACACTCCCAATGGTTGTTGGTTTCCATGCTTTCATCCCAGGCATGACACTGGACTCCGGACGTACCCACCACCTCAATAACAAGGAACTCGTAACGACACTCACGGATGAAAATGCCATCGCCGCGCCTGCTATCATCGGGTGCAGGTATAAGCCAAATGGAAGGAACAAACCCATTGCCAGTGGGATCCCAAGGACGTTGTAGATGCATGCCCAGATGAGATTTCGTCGAATCGTGGCGAAGATACTCCGAGAAAGGTGGAGCGCGGCCACAACGTCAAGAAGATCAGATCGAATGAGGACTATGTCGGCTGCCTCTATGGCAACGGAAGTACCCGACGAAAGCGCAATGCCGACAGTTGCAGCGACCAAAGCAGGAGAATCGTTGATCCCATCCCCGACCTTGGGTCTCATCATCAATCAACGAATGGGAAGAAGAAAGTGAACAAGCCCACCATCGCGACACCGCCTTCGCCTTTCTTCATGAGTTCGGTTACCAGGGAAGCCTTGCCCTTTGGACTCATGTTTGCCCATACAGACTCGGGATTGACCCCCACTTGTTTTGCAACAGCAACCGCCGTCTTTATGCTGTCGCCAGTCATGATACTGACACTGATTCCCATGTCCCGAAGTGCCTTGATGGCCTGGGCGGACGAGGGTTTTGGGACATCGGACAGCGATACTGCGAGTACAATCATGGATGCCGCAGGCCCTCGTGCAATAGACACGTAGATCACCGTGCGCGCGAGTTCGCTTTCTTGAGCTTCATATTTGGAAAGAACAGACGGAAGACGAGTTGCATCAGAATTCGTCACGAAGTTTGCGTTGCCAACGAGAATGGTATATTTCGTTCCAGATGAATCCAGGGTGGCCCTGACGCCCGCGCCAGTCACACTCTCGAACGACTCCACATTTACTTCCGGTATCACAGCACCGGAACGACTCAAGAGCTCCTTGCCATGGGCAGCAATTGCCTTCGCTAAAGGATGCTCTGATCGCGCTTCCGTTGCTGAGACCATCGCTACGACAGCCGCATGTGTTGTGAATCCATCTGCGCATTTGACCGAGAGCGATTGAGGGCCATCCTCTTCGTAAAGGGATTCTGGCTCGTTGTAGGGAGTCGTCCAGGCCATTCCCGTAACCGTTAGCTTGCCGTCCGTCACGGTGCCCGTCTTGTCAAGGACAATGTGCTTGATGGACCGACTTGCCTCCAGTGCTGCTCCGCCTTTAATGAGAATTCCGTTCATGGCACCGACACCAGTCCCAACCATGATGGCAGTGGGGGTACTCAGTCCTAACGCACATGGGCAAGCGACGACTACGACCGAGATGCAGATTTGTACACAGACAGCAAAATGGCTTGCCCCATGGCGATGGAAGATGGTTGGCAATGCATCATCGCTGAGGATGTTCGCCAATACTATCCAAGCAAGGAATGTGACGAGGGCAAGGGTTATGACGATCGGAACAAACACGCCCGCGACACGATCGGCAAATGCCTGTATTGGGGCTTTCGAAGTTTGCGCGTCCTCGACGAGTTTGACGATCTGGGATAGCGCCGAGTCTTTGCCTGCACGCACGACAACCATATCAAATGTCCCGAGGCCGTTCACAGTACCACCAATAACCGCATCCCCAAGTTGCTTCACTGCTGGAACAGGCTCTCCGGTTACAGCACTCTCATCCACAGTGGAGTGTCCTTTCACAACCGTCCCATCGGCGGGTATCCGGTCACCAGGAACGAGCTTGACTATATCTCCAACTTGAACGAGCTCTGTGGGTATACGTTTTTCCTGAGTGCAAGCGGGAACGTCCGTGTAAATGGTGGCCATAGAAGGGGAAAGAGCTATCAGATCCGTGAGAGCCGCACTCGTCTTGCCTTTGGCACGGTTCTCCAGCCAGCGCCCGAGAGAGACGAACATGATGAGCATCGTACTCGTGTCGAAGAAAAAGTAGGGGCGAAATCCCGGTGTGGTGTTAAACGCAGCGGAGATGAGCGAGAGAATCGAGTAGAAATATGCAGCCAATGTTCCAAGCATCACGAGCACGTCCATGGTGGCGCTGCCATGCTTGATTGCCTTGTACGCGGTTCGGTAGAATTTCTGCCCGACCCAGAATTGAGCGGGCGTGGTAAGGCAAAGGATGATGATGTCGCTCAGGTAGATTCCGTTTAAAAGCTGAAGACCAGTGATCGGTCGCAGAAAGGATATATGAGGAGCAACCATGCTGAGAAAGAAAACCGGGACTGCGAAAGAAGCACTCCACTTGAAGCGATTCCACCATTCTTGTATTTCTCGTGTTCGAGCAAGCGAGCGCTTCTGTGTCGCATCGTCATGATCAGAAAGAATTGCGTCGAAGCCCATTTCTTCCACACGCTCTACAAGCTCTCGCGGGCCGACCAAACCAGGTTCGAAGTCAATCTTAGCTGTCTCGGTTGCCAGCGAGACCGCAACGCTCTTAACGCCTGGCATTTCACGCAGGCCATTTTCCACCGAATTCACGCACGATGAGCATGTCATGCCGTATACTCGGAGCGTGATAACATCGGTTCGCGCCACAGGAATAAGTGAAGCGTCAAACCCTATATCAGATATTTCCTAGAAAAAAGCGTGAGTACAAACGTGGGCAACGGGATTATTGACTGACATTCATGACTTTCTCATAAGTCCACACGGAGGGATCGTATTCAACCACCCCGCGCTCAGCTAGAAGCGCAACCTTGACCGAATAAATGCCCGGCTGAGAACGAAGCATCCCCTCTATCGACTGTACGACCGTTGGTAGCATGTGAGAAGCAAGATAGCCTTAAGACCTCACCTCGACACATGCGCCACAAGTCATGCCCTCTATTCGAAGCTCGCATCTTCCGGGCGTACTTTCGTCTAGCACCGGAGACACCAATGGTTCGTTCTCCGCTCGGGGAAGTTCAATGTTGGCCGAAGCGCTCCAATTGCTGGTCCCAAATACATTCCAAATATTTGACGGAAGTCTAGTAAAGGCGGACATGATGTAAAGAGACAGAACTCCTGAGGCAGAGTCCCAGCTTGCTCTGAGAAGAAAATCTGAGAGGTATAAAGAGGGCCGAGAACGGCTCTAAGTGTACAGTATTGCACCGCATTAGCGTAAGGGTGAGTCAGATAGACACAGGTTTGAATAACTTGCCTAAGCTTTCAGCGTCTGCTATAGTGCCCGGTAAGCCAGCCAAGTCCCCGCAAGGGGCTGATAATAGTATGAGCGGCGGACACACGTAAGTCATCGCAGACGTGAATCACCTGATTAGTCAGCGTGAATATTTGGCCTGCTGCCAGAGGCAGCAACACCCAAGGTCTAATCATACAAACCAACGGACTGTTAATAACACACCCTCCTTCCAAACAAAGATGCAAGTTTTGATTATCCCTGTAAATATGCACATAACAGGTGTACGTAGTAGGGTATGTAGGTGGCTCGTATTTCACTCTACATGATCCCATTTATCATGTCGTCATCCAGGAGTGCTGCTTCTCAATGTAACCCTTTAGTGCGACTCCTTCCACTGGTGCATCGCGGCTATAAGGCCATACAGTTGCAAGGCACTCATGGCACCTCCCAGCTCAACCTTCAGCATCCTCTCCTGGACATGCACAGGCCAGGATAACAAGTCCCGTAATGCATTCCCATCAGTAATACCCATCTTGATAAAGTGTGGATGAAAGGCTTCGAGATTGGGTCTTGCAGATGACAACAACTCCAAGACAGAGCTGGGGACTGGGCCCCGTTCACCTATAGAGTGAGAGCGACCATTGCCACCCTCAGACCCTGTGTCTGAGATCAGTACCGAGTTTGGCACTGTTTTCAGGGACTCACCTATTGGGGTGGGGATAGCGGCAGGGACAAGAACAGGGGCGGGGACGGAGGATGATGTGTTCGATAGGTCTAACTCCGTCCTATATGCCCTCCACCCAGATATATTTGGCTCACGAGCAGGGGCTTCGCTATTCACAGGCATGTATCTTGCAAGGTCCTCCTGCGTGGGAGAGAGCGTACCTCGTCCACCCCTTCCCTTCAGGAATCTGTACCCTTTGCATGTCTCATCACAGTTTGGATGAACACCCTCCGACCTGACATGACTTGGATATGCGCCTCCTTCCTTATGCCATAGTACACAACTGGTCTCCGTACTGGCGCAGCCACCTGCCACACAAGTATGGGCACACAGCTCAAAACCCTTCTTGGGTTCGCGTGATCGCTGTGGGGCCATGGTGTTGAGGGAGATAGCGAGCAAGCCAGGCTACGAAGCTTGCTGAAATCCGCCTTAAAACATTCGTTTGAACATTACATAAGCATACATTAAATGCTGGTCAACCTGATACATACCTTGCGACACAACTTCCAAGCTGAAGGAATGAATCAGGGAATGATTACCGCGATTTTTTTCGTTGCTTGGGCGGCGGCGAAAGGCTCAAGAGAGACGTGCAGACTTCTAACTCAACTATCCCATCGACCTTGTCGTGGCCACGCAAAGATTAGACAGATGTTCACCTCACGCCTCTAAGGCGAATTACAAGGATGCAGTTCGACCGCGAACTGTATTCCGAATAAGGGACCAATAACAGTTTCGAATGAGTGAATACAGATGAACGGCATACACTAGTACTCCCAAACACAGTTCGGGAAGATTACGCAGGAGTCGTCGTCAGACTTCCGTGTTCTTGACCCTGTTGACCAGAAGTGAGAACCCGATTCAATAATAATTGTTGGTAGTTTTCCCAAGCGGCGATAAGCTTTGGGTTCGTAGTGAGTTTCGTCTGATTGACCAAAGATATTGAAAAAAACGGACTTCTCTTTGGCGGGAGATCATGCCATCGAGGAATGCCTGTAGGGCCGTCTTGAAATCTTCTACCCTTTCTTGTTCGAACCTTGCAACCTCCGATTTGATCAGACAAGAGCATTCATCGAACTCATGCTTTGCGTCCAGGGCCCGCCTCTCAGCCTGCGTCCGTTCATGAGATGTGTGTTGAAAAAAGACGATACGGTTCGGAGCTCACATATTCCAGGCGTACTTTCTTCTAGCACTGGGGACACCAACGGTTCGTTCTCCGCTCGGGGAAGCTCAATGTTGGTCGAAGCGCTCCAATTGCTGGTCCCAAATACATTCCAAATATTTGACGGAAGTCGAGTAAAGGCGGACATGATGTAAAGAGACAGGAGTTCTGAAAATCTGAGGTATAGAGAAGGCTGAGAACGGCTCTAAGTGCACAGTGTTGCACCGCATTAGCGTAAGGGTGAGTCAGATAGACACAGGTTTGAATAACTTGCCTCAGCTTTCAGCGTTCGCTATAGTGCCCAGTAAGTCAGCCAAGTCCCCGCAAGGGGCTGATAATAGTACGAGCGGCAGACACACCTAGGTAATCACAGACGTTAATCACTTAATTAGTCAGCGTGAATATTTGCCCTAATGGCCGGAGGCAGCATGTGACAGAAAGCAGGAAGTTTCGTCACACGAGTAGTCCGTTCTCGTAGGAGGTTGGTCTTACGGAGTTCAGGGAGAACGGGCCGAAAGAAACTCTGTTCGAGGGAGACTGAAAAAAAGACATGAATAACTACGACCTTCTATACTGTGAGGGACGAACAGGTAGCTAAGACGGGAAAACTAAAGAACGAGAGTGAAAGAAAAATGATGGGTCAATGATGGTCCGATACGTCCGAAGCGTTATCAGTGGAAATCAGCTATGACGCGTTACACAGCAACACCAGGTCCCGTCATACAGACCAACAGACTAGCACATCCTCCTTCCAAAAAAAGATGCGAGTTTTAACTCACCTGGCATGTAAATATGCACAGAACAGGTGTACGTAGTAGGGTACGTAGGTGACTCGTATTTCTACATGGTCCCATTTATCATGCCGTCGTCCAGGAATGCTGCTTTTCAATGTAACCCTTTAGTGCGACTCCTTCCACTGGTGCATCGCAGCTATAAGGCCATACAGTTGCAAGACACTCATGGCACCTCCCAACTCAACCCTCAGCATCCTCTCCTGGACATGCACAGGCCAGGATAACAAGTCTCGTAGTGCATTCCCATCAGTAATACCCATCTTGACAAAGTGTGGATGAAAGGCTTCAAGATTGGGTTTTGCAGATGACAACAATTCCAAGACAGAGCTGCGGACTGGGCCCCGCTCACCTGTAGAGTGAGAGTGACCATTGCCACCCTCGGACTCTGTCTGAGATCAGTACTGAGTTTGGCACTATTTTTAGGGACTCACCTATTGGGGTGGGGATGGGGGCAGAGACAAACGCAGGGGCGGAGGCGGGGGCGGGGGCAGGGAAAAGGGATGATGGGTATGATGGGTTTGATTTCATCCCAGATGTCTTCCCCCTGGATTTATTTGGCTCATGAGCAGGGGCTTTGCCCTTCGCAAACTGTCGCTGAAGGTTCTGTGGAGCGCATCTTGCAAGATCCTCCTGCTTGGGAGGAAGCGTACCCCGTCCACTCTTTCCCTTCAGAAATTTGTACCCGTGGCATGTCTCATTACAGTTTGGATGAAGGCGATCCGACCTGACATGTCTTGGACATGCGCCTCCTTCCCTATGCCATAGTACACAACTGGTCTCCCTACTGACGCAGCCACCTTCCACACAGGTATGGATACACAACTCAAAACCCCCCTTGGGTCTGTGTGATCGCTGTGGGGCCATGGTGTTGAGGGAGATAGGGAGCAAGCCAGACTACAAAGCTTGTTGAAATTCGCTTAAACGTTCGTCTGAACATTACATAAGTTACACGTTAAATTCGACAAAAAGGACATGATTTTTGTGATCAGTGTGGGGTCGGACTCAAGGCTGGTCAACCTGATACATAGTTTGCGACACCGCTTCCAAGCTGGAGGAATGATTCAGGGGATGATTGCTGCAATTTTTTTCCCCGTTTCTTGAGCAGCGGCGAAGGGCCCAAGAGAGACGCGCAGACATCTGACTCAACTATCCCATCGACCTTGTCGTGGCCACGCAGAGATTGGACAGATGTTCACCTCACGCCTCTAAGGCGAATTACGAGGATGCGGTTCGACCGCGAACCGTATTCCGCAATAAGGGACCAAGAACAGTTTCGAATGAGTGAACACAGATGAACGGCATACACTAGTACTCCCAACGCAGTTCGGGAAGATTACGCAGAAGTCGTCGCCAGACTTCCGTGTTCTTGACCCTGTTGACCAGAAGTGAGAACCCGATTCAATAATAATTGTTGGTAGTTTTCCCAAGCGGCGATAAGCTTTGGGTTTGTAGTGAGTTTCGTCTGATTGATCAAAGATATTAAAAGAACGAACTTCTCTTTGGCGGGAGATCATGCCATCGAGGAATGCCTGTAGGGCCGTCTTGAAATCTTCTACCCTTTCTTGTTCGAACCTTGCAACCTCCGATTTGATCAGACGAGAGCATTGGTCGAACTCATGCTTTGCGTCCAAAGCCCGCCTCTCGGCCTGCGTCCGTTCATGAGATGTGTGTTGAAAAAAGACGATACGGTCGACTTTCCTCAGCGACAAGACTGACGGTATGTCCTACCCTATCTGTAGGTAGGCGCCCTTGCGCCTTTGCTCTATCATGCATCTGCCTTGCGCGACGAACTTCTGCATCCGCATTTTGACAATTCGTGTATGTTCGTATGCGAGAGTTGAATGCCATCTTTCATTGGCGTAAGTTTACTGTCGCATTTTACTGAAGTAGAATGCTTACTCGGACGGAGCCGATGAGCCTCGAGTACTCGTCAGCTGCAACGTCTTAAGTCTCTTCCTCCGTCTCCACTATACCAAACGTACCTGTGCTCATTAAAGTAATTACATCTTGCTGTGATTGTGTGTTTTGGGCTTCTGCCACTACGTGTTCCACGTCGGCTAAAGCGGCAAGGGACCGCTTTAGCTGCGGTCCTAGCTCGGACGTAGATAGTTCAGAAACTGTGGCGGCAAACTCTTTCGTAGCGGCAGATAGCTCTGTTTACATCTCATCAGGTGTGCGGTGATCTTTAGATGGAAGAACACAAACCCGCTCGCTGCTTTGCTACAATGTCAATCGACTTCACGAGGCCCCGCAACTGAGACTCAAGGCCGTCCAAATACGCCCGTTGTTTATCAAACCACTGAGAGTCACACCATCAAACACAGCTAAGACATGATCCCATAACATCCACGCACCTCGTCAGTTTCGTGGAAACGGGGTCCAGTCAACGTTTGACCTATGGATGCCATAAGTCCACCCCGTTCGTGAGTCGACTCCGCTTTTTTGTGCTTGACCTACAATCCCGTCCTTCAATGAATACCAAAAGGAATGGTGCAAAAGAGACCAGACCAACATCTAAAGCGAACGTATCGCTCTCCAGGAAGAATTTCAAATCCGAATCCTTCGCAAGGACAGGATGGTTGGCTATTTTTTGGATGCACTTCTCTAAAGCCAGTCGGCGTTGCTGGACGAACTGCGCGTCAAATCGACCGAAGGTGTGCTTCTCCGGTACGGGCGGAACGATGACGCCGGGGTTATTCAGCGAGAGTGTTTCATAGAGCCAGAGGAAGTCGGAGTATCTGCGAAGAACGGAGAACGAAGATTTGGAATATAATGGAGAGGACGTCTGCAAAGATTTCAGCGCATGAATCGGAAAGGTGAGATGAACGCACCCGAGTGTGTACAGTATACATTATAAACTGCCGAATGGGATCACCCACTTTCTGTGGGTCATCGACAGAAATCACAAACAACGGTGGAATAGAACCATCACTGCGCGTCACAGGAGCTGTAGTCATAGTCATGGCAGATGGCTGATCGAAGTCAATATATTGGAACAATCGACACGGAAGTACGAACCTGCATCGAACCAGCTCGTTCTGCGCTCCTACTTCTGAACTTCGCTGTCTGGCCAATCGGCGTGTCGTCGTCGTCATCATCATCATCAGCCCCAGTAGCAGCTGCAGCGGCGAAAGAGGGTGTTGTCAATGCAGATGTGTGACCGTTGGCTTCCCAGGCAGAGTGCCAACGAGGCTCGTCGAGATGCTCGGGTGCAGAGAACGCTTGGTGGAGACTGGGAGACCGAGGCCGGTCTAATGATGTTTCTGGAGCACGCTCGGATGCCGGGGATGGCTCTTGAGAAACAGATAGCTCACTCTTAGATGAAAGCATCGGCGATGTTGTAGCAGGGGTGTCCTCCGTCCACATCTCAGTGTTAGCATGTTTCCTAGACGGAGATTGGCGTTCAGGCTCGGCGTGTCCGAGCGCTTTGGCGTCGTTACCTGCGGTAGGTACGAACGTTCCGAATCCTGGTGTACGAGAGGGTACATCTGACTCTGAGTTTACATGAGTCGAGCCTGTTGCTCGTTCGTCTTCATTGTCGTCGGCTGTCTGTGCTGCTGCATCAAGGGGATCAACAGCAGCTTGCGTGCTCTGCTCAACTCCGTTGAAATGCGAGTCGTTAGTGGGTGTAGCGCTCCGCTCCTCTTCGAAACCCGACTTGAAGTAATCAATTTGGGTATGTGCCGGTTGTAAATCCTGCTGGGCTTGCGCATAGCTTGCCCAAGGATCAGGCGAGCTCGAACGCGGTTGAGCAAACGGATTAGCAAACGGATTGTCTTCGAGTACGTTGCGTGAAGACTGAGCAAGCAAGTCGTCGAACCCGTCCATGACGTCGCAGAGAGATGGCGCAGATGGCCGAAGCGCGGATGGAAGGGCTCACTTCACGCGGTCCGGGCGGACCGCAACTGCTAATGAGCGTGAACGCGTACATGATAGTCTCGCAGCTAAGCAAGTAAACGTGGTGGCCAATGTACATAGATGTGCACCATCACTAAATCTGTCTCTGAACCAAAAGTCCTACTCGAGCGGCATCCCTTCCACTGCGTTCCCCAAGGATACCCAGTTAGCGAGTACCCGGTCTGCAAACGACTGTTCTTCACGAGCGAAGGTCTGCGTGAGCTTGGACAGTAAAACATTCTCCCGATTATGCAGTACGACGCGTAATTCGTGCCACATACTTCACGAAAACGTCAATAATTCTGGCCCGCATTATAGGCAGAAGGTCATGCCTACCATGCACGGATGAAAACACGTCGGTTCAAAAGTGAAGCAATTGTTGCTTGATCCTTCTCGATAAGTACGACGACTCGGTCAGCGTCTTCTTGCCAACCGTCTTTCTGCGCCGCTTTGATACTCTCCAACTTCGTCGAGTTCGAGTCTATCCGCTTCTTCAGTCGCTCGACGTTGTCGACTGCGAGTCGTTCATGTCTAGCAAATAGATCACGCATCGCGACATACAGGTCGCGTTGGCTCTGCAGAAGTCAACGTCAAACATCTTCGAGTATTAGACAGCTAACTCTACCTTCAGGGACTCCAGGGTGGAGTACAATAACATGTTTGTCTACCGGTATCTGAGATACTAGCACCCTAGTAAGCGGAGTCATTACACTTACCCGCTCCTCCAGTAGATCCGAATGGTGTTGAGTATGTGTAGCAACATGTCCGATGCCTTGTCGTACGCCATCACATAGGTCGCACTCGTCACCTCTCCAACATCTCTCGTTTACTTCTGCAATCGCTCGTAAAACGTTAGCCAAGCGCGTCATATCAGCCTGGTCACCAAGTAGGTTAACATTCGCAGGGGTCATCCGCATCGAGAATACAGAGTCCGAAAGTAAGGAAACCGTCGACGAAGTGTGTCCGCGTCCATCCGGATGTCCAGCAGGCGCACCGACGTCCAACAGCGAGATAGGCGAGAAGAGAGGGAGGGCAAAATGAGCCGGCAAATAGGTACGCCAAAGGCCTGAAGGGACCCGTACCGCAGCTGCTTCGTGTCTCTTTATCATTCGCTCGGCTAGTATGCATATTCTTTGCCACTGCTCAATCAGAGGGCTGAGTTTTCCGCGAACCACACTGTAACATGTTGTTAAGTAGAGAACGGAATTGGGTGTGCTTAAGAACCACTTACGCCAACTTTTCCTCCAGATCACTAGGAATCGACATCTCTTCAATTGGGTCAACCCTCTTACTGGCCGACTCCTCCTCTAACGAGATTGAAGTTTGCTTTCGCCATGACTCCAATGATGGCTCTGACAGGAAAATTGCGAGAAGTCCATCCTCCTTAATAACTGGATGATTCCTGAGCGGAATAACTTATACCCAATCAAAACCCCAAAAACCATGCTTACATGACGGCATTCAAAAACCTTGCAAGGCCTTTCCTGTGGTGGTAGAGTGTGTAAGGATAGCCAGCTTTGTTGTAACCCACCAACGCACCTTCGCTGCTCCAAGAACGCAGCATCAGCTAGATATTTAGCTGTGTGAGAAAAAACCGTAGGAGCTGACGGTACAGTAACTCACGTTGGACGCGCTTTGGGGGAAGTGTGGGTAGGAGACGGAAGGGGTACCTTCGTACTAAGCAGTCCCACAGAAACACAAATTCTGAGTAGCGACGATGAACAGGTGCTGCTGCGCGCTGTAAAACGATGGATAAACAAAACTTTAAACAGTAGAAGGTCGCAAACTCGCACGTCAGTCTTAATCTCGTAGACAGTATATCGGTTAAGTATGAACCCTTGTTGGCCTAGGATGTTCACTTCGGCTGTGTCTTGCTTGTTCCACCAATCCCTGGGCAAACCGCTTCCAGAAAAAGTGGACGTCAAGCCATTAGTCAAGGGAGTTATCGGTTGACTAGAGTCATAGGTTCCTTGGCTGGGATACCTGGGTACGTTCCAAGGGTCTTCGGGGGCAAAGGCAGGGAGGCGGATGGTAGCCATAGTACTCTGTCTGTAATGCATGTAAGGTGATGAAGAACTTGATTGCAAGGTATCAATATCCAATGCGGGAATCGGTAGGTCGTTTTCCGCTGCTAAAGCAGCGACTTGCTCGATGCTGATGTCTACGTTAAAGGTGTTGATGGATTGCACGCTTACACGAGTGAAGGAATCCTCACCTTTACCCATCTGTGCTAGAGCCACTAGGGCTAGGGCTACATGGAACTCGAGGCTGGATACTCTTGGTTTTGAACTAACCAGGTTAACGATCTGGGTGCACCGTGTCAATGCCAAGGAGTGCATGTGGACCCGGAACAGTTACCCTGTCAATAGTAGCGGCTGGAAGGGAGGAGATTGCAAGGACTCTGGACAGCGCATTAACCGAGACCTCTCCGGTGTTGGTTACATCAACCGCAGCGAAAGCCCTGTGGTACAATTCTGGAATTGTCGCGTCCGCTGGGAATGGTCTACTGAGTACTGAACAACGAGGTAACAACCCGGCTGGTTACCTATAACTGAACTGAATGCGGAATTCATGTTGCGTGTAGGCGGAGGTGTGGACGAAGGGATTGAACTCCACGGGTCGTCATAAATTGAGATGGCGAGAGGGTCTTCGTCGACAAAACTGCCACTCAGACCGTTGACGGGGGTTGGCCCGTACCGTTGAGCTGCCCGTGGTGCATTAAACATCTTGACGGGTGCTTTTACAGTGTGTCGGTGGTCCCTCAAGTTGTCGGACGCGGGGAGTCGTTCTTACCCTGAGGCGCTCATAGCATGGACACATACGACCGCGTGGTCCGAACTTCTACGGTTCCACTACAGTGGCTGCATGTAGAAATCTTGCACTTATGTAGCTCTCTCATATGTAGGTCTTTCTGGGCGCTCTGAAGATATCCAGCTATTTACACCACACGATACATAAAATAAGTCCACGCTGCATAAGGCACGATCACGTATTCTTGGCAGCGAAGTGTAGCGTCCACGAGGACAAAAGACGTTTCGAATTCACTGCATCACCATCGAGGCTGCGCCGAATGAGTATTAATTACCGGACCAGTGGGGAACGAGAGAACTTACCCAGGTGTCCCGAAAGTAAGGGGGGCCATGAAGACGAACACCGCAAACATGATAACCGCGAATACGCCCACGACTACAGGTCCCTTGGCCCCCAAGTCCGCAAATTCAGAGGGTCGCATGTGAGTTCTTCGTCCAGCGACAGATATAGGGAAGTTAATAGTGTCTGAGAGAATAAAGTTCAGTACTGAGCCGGCCAGTAGTGCTGATGCAAGGTGGGAAGGTAGATAATGGTGAATGAAGAGCTGGCGGCTCATGAGGAAGAATGGTAGATAGTGGACTGCCCAAATGAGCAAGAAGAATCCAGCCGAATTCCACAAACGGTTGCGTATGTCTGCAGGAAATTTTACTTCACATAATTCCAGGGAGAGGTCACAAAAGACGTACGCTCAGGGATGGCCTCTATGTCTCGCCTCCGAGCTACAACATCAGCACCGATGATGCCAACATAAATGGCAATAAAGATGACACATATTGCCCATCCAACAGCATTGCCAATCAGATAGATTTGCTTTTGGGTGTCGTTTTCAGTCCAAAAGCTGATGCCGCTAATAAGGAAGGGCCAGTTGATAGGGCTGCTGGCATAGGGATGGGAGGCGGTGAGACCAGCATTGTGTTGAAGCATGAGAAGTTGCAATTCTCCGAATTTTCGGAAGAAGCCAAGTTTCTTCGGCTCATTAGGGGTGTTAATTTCGGCAAGATCGATGTTGTTACCTGCTGCACTTAGCATATAATTCTCCAACGGAGGTGTGGGGGACTCACCATCAGTAGAAACGATTTCATCAACATACCAAGTTGCAGATTTTTCCACGGCGTTTTTGTTTCCGTTAATTTCCTGCTGCTTGAAAGCCCATTCAGGGAGCTGCTTGGTGTGTGTCCACATGGACACTTTGGTGGGAACGTGAATGAGCCTAAAGTGTCCTGACTTGCTCTTCCAGGCATCACCAGCATTACCGTCGATCAGATCGAGGTAGAATAAAGTATCGTTGTGGCGAGAGTGATCATCTTTTGGCCACGTAGTGAACTCCTGGTTTGTGGGCATCAAAGGTGACGCAACGTCATGTGTGAGCAATAGTGTCTGTGTGTTCATGTGCAGCAGTTGGATGGTGTCTTCATGCTGAACAACACGACCGCGACCAGCTTCAGGGAGTGCCTTTGTAGGGATGATCTGCCAGTGGTTGTTGGCGTCTTCGTAACCATAACCGGTAACCTGTTGACCTGTGCACAACTGCCGTCAGGTCAGAGCACATGCCAGAAGCGAGGCACTCACCTTGGCTACTGATACGCCCGTCGTCATACTGCAAGGGATATCTATCCGGGTGGGAGTGCAAGAAGACTTTGGTGTCTCTGTGCTTCAAGGTGATCACGTCGTAATAGTGAAGCTCTGTAAGTGTCATGTCAGGCTACGATCAAGGATCATCTCTCGGCGCATCATACCTTGACTGTGCATCAGCAACTCGTTGCCTATGAGAGTCTCCTGGAACGCAGGGCTCATGAAACTATCGCCTGGGCCAGAATGGGTGAGGACGGCGAAGTGAACGTAAAAGAATGAGAGGTAGATAATGAAAGGGACCACAATTAAACCCAGAGCACGGGCGAGGAAGTGCTTCCAGAAATGTTCCTGGTAAGGACAGGTTAGTCAGAAAGGCCATCAAGTAAGGGCTTTGAACATACCAAGGTGTGGCCCTTCTTTATGTCCAAAATGTCCCATAAGTCTATTAAAACAGCGACTCCAATCGTGAGTACCGTCAGGATGCCATTTACTTTCGAACCCCAGGCGCAAGCCATGAAAAAGCCGGTGGCAATCAACCAACTCCACCACTCCACGGAAAACTCCCTACTGACGGTGAACAACGTAGCGGGGGAGGGGTATCGAAGACGCACCAGTAGCGTAGCTTGCGGAACCTGATGTATGAGTAGATCGTTAAAGACATGAAGAAGATGAGCGTGGCGTCCAGGAGGATGAGGCGCGACTGCGCGACGTGTGCGTTGTCTGACAACGGTCAGTGGTCCTTAAGCGTGCAAGGCTATCACGACTCACCAAAGAGAACTATACATGCCGAGAAGGCTGCGATAATGGTGGAATGGCCGGTCTCCTTCATGATTGCGTAGATAATAGGAATAGTAAGGCTACCGAGGATAGCGGGTAGAGCCCGCATGCCAACATACGGGACGTGGTTTTCCGTGTAGCTGTCACCGATGTTGTCGAAGGTAAAATGGCCATCGAACCCAACAAACCATCCAGCCAGTCCAAAAAGTAGTTTTGCGAATGGTGGGTGGACGTCGAAGTAGTACTGGCGGAGAATATAGTACGAGGCAAATTTGCCAAAATGCACTTCATCGAAGCTAGAAGTATTGTGGGGTGAGCGCGTTTTCCCTTCGGTACGGTGTTGACCTTACACCACTTGGTCAGGGTGATTGATTTTGTAGAATCGTAGCGCAAAGGCAAGCGCGGTAAGGACGCCAACGACAGCAACACTTGCTTTTGGGGTGTCTAACGCTTGCTCAAACGCGCTCCGAGCTGTCTGTAAATGGTCGAGGATTACGACAGTTACTGAGCGCATATACCAGATCGACGTACTGGTCGTTGGTACACTGCGTGGACATGGTCCTCGTCATCCTGGTCGTAGCTGTCTGAGCGTGGAGTGCTAAATGGCTTTCGGTTGCGTATTTTGCCTGGGCTCGCCATGGCGGCCGACTATTAGTGTTGGAGTTCAGTGAAGGGACATGTTTTGCCCGCGACGGTTGTTGTGTTGCTGCGGTCACGTGATTCGAACACGTTGCACAGTAGACCCTGGCATTTACTAGGGGCTACGTACACTAAGGTATGTCCACTGTCTCTGTTCTTAGGAATTCCCTGTTCTCCGTCAGCACGAAGGACATCATGATCCGATCGTGCTTAGGCCTTCCATTTGTCCTGTCACCTCGGACTACCTTACTCCGCCGCTACGAACTTATGGTAATCGGGAGGAAGTGTGACGGGTATTAGAAGATCATCAGGAGTTTCGAGCAGGCCGTGCGGGATGGCTACACGTGGTTGTGGATCGATGCGTGTTGCATTGACAAGCGAAGCAGCGCTGATCCATCGGAAGCCGTTAACACCATGTTACGGTGGTATCAAAATTCGCAGAAGTGCTATGCATACCTCAACGATGTTGACAAGTCAACCTCTCCTACAGAACGAAACGACAGCAAGTTTGGCAAGTCCAATGGTTATCCAGGGTGGTTCGAGCGAGGCCTAGACCCTCCAGGAACTCATTGCTCCGAAGAAGATCGAGTTCTTCAATGAGAACTGGGTGTCAATCGGGAGCAAAGCGAGTCTGGCTGACATGCTGCGGAAGGTCACGCATATACCCCGCGAAGTCTTGCTAATTGCCCCGACTGCACAGCACTCCTGCATCGCACAAATCATGTCTTGAGCTGCTGACCGGAAGATGACGCGGGTGGAAGATCGAGCATATTTTTGGAGTGAACATGCCAGTGTTGTACGAGGAGGGGCAGAAAGCATTCCAGCGGCTACAGCTGGAGATTATCCGAGCATCTAGCGACCACACTTTATTTGCATGGGATCACTACAGGGTGTAGCTAAGACAAAGCAATATATGAAAAGAAAATGGTTTTTGATATCGAAAGCCGATGCAGGGTCAGTAGTGTGGGTGGTTGGAGACGTGGGGCTTATTGTTCTTCTGTTGGCTTGCTAGTCTTACGCGTGCGTTGTGTTGTGACGTTTTGCTGGTCGCGAAGAACTATTATGACATCCTTAACCTGGCTGAATGTAAGCGGGATGCCAACAGATCACTATCAGCTCTGGACACGCGGACACGTAATCTGCATGCATTCAATGCACCTATGGGCTACATATACAATTCCGATCACACTGAGATATATGAATCCAAGAAAAATATCTTCCTAACCCTACCCACAAGTCCCAGAGGGTATTTAATCAAGAATCTGAACTTTGATGGCTCCCTGTGCGGGATCAGCAGCGACATGGAAAGCCTCCACGGCCTCTTCAAGCTTGAAACGATGGGTGACTAAAGGCTTGACATTAATAAGACCTCCAGCTACTAGCCTAATGGCCTTTGGGTACTGAAAAACGGCGTCAACTATCACTAGAAGCGTATGGACGGTCCACAATTGTCCACTTGGGCCTACCTGATTAGCATATCGGTACTGGAAGCTGACATCAATCTCGTTCGCGGAGAGATGCATAAAGGGAAACTGTAAAGGACGCTTAAACAGGTTACACGGGGCGCTGGTCGATAGGCTTACCATTTGTTGGTCCTTTCCAACCCCTATGATGAATACCTTACCACCGAATTGCATGGACTGCAAGGCATGTCATTCAGCATTGCTACAGCACTCGAGGAGTACACTGACATAGATGGCAGTGTGGATACTGCTTTCGATGCCGGTGCATTCTACGGCAAATTTCAACGGTCCTTCAGCAGCTACCTTGATCTTTTCCGCAGACTCCTTCGGGGTCGACCCACGCTCGATGAGGACTGTGCGTACGCCAGGCACCAACTTCCTCGCAAAGTCAAGGCGACTCTGGACGATGTCAGTTATGACAATCGGTTCCGCTCCTGCCGCTCGCGCAGAGAGAAGGGATACCAGTCCAATGGGTCCCGCGCCACTACGAGGAAGTGAGAAGGGGGGACAGTGCAGAGTGTCGACGAGGCATACCAGACGAGAGTGGGATCTCCGAGACGCAAACCACATCGGTCGATTCCGGCCAGGGCTACCGCCAAGGGCTCGCACAGAGCACCTTCTTCAAAGGATACCGAGTCGGGAAGACGATGTAGCCACTCTGCAGGGTGCAAGTGCCACCTGGTAAGGGTTCCTGTAAACGAAATGTCTGGGGAAACGAGCCCCGTCAAGTAACCTAAGTACGCACCATGGAAGGGGGGAGTGGAAAAGAATACGACATCTAGGCCTGCTAATATGTTACGTTGTCTGCTTCTGCTTCAGCAGAGTCACTCACATGCGTTATATCTTCCAACGCGACAATAGTCACAAGACGGTTTCGAGCAGGGCACCCCCGCCTCGATAGCAACGCGGTCACCTAAGAAATTTGATGATTCACAGTGCTCAGATGTCATGGAGTCTCATCGTACTGACCTACTTTCCAGGTGGTCACACCCTCACCTACCTCGACAACTTCCCCAGCTGATTCGTGACCAGATCCGCACTAACATACAACAACCAGTGTTACCAGTTATGCCCGCCCGGAGTGGAGGATAGTACTACTCACTTCGTCTGTGACGATCATTGAGTCCCCAATACGACCTTCCTTCCAGAAGTGCACGTCGCTCCTGAGTGGTAACGATGTGGCACCTCATCGATGAGCATTGATCGATAAGAAGAAGTGGGAGGAACATACGCACCCACAAATTCCCGTCGCACGAACATGAACCAAAACTTGTCCAGGACCAGGCTTTGGTCGTGGCTTTTCGACCAGATGAATCTCATGATTAGGGTTATAGAACGCGGCGATATTGGCATCGCACGGTGGCTTCTCGCTTGGGCCTAGGATTCGGAAAGAAGGGTCATCAAGGACCTTGCGGGGACTGTAAGTGTCTGCGAAACCACCGTCTGGCATGATATCGACGTGAGGAGATCTTGGGGTAGATAGCGCACGCGGGTATTAAGCATGCCAGCCCACGCGGGGTATGATCCGGGGATTCTGAGACCCACGTAATAGGGGCACAAGTATCCATTTCAGGACGCGGAAGCAAGGTCCTAGTTTGAGGACCAGATGTTATGCTCTCCCGTGTGATGTATGTATGTAGGTTTACAGAAGAATTACAAACCCCGTGCCTATGGTATCGAAACTAGGTATCAGTCTACGAAAGCAACTAGTCCTGCAAAAAAAAGAACTCAAAACAATAGCTACGAAGCGGGTTCCTGTCCCGTCTTCAGGTGAACCGTTTGAACGTGAATCTGGTGAGCAAAATTGATAAACGACGGCTGTAAATTGACTTTTACGCGAGGACTCACCCCAAAAACGCGAGGTCCTTGTCAGAACCAACTTGCTCGACGGCCTCCAACTGCTCAGGTAAGTTGTTCAACTCGTCCGTAGGGAAGTATGTAGTATCCGTGACGGACGACAGAGCAGGGACAAAAGGTGGTGCTATATAGCGCAGGTTGTCCCAGTCGGCTCCATAAAAGAAGGGATGGTTCTTGATCTCATTCACTCCCAGTCGCTGCGGGGCCCATGTCATCATGCTAGTGCTGTCAGATTCATGATAAAAGAAATACCCAAGACTTTTCTCACCTTCGTATGAGGTGTTCTGCCTCTTGACTGAGATGTACTTCCTCGGGAAAATACAGATAGTGTGGCCAGTCTATGATCTTCTTGTATGTGTCGCTCGGATTCTCTGAGCAGAACGGCGCGTAACCGACCAAGCACTCGAACATTATTGCACCTAATGACCACCAATCACATTCCTTTCCATATCCTTTCAGCATGAACACTTCTGGTGCAATGTAATCCGGTGTGCCTTGGAGGAAGATAAGACGGAAGTATGCGAGCGTGGTTGCGCTACGTACCGACCGTGGAATAAGCCTTGGGAGAGCGAACCGCTTAATGAAGTGCAATGAAAGTCGCAACCCAACTCACCAGTTTTCGGCGGTTTGCTTTCCAGGTTGCAATTTGCTCTCGACTCATTGTCAGATGGATGGCATTGACTTGTACACTGTTGCGTGCAGAATCCTTCTGCTTGTCCTGATCCAAGAGTCGTTTGTAGTAATCTGCATCTGTTTTCTTGTGAAGGCCGGTGGAGAGGCCAAAGTCAGACAACTTTAGATGGCCATTCTTGTCGATCAATATGTTATCAGGTTTAATGTCACTGGAATAGCCGTCGGCGATAGTGTAAAGCGGATAACGGACGATGTCACCCACCGATGGATGTAGCCTAGATCATGAACAGCTTGAATGGCAAGTATGCACTCCGCCATGTAGAAACGGGTAACATCTTCCGAGAAAACATCATACTTCATAAGCATGGTCATAAGGTCACCACCAGGAAGAAACTCCATGATGAGATATAAGTAGAGGGGATCTTGGAAAGAGTAGAACAATTGAACCACCCAAGGCGACGTGGATTCTGCAAGGAGATCACGTTCGGCGCGTATATGCGCAAGCTGAGAGCTCCAAGTCAGTGGCATGAAAGCGCTAGCATAAACTGAGCCCGAACCTGGTCCCGCTTCAACATCTCGGCTTTCTGTAGGGTCTTCATGGCATAAACTTTACCCGTGTCCATCTTCTGAACCAGTCGCACCTAGTAAGGTCATCAGCACATGGACGACGCGCACACAGCGTTCGCCCTACTTCTCCAAATGCGCCTTTTCCAATTACTTTCACGGTGCGGAAATCAGAGAGTCGGATCTTGGTTCTCCGGAGACGCAGATGTTGGGATTCGAGTCTCCGATACTTGCGTATCTCCCGGTCCTTGGCCTCATTGGGGATAATACCCTGATTTATCTTTTGTTCCAACTCAACACGCCTGTAGTAAGTGTATGCGTGAGTTTACATGACACACGCTGGTGCAAGGGATGCATCCATCATACCGCGAATTCCTTTCGATTGCTGCATCCACAGCGAGCTTGTAGTAAGACTCGAGCTTCAGCTTGGCAGCTGTCGCGCGGGATACCGCATCAGACGAGAACCCTTCGGAGCTTCGCTCAAAGTACACGTAGTCGTCTCCTCTGCCAGCCTTGCTGCCGCTGCTCGGGGCAGGCGATACTGAGCGCTCCCGAACAGATGGCTCGGCGAGGGTTGCATCAGAGAGCGTTTCCAGTGAGTGTAGCTCGCTCATGGTTGAAGGATCTTGAAGGACGTCGTGGTTGAGGGCCAAGAGGCAAGTTCAACTTAATAATTACTTTTAAAAAATCATGGGACCAACGTAAAACAACCTCCGGTTCGGCCTCGCCGAACAGGTAAATAAAACAGGACTCTACACGCGGTGCATTTCTAGGCCTGCTTTCCTGGCAGCGCCACCGGCTTCGAGACGGGACCAAACACAAGGTTCAAAACTAGTCGTGATGGATGATCTGTGTCGATCAAAGGCGGATGTCCGGTCGGACAGTTAGAAGGCTTGTTGCAACCCAGCCCCGTCGCATACTACGCAGATTTGAACCTTCTGAGCTGGCGTAGTATGTACTAGTAGTAATAGAACCCCGACTTGGTCTGGAACGGACGTCTGTATTTGGATCGCAAGCCGCTGCCAAACAAACGCCTCTGACAACACGCTCGTTCCAGCAACATGACAGAGCTCACTCTCGAATCATTGATCGACGATGGAAATTACCTGGGCTCCGAGCGAGCTAGGTTGGAGAACAAGGCAATCCTGGATGAGCTGGAGCGCAAGAAAAAGGCTCGTAGCATGGCCGTCCCAACGGACGACAACCGCGTCAAAGCAAGGTTGCGTGAACTCGGCGAACCAATAACACTGTTCGGTGAACGAGTGCGTTGGGATTTTATCGATCGTTTTCTGTTGTATATCCGACATGCGTGTTTGTTTCCATAGCAAGCTGACCGTAGGGATCGTCTAATATATGTCCTCTCTCAAATCACTGCTGCTCGGGGTGATGACGTGCAAATGGAAGAGGAGTCGGAGGAGGAGAGTGCAGACGAGGTGAGTGAAGCTCAGTCCGTCTAACTTCCTTTATGCCGATCGTCCCTCCAGGAAGAGTTCTACACACCTGGATCGTTGGAGCTCCTCGAAGCACGGAGGCACTTAGCAGAGTATTCCCTGCCCAGGTTGGATTCTACCTAACGATAGGTGATACTAGTAAGGTGCTTACAACGTCTACCCTTTTACCTGTTGCAGAGCTCAAAAGCGGATCGCCCAACAGCAAATAGATAGTAAACTACCCCTTGGTCGTATCATCGACATGCGCAAAAAAATCTTTGCGGAGGTTAAGGTATGGCACACTTCGAAACGCTCTGTCCTTCTACTTTGATTTGATTTGATTTGGTTAGCGATTTAGCAACCTTGGATCCCAGATAGGCGATGAACGTCCAATATCGCAAGTACGATTTTCGCCAAATAGCAAGTTTCTTGCTACAGGGAGTTGGTCCGGCACTGTGAAGGTTTGGAACGTCCCAGCATGCACGACTTCGCGGGTTCTGCGCGGTATGTTTGTAATATCCTGTGTTTGGTTCTGGAGCGACGGGTATCCCCACAGGCCATGGTGATCGCGTAGGAGGGGTTGCATGGCACCCACAGGCGACCTTGACCCAAGGCGAAGGGCTAGTAAACTTGGTGTCAGGAGCAGGGGACAAGTGTGTCAACCTGTGGTCACTAAACAGGTAAGCATGGCGACATCTCCGGGACGTGCACTACCAATCTTTATGCTCTCAAAGCGACGCCCCTTTGTCAGTTTTGAAAGGACATGCAGATCGTGTTTGCAGAGTTGCGTTTCATCCGTCCGGGAAATTATGTCGCCTCGGCATCCTTTGATACTACCTGGCGACTTTGGGATGTGGCAACCTCGACAGAATTGCTTCTACAAGAGGGCCATTCGAAAGAAGTGTACTCTGTCGAATTCCAAGACGATGGTTCTCTGGTTGCATCTGGGTGAGGTTACTTCAGTATCTGTGGTTCCCCCACTGATTCCATGTTGCTTAGGGGGCTCGACGCAATTGGGAGAGTGTGGGATCTGCGGACCGGACGGACCGCCATGGTGCTCGATGGTCACGTGCAAGCCATATTTGGTATATCTTTCTCGCCCAACGGGTAAGACTTACGGCTTCTCCTCTGAACGTTCCGCTGATAACGTTCGGGAAACCCGCAGTTACCAAATTGCGACCGGCGCTGGTGACGACACCATCCGAATATGGGACATCCGTTTTCTAAAAGTGCTCTATACGATCCCCGCCCACGTCTCCAACGTTTCCGACGTTCGTTTCTTCCGTGGTGACGATCTGCCTCCCATGAGCACAGTTCGTGGAAATGGAGATGCAACCATGAATGGCATGGACGAGGACGCTGACGCTGACACGAGTAACGACAAAAAGCAAGAGCAAACATCAGACGAGTGGAGATACCGATCGGGGCTCTATTTTGCGAGCGCTGGCTACGATGGTTTTGTAAAGATATGGAGCACGGACGACTGGCAATTACTGCGCACGCTTACGACAGACTCGGGCAAAGTTATGTCTGTCGACCTTTCCAAAGACGGGCGCTTGCTTGCCTCTGGTACCTACAATCGCAATTTCCAGCTGTTCGCTCCAGAGGAAGTTACTGTTTGAGATGTTGTCTAATAATTATGGCAAGTTGGCATTGAGTATAGTACATTGGGAGAGTGAAACAAGTAGTATGTGGAAGATGAATCGATGACCAACGGCCTCCATACATAAAAATTATATAACACCGTCCCTGACCTATGTGCCAAATTTTAGCGGGGGGATTGAGTTAAAAACTATATTGGTTCAGGGTTGATTGAATTGAAGAGCGCACCTTCTGCATAAATCCGGACACCCGAACAATATCCACGACTTGCGCCTCGCTCTCCATTGCAACTACGAGGTTTTCCAGCATCTGAACAAACAAGACCCGCGTATAAATAAATGGATAGGCTCTCGGCGACTACCGCCAAACCACTCACATCCTCCACCTTTTCGATCGGAATCCCTGTGCAAAGTGCCACGATTCTCTTGCATTGATATTCCTTCTCTGCGCTTGCGCCTTGTAATGACTTCAATCTCTCTTCCATCAGCTCTTCCATTCTTACATGCCAAGTCTTCAGCCGTCGCAACCGTATCAAGCTTGCTACAGAGTCAGTCGCCGGAATTGGAGGCTCCATCTCCACGCTGAATGGGATGTCCATCGACCCCGCTGCGCCCGCCATCGTCGAGTTGGTGCCTCGCCACTGAAACGCGGAGCCGCCGGTCTCCCGCCCATCCCTACCGGTGAGATCTGTCCGACCTGTCCAGTCGAAGTTATCTTCCTCGGCAGCAGCTTTTTCAAGATTCCGAATTCGTTGGTGGACTTGGTCAAGCTCCGCACACCGACTCTGCCACATTTGTATCTGCCTGCGTTGTTCCGAGAGCTCCCGTGTGGCCGCGCGGAGATGCGCCTGCGTGAGATCGAGCGAATCCTGTTTCGCTTTAATCTCGCTGGAGAACTCAGCGCTCAGGCCTTGGATCATTGTTGTGATCTCTATAGGAAAGGCAAGTAGGAAACATTAAGGAGGAAGAGAGAGGTAGATGATTTACCAGTGATGATATCCTGGCTCTTCTGAACCGGTGCTAATGGACCTGGTCGCAATGAGGATAGCAAATCCTCGGCACGTGGGCCCCCACTCAACTCCTTTGAGACGTGCAAGTTAAATGGCAGTGTTGTTATACCAGATGTGATACATACCTCCACCTCTACTCCGAAGTCGCCTGGCCGAAGACCGAGTTTGTTCGGCAACAATCGATTTGCGCCAACGTCTAGAAGTGTTTTAACTAAGCTCCTGTTACCCACCCGTGCAGCGATGTTCAAAGCAGTGTCGCCATGTTCATCTTGCAAATCGACAATGGACTTGAAGTCGCCCCCCTGGTGTTGTGCTATCCACATAAATACCTGGTCCAAATAATACTTTGCGCAGACTAGCACGACCTTGAATACCTGCAAGGTACATGATGTGATGTAGAACGGTCTTTTTGGATGTGTCGATGGTACGGATGGAATGATGCAGCGACGCAACGATAGAGTGGAAGTTTTGCCGATCGAAATTGTGAGTATCAATTGATGCACGCATGAGAGGGGTCTCTCCAGCAAAGTTACCGCGATGTACGTCAGCACCAGCAGTGACGAGCTGGCTTACAACATTTTGTCGAGACATGCTAGCAGCCAAGTGCAGTGCCGTATGGCCTTTATCGTCGAGGACGGTATCCACTTGAACAGGATGTGAAGGATCTGGTGTAAGTTCGTGTAGAAGTTGGAGTACAGGTGCTGGGTCGTCTTCGCGACAAACAGCGGCAATGACCTGTGCGTGACGGGGGTCGCGCAGCATGGAAGGATCCCGGAGCGGCGGTGGTTTAGTGGAGAAACGGAGAGCATGGCTTTCGTTGTCCGCGCCGTTTAACATCTTTCCATTTGTCGATATCGCTACGCTTGGGGCACGCGAAGAGCCGTTTTGGCTTTGCAACTTCGGCGAAGATACGTTCATGCTGGAAATGTGGCGCGTGAGGGATTGGGTGATTGACTGAGAGCTACTTGTTAGCGGTTGTGATTGGGAAGCATCGTGCCGGGGTGGTGAGGTTTCTCTGCGAGCCCGCTTGTTGGGTGACGGTCCGTCATCTTCCAGGGACTGGGAAGCGTGGGGGGACTGCTGCGACCTATCGACCATTTGGATGTCTGCAGGGGCCTCTAGCAGCGGATGAGAGGACCTTTGCGGAACGGACGAACGCGACCCGGTTTGAGCAGCAGCAATTACCTCCGAGTCGGACCGCGCTCGTTTGAGAGCTTGCTGAGTCGAAGGTACTGATGACACAGCGGGTGGCTGAACGTAGTTATACTGGTATGAAGATGGCGGATATACGGTGGACTTGGAGGAAACCTCGGCGGAAGTAGATGGAGTAAAAAGGCCTTGAGCACGTCCCTGGGCCAGGAGCCGCAGTGCGGATCCGGGCATGATGGGAGGTGGAGGAAGACTAGACTGTGAGTAAGTCTGAGAGGTGCCGATCCCAGAGAAAGAAGACGATGACGAGATAGGTCTTTGAGGGGGGGCATTGTTCGTGGCAGGAAGGGATCCGAGGGAATTGGTAGTAGGAGTAAAGTCAAACAGCGGTGCGAGGAGAGGGGCAACGCCGAATTGGGCTGCGATCTCTCGGCCACGGTCAAGTGGGATCCTAAGGAACGAAGGGTGAGTGTTGGGTAACCGCGGATTGGTATGTCATGGAGACGCACCAAGTGCCCTGGTATTTGCCGTAGCCGCCCTGGACGATTTCATGCTTACCGGGGAGAACCTCCTTCTCCAGGATCTTTGTGCGCCTGCCCTTTTCGATGCCGGCGACCTTGAGTATTTGAGTGGCATTGACATATGAGTCGCCGCGTCTTCGCATTACGGCGATACCGCGAACCATACATTCATACACCTGTGGGTCGAGTGACGCGACCGTGTCGGTTAGACGACAAGGGTGGTACCAGTGGATGTCTACCTGCACGGATGAATACACGGCGTTGTATATCTTGACTGGGGGCATCTGCCCCGGGTTTCTCTGTGGCCCCTGCATGGCAGCGGTCGTCGTCGTCGTCAGCGTCTCCGCGCGAGAACGCGACTCTGGCCGACGCGTGCTGGTCGGAGTTTGAATCAAAGTGAGATGTCATAGCAGCGCATGTCCGCCAACAGACTCCCCCCGACGAGACGCTGAACTGGCACTCGGGGTGTTCACGCGTGCTTCATGTCTGAATCTCAGCGCGAAAGGCAGCCACTGCTGTCCTCGCAATCCCAGGACAGGGTTGCAGTGTGGCCAATCATACATATGATCAGAGGCGTAAGCGCTTTCTATTCCAGCATGCTGTGTACTACCGGTTCACCGGTTTTGTAGGATGTCATAGTGAGCGCTCTGAGGGTTATCTTTACGGTGTGATTCACTAATGCGCCAACTCACGATAGCATTACATTGGTCAGTCTGGTCCTCTTCCAGAAGCCTTTATAGGGTCCATGAGCTTTTTTTGCAGACACGCCATTGAGCTTCGAAGCAGGTGAGTTAGCCGCTGTGGCGCGCCCGGTGTATCTCACCAGTGGAAATCAGTTGACAGCCCCTGACTTGACTTATACGCTCGTGCGTCCCCTTGAGGAAAAATACAACGCTATACAACAGGCAGGCAACAAATCCGTGGTGTTCTGCTTTCTTCTCAACAGGACTTACTTCATCCGAGATCAAAACGTTGCTACTGGACCCCTTTCTTGCACTCGTGCGGACCTCTGCGAACTACTTGCTATTCGATTGTTGCGTGACAACGGAAATTCTATTCTTGATCTTGCCATCGCCCTTACAACGTGTTGGCCCGTATGGACAGGCGCTGACCCTCACATCGTCCAGACTGCCAAGGGAAGAACGAGATGGAGACCTTGAGGAGCGTATAGGCAATGCCCTGGAAATGGCCATCATCAGCAGAGCGAGGCGCTTCATCAAGGTTCCTCCTTGCCAAAAAGTAATAGATGAAATTTGGATGTATGTCGCCACCACCAATACACTTTCTGCTCTAACAGCAACCTTCAGCGGAAGATGCGTATACCAGGCCGAGAGCAGCCACTCCATTCTGTCAGACGTAAGGATCCGGCGGCGCATATCGCTCATTTTCAGTTTGTGACGCCCTCCGACAGCGCTACAAGCGTACTCCTATCCATTTCTATGATCCCCACAAGGCCCCGCTCTTAGATCATTATCGGTAGGCAACATCCAGCCTCCAGAACCGGAAGTTGTTTTACATCACTCTCAAACAGCCTTAAAGTGCCTGCTATTCGTTCCGTCTTGGATTATATAAAGTAAATATTTCCATCTCTTTCGCCGTCAGTACTCTCCTGAGGGATGTCAGTTTCCTTATCCTTTTCATACTCTTCGTTGTCGCTATTGAGACGAATGTGCCGCATCGGATCAATGCTCCGGAGCTCGCCTTCATGGTATGTGGACTCGGATTTACCCTCGAGAAGCTCGCTGCGATGCAAGAGCATGGTATCAAAGGTAAGCAATGTCTTATCTTTTTCATGCTCGACCTTTCACACCACGTCTTTTCAGTGTATTCCAAGGGCACTTGGGTTAGTACATTGATACTCCGTGCGGCGAATGTGTATCACGTCCATCTCTTTGTAGAATGGCTTCGATATAGCCTTTGGTCAGTGCATCTTGCCATATGTCTGTCTAAACCTACTCAAGTCGGCTACCACAGTCACGACATACTCGATCTATGCATTCTTCCGAATATATGGCGTCGCGTACCATAGTGGGTATCGTACCCTCGTACCATCAGAAGTTATGCTGAGCTTTAAGATCAGAGCATTGGGCACGAGGTCTAGGTACTGATTTCCTCGCTGTGATCGCATGTTTACTATTCCCTCGGTCAGTATTCATTGTCTATGACTTGGTGCACCTCATACCATCATTGCACAGACTCGCTTTCGTCACTCTTCAGAACAACCTCATGGTTCTGTCCCTTCGTGCCATGATGATGCAATTTGTGGCCCTCATGTTGATCGCCGCATTTTGCTTCTGTGGATTCCTCTATGCCTTATGGACGTACGTATCACCAATTTATCGTTCATTGGTATATTCCTCACTGTAGCAGCTTGAGTCGTAAGGGAGCAGGGTTGGTCTCTTCCCGTCATATATTTTAATGAAAGTCATGCTGATCCGGGACCGCCTTCGCAGCTACTCTGCAGGGTGATTTTCATGTTGCTCTTGTTTATCCTAGTGCATACTCATTTTTGCACGACAGTACTATCGCATGGTGGATGCTCGACCTCTGGTTTGGCCTGGACGCGAGCGGTTTTGACAGAGCATGTAGGTGCACTATCATATGCAACTCCTTCCACGCCTGAACCTACCACAGTTGAGTTCGATGTTGTGTTCGGTCCTATCCTCATGATCACGTATGCTTGCCTGAGTAACACACTCCTACTGACTGGTTTGTATCCTTCCCATTACTTCCCATTACTATTTGACTGATTTAATGTAGTGCTTGTTTCTGTAAGTGTTGACAGGCCTTCATTTAGCTATTGCCTCCCAGTAACTTTTATCTCCACCTAGATATTGTCCAACACCTTTGCAAGGATCAATGAAGATGCAGCGGCCGAGGTTCGCTTGGTAACTCCCGTACACGTGTCTCGTTTCTAACGATGTCCCAGGCTATGTTCAGGAGAGCGGTGTCGGTACTTGAGGGGTAATACTTCTGGACTGTTGCTTATAAAATTGCTCATTTGTTCCCATCAGTGTCAAAGCAGATTCCTTGTTCTCGTATCAGCCGCCGATTAACATTTTCGCGCTATGTATTCTGTTTCCAGCAAGTTACGTTTTGTCGGCCAGATGGTTCCACAAGGTTCACCATATATCATCTCCCACTCGTCTCGCGCGCTAATGTAGCGGTGACAGGTAAACGTGTTCTTGATAAGGTGAGTGAAACCGGAACCTGGTAGTTCAGGTCATAAACCATGCGCAGGGTGACGAACTTTCCGATCCTACTTTCGATCGCTTGGTACGAAAGTGAGTCGTGTGAGTTCTCCGACTGGATTGAACTCATACCCTTCTGAAGGACAACGGAAGTTATCTAACTCACACGGGTTTTATGATACCGTATCAGCGGCCACAGAAGCGCTGTACGATAAGCTTCCCCGTCCATTGAAACGGTTGTGTGAGCGGTCTCGTTCAACTAGTCAACTGAAGTACGCTCATCAAAACCTTCACTTTTCAGCTCTCTTTGAAGGACTGGCTGGTGCTGACGCAGACATCGATATCGTATGGTCTATCGTGCACTTATTGGGTTTCAGAAATTAATGAAATCTGCAGATTTTCGAGGTTGTGGAGGATTCTGAGGAGGCAGTAGACACTGAAAACTACGCGGATCGGCCACTTTCTCAGGCTGCTCTTCAGCGTCGAATATCGCGCAAATCGGACAGTCGTCCATCTAGAAGTCCCCTGCGACCTTCACATTCACGGAAAGAACGCACAGAAAGTCGTCGTACGTCTTCGCCGTCTACCAACCAAGCCTCGGTGCCTCCAAGGCCAAACGACCCCGCTCGACATGCTTCAACTCCGATGGCATTGCGTCGGAGACTGAATTCCATGTTCAATAGGACCGATACCTTGCAGAGTCCCCTGGCCCAGGTCTTCCAGCCCGTTGTTGTCGATGACGAGATACCGGAGGAACTTCCTTCTGACAAAGGAACATCGCTGCAGCCACCTTCTGGTAATGGCCACATAGTTAGCTATGGACCAGCCAGCCGACGCCGCCTGACATCGATGCACCTCGCTTCCAAGCGAGGGTCCGATTCAACTGCGCAGGCGTCAGGTACTTCACGGAGGCCAGCATTTCCAGCAATTGATACTCGGCCTGAGATTCTGGTGACAGCGCCCCTCTCTGCATCTCCAGACCGACAACCTGAGACTGCGGAGGAGGTGGAAGAGAGTATGGGGAGCAGTGGCGGGTTAATAGAATTGTCCCAAAAGATCAGAGATATGGAGGACAGGCAGAAGCGCATCGAAAATATACTTATCCAACTCTCAGAGAGGCTGCAGAACTAATAGGAGTGGGGAGGACTATGCTGGTGCAACCTCACACTTCTTGATGAGCAACTACTGTACACAGATCTTTGCTTCACATTCCCAAAGAAAAGCCGCGTAACTAAGTAACTAGCTGGACTTAAAATACAAAGTGTAACGGAAGGGATGATATGAAAAACGATAATTTAAATGCGCCACAAGTCTCGAGAATAAGATCTCACCACCGTCGCGAACCCTGTTGTGGACCAGTATCTGGTCTGCCCCCGTCATCTTGACCTCGACCACGGCCCCAACCGGAATCCACTGGTCGATATGACGGCGGACCACTACCTCTACCCCATCCTCTGCCTCTACCCCGCCCCCTTCCGCCTTGCCAACCTCCCCGATCACCTCTGTCATATCCCGGCCCTCGGCGGAAATCGCGGTCGTCGTTGAGGTGGTCATAGTGACCATGATTGGGGACACCTCGACCAGATGGACCACTGGGGGGTTGACGTATCGGGGAAGGGATCGAGTGTTGTGACGCTGGCTGAGAGCCAAACTGTGACACCGAAACTGGATTAGGGGAGAAGGGTGGAAAGTTCAGCATCCCGCCATTCCATTGTGGTGGCGCTGCAGCACCTGGCTGCAGGATGCGAGGCTGCTGTGGCGTAGTACTTGTGTTTCCAAGAGCTGATGCAACCCCCATGGGAAGACTGGACATGCTAGACACACCATTGCTGGACGGTAGAGCTTGTAATATTGCCTGTATCTGTTCGGGAGAAAGAGCCGCAACTTCAGCGGCGAGTGCCGGGTTTGCAAGCTGGGGATAAGCCTGCATCGCTGGGAGCAATGGCGATATAGGGCCCGCATGCGAGTGGGGCTGAGGCTGCGGCGGAATGGAAGCACCAGCACCCGGAACATTAAATGAAGTAGACACAGGAGGTAAAGAAGACACGACAGGGGGCGGCGGTAGAGCAGGTAAAGCGGTGAGTTTTCCTTTCACAAGAATCCAAATTCCAACGATGATGTCGGAAGTGCGCACTTTCGGCAAGCGCAAGTCATCCAACAGCTCCATATAGTCAGGTAGTGGTGCATTTGCCCGGAGCGGAACCAGGTAAAGCTCCTTGCCTGGGTGATGGTCCTTGGGGCTTTGGCCCCATGGGAACACTAGTCCATGGCGACTAAGAAAAAGTGGTTGTAAGCAACCGTACAACGTAGCAAGAAGGAACAGGTGCACGTACTTCTTCTTCAGTAAGAAATCAATAAATGTCTGGAGCTTCGCGTCAGCCGGCTCTGGCAAGAATGCGCACGCTATAAGCTCTTTCTGCGGATTCAGCCTCATTTGCAAGAGGAATTGAGCTGCTACATCTGTTTGTACTCGTCCTTCGATGCGGAGGGTGTCAGAAACAAATAGTGTCTTCCAAAGTATAGAAGTTGCGTCTAAATTCCTGCCACCCACTTGACGGGCAGTGACATGCGCTTCCTCTGCGACAGGAGAATCTAGGGGTAAGGCAATCTGAGACGAGTCAGTGATACCTGCATTGAGAACACTGGTGGGCGTCTGACCTTTCCGTGCCATACCGTGGGCATGGCCTTCAATGGAGCCTCGGGATCCTCCACGGCCTTAACCTCAGGTTCTTGCTCCTTCTCGAGGAACATGTCAAAGTCTTGATCAGTTGCTTCTTGATGGGAAGTGTCAGTACTCATGGGCTGATCTTTGGGTTCCAGCACGGGTGCCTCCTCTGGTTTCTGTGGTACTGATTCCTCCTTGGGGGCTGACCACAGCGCGTTCAAATCAAAGGTAGTCTTTACAGGAGTTTCCGGTTTTAGTGATTTGTTCTGCGTCTCTGCGACACTATCGTGAGCTGTAGGGGAGGAAATGTCCGATAGCTCCAAAGGCGAAGGGTCGGGTTGAGCAGACGGAACAGGTTCATCCGACGTCACCGGTCCCTCTAGTGCTGCGGTAGGTTGAAGATCGGTCGCACCCTCCCGAGGTGAAGGCTCTTCGTCATGAAAATGAATGAGGTCAGCTATGTCAAGCTCCGGTTCTGAAAGTTGCATTTGGTAGGGGTGTGCAAATAGGGAGTGAGCGGCTGGTCTCTCGCCACCTCCAACTGTTGGCGAGAAAGAATCAGAGGATACCACCTGCGAAGTGGCTGAAGGTGGGTCACCCCACGCTGGACCATGGCTCGTAATTGGCGATTCAGGCGGAACCGACCCATGAGATATGGCGTTGGTCTGCTGCTTCTGATGCTGCTCTGCCGCACGGTGTCTTGCTTGACGTTCTCTCTCACGCCGTTCTTCTTCTTCCCTCTCGCGCTCTTTTTCACGTTCGCGCACAAGAACCGTGGCTTCGCCGTTGACATCCTCAATATCCTGAAGACCTTTGTGCGTAATTTTTGCGCGGGGAACAGTCGTCTTTTGCAAAATGGAATGCTCCAGTGCCTCTTGCTCGGCCATCTTTATCGATTGCTTCGTCTCTTCGTTAGCCAGATCAGTGGAGGACATAAATGCTAGCTCCTTTGCTGATATAGAAGAGAAGCATATGCGCTTATGAATGGCGACACGATCTGCCTGGCTCAGGTTGAAGGTAAGCATACGGAACCGCTCCCTACAACAGTCGATCAATAACACGGGTAAACACGCGAAGTAGATACGAGTTCGCTTACTTATACTTAGGGCCCACGCCCAGCTTCCCGTGTTTGTCTGGTTCGGCATAAATATCGAATATAGACTGTTCGAGCTCAGAGGCGAACGTCTTCGCTTCATTCTCCAGACGTTGCTTGCCTGTTTCATCGAGGTCTTCAGGTTTCAATTCGATCTTGTTGCCAGAACCATCTGGCGAATCTGCGGAAGGATATCTCAGGAACACCGGTAAGAACATTTCTTGCAATTTCCCCAGGCAATATTTCCTGGCCACATCTTCCTCAGCGGAGGCGGCGCCATCCGATGACTTCCTGCGCTTGGCCGCCGGTGTTTGCGATGCAGCAGTTGACTTCCGTTTCAACTGGCTGCTAGACGCGGGTGACATTTTCCTCTCGGATGATCCGTGCGACGGGTTACCGCCCTTTCGCGACGATTGCCAACCATCCTGTATATCGCCAGGCTGTTCGTCCGAGTCTGATGATTCCGGGTACTTTCGTGCGCGGCGCTAATAGATCGCGGACATCATGATCAACTCAGGTAAATATGGGGTATATGTGGCGGCACACCTTGGAGAAACTCTTTCCTTTGGCTTTTTCCGGCTCTGCTACATATTCGTCCTCGCTATCTGCTTCTTCTTCGGACTCGGATGGCAACAAGGCCGGCGGCGGTGTAGACACGAACCGATCAGAGTTTTCCTCGTTGCGTCCACGATTGGACGCATCTTGGTGGCCATCTATGCTCTCCCATTGCACTGTAGCGATAGTAGTCAGTAAACGTTGCACCACGTAAAACTAGACACCATAGACAGAAACAGGGCGGCTCTGCGACTTGATATCGCCGACATAGCCTGCGTTACGTTTTACACGACTACCATCCCTACAAACGCTCATACAGACGCCTACCCTGCACTTCAGACAGGTGGGTGTATCAAAGCTACCGGCTCATACCAGACCAAGTGATCATTCGACTCAACGGACAGAGCTGACGCCAATAACGTAAAGCCTTAGCCTTGCGGTGACGCACAGCCATGTGGCTTGCCCGACGCACGAACACGACCACGGCGTTATGACAGCAACCATCGTACGAGCTAGTCACGGATGGTCTGGAAAGAGCGCGAACAAGGTGCCTCTCACGAGTAGGGAAGTGCTTGCAAGGGGTACAAAACTCATATCATCGAAGTACATTGTGTAACGCAGGAGAGTCGAGCATGACGTAGAATGGGCGGAACATAAGCCTTTGACACTCACTTATACTGCGTCGACCGGTCTTGGTATGGCAAGTAGGGCAAACGTAAACCTCTGGGAAAAAAAGAAGATAAACATCCGGATGAGAAGACGTGGCGGAAGACGGTAAATCGATACTTACCAAGTTCTGATGCGTCCTCCAAACCAAGGTTGACACACCGGAAATGGTACCTAAATCGTAGGCAGATAGATTGGACGAGGCGCTTGGAAGCGCAGGCAAGAATACATACCATTCATTGCATAGCGAGCAGCAGACCATTGGAGATCCATCGTCGGGTTGATCGCAGAGACAGTATTTGGTTGCTGTATCATCGTGTGCAGTTTTCATGAAAGGTTTGGGTGTTTTGCCCCTGGCAGGCCTGATCTTATTTTCCTTCTCGCCGTCACTCCCATGGTCGTCAGTCTTGGACATTTTTTCACGATGTCGAGTGGATTTAATGGTGGAAGCGTTCTTTCCAACGGCCATGGAGCCGTCCTTGGCAGCCAGACTCGATTTTCTTCTTGAGCGGGACGCCATCAGTTTGGTCGAGTGGATCGTGAGTCGAAGTCAGCACAAGTTCAAACTCCGACGCGTCCCGCGGTGGCGCAAAAACAGCCGATGGTGACGTAGAAAATTTATGACATCGACAACTGTCAAATCTTTGGAATTGTTTGGACGACGAGCAGCATGGAGGACTTTCAGCTTGTAGACCACCAACACAAACTATCGTTACAATATCGTCAAATAGGCGCCAAATTTCGGCGTCTTCTGGAGGTGTCAAGTCTGATGCCGGCTCGGCAGCTATTTTGAGACCATATCTCGACGGAATTTGTGGTGAATTATTCCACCAAATTTGGCTATCTACCAATTTGGCAGCAGAATATTGAGACTTAGTAAGGCGTGGGAATAATAATATAAACATTTGTCCGACAGCACCCGATACTCCTATCTGTACTACGAATCACAAGACCCTTGAGTGTGGAGCATTTTCGTTCTCAAGCTCATTGCCGCCTTCACTTCTGCACCTTCGGTTGCACGAATGATTCTTCTTCAGAGGACCCTATAGGCACATACCGTTACCCGTCTGTGATTAAGTATAGCCTCACCGCATTCGCGCTTTCCCAAGAAGAGACTTCTTCCCGGTTTGAAACAACCGTTTGCGTGTAGCACGGCTTTGGTAGCACAAGCTGCACTATCGTTACCGGTCGAAGGATAGCTGGTTTGAACTCGCGATAGGGGGATACTCCTAAGAGTGCGTCATCACTCTTGGCACTCTGCCGGCGGCGTACGGATCGAGACAGTCGTCGATGGGGGCGTGGTGACTTATGGACATTCGCTTTAACCGGTTAAACCCGCGCGGGTGCCACATTTTAAACTCGAACCCTGTGTGGATATGTGAATTCTCCGCTAATGTAGTATCAACTGTCGACTGACAGTGGATCGATTCGGTGCTGGCAGATGGCTCTGTGACAGTGTGTGGTTTGTGATCGGAGCGGGTTGTACTGTCCGTCGAATCGGAAAGCTTCGTTTTCCCCGGTTTTCCGTAGATGTCCATTTGTTCCGGTGGTGTATCGCCGGAGTGACCATCCATCTGTTTCCCCCACCACATAATGACCCCAGCTGCATCTGAGTAGTCCACCCTTGTGGCCATCTCAAGCTGCCATTCTTCCCCGCTCATTCAGACTTAAACTTGCCTTCGTTCTCCCCCGGACACCCGAGTTTACCTCGTGGTTGGTGCTTTCTCTCGCTTACTAGGACACGTTGTCTGCAAGCGTATCCCTGTGCCAGTGGGCGCTCAGGGAACTAACTATTCATGGGAATAGGTCCCCATTGAGTTCGTTCCCGCTCTGGAGAACCTCGTGCTCAAAGTTGTTTTCCACCGTCGGTACTGACTGGACTCTTTGTGTCCTCTATCTAGATTATACCCCGCAGCGGCTATCATCTTAACTTCCTGCCAGTTGCAACGACCGGAGGATTCTTTGGCTTACAAGTTCGGGGTGAGATTCATTTTACTTTATTAACGTTCCCCGCTCTTCTCCCGTCACGGCCTTGCCCCGGCTGTGTTCATTCCGTGCTCAAATAAAGGAGCCTTTTACGACAGACCACTGATAGCATTGCGGCGTCTATATCTCAGGTGGCGATCCTTACTATCATACACGTTCACTCCACCTTGCCGACAGCACGACTACACCCTCGTTCAGTTCCAAGCACAAAGGGCTCCTCGTCGTTCTCGACTTTGTCTCCGTGTTGTAAAACTCCGGCTATACATGCGGACCGCGCATGCCAGGTGTTGCGCTACCAGATACTTCCAAATCACAGATATTCAACCCCTTCCATATGGCCTCGCTGCAGCGCAGCAATGACAAATCGACGGCAAACTCCACCACCTCGTCTTCTCTTGTTCAGTCGTCTAATGCTTTTGATACTTCAGATTCAGCCGCGCAGCCTTCCTCATCGACGACGTTCAAGCGATTGCGATCCTCATTTGGGCATGGCTTTAGAACAGCGACGCGTTCCAGAGCCAAGGCCCCACCCGTCGCTGATGGCGAATTCGGAACTATTACGGTGAAAGGCGAGGCAGGGGATCCGGCACGTCATGGTGAGACCAGCAGTGTTGGCCAGGGCGAGGACAAGGGGACCTCGAACATGCTTAGAAGGCTGGAAACGAAGGTGGGCGTTCGATTTGCAAGGCGGGACTCGACTACGGCCCCTTCAAACCCGATCGCACCTGTTGGTGATCCGAGCAAGGATAACAGGGAGCATGTTGACAATGCGGACAGAGCAAGCACTCGCGTGGCTGGATGGAGGAACTTCATGACCCCCACCCTGCAACAGGCCTCTGCATCTTCACCTGCTTTGCACCTCTCCCTGCAGGCTCCGCCATTTACAACCTCTAGACCGGCGGTAATGCCCTCTTCCTCGTCACCGAGTGCTAGGTCGTTCTCACCTTCGCGCGATCGGCCCCGCCGGGCGAGTGCGCAACCAACACCTCAGGAAATCGGTGCACCGCAGCCCCTAGCACCCCGTCGGCCACTCAGGAACAGCTCCCGTTCACCAGAGCGCGGTAATACGGTCTCTCCATTGCCACGAGCGAACAGACATAGACCATCCCCTATTTCACCGCCTGGTCCTCGGTCTTCATTAGACACCCAAAGCAGGAACCGTGACTTACCAACTCCTCCTGAGTCCCCCAGCCCTCCACCTGGAGTGCGGGGAGGAGTTGGGAAGTGGACCCGGCTGCCAGCGTCGGCAAATGCGAGCCAAGCTTCCCTGAGCAGTCAGCCAACATCCCCGGGGTGCTCGTACACAGCCAACCAGACTCATGCTAGGACGCCCACTAAGCGGATAGTAACGCCAACCTCTGTCCGTGGTTCTGCTTCTCCTTCTTCAAGTAATATTCCGTCAGACAGTAGCGGCCCTCCAAGTTCCCCAACGCCACTGCCCAGAAGACCTTCAATCAATTCATCCGGGCGACCGTCGTTTGAGACGGCACGTCGACCATCCGCTGAAATACCCCGAAGAGGTTCGACTGATACCCAGCGGCGGCCCACAGCGTCACCTACTCCCCGCACTGCCTCGCCCTCTGGCACAGCGCGATCGCGGGGGACTTCCCCTTCTCAGCGTTCCTCTATCTGTGGTCACGGTCGTAATCTGAATATGTCATCGATTTCCCTTATTTCACCATCCACTCCAGAGCAACGTGAGCTTATTCGTCTTGCTATGTCGGTGCTTTGTAAAGAGTTGCGCAAGCCTCCGCCTCATCTGTCACGTGCTGACCGTCAAAGAGAGTGGGCGGAGGTAGAGGTCCGCATGCAACCCTTGATCAGGATGGAACGAGTCTGGGGGAAGAGCAGCCGCATAGCTAGCGCAAGTGCAAGCCAGGTAACATTTACGGGTTTGAGCTCTGCGAGTGTGGTCAGTAATGCCGGAGAGGAAAGGGAGAGGAAGCTATTTTGTGACGCGCTCAGAGACGGCGTCATCCTCTGCCAGTGAGTTTCGTCGACGCTTCGTGTGGAACGCAGCTTATGTTTTACATGAGGTTGATGAACAAGCACCGACCTAACATGATTCCTCGCGTTGACCCGAGAGAGGATGGCTTCAAGCGCCTGACCAACATTACGAAATTCCTCGCCGCGTGTCCATCTCAGGGCGTGCCTTCTGATGATCTGTTTTACCGGGACGACCTCATCGAAGCTACACCGGAAGCTCTGTGTCGCGTGGCGCGCACCATCATTGCACTCCTGAAGCTATTCGAGACGCCCACAATTGGCGAATCCAAAGTTATAACTGGACAGAAGAAAACGGATGGTACAGCCACCGGTACCGGTAGTGGACCCTCTTTCTCGCTCACATCCCAATCCAATGCAGCACCTTCTGTGCCTAACTCGTTACCGCAGCAATCAGTATCTCCGGTTACCTCACACCCAGGACCGGGCTGGAAATCTGGACGTCCCCCTGAGTCGTATCTTCACCCGACGAGGCCAGACAGTCCCCATTCCGGGACATCCAGTGGCACAGCACGTCACGTCACGTTGGAAAGCAGACACGCACCCTCCACCACGAACAGCTGGAGTGGTGACCTGACTAGAGGCGGACAGACCCCACCGCCTCCTAAACTACCTCCACGTACTCAATACCATTCGAAGCATGATGACGACAGCGATGGCAGTCTGCTTTCGAGCATCAAGCCACTCGAATTCCCAAGACGTGAACCTCTCTCTCAGTGTTCTAGTCCTACAGGAGATACCGGATGTGATGTTCCTATCAGACAATCAAGAACGTCGAGCAATATCACAGAGAACACCGCATACTCAAGTATATTTGACCTAAGGCGCAACAGCAACGCGCAAAATAAGTTCGGCACTGTTAGGACTGTCACTACGGAAGCCACCTCGTTGGGTTCAGAGGTCCCATCGTTCACACGAACGGAGGCAAGTTCCCTTGCTGCCTCGCTGGCGGAGGAGATGGGGAGGAGACGTAGCACCAGCACGGAGGGTACCAGAATTTCCGATCGGAAGCCTAGTGAACCTGTTGTTCCGGATCTTGTCAGCCTTACGGAGGAAGAGGAGAACAGCGCCTGTGGGTCAAGTTCACGCGACACTCACCGAGACAAAGCCAGAGAGCCTCAGACTAATAAGGACGTTGTTCGGCTCGGCAAAGGCAAGTGGCCTGACGACTTCATTGACGCCTTTCGACCAGCGGTTCCCTCCCGACAAATCCCTACCCGTGCTACCGTTGATGTCGCAGATTCAAGTCCGCGGTGCTCCGCCCCTCTCTCCGTCTCACCGAGTCGAAAGCTTTCTATCATCGCCCCACCAAAGCCAATCGATGGTTCTGATGCTCTCTCTCGCCGGCCGAGCCACCGTGCCAGGCAAAGTGTAGATACGCCCATTTTGATACCCAAGGAATCAATTTTACGCATCGACGCTGCACCAGATAGTCCATCTGCTAGTGGATCCAGAATAGTCCTACGTCGCCAAAGCACGCGGACGGCGGCTTTACTAAGAAACGAGCCACCATACGCATCACGCTTCAATCACAGCGACGTCGAGAGGGAAGGCAGTTCGTCTGTCATCCCGTTTCCGAGAGCGGTGTCTGGCGACCACAGCGTCAGTGCATCCCCGACGCCTGATGTCTCTATCAAGCGCGACAGATCAACGAGCCAAGATGTTTCACGAAGGCGCAGCAGGCCAACATCATACGATGAATTAGGTAGATCTCGTCGTTCGAGGTGCGGAAACAGCATTTGTCATTGGATATCTGGTTAATCATCCACCCTAGTGAAATGCTGATGAGGGATTCGATGGATGGAAGTGGGATACGGTTGGCGATCACCGTCATGGAAGCAGGCAAGCAGCCCGTTCAATATGTGAGCTCAGTGCAGGCGTCCACGCAACATTTTTCACTCATCGCCACCCCAGCAACTAGGCAACTGCATTGGTCGTGGCCAGTTCGGTACCGTGTACCGAGCTTTGAACATGTCAACCGGTCAGATGGTAGCTGTTAAGCGGATACGACTCGAAGGCTTGAAAGAGGACGAAGTCACACAACTCATGGAAGAAGTAGACCTCATGAAAAGTCTGTCCCATCCCAGTATTGTCAAGTACGAAGGGATGGCACGCGACAATGACACCTTGAACATAGTTCTTGAGTAAGTCTTCTGGCGTCGTTGACACACCTTTAGCTCACTGTGTGGAGGTACGCGGAGAGCGGGTCTCTTGGTCAAACCCTCAGGGCATTTGGGAATCTCAACGAGCGCCTCGTTGCCAGTTACGTTGTCAAGATATTGGAAGGCCTGCACTACCTGCACAAATGCCAAGTAGTTCACTGTGATCTGAAAGCTGCGAATATCCTCACCACTAAGACTGGCAATGTCAAACTGTCGGACTTCGGAGTTTCCCTCAACCTAAAGGCCGTGCAGCGAGAAATGAACAATGTGGCAGGCACACCAAATTGGATGGCACCAGAGGTCATCGAGCTGAAGGGTGCTTCGACCAAATCGGACATTTGGTCTTTGGGATGTACTGTTATTGAGCTGCTAACAGGGCGACCCCCTTACGGGGATATCACGAACAGCATGACAGGTGTGCATTTTCATCTGCATCTTGCAGCATGTAGCGTGCGGTAGCTCACAACAACCGACCAGTGATGTTCCGAATTGTCGAGGACGATATGCCACCCCTTCCCGAAAACTGCTCAGTTGCCCTGCAAGATTTCCTTCAGCAGTGTTTCAATAAAGACCCCAAGCTGCGCCCTGATGCTGAGACTCTGTGTGAACATCAGTGGTTGACTTCGAGTTGGGACGCACTTAAGGTATACGCATGCTGTTTTCTTGCCTGGCAGCAAGTACTAACGAAGGTCGCAGGAACTTCGCCCTCAAGACAGTATACCCTTCCTTCGCCGAGTCAGCACCGACCTACAAAAGACAGATGCTGCCAAGCTGCTGGCCCAGATTGGTTCACCGATTGTCGAAAGGCTGGTCTCCGAAATTCCCGCTCGGGAAGAGTCCCCGAATCCATCCTCGAAGAGACGCCCATCACTTAAGCCAATATCCCCTCTTCCAGAGGATACTTGCTTCAACCCCCGAGATCACTCGTTCGTGAAGACGACCTTTGGAAAGCGTGAGTATAGAGTAGTTTTCCACCTGTCGGTTTTTTGGTGACGCCCCTGTGAAAGCCATGCTTTGTAGAGTCTGCCTAGGAAGTGTGAAAAAGAGCGGCGTTATATGTGACCAGTGTAACCTCATTGCCCATTCGAGTTGTTCACAAGGGGCTCCACCTACCTGCGACTTCCGTTCGCAACTTCTGCAGTACGCACAATACGCGGAAATGAATGTCCCCTCCCCGGTTGCAAATGCAGTGGGAACCAGTTATGGAGCCCCAGTCGCTATGCCACCTCCCCGACCAAGTGCTGACCTGTCATCCACCTCTCCGAACACTGGACCGCCAGTACCGATTAAGTCCGCAGCAGCACCGGGGTTAAAATTTGTGGGAGGCTTTGGACAGTCGCGTTCATCTCTTTCGGTTGCCCCGCCTTCTTCGTCTTCGCCTGTAGCCACTCCACATGGTCAAACCGAGGAAAAAATGCCCCGGAGGATCTCCTCGAAGCTGTCACGAAATGTCACCTCCTATGACCGACCACATTCGTTGTCAAGTAACAGTACAACGACAAAGAGTTTAAGAACGGCAGACAGTCGTTCCAGTCGACAGGATAGAAAGAGCCCCAGCTCTGTTGCACAGCTGAGCGCGACTACCTCCTCGCAGGGTACGGTTTCCGATGACGATTCGGAAAATTCGTGTTCTGACGTCATTGCGGTCTCATCTACTGCAGAGCGAGGGGGTTCACGTAACTTACCCGCTGTTGTACCCCCAGAATCGGAACCCCAAAAAACGCGAGGCGATAAATCGTCTGGTTGCATGATTCAATGAGCCTATCACACTCCACTCACCCATGTTGTTCGTTTCCCTTAATTCTTTGACTGATCCCATTATTTCCTACATCAACTACTTAGGGTATACCCGTGCCGTGTATTTTTTGCGTTGTATATGAAGCGTAACCAAATTCTGTAGAGGACATGTCACTGTACCATAGAGTCATCTGGTAGTATCAATACGTAACTTTAGGTGCGCAGTAACTCTCACTCCACAGGCAATAATGTTCCGTCTGCTCAGTGCTCACTACTGTATGTGCGTTGATTTGGAATGCACTGTCTTCACCTTTGCATATTGCATCGAAGTAGGAGTGTACTTGCAAGGCTAATAGTAGTAGTGGCTGTCACAGGGGTGGGAGTAGCATTCTATATACGCGAGCGCGGGCTCGGCTGCCCGTGGAGTCCGCCTCGTTCCGATCAGTAGCCAGTAAGAATTGTGGACTACGATCAAACGTTGACACTACAATCTACAGAGGTACGGTCAGCCGGTGACAAGTGTCTGATTCTTTTCAATGGCACAGGTTTACTCATTCGCTTGGCATGGCTGGAGTCCTGCCAGGCATTGTTCTCATGCTAGGGCTAGTAGACAAAGATAGTCCCATGCGGTTCCACAGGTGATCTTGCGCTCACGTCAAACTCGGGGTGGTTTTGCACCCACCAACAATAGTAGGTCCCTCCCGAGTCAGCTCCGACCACGTGTACTATTTTTGTGCACTTATAAAAGGGATTCTTGGTAAACTCTTCACAGCAAGATTCCACATCCCTAACATGCGCCTTTCACTCCTGGGCTCGCTCGCACTCGTCGCTGTTGCAGCAACTGCTGCGCCCATTCAGACTAACGCTGAGAGGCTGGCTCGCGGCTTGCCACCTTTGCCACCAGCCAATGTCGCTCGTGGTGTGGATATTAGAGGCAAGCCCTCGCCCGGTAAGCTATCACTCATCATCTAGTAGGACAGATGAAATGACACTCACACCCGCAGTCGCGAAGAGAGGCCCTCATCCTTCATCTCCCCCTGCCTTCCGTAGAGATGATTAATCCACAAGTTCCTCGCGTGCCGTATGGCCATCTGGAACAATCCACATGCTCTCTCACACCCTAGACATTATCATCCATCTTTCCTTGTTTAAGACTTTTCTTGATGAACAGCTTTGTTACGTTGATTCAGAAGACGATCATATTGTGCGGCTACCGCCCCGAAATATGTTACCAGTTACATCGCGCACCGTCGATTGATATCTATACCTTCCTTTGTTGATGGGCTCCTTCCTTCAGAAATCATAGACATTTTGGATAATTGTTTACGATGATAAGAACTATGGACGCATTATTTTTATGATCTTGAGATGAAGTACCCAATTGGCCTACACGGATTCTACGGCAGAAGGGCGTATCATTCATTTTTCTAGAAAGTAATACATGAGGTTCCGAATAAGCCAGATGATAAGACTTTGTCTGCTAGGAATGTGATGCGAGACGCTGGAAGGATTGTCTTCCGCCGAGTCTTTGGTCTGCCTGGGGGAGACGACCAAGGTCAACATAGACGCCACACACTTCATCCAGCGGACAACCGTTACCTGCTGTTGCAGGCCCATCGTCCCACCCATAGATAGAAGAGCACGGCGTAACATACCTAGTGAGGGGTAAGATTGATTACACCCAACGGAATAAAATCACTCCGGAAGTGGAATGCCAACACCAATACGGCCAAAACGGAGCCGCCCAAATACTCAAGATGTCATTGCCAGGGACCAGGGGCGCGATCAACGCTCTAGAATTTACACAGCAGTACTTTACCCTGAGGCAGAAAGGGGTCATATGAACAGGAGCCAGTCGTATCCTCCAAGCCGGCCATGAGGACCCCTCCCCCCAGCGTAGTGACAAGCGCGACGAGAATTATTATCGATGAAAAGCCACAGCCAAGAGTAACCCATTGTCGGTCAGGACATCGTCACTTTATGTTTTGCCCAGAGAATTGCGATCATTGGAAAATACCAGATGTATTGACATGGCTGCGATAAGTAACGAATAGCCACGAGTTGCAAGGAGCCCATGGCTGCACGATCGATAAGAGTCCCTGGAAAATACTAGGAAATACAGTGTCAGTAAACGAAGCTTTTAACTCGCATCCAAACATCTGCCGGTCGGCGTGCTCCCTTATTTCTTTGAAGCCTCCAACGGAACACCAGAGATGACCTGGGGTATTCATGATTCATAAGTCGAACCTCGAACAGGCAGGCAGTTTCACGCACCTCCGTTAATCCACTCTTCCTTGCAAGATAGGCAGCGGCAGTATCGCCCCATACCTGATAGCGGTAAACCTTGTTTTCGTGGTTGAAGTCCAAGACGTAGGCAAAGGTCTCATCCCAGCTCTCATTTGTTTCCTTCCAAGTGAACGTAGCTTGACCTGTCACTGAGACCTTCCGAACTTCCGTGTCAACGAAATAGTCCCCAAAGGACATGTTTTCATAAGTGAGGCATGAGGAAACCAGCGAAAAGTAGTTGTGGACTCCCTCCAGTCCACGAAACGTTCTCCCGACAAAGGGCGCAACCGCACCCACGCCGTGCTCCAGTGCGATACACTCTCCTGTAGTTGAAAAGTGGGACAGGAGGGTGCCTATGCTCTCTTTCTGCGCAAAATCGTCGCAGAGGGCTTTCGCGACATCCAGTAGCTGCTGTCTGACCGATGACATCAGTGTTGCTAGCTAACGTGAGTTGTGGCAAAAGCGACCCGAAGCCTGATCAAGTCTTTGTATTTGCGTTACGTGCTCGGGTAGTCGAATCCAACGCCTTCCATTCGTTTCTTTCATGCAGAACAATGCGCCTGCAAAGTCCAACTCTTTGGAAACATCGGTTGGATTGTCGAGCAAACGAAGTTCGGCGTGGACGTGAGCTATCTTGTCTTCACTTTTATTCAGGGGCCCCAATGCTGAGCGATGCGTGGCACACTCCTCCAGAGTAGAGCACACGACGATCCCAGGCTCAGGTGTAAACGAAGCCGCGGAACGTGTTGCAGTACGTGCAGTGCAATACGATGGCCACCTCAAGGACCTGGATGTGAGCAGTCAGCTTTCGTAGTGTCTCGGTCTCTGATCCGGCGGGTTAGACCAAGCTTAGAGAAAGCCTCAGCAATTTCAGGGCGATAGAAGGGTCTGTAAAGGATGCACTTGGGGAACTGCATGTATGTTGCCCGATTGTGATCGGCCATGTCCATACTCACTAAATCCTACCCCGTAGAAAACGCAACAGAGAGCAGATATTGTACTGGAAACTGATACCCCAAGACTGAAGGAAGAGCTGGAAAAGTCACTCGTTATGCTTCAGGATTTGTCCTACAGGCTCCCTCGTATCCGCTCACGGGTTGCCAACATCCAGCAGGCCTATGATTCTGGCCGGATGAAGGTGGGTATGTCTCTTCTATTACCGTCTGTAACTAAATGTTTGAAATCTACATACAAGGCTCAGCAGCTTGTTCATGATCTTATGTGGCTAAACACCGATTTCCATGAACGGTGGCGATTGATCATATTCACGTCCTCTGCACCAGTGTCTTGGAGATGGAAACTGACTATGCGACTGCTTTTTGGCGTCGCCGTTGTTACGTTCTTGTGGATTATCTGGGCTGCTATCGGTGGAGCATACCGAGCTCACCGGCAAAGATTACTATGGGGCGAAAGGTTGATGTCATGAAGGAATGGTGTTCTTGCTAATACCTGAATGATATCAGACCGGATGAAGTCAAGGGCATGCTGTCCGTACCGGTAATTATTCTAACCTTATGTGCATTATACTACAGCTTGTATTATACCGAGCGTGCTTTGCCAATAGCTTACGTTCATTTACCTGAACTGTACTACCAGACAAGTTAACTTGTGAAAGGTTTTCGTACCCAGAAGAGGTAGTTGCATTCTGCTGCACCCCACTGCGACGCGCTGCGCGACATTAACTCCCAGTCTCCACTCCAAGGCTTGTAGATCAGGCCCCGTACTTCCGCCTCCTTCCGCGTGGGCTGGCCACCACCATATGTACGAGTTATCCACGGTTGTTTACTTGTCATCGATGGCGACGAGTACGATTGGAAGAACGAAATGAGCTCCGAGGGATTGACAAACTTGGAGTAGGTATGCGTGCCGATGGCAACTTTGCGCATCATGTATTCAGCCGCTGCGATCGTCAGCAAAAAGGCTAGCGGAGTACGAGCGATCGTTGAGAGAAAGAGGTGGCCACCAGGCTGTTTCAAACAAACGTGTTCTGTTATTGACAAACTCACGATGTATCAACTTGCACTTACCTTGACGAGCTCAGCGCAAGTAGCTAGGAACGCAGTCGGGTTATCGACGTGTTCAATGACTTCCATAGAGCATACCACGTCAAACCGTTCGGGTTCTTTCAGAAGCTGCTCGGCAGATGTATTCCGGTAATGAAGTGAGCTGCTAGTTGGGAAAGACGAGGACAAGAGAGGGTCTGCATCCGCATGCGTAGACGCAATGCGAATATTGGACTCGGAAGCGTCAATGCCCAATGTCTGTGCGCCCAACCGGGCCAAGCTCTGTGAAGACGTGTTTGAGTAACGTTTTCTACGACAGTTGTCGATGAAGTAACCTCAGACAATAGCCCACCTCCACATCCGACGTCTAGGATGCTCAGACCTCGAAAAGCGTCCCTACGTTGTTCCATCTCGTGAGCGACATCCTCTCCTTTTTCTTCGCGTGCAATTTCTATCAATTTCTCGCGAATGTATTGCACTCTGACGGGGTTCATACGGTGAAGGAGCGCAAACTCGCCGTTCTCGTCCCACCATTGTGAGGACAGACGCGAAAAGTGGGCGATTTCCGCAGCGTTGACCGTAGCATCGGTTTGGATGAATCTCGTGCGTTGCGTCAGACGTGAAACGCGTCGGACTGCCGTTGAAAACATGTAACGACGGGTTGTCGGTAGTGTGGCGCGAGTGTGTCGGTGTTGGCCTTGCAGTACTAACTCGCTCAGTCCAAGGTACTTACACTAGGATGTCATCTTACAAGTTACTCCAGTCAAGCACTACGAGTCAGTGCCTTTTGGCTTACATACTATCTGACCTTACCAGTCATAACGATTGCTCTGGGCTTACCCGTGCTGCAAGGCCATCCACCCGGGTTGCCGTAGCTGTCCGGTGCATCGAATGGTATCTTTTCGTAGTGCTAAAACTTGGACACTGAAAAGGTTGACATTGGGATCGCAGGATCTTCATGCAGTACTCTGCAGCACAGCACCGAGATTCGAATCTCAGCATCATCTTCAGTTTGGAGTGCCAGGTAGTCTCACTCCCTTCTTGATTACGAGTTCCTAAGGCATTTGTGATGCACTCGAGTCTTTGATCGACCATTCCTTTCGACTCTGTGTCATCACGAATATATACATCCAGCCGCCCGATCGGAGAGCCGTCCCCTGTGCTTGTTCCGTTACGGAGAATACTCTTTCTTGTTTTTATTTTTATTTACCGTAGCACAGGACGTACGGCCTCACCATAGAACGAGACTCGCATCGGCGGTCGGACGTCATGTCCAGGACGATAACGCTGTACCCAGCAACTAGAATGCGATTCGCACTGTACGACTTAATACGTGCGTTGGCCCGTGACAGTTCTCATGTCCAATTTTGACCTAACTCGTAAGATAGTTCACTTATCCAAGTGTATTTCTGACTAGTTGGGACAACGCTCAGAGCAACATATATAAAATGCTAAGAAGAAACACAAGCCTAATATTGCAATATAGGGTAGAAGTGTATTATGCTATACTGACGGAGATCAAGGTCCAGCTTCTCTCACAAACACCCACTTATCCCCAACACGTTGCATCCGACCCGCCCCGCGCGCTTCTGTGTCCCCTGATTTCGATTCGTTATCGTGTACATCAGATTGTTCTCCTGGAATCGAGTGTTGGTCCACCTCGAATTCCATGGTGCTGACGTTGTCGCCGAGGACAACGGCATCTGAGTATTGAGATTGACCTGCATTCGAGTGTTGCCCCGCGTCTCGGTAGTTCCCGTGACCAGTGTAGCCGCCTCGTCCGCCATTCATGTAGCCCCGTCCCCTTGCTCGCCACCCTCCGCTTCCTCTCGTTCCCTGACCAGCCCACCCGGCTCCCCACTGGCCTCCTTGGGAGTCGTCGTGGTGACTATTTGCAGCAGTGCTAGCCATACCCATACCACTAGCCAAGACAAACTGCATGAGCTCTTCTTGTGATGGGAGGTAGCCACGAGTAGTTTTCCACATGTTTCCTAGTGCTTCCCACGACGAGGCAGCGGTAACATCAAAAGTTGTGATATCAAATTGATCAAGACCTTGTTGCTCCTCCTTTGACGCCGCTGAACTCGAGGCATGCGTCTCAGTACTCTGCGCAGGTGTATTCGCAGCTACCGAAGGTAACTGGTCTGATACAGGTATACGACAATCTGGAGCAGCTGCCGATGCAGGATCTACAGATGGAACCATTGGATCTCGGGTTGTCGCGTCATCGACTGACACAGATCTAGGGGGAGAGGCCGAAGACGGCCTGAGATCTCGTCCAAATTCGTCTTTACCTCCTTCAGGTGCAGCCGAACTAGGAGGTTCAGCATGATATTGGTCTTTACCGCTCACATGGCGACGAGGTGGACTGTGCTGGCGGCCACCGTCGCGCCGTTCAGATCTGCGTGGACTGCGTGAGCGACTATTTCTAGGTCGTGACGATGGATCCCTGTCTCTGTCTCTCTGTTTGAAGGGATCACGGCTGCGGTCTTCCCATCTATCCCGACGACCACGATAGCCACCACGATAACTACCACGGTGAGAATGACGGTCATCAAAATATTCGTTCCGATCTTTCAGGCGCTCGGAATAACCAGATCCACCGTGCCGCGGGTCTCCATGGTTTGAACCAGGACGAAGGTGTGAACCTAAGGGTGGTAGAGAAGGGGAATGGAAGGTGTCTGACACCATGTTTGGCGGTATGCTTCCTTGTCCATTGAGTTTCGGGGCCCCGACGACGGATACCGCAGGCTGCGACTGTGCGACACCTCCAAGCTTGGCAGTCAAAGCTAATTGTTGCAACAACGCGAGCTGCGCTTGTCCGAGTTGCGGTGGTGCGTCATTTTGAGAGGTTTGGCTGGAAGAGGCGTTCAGCATTCCAAAACCAGTCCTTAGTTTACCTTGACCCACCTGTTGGCAGGGCTTTGGGCAGTGGCTTGGGCAGCTTGGCCGAGTAATGAGAGCAATGTTGCCTGAACGTTAGAATTCAATGTAGCCGGTGTGGAGAGGGACGAAGCTGGGGTCGTGGACTGTCCGAGCGCTTCGACAGCAATTTGTGGAGCGGGCGAGGTTGAGTTTACGGCGGACTCTGACGAAAAAGTAACCAGACGGCGTTTCAGCAACAGTATTCTTATTTCATTTAAGGCAGGGATGCCCAGAAAAATAGCTAGGATTACAGGAGCAGAAGAAATACTTAGCGGATACGTATATGGGTCGTGATAAGCACCTTTTGACACGTCCGTTAACATATCCCTCAATCGCGTCAGTATGGTCGATGGAAATGTATTTGATTTGATCCATATGTCTAGAACTTTCTTCGTTTTTTCCTGTAGTTGAATCGCAGTAAGAACCGACGCATCATTATGATCAGGTTGGCTAAGAACGGAAGGGGTGGGCATCGGCGCAGTCGTGTCATAAATTCTGGTTAGCCGCTGAGCAAGCCATCATTTGCGACCCAGCATCACGGCTCGTACAGTAATAGAGAACCGAAAAGTCGCGGGGCCTGGTGCTTGCACGGAGAAATGTATCCTAACAACTAACCTTGACTTCGGCATTGTTTATCGCAATCATGTCTCGGAAGAGGCCTTCCAAGACACCCTCCATCTTTAGGAGGAATGTCGCAGCGTTACCTTTTCCCGCATTGGGATCAGCCGTTAAACCATGTTTGGTTACCGAGCTTCTAGCAGCACGGGCCAAGGCATCGAACGCATACAAGCTAGAAACTTTGGCAGAATCAGGTAGCGACTTATGGGTCCTATAGAGTATGGCAACGAGCTTGGCATCATCCTGCCAAATGAGTAAATTCCAGGAAACCAAGAGGAAGGTCAAGCCGTACCTTGAGAGTTTTCATAGCGATCTCGGTCAGTTTGGTCATTTTCGACGCTGAAAGTCGCTTTGCATTCACGACATCTTTCAGGGTGTTCTCAAACTCCTGTAGAAGTAGGTTAATGAACTGTAGGAAATCTAAGGTTCATACATACATCGAGGGCCGACATGACGTGCGGTCATACGTTGCCTGTAGAAAGGTTACTGTGAGCTGCAAGGAAGGGGAAAGTCGTCAAGATTTGGTATTTACTTGTGTTGTGGCGTCATCGAGTGACTTCGGACACAGTGGCAAATTGCTAGTTGGGCAGACAGGAAAAAGTCGCATGTCCGCTCGTGCAAAGGCGACCTTGGCTGCGTCGTGCGCCGTCTCGGCTTTCATCATATGGGGCGTCCATTACCAGCAGAACAAGGAGCGTGAGGTTGGTGGTTTAGATTTCCTCGGTTCTTGTTCTCAAGGCACGTAGGTCATGTATCAAGGAGTTGTACGCGATGACGAGCGCCGGAGGGAAAAGATGAAGCAGCGAGAGGAAGAATTTCGTATATCACAACGCAAACGCGAGACGTACGAACGCGTTCAGACGGTCGTATCGAGCGACGCTTCCAACGACCCTTGGCATGTTGAGCCCAGCAGGGAAGGTCACTCTTAACCTCCTCGACGATAAAGTAGCTTATGCTCTAGCGGGACTACCGGAGAGTTCGATGATGTCTGCATCCAATCTTTTACATCCGAGGGTTGCAGATTCCTCAAACACTCTTAGTGTTTCCTGAGGTCCATCCTGGAAACAGCAGCCCACGGACCGATCTATAATATTGACCATTGGGCTACAGTACCATGAAGCTTTCGCACAATTCCTCGTATGTTATGACTACAACTTCCAAGACTACTTGGGTAAGCTGAGGGCCTGGTTAACTGGCCCTGCTCGAGGGAAACTAGCAATGCTGTACCAAGGCCGTGTATTCGTGTGCGACTCGTTCCACGACACCTACAACCGTGCACAAGTAGGACCGCAGGCGACGTGTTCGGCAGCAGGTATTTCTTTGTTAGACCTAATAGGCTTTGTGCAGTGGTTTTGTCTTGCTACCCTAGACCATCCTCGAGTCGAGCCTAGACAATAGCAGAACCTCACTCTGTAGCGGTTGCGCGGTGCTCTCAGTTATCTGGAGAGAGGTCTTCCGTTAGTTATGAGCCCTACTTCCTAGCTGTTCATCGGGCACAGGAATTATCACATGTAGCTTTGATCAAGCGATACGGATCATCAAGGCTGATGTTACTTCTGCGGTAGCTAAATATTTTTTCACTAGACGAGAGTTTGCTCGGCACTGGGCACGCGACGGGGAATTTTGAAGCTTTCATCACCGAGCGGAATGCTGCTGCTGATCTACCTCTGTGTGTGAGCATATCCTTGTGAGCACATTGTGTCCAAGGCAGCCTTATTCAACCATGGATCATTTCTGCAGCTCCATTCCTTCGAACAATTGTCAATTAGAAGAAACAATGCTGCGTGCTTACAATGACTTTGGTGGCGTTGAGATCGCTTTCAGTGCACGTCGACCATTTCCGAACCAACCTTCATGACTACTGTACCTCATCGTTATCATCATTGCCCGAGCCCGTTGTCTATGCAGTGGCCTCGCGTATGGAAAACCCGTTGGCTACTGTAGCAGATCGCTGCGTACAAGTCTGTTCCTTCTTCCTTTTACTAAGTGACCTCGAAGATTCGCGCGCACCGAATTCGTCGCGGGGTTGATACTACGCCATCTCTCTTCCAATAACTCGCGTGCCCTCTCTGCCGGGGTACGAAGCAGAGCCTGCGTTGCGGAATTCGGTGTTTTTGGCTATAATTGCTTCGAATTCTCCTGAACTGAGGTCTGGCAACATGGAAGTCACAACAGTTGACTGCCCTCTTCCTTCGACAACTGCCGTCGTTTCATGTTTGACGCTTCAATTTTAGATTTGTCAGATGCTGACTCTATCAAGGAGACAGGGTCAGTGGGCCTCTCCAGGCGCCCCTTAGGCCGCTGCACTTCGTACAAGAGATTGGAGGAGGATTTACGTACAAATTAATCTGCCGTAGCTAATAGACTGATCATCCAACAAGCTCTCTTACTGAGGCAGATGACGTGTAGCCTTTTGGAATTTCTCTCACGAAATAATTCATATGAACTTACACGAACTTGCACGGAGCTAATATTGGGCTACGGTAAATAGGCTACAAGACAGGGGGTTTGGTTCCTGGTTGGAATGTGTAGGTCAATCCGCACTTTCCGCAGTACTGACGATCTTTGTGGAAGGCCATCTGCACCAAGTATTCGTTCAGTCTGTTTCGAAAATCATCAAGTAAGACACTTACGAAGATGCCGGCGCCGCACTCAGCACTTGGGCACTCACGGCGCAAGCGCTTGATCTTGCCGTCTGAGTCTACCTTGTAGTACTTGAGGATCGCCATCTTAACCTTCTTACGCTTGTGCTTGATTTTCTTGGGAGTCTATTGTATGGCATGTCGTCAACAACATTGTCTCAGCGACTCTACGCAGATACTGACATTGTAAGTCTTCTTCTTGCGCTTCTTGGCACCACCACGGAGGCGTAGCACCAAATGGAGGGTAGATTCCTTTTGGATATTATAGTTGCTGAGAGTGCGACCATCTTCTAACTGTTTTCCAGCGAAGATCAGGCGTTGCTGATCAGGAGGGATTCTGACATTAAGTGAGTACGCGAGGTTGGTCACGAACATTATGACTGACCCTTCCTTGTCCTGGATCTTGGCCTTGACATTGTCGATGGTGTCGGAGGACTCGACCTCGAGCGTGATGGTCTTGCCCGTGAGGCTATGAATTACTGATCAGCCGACGAAAAGGCCGCGGAGAGAGTAAACACACGTTTTGACGAAGATCTGCATGATCGGATGCCTTTGTCTGTCCAACGAAACTTAACGGTGGAGTCGTTGACGAAAGGCGAGAGCCGTTTGACTTGCGAGTTTGCGATGAAAAATGTGGTCGATGAGTAAGAATCAGCCAGGCTTGCGAAAACCTTAATCTTGTGTCGATGGTCTGTGCGTGGGCATTCGATGACTAATACGATGCTGATGTAAGCCTCACTGGCGCGTCGCGTCGCGTCCAATCACGGTCGAGTGATATTCTCGGTCTCGAGAGCGGCGACGGTCGGCATGGACAGCGACGATCAGATGGAAGTGGACTCTGCCATCCCCTTCGAATCCAAGGGCAAAGGGAAAGCTGCTGACAACCTTCTACCTTTCGAGGACGAGACGTTACCCTGGCAAGTAGCCGTCAAGTATTCGACTTGTCTTGAAGTCTGGATGCTCATCTATTCCGTCAGGGTTGAAAAATACCGTCCAGTTACCTTGGATGACGTTGTGTCACATAAGGATATAACAACAACTAGTGAGTCGTGTACCTTTGTCAGTGACGCAGGGTCCAATGTTACACCGCAGTTGGGAACTTCATTGCAAAAAATCGGCTTCCTCACCTGTTGTTTTACGGGCCGCCTGGTACGGGAAAAACGTCTACGATACTGGCAGTGGCAAGGCGAATATATGGTCCTCAGTACCGGAAGCAGATATTGGAAGTGCGCGTGCTTCCATCGTTGATCTGGTCTCCTGACTCATGGTTATAAGTTGAACGCCTCAGACGACCGAGGTATCGATGTTGTTCGCGAACAAATTAAGCAGTTTGCAGAAACACGCACTCTGTTCTCGAAGGGCTTCAAGCTCATTATCCTCGACGAAGCAGATATGATGACGCAACAGGCCCAAGCAGCTCTCCGTCGCGTCATTGAGCAGTACACAAAGAACGTTCGCTTTTGCATTATATGTAACTACGTGAACAAAATTGCCCCCGCAATTCAAAGCCGATGTACGAGGTTTCGGTTTTCTCCACTGCCCATGACGGAGGTTGAGAAGAGGGTGGATAATGTTGTTGACGCGGAAAGGTGAGTACGTCGCCCATTGACAGCACCACTTGGATATCAAGACCAAGTAGTGTGAAGTTAACACCCGATGGCAAGAAGGCGTTACTCAAGTTGTCCAAGGGTGATATGCGAAGGGCTCTGAACGTTCTTCAAGCATGCCATGCCGCGTATGACACTATTGGAGAGACTGAGATTTATAACTGCACGGGGAGTCCACATCCGTCAGATATAGAGACGATAGTGAACTCCATGTTATCTGATGAATTCACCACGTCGTATCAAAGTACGTTCGATTAGGTTCCGCAGTTTCCGCTTGTTGACGTCTTGCAGTGGTCAATGCGTTAAAGACGGAACGAGGGCTCGCACTTCAGGACTTACTCGCTGGCGCCTTCGAGTACGTAGAAACAATTGACTTCAAGCCTCATGCTCGGGTATATCTACTTGATTTCCTTGCGACGTTAGAGTGAGTCGCACCTCGAATTTGCGTATTTCGTCTGACGACTAATTATGCAGGCACCGCATCTCAACTGGTGCCAGTGAGAAGATTCAGCTGTCCGCCATGATTGGAGCGTTCAAGAACACGGTGGAGCTGACGACGAAGTAGTCTAATGTCATCACCTTGTTCACACGACTGGAACTGCTTACGCAGGGTGATTTTATAGTTGCTTTTCACATATAATTCAATTTAGTATCGTCGTTTTTGCTTCCGCGTGTGGTCCGTGCTGTTACACCACAGAAGTCTGCTGAATTGTGGTACGTCGAGGAGCACTCTCAAAATGCAGGTCACACCCCAAATGGCCCTTGCTCTGAAAGATGGCGGCGTATGTTCTTTTTATTACTTGCAGTTGTCTCTGACCTTTGGTACTGATCTTCACAGAACGATATCTGCATACTTTACCAGGATGGTGGACAACTCAGGTTGTGTAACTACAGCAACCGCACGATATGCTCGGAGTGCATCACGGTCCCGCAACGTTCGTGCGCCCGATGTAGATTTCGAGTGCGTATATTGCCATTGGCTCAAATCTCGACGTGAAGACGCTGACCTCACTGGGTATGCACGTACTCTTATTTTTTTATATAAAAAATCATCGGCTAAACATTACCATCAAGGTTTTTACCGTCGGGGCATACCTGTTCTGCCTGCCTGGATCCCCATCAATAAAAACAGGGAATTACCTCTTCAGTCACACCTTCTTTCTGATTCAATCCTCATGATCCATTTGCATCTTCAACCTATGTCAGCAGACGGTCCAGTAGAAGTGGTCGGTAATATGCTCGCGAGATATTTCCCAGATGGTGGATTTCGTTTTATAGACCTGCTATTTGACATTGGAATGTCGAGTAAACTGGCGGCGTACAAATGCACTCCAACTCGCCTGGCGTCTGAATTACGTTCTATCGATTTCAAGAACATCATGATAGCACTCACAGATCATTCCGTGACGACCTATTCATTGGCACAGCTAGCTCAGCCCAACCTCAGGCAGTGCCTTGACATGCTACTCTTCGTTTGGCAATGTGTTCGATGGTGGAATATTTCACCCTTTTTTCAGGGGCTCCGTCGTAAGAGGTGATGCCAGCTTCCGTGGTTTTCGGAAAGCAGTAGTTTAGTACATGATCACTCATCCTAAATGACCCTACAAATTATCTCGTTTGCAGACATCTCATCGCCTTTGATCCCCTCCATCTGATCTTTGGTGTCACGGCAAACTTCGTGCTGAGCATCATCGAGCAATCCTTCATCGAATGGTTTCCGGTGGACACGGCACTCCTTGAAGTACTGGGGACGTCGAGTCGCTTGGGCCCTCATTCTGTCAAGCTTGACCTACGGTGGGACGGCAACACATCTCATCATCTCAAAGTACACATGAGGTCACTTGGACACACGTTCATGTGGTCAATCCTTGTCGTCACATTGTCCCAGGTGCGGTTGTGTTCGGGTGCAATGGCGTCGAATCTCGAAACCCCCAAACTCATCTGGGACTTACGAGTTCAGTACACCAAATCATGTGGCTCTGTAGACGGGTCTGTCCAGGCGGAGACAGTTGCAGTCGTAAAGCCTGTCAATACCACCTTTTTTAGACCAGGTAAAAACGGAAGGCTCAGCATCGCTGAAAATACCTCTCGGTGTTCGAATGTTTCCCTTTTGATGTGGTCGCACACTATTTCAAGTTTCATGTGTTATTGTTTTACTTGAGGGTTGGCGATTCCGATTTTATCTAAAAGTTGCCAGTTCGACTGTGTTCTGGTGTCGATACACACCAATGTCATCGCTAGCCTGTTGTTATTAACCCCTGTCCAGAAACATCACGTGACTGGATACTCTGTGCACGTCACGGAAGGGACAGTGTGTCCATGGAATGCAGCAACCTGGAGGACAACAGCGATGGCCTTCCCCTTGCCTTCTCACCTCCCCCGCAAGGTCGATGTGTCATCCGAAATATTGTCTAAACTTGACTCTGCGACATGGCAGACCTTGAACTCTTCAGTTGCGTCTTCCTGGTGCAAGGAGCTAGACGAATGTATCAGCCAGACGAAGGTCTTCATTGACTTTTCTCCGAGTAACAGAAACTGGGGCTAACTTTTCGAGGCAGAGACAAATTCACGACAGAATCCGCTCCGACATTACTGCCTTCGACGTGCAGTTATCCTCCGCGAAGTCTGCTCAAGAGCGACTGTCCACTCTGTCACATGGCATTAATTCGTTGAACCAATCCGTATTTGACCCTGAAGTGAGTCTCGTATGACTTCTAATTCCTCGTATTCAACTGTTAATGCGCAGTCCGGAGTCACTTCCTTAACACTTGAAACGCTCAAGCGACATCACGCCCTCGCTCAAGCATCCTTAAATGCAGATGTCCTACATGCCTCCCTGCAACACCTCGCGAAATGCAAAGCACAACTTGACGTAGCACAAACGACAGCAGACACTGGTAACCTCCCGGAAGCCGTGCTGGCATGTTCGGAACTCAATCGGCTACTTGCGAGCAGCCCAGGGCCACTGGCGGAAGCTCGTGTAATAGCGGATATGAAGGTGCGTGTTTTACTAGCTAGCATTTTCGGTGTTGTCCACTTGCGTTCCCGCAGAGAGTGTCACAGGTGATCGAAAACCGCGTCTCTGAACTACTGGAACATGCATGCTCCGCCAGCCTCGTTGTTGTCGAGCAGCACATTACAGTGCACCCTTCCGTCCTCGGCCAGTTTCTTCTAACATACAAATGGTTTCGACTCCTGACACTTCTACTTTATAGTCCCAGGTTCAGCCACCCCGTTATCACTGTCTAGCGTCCTGTCCTCGCTTTCACCATCCGCGTTATCCGCCCGCCTGGCCAGTTTACGCCGCGATCTCACAAGCTATTATATCGACCGTGTGCTCTGTGGCTCTACTTCCGTCACTTCAACCACTGAGGATGATCCGTCTGGCTTTGCTGTGCACAAAATCCAATGCTTCACGTCGAACGGTTCCATTTCCCGTGACACTTCATTAGATACCCTCTCGCGTCTTCTCGACTTCCTCGACGAGAAAGTGTTCCCTCATTTACCTCAACCACAGAGAGAAATTTTTCCACGCACTTTTGCAAAACCTGTCACGTCGTCCATTATGACCAACGTGCTTACTCCTTCCCTGCCTTCGACATTGGAAGGCCTCCCCATCTTTCTTCAGCTAACGCGAAAGGCTGTCGACTTTGAGTCCAAATACGTGGTGAACCTGCTTGGTGGTGATTCGATGGAAAGAAAAATTAAGACATGGGCGGACAACGTCTGTTCTCATTACGAAAGAGCAAGGCGTGTGCACATTCTTGGCACTGTTCGTAAAGTGATTTTGGAACATGCTACTCGCGTGGACAGTACGTTCATGGCCGAGGTCCGTATACCCGCCGAGGGTGTGCTACATGACCAGATAGCTGTTACGGATCAGCAAGATGTTACCGAATGTAGCCCCTCTTCGGAAGACGCATGGAACTTGGATGACAACCAGAGCTTCAGTATGAGCAATTCGGGATCAGCTGTGGATGAACAAAGCTGGGGTTTTGACGATGAAATCGAGAAGCAGGAACAGCCAGCTGCTGTAGCTGAACCAAGCCCTGGAGCGAAAGCAGACCCTGATCCGGGCGATGCTTGGGGCTGGAATGATGACGAAACGCCAGAAGAACCCGTGGATGACGAGGCTGGGACTGACTCTTCACAGGGCGGGTTGTGGGACGATGACCCGTGGGGTGATAACAATGACTCACCCACTCGTTCATTGGCGATCCCAGCCATTGCACCTGTGGTGAAGTCGCAGAAGTTGACTCGGGGGCAAAAAGTGGCCAGTGGTAGTTCCAATGGTCCCTCCAAAGCCTCCCAAGACCCAAGCTGCGATAGCAAAGAAAGATATCTCGTTTCGACTCTTACAACGGAAGTTGTGCGGATCATTGAGAAATGTTTGGAGGAGGGAAAAGCCTTGGCCACCTCTCACATATTCCCTCAATCTTCTACTTCACCCCCCGGCAATCTGATCATGCATTCGAGTTCCTCGGTTCTTGACTTGTACTGCGGATTGTATCCTGTTGTGGTCACACCGCGTCCATCCGATGCCACCGTACACGTGCAGTTTTCCAACGATTGCTACTTCCTATCGGAAGAGTTAGGCCGGGTGCTATCGAAAACGAAGGCACCTTCTGATGTCGAGGAGAAGCTACAAGAAGGTCGAGCCGACCTCAAAGTTCTTGCAGACAGTTGGTTCTACGATGCCATTGTCAGTGCTTGTTTCCCTGCAGAAGCGCATTGGCACTCAACGCATGTTCTAGGACAAGCAAGTAGCAGCTCTTTGCAGTACCCTTGCAAGTGTAAATGGTTTCACCGGCACATCCGATCAGGATCGCTATGACGAATGCGAAACAGCAGTTACAACGGTTCTACAAAATATCAAACGTCTCGCTCGAGCTTGGAAGGTATCTTTGTCTTTTGTTGTATGTCGTTGCCCATGTTGAAGTATTACTGTAGAAGGTCCTCCCGAAGGGGAAGTACTACATCGCAATGGGGAACGTCGTTGATGGTGTATTATTACGCATACTTGATGATATATTGGCCATTCCGGACATACCGGAGGTGGAGTCGCATAAACTGGGCGAACTCTGCAGGATTCTTTTTGCCCTTGAAGAGTTATTTGTTGAGAACGCGGAAGTGAGTATGTTACCACACTGGTTTGGCACCTACTAACTGCCGTGTAGTCCCTCGTGGTCTCTTTCGTTCCATCGTGGCTAAAATTCTCCTACCTATCTGAACTTCTGGCAAGTAACACCGCATGTATTTCATTACGTTGGGTTTAACAGTTCCTTCCAGGGAGCCTCCATGGCGGATCTCACTTACCTCTTCGACGAAGGCGCATTGGTAGACTTCGAGATCGAGGAACTCGTCAAGCTCGTCCGCGCCCTCTTTGCAGATACCCCACTGCGAGCAAAGACTCTGAACAAAATTATGAGTGGGCATCCTTTCCGATGATAGATTCATCCCAGTGAGCCCGTCGCCCCCATCCGACCCGTTTCTTGCTTTTGCGGTCGTGAAAGCAACGCGTGTCGCTCCCGTCCGTATCTGTCCAATATCTCGTACACTACTAATGTGAAGCTGAATGACAATGTTGACGTTTGCCGTGACGAAGTATGTGTTAACTAGTCAGAGTTAGGAAATTGGAAATCTTGAGGTAGCCTGAACTCGAACGTCGTAGCTGCACGTTGGAGTCTATGAAGGCACTCACCTAGATGGAAGACTGAACTAAATCATATGTAATGGCCGACCGCACTCGCTTCAAGCTGGAGCTGGGTCACTTACCGACGTGTTGACCAAGTAGTCGGACTGGAGATTGTAAGGCTAGGTCTCCGGTTAGTAGGTTAGAACAAGGTAGTGCTCAAGCAGCTCGGATCAGCCAATATTAATGATCGAAGGAACCCAGCGGTCGGAGCCGCAGTCGAGGGGGAACAATCGTTGCGACTGTTTTGTGTCGAGTCTCAATTGCAGAGATTGTCGGAGCCGCCCCGGGCCGAAATCAACAAAGTTGTCCGGCACGACTCCGAGCCTCCGGGACAGTCTTACCACTTGAACACGAAGTGCACACAGAATGCTCGGGAAGGTCCTACTACTAATCGCAACTTTGTTGCTATTTCATGGTACGAGGTCTGGCAATCATCTGTGACGTGTACTGACCGTTTTTTAAAACATTTACCTTGTGCTACCACAAATAACAGCTGCCTGCACGACTTATGACCGTCAGTACTATTTCTAGCCAAGGTCAGTGTCGGCACTGTGCTTACTACAGGGTTACATAGATGTATCTCATCTGAGAGCCCTTGTGCAACCTGAGGCGCACGTACCTTTGAACGTAAGTTCAGTGCACCGTTGATGACTGCCTTCACAATGTATGTCAGACTGTCTATGAGAGCATTCTGGCCCTTGTCCTTGGGATTCTAGGGGCTTCTATGAATTCGCCACCACTGAAAGACATCACATGGGCAAGCGAGATGAAGAAACGGTATGCCTCGCAGTGCCTATACCGTTGTGCTCCAAGGATATAACACCTCGTTAATGCAGGACTATCGATGAGATGGATGCTCGGCCAGGACTTGCAAGCTACGCCTCTAGAGCAAAACTGTTCCATGATCAGCGAGGGGCCAGTCGTCCGACATGAGAATAGATGTTGTGTGGTGCTACTACTACTACTACCTACATGCTACGTGATACAGCGCTCTGTACTCAGTCGTCGTCGTCTCCGCCCTTCTTTTTCTTTTTCTTCTTCTCTTTGCGCGCCCTCCGTTTCTCTGCCTTGTCTGCCGCCTCTTGCATTGCAAGGAAATCACGTATAGAGGGTAGAGCAGATGATTCGAAACCCTTGAGCCGCCCCCCTTCCTCTTCTTCCTCGACCTTCTCTTCTGGCGGAGACTTGGGCACGGACGCATGCATAGCCGGAGGCGGTGTAGGTTCGTGCTCGGCGTCGCCGAACCACCCTCCTCTGACAGGTTGCGCCGGACGGGACAGTTCTTCAGGGGGTTTCGAAGTTAAATCGGCGGAGTGAGTTGTAACGTCGCCATTGCCTTCACTATCCTCGTCATCATCGGGAATACCCTGATAGTCGCCGGCGCCAGCGAAGATGTCGAAATCCTCGTCAAGTGGCTCTGGCTCTGGTTCCTGGGGCAACTTGGGCCTTTCTTCTGCGCTCGGAGGTTTGTCCGCTGCGGGTGCCTGCGATTCACCGACCGCATCTGGTTCTTGTCCAGTCTGCTTGGAGTCCATATCGACTTTCCGTCTTTTCTTCTTTTCTCCATTTTTGTCGCTTTTTACTTTTCTCTTTTTCGGCTTCTCCTCTTGTCCGATGGGCTTGAACCCTATTGGTTTAAACTTGCCCGACTGTTTGGCTGCCTCAAGAGCCAATCTCTCTTCTTCAATCGTTTTGACGCTGGAACTTGCGGGTGGTTGATCTGTTTGACCATTCTGTCGCTTGGCTTTGAAGTTCGCGGATGATCTCCTCCCGTGTTCGCTTCTTTGACTCGGTCACTGGTTCTGTCACTTGGCCGGTGGCCTCTACAAAAGCCTGTTCCAGTACATCGTCCTCCTCGGTGGATGCTGCTGCTCGGGCTTTATTTTGCTCCAGAAGAGACACATCCAAGCCTTTCACCAGTATAGTGTGCTGGCTATCTCCCCCCAAGTATTTACGTTGCTCTTCGATCTAGGTATCGATGAGGACACGAACAGAACAGGATTTTCGTAGTGACCTTACAACGTCTTTCCCCTCACGCGAGGCCCGCTTTTCGAAGTCTTCTAATATGGCTTCGGCCTGAGATGACCATCGCCATTCAAGTCAACAGTAAGACGCGAAACATCTCGAGACGTACTTCAGCGTAATCATTCGAAACGCCGGCTCGCCTCTCCGACGCGCGGTCTCGGTATTTCTGGTCCTGCCTTCTTCACCTTCCTGGGCTTGAAAGCTGGTTCTGATGGTTTCGCGGACACGCTGAAGGATAATTTACAATTGGTTTGAGAATGACGTGCATGCAAGAAAGAATCGTACGCCTTCTTGTTTGGCCTGTCTGCAGCAATGGGGGTTGATTGCTTGGGAGTACTTGGCGAACCGTGAAGCAAACGCCTGAAAGCATCCTATATCATTGTGGTCACTGAACACGAAGTTGGGCTACTGGCATATGTGACGGACCTGGTCCATGCTTGTTGGTTCGGCGATACAGAAAGACGGTGTTGCCGAATTTGGGTCGCCGGTCGAGTGATTAGGTTTGGCCGTTTGCCTCCACTACACTTTTAGAGTTGAAGAACTCGGAGTCGATGATCGAACGAACACCTAGTGTGATAGTCTAGTAAGGATGACAGCACTGAAAAAAAAAATAGTACGCTGTATTCTTACTATTTAGTCGCTGACTTGCGAGAACGTACTCAGTGGTGTAGACACAGTGAACAGTTGCTTGAAGCTTTGTCGGAATTTTAGTCTGTAGTCTTACTCCCAACTGCGCCAGCATAAAAAGAATCTATTTATTCAGAATTATTTCCACAACGCAGGTGGGGACCGAGGTTGTTGCGACTAGTTCTTACCCCATGAGCGTCTTTTTTCGTGTCTTGAATTCCTCGAGTCGTGGCAGTAAGCTTTTTGGTTTCATTTCCAAACTATCTCACACCAGGACTTTGATGTCTCCTACTCCCTGGATCCCGAACCAGTATCCGACAGCTCGACGCTCCGATCGTGTCGATGTATATAAAAGCGAAGCAAACGGACAAGTTCGCGTCCCCGATCCCTACCAGTGGCTAGAAGATCAGTCGGAGGAGACCGATAAATGGACAACCGATCAAGATGAGTTTACTCGGGCGTACTTGAACAGGAATCAATATCGCGCCGCGTTAGAGAAGGAGATCAGAACCAATACCGACTACGAAAAGGTACAACGTTGGATTCAAAGAGCACTAGGCGTAAATCTGACGAAAATTAAATGTACAGTTCACTGCACCATCGTTCAAATTCGATAGGCGATGGTACTGGTTCTACAACAGTGGCCTACAGGCTCAGCCAGGTATGCGTTCTGGCCTCTCCGAATTCTCACGAGATCATCGATACCTTGGGTTGTAGTCCTTTATCGCTCCAAGAGTGAGGCACTTCCTGACTTTTCCAAGGGTGGTCCAGGAGGAGAAGTATTCTTCGATGTACGTCCCTTATTTGTGGCACTCTGCCTGATGTTAACTGTGCTTCTCTATCTCCCAGCCTAACTTGCTATCCGATGATGGGACAGCGGCCATAGCCACGTCTGCGTTCTCCCGCTCAGGTGAATACTACGCGTATGGCATATCTTTGTCGGCAAGTTTCCCCTTTAATGGAACTTCTCGCGATCTCATAACCAAGCTACCACTTTTCAGGGCAGCGATTTCTGCACGATCTATGTCCGCCGCACCAGTGATCCTCTGGCGTCTGCAGATGGGAAACGCGATGATCATCATGCGAAACGATTGTCGGAGGAAATCCGATTTGTCAAATTCTCTGCTATCTCTTGGATGCATGACTCGAAGGGATTTTTCTACCAGGTGGAATGAATTATCTCGGAAATCATTATGGTGACGGCTTGCTGACTGCCACGTTCCGCTTTCTATATGGCATTCTCTTTCCGATTTAGCGCTTTCCCGACCGTGAGTCTCATGGTCTCACTCCAGAGGATAAAGCGGGGATCGAGACCATCGACGATAAGAATGCAATGGTCTACTACCATAAAGTCGGGACCCCACAATGTAAGTGTCCGGCTCTGCAAGCCCCTTGCCTTACAATGGGCCGATGATTTAATGCCTACCAGCCGAGGACATTCTAATCATGAAAGATGCCGAACACCCGGAGTGGATGTGGGAGGCTTCCGTGTCTGAACTGGATGGGCGCTACCTTTACATGAGTGTCGTGAGGGATACTGCCAGAGTATGTTCTCCATATAGTTCATGCTACTGTGATCCTCATACTTGAGGCGACGCAGAAAAATCTGCTATGGGTTTGTGACCTTCAGGAGAGTGCAATCGGTCCAAACATGAAATGGGAGAAGTTGATCGACAACTTTGATGCTGAATATCGAGTGTAAGATCGTGGCGTCCCTGTTTGACCCATCTGACAAACTATCATATCAGAATTGCGAACAACGGGACGAAATTGTACATTCTTACCAACGAGAATGCACCTCGGTACAAAGTCATCACCGTCGATCTGGCAGATCCGAAGCGCCAGCGCAAAGACCTAATTCCAGAACAAAAGGATTCTTTCCTCGATGACGTGACAGCCGTGGGCAAGGACCACTTCGCCGTCGTTTACAAGCGCAACGTTAGTCTGACATGATTTCGTGTCTTTCATAAGCATGAGATGGGAGGCTAACAACCACACGCGCTGGCAGGTCATCGATGAGATATATGTCTACTCCCTGGATGGACAGCGCCTTGCCCGACTTGCCCCCGACTTTGTAGGCGCCGCCGAGGTTAGCGGTCGTCGCTCGCAAAGCGATTTCTTTGTCACCCTTACCGGATTCACCAATCCTGGTATTATCGGTCGGTACAACCTGAGTGAACTGGACGACGGAAAGAAATGGAGTGTATACCGAACGACGCATGTGAAGGGGTTGAAAGCAGAGGAGTTCACCGCCGAACAGGTTTGGTACGAGAGTAAGGATGGCACTCGGATCCCAATGTTCATCGTAAGGCATGAGAGCACCAAAAGGGACGGGACTGCTCCGGCCATCCAATACGGTGAGTTTGCGGTTGGATTTACCGGGATGCCGTGACCAGATTTTGGCTCAATGCACTTGGCTACGACAGGTTATGGAGGTTTCAGCATATCCATAAACCCTTCTTTCAGTCCAGCGATTCTGACTTTCCTCAAGTCATATGGAGCTGTATTTGCACTGCCAAACATCCGTGGAGGAGGGGAGTTCGGTGAGGAGTGGCACGAAGCGGGTATCCGAGAAAAGAAGGTAAGGGCCTGCTAGCGGATTTAGTATTACCGGCTTATCTGATATCAATGCAGATCAACGTGTTCAACGACTTCATCGCGGCTACGTGAGTTCGTCAAGTTTGATATCCTGTCACCGCTTAACACTCTTCCATATTAGTGTACCATATCATCAAAACCAAAATAGCTGCCCCGGGAAAGGTTGCCATTAACGGCGGCTCTAATGGAGGTATGTCTCATTCGTTTCATACCGTCGAGGGTGATCCGATCATCCCTTTCATAGGTCTTCTCGTCGCCGCGTGCGTAAATATTGCACCGGAAGGCACCTTCGGAGCAGCGGTTGCCGAGGTCGGTGTCTTGGATATGTTGAAGGTGTGTGTCGCCTCCCTTGCGTCTCCCTCTGCTACTGACGTTGGTTGTCGGCGCTTAGTTTGCAGACTTCACCATCGGTCAGTCCAATGTCCATGTGTACCAATCTAGAGTTAACTATTCACTCACCTAAACCTTGTAGGCAAGGCGTGGGTATCTGACTACGGTAACCCACACGACCCCCACGACTTTGACTTCATATATCCTATTTCTCCGCTACACAATGTGTCGACAGACAAGGTGTTGCCGCCGTTACTACTGATGACGGCCGATCGTCAGTACAGCAGCTATCTACCACTGACACCAGCAACTGACAACTGTCTACATGTAGATGACGACCGAGTTGTCCCTCTGCATTCATTCAAGCACGCAGCCACACTCCAGCATACGTTACCTCAAAACCCTCACCCCCTTCTTATTAGAATCGACAAGAAAGCTGGACACGGGGCCGGTAAGGGTACTGAGAAACGGTATGTCATCTCTCGTTCGTGTGGAGCGTCAAGATGGCAGTACTGATCCCATGCGCAGGATCCAGGACGCAGCAGACAGATGGGGCTTCGTGGCCCAGTCTATGGGTCTGAAATGGCAGGGGTCTTGATATACCCTCCGAAGTTTTTGGTAACTTGGACGAAGTCGCATAAGGAAAGAGTTCAATTAGACCAAGGACGTTCCTCATCAAATGGACATTTCGGGTACTATCATTGTTACCACGCAACTGATCAATACAACTATGTACACGCAGACTTAAGTTCGACATCGTATGAGCGGTCCGTGGTGGATTTGGTGTCCAAGCAGGTCTGGCCTCCACGTACGTGTGGAGGAGACAACTCACGAACTGTTGGTGCGAGAGAGAGGGAGGATCTCCGTTTTCAGGACGCGGGTGCCTTTCTGTCTTGGAACAGGTGCTGTATGAATATAACAAAGTTTAAACTAATCGCATTTTGCAGGACGAAGCACTATAGGAACGACGAACCGTTCGCATTTTGGGTAACATAAAATCGCCGCAATACCATGATAGCCTCTTCGCGAAGATAACCACCGATGGCATCGTAGGCCGGGTGTATAGGGTGCTCCGAACTGCGGGGGACAGGAGGAAGAAAATCAGGAGAAAAGAGAGAAAGGGAAGAGATTACCGACGGCGCATTTACTCCCAAGACACTTCCACATCCCCCGAATTTGTCGTTTTCGCAGCCGTAGAATACTTGCTTGATCCCAAGTTGTCGGAGAGCCGAAGCACACATGATGCAGGGTTCTACTGTCACATAGAGAGTGGTGTCAGAGAGGGGATACCGGTCGCCGCCGTCATTGTTGGCGAGAATAAGATCGATAGCCTCAAGCTCGGCGTGTCTCGACGCCTGGATATGAACGTGGGGCTGAGTGGGAGAGGACAAAGAAGACCAGCAGGAAGTCCCTTCTTACATTGCGAAGTTCATTAGTCCTATTTCGCGCTTTTGCGATGGCCCCGCCGTTGCGCACGAAGATGCACCCTACAGGGACCTCTCCCGCTGCAAGTGCCTCCTCTGCCTGTATATAATATGTTTTCAGCACCGCTGTAGTGCACGACGGACTGTCGGCGGACACACCATGGTCATCGCCATGCGCATCCAGTTGAGATGGACGGAATCTGCGTCAGAATGACTTGAGTCGAGGACCAGATGCTCATCATCAGCCATGATATTATGAGGAACCATGAATGTCTGCGACAATCGATGGTGACCTTGAACAGCACCCAAATTCAAATGCCAACGCTCGCCATCATCATAACTGATACACATCAAACACTATACTCTCTGAGGGTTCTTCAATTAGCGTCATCACGGGTAGCAGTACTTATACGGGGCTGTTCCATTTGGGCATAGCCATGACTGACTCCCGTTAAAGTCCCACTCCTCATCTCCACATACTAACCATTATCTTCACATTTCTATTAGTACGAAATGGCCCTCGAGCCACGGCCTGCCTCCGTGTACGCAGCTAGTAGCGTCGGCGAGTCCGGCGCTTTGGAAACTAACAAAGGCACATTCTATGTCTCCAAGCCATTCCGTTCAAAATCTTCCAAAAAGCTGCGCGCTATCGTCACCTTCGAGCCCCGCAAGTCCCATTTTGACACAACTAACGAGCGGTCGGGGACGAACGAATTTCGCGTGAGTGTGTCTCGCTGTTGCGATCGTTGAGCAAGGCCAACCGTTTTTGGTTTTCACACATCTGTGATCACATATGACAACAGGGCTTCTTCACGCTCTTCTGGATTTCTTTGTTCCTCTTTACCGTGCAGACGTACGTATCCTCACTGGAGGCGAATGGGTATGCACTCTCGTTTGCATTCGCTACCATGTTCTCCCGCGACGCCATTGTCCTCGCAATATCTGACGCGGTTCTCGTTCTCACGACGGCGCTCTGTGTTCCGTTCGCAAAAGCCGTAACGCGTGGTCGATTAAGATATTACTGGATGGGCGTGGTGCTACAACATATCCTTCAGACTACCGTACTGGTTGCTGCTGTCGTATGGACTTACCATCGGTGCGATCATTTGTTCTGTGCTGTTTTTCTGGCGTTCACTGAGACATACACCACCGGTCATCAGACAATGGCCGTGGGTACAGTCCGGCTTTTTAACTCTGCATTCCTTCGTACGTATTTGTACTTTCTACCTCGATTACCCCCCTCATATAGTCGTTCGCAATGTCACAGGTGATGATCATGAAGATGCATTCGTACATGTCTATTAATGGTTACCTACAAGACGTTTTGGAACGCTCGCAGCACGCATATGAAGAACTCCAAAGTCTTACTGAAGAACAAGTAGTGGGAGGTTGGGAGAGTGCATTGCACGAAGCCGAAGCGAAAGTCAAAGAAGCGTCTAGGAGGAAAGACAATACCGGCGGCGTTGACGCCTATGGAAGCCAGGACCAAGAATCATCAATAGGGACTCCAGAGGCGGAGGCCGTCATCCGCTCTCTTGCAGACCCGAGTACTGCAGATGCCTTACGTCGCAGACTGGTGGCTGTTTCTGAAGGGCGAGATGCTAGCAAACTAGACCGCGGGACGTCTGCAGACATTGCGTTCGATGTCAAGGGAACGAATTCTTCAACATACACCCCTTCACGCCCTGCAACTCCAATTCCTGCACACGGTGTTTCGCGAGGTGTTTCCAGTGTTACCTGTGCCTCGCTATTGATCCACCACCCGAATCTCAGTGTTGCGTCTACTGCCCATAAATTCTTAGACTTGGACTCTGAACTCGTATCGACGGGACCAAAGAAACTACGCTATCCGGATAACGTGACACTTGGTAACTTTATCGAGTATATGCTCGTTCCGACGTTGGTCTACGAGTTAGAATATCCCAGGACTGACCGGTGCGTCTTTCATAATGCGGATGGTGGCAGTCATTTTCTTGCGATTGCCAACGTTGTTATTTGTACAGCATTCGACCCTTGTACGTGTTCGAGAAGACTGCCGCCTTTATGGGTTCCTTTGCACTGCTTTACACGGTCACGGAGAGCTTCATTATTCCCCTCACACCTACCCCTGGCCAGTCATTCTTCCGAAGCTTATTGGATTTAGCGCTTCCGTTCATGATCGCATACCTTTTACTATTCTATATTATATTCGGTGAGTGTTTCATGCAGGCTCGCGTTAGCCTTTTTGTACTCATGGCACACAGAATGCATATGTAATGCTTTTGCGGAATTGTCTCGGCGAGTAGCATTCGTACAGTATTTTTGAGGTGGACTAACCTTGGTATGTCCAGCTTTGCTGATCGGCAGTTTTACGAGGATTGGGTGCGTGCTATTTCAGTATAGTTGTGACCTTAGCTAATGCGAACACTGCAGTGGAACTCTACATCTTGGGACGAGTTCTCTCGTAAATGGAACAAACCTGTGCACACCTTCTTGCTCCGACATGTCTACGCATCCACGCTCGCATCTTACCCCTCCTTATCTCGCACAGGTGCAATGGTGATGACGTTCCTGCTCAGTGCAGCTGCCCATGAGCTAGTAATGGTGATTGTGACCCACAAGATACGGTGCGTGTTGCCGTAGCATCCCTCCCGTTCACACAACTGCCGACCGAAATCTAACTGTATGGTCCCAGGCTCTACCTATTCCTCATGCAACTCGCCCAAATTCCCCTCATTCTAGTCTCTAGGGCACCCGCCATCAAACGCAACAAACTCCTTGGAAATGTGGTATTCTGGCTCGGATTGTATGCAGGGTTCCCACTCTTGTGCGTTGCCTATGTTGCCTATTGATAATGAAGACGCGTTGGTACCCCGGCAGAACGGCCGGTCCTCCTCGTCGCACAGTTACCCCACTCTTTTGTTATCTATGCAAAGTATATCTAATATTTCTTTATAATCAAACCGCATGGATACACGGGCCCAATTTCGTGATTCTCTCTCCACTGTTATCGGTGGCGGATGCTTTATATCTTGGGCGTAGCGCGGGGACAGCATAAGATCCACTATAACATCATTTTCGAGCGCACTGCAATGGCAACGTGCCCATGTGAACTCTCCTAGCAGAGCAATGCTTCCCAGGAGTTTGGAATCACATGTGGCGCGATCAATAGCTCCAGTTAGGTGTGGGCTAGTGTAGGTCACAGGAGCCACCTCCACATCAATGGGCTGCGGTTGGTCCTTATCATCCACCTTGGGAGTGGACCACTTCTCCGGGAAGATAAACGCTAGAGATTTTAAAGCTTCAAGTACTGTTAGCCTGCATCCAGCAAGGTGAATAATAAGTAGATCACATAGCTATAATGGGTTTGGGATGTTCAGAGAACCCTTCAGCGGCAGTTGGGTCAACGTAATTCTCTGGGTCCGGGTACACGCTGGTAAACGTCTACATCAATTGTTGAGCCAGCAGTGAATCATAACTTGGTTCATGAACAAAAAAAAGCACTACTCGGATACGGGGAATCGAACCCCGAGCTGCCGCGTTTCGATCATATATGAGAGGCGGCAATGTTAGCCGTTACACCATATCCGATACGAAGTATACGTTGCGCTGCACAATAAACCATACCTGTTGATTTGCGGTACATCCAAGGCACAGAGGCACAGGAACCTCGCACGGAAAGAACATCCTACCGATCCCCTGAGTTGGGAATTCACGGTTGACGTTGAGAATTGAGTCTGATGACTCACCGGCACCAGTGAAGCTCGGGCATAAGCTGCTTGTTTTGTTCACGCACCGACTCTTGGGGTGGGGGAAGGTTGGAAGCACACACAATTAGGTCATGGTTTTGCGGACTAGCATATTACAGTCGGTAAAGCCTATCAGTAGTAACGCACCCTCAAAGAAGACGCGATTTTTTAACAAAAAAAGTCCACGTTGACGGTTGGAGAAGGGGGATACGGGTGTTACAGCGTGGGAGCAAGGATGGACGGATAATAGCGGGCGCATCGGCGTGGGCGAGTTCTCGGCCATCGGGACTAACGCATATAATAAGTTGTAGGCAGTGTCGTGTGAGACGTCGTTCAGCGGGTCGACGGCTTGCATGGATCCCTGATAATAATATTTGGAGCTCGGGATTCGGTGTTGGGGTGTATCCGTTTTCCACAAACGGAAGAAACAATGATTTGGAACCGAACAAGCCACGCCGCCCAGAGGTTGCCATAATGAATGACGAGGAAGGGGAAGACATATATAAAGTCTCGCCTGGTGCATTTCATCCCAATACACACACACCCGTAGAGCGAGCCCACAGTGCGTGCTAACCACGTTGGCGCTAGCCTATCTGCCTCATATCACCCGCATCCATTGCATCGTGCCAGCGCTCGGCTCTCCTAGTACAAAAGGATACCCTCCTCGCTGCAACGTGTTCAAACTTGGGTTCACCGCAACTGCCATCTTCACCCCCGCAATTTGGTTCGTCTGTCGTTCTTCTTATACCTCCCATCTTGTTCACAGAACTACCACAGACACCCCACATACCGATCTTTCCGTTAGGTTCTCCCTTCTGCCCTCGCCATGACAGTAAAGGAGCAAGTCAAAGAGATCATTCATGACATCAAACATCACTTCTCCCACCATAAACATCATCGTGACGAAAGTAGCACATCCTCGCATACTCTCGTCTCCGATGACTCTTCCCACACTGCCCACTCGGGTGGACACTCTCGCCCCGGAACCCCAGAGCGTGGTGAGTTAAGCTCACATCTCGGAACTCCCGAACATGGGGACTTCGTTCCCACCACTCCAGAGCGCAAACGCGTTCTGTCTGTGTCGTCTCATAAGCACAACGTATTTCTCAAGTTGAGACGCAGAAAGAGCTCCAATCTCTCCATCGACCCACGCTCCAAGACTCCCGAGCGTGAAGTCTTTCCTAACGGTTCCCAGCCGGGCACGCCCGAACACTCGGTTACGTCCTCAAATCCTGGTACCCCTGAATCGTCCTCGTTCAACCATGGAAGTGCTCGGCAGCGTGTTCCCTCTACGCCTACGCGAAAGCCTAACGTCTTGCACAAGTTTAGGCGAGGAAGCTCCCATTTCAAGTCCAGCTCGGAGCCCCATGCGCCTGAGAAGGGCGAGATACCGGTTATCCATCATCACAGCAGCATGAGCAAGTTGCGCGAGCATTTGGGGTCTCATGCCCCTGAGACGACCGAGTTACCAGCTATTCATCATCACAGCAGCCTAAGCAAGTTACGCGATGGCCAGGATGTGTTCCAGTCCGACGCTGAGGCCGATCGGGAAGTTGCGGAGACCGCCACGGCAAAGGACGGCGAGAGCACACACGGCCCGTTGCCGATCATCATCACCAGTCCGCCAATGGAGGAAAAGACAGAGTCCTACGGTGGCTACACTGCATCCGTCCATGTATGAGGGCGGTGTGGATATCATCGATCGCCCCAGTGTCCAGTTGGAATGCGAGCCAGTACCTGAGGCAGAGGAGGAAGTGGCCAGCGAAGATACAGGCAGTTTCGTGGAGGTCGACCGCGTACAAACTCAGACGAACTTGGACACGGAGCAGAATCAGACGGACTTGGACATGGAGCCGACTGAGACAAACGTGAACGTCGGGCAGACTCAGGCAGACTCGGACACTGTGCAGACTCAGACGGACTTGGACGTCGGGCAGACTCAGGCAGACTTGGATGTCGAACAGACGCGAACAGACTTGGACGTTGAGCAGACTTGGGCAGACTCCGACATCGAGCAGGGCCTGACAGACTTGGACGGCGAGCAGACTCGGACAGACTTAAACGTCGGGCAGACTCAGGCAGATTCGGACACCGTGCAGACTCAGACAGACTTGAAGGTCGAGGAGACTCAGGCAGACTCGGACATCGAGCAGAGTCAGACAGACTTGGTCGTCGAGCAGACTCGGTCAGACTTAAACGTCGAGCAGGGTCAGGTAGACTTGGATGTTGAGCAGGGTCAGGCAGACTTGGATGTCGGACAGATGCGGACAGACTTGGACGTCGAGCAGGGTCAGGCAGACTTGGATGTCGAACAGACGCGGACAGAGTTGGACGTCGAGCAAGCTCAGACAGACCTGGCTGTCGAGCAGATACAGACAGAGTTGGGCGTCGAGCAGGGTCAGGCGGACTTGAACATCGGGCAGGATCAGGCCGAGGCAGAAACGCAGACTTCAGCGGAGCCAGCTTCCGAGGGTCCAGTCGTTGCCCCTATTTCCTAGAAAGTGTGCGACTCTTCTTCCGCTTCTGACCCTGTGGCAATTATCGACTCCGCTTTGAACCCCGACGGCAATGACCGGAAGAGCGTGGAAGTTCCCCGCGCTGATCCAGTGACAGTCGATCCACCTGTGCTCGCTGTCATCGACAGGCGATCAAGACATCGCAACCGAAGAGGTCAAGGAACCAATTGGGTCAGAAATGTTCACAACGAAAGACTGACCACGAGGCTGAAGTTCAAGCACAATCCACCGTCGATACCTCCCTGAGCGAGGAGACCACGCTGGCTCAGTCGGTCCCTTCTCTTCCAGAACCAGTCAATCCCCATGTTTCATCAACACATCCGACACCATCCGCATCGGCTTCGATACCAAGCAGTTCACCCTACCTCCCTCGTCTGACGGCTCCTACTATGTTCCTCCCAATCCCAAATGTACGCGTCGTTTTTCCATTCTGGAGTCTTTTGGGGTGGCTGGCTCCGTGGCGGGTGTTCTCTTTCTTCCGCTCTCTGTTTTCCCGGTCTTCATCAGAAGACGCGTCGCATTCGTTGTCATCTGCCTCGTTGGAACTAGCCTCCTCCCATTATCATCCCCAATTTTACCTCACGTTCCCCTCACCCTTTTTGTCTGCATCCCCATTATTTACGGGGAGCCCGAAGTCGCACGACTCGCGCTCCAGCCTGCCGCGGTGAAGGACGTCACCGTTTGCCCCCAGCCACCTGCCCCCGTTACTCTATGTTCATAGCTGATGCTAATGCTGGACTGGTTCCTAGACCGATCCTTTGAGTCCATTGCTCACCAAACATGTCCCTCCGGAACAAAGGCCGCGAAGGGATGTGACTGGAGAGTGGACTGGCAGAGAGATGCACGAGATGGTTGTGAGTTTCATTCTCAGCCTGTTGCTCGCTCTTATTATTTGTTGGTACTTCTGAGTTTTTTCCCTCTTTCCCTTTTTTTCTTTCCATCCCGCGTGCCTGCGCTCGCTAATATCTTTTTCCCGTCGTTTTCTTGCTTTCTTTTTCTATGTTGTACGAGTACCTCGATCGCAAAGGTGGTCCTTGTATTCCTGTGTAGCGATCTCGCAAACCCTAAAAATATATGAGCAACATAGACCTGACTGCCATTCGATGCCAATATCGCTGCAATCTTTGAAACTACCAACCCCACGTCTCCCTCTCTTCCAGTGTCGCGTCAATGTCGGAGAAACGGCAGGTGCTGATGTGCGGTCCCACTTATAGATGTCAAATTCGTGGCGAGCACTGGCGAGAATGGCACGAGGACCTCATTGTGGTCAGTGACCCCGAGGACCTATCTCGTATTCTAGATGTGAGTGTTTGCATGTTTCTTTTCTGAGATTCTCCGAATACCGTGCACGCCCCGCGCTGCATGACCCTCCATCTACGCCTTGAGGAAGAGGAACTAAGCAATTGCCTTCTGTCCAGCTCTGGTCCCTCCGCCTATCTGCCCTGGCTCGTCTCCGTCTCACTAACCAGGCCTCTGCGGAATGCACCAACCTCTTCGCCGTCTTGAATGCGATCCCACCCACTGCATCTACAGCGAGCTTAGCATCTGGCGCAGTGGCCCTCCATAGCGCTACAGTATCTGCCACTCCCAAATCGCCCGCGGCGACTTTACGGCCACAGTCCCCTGCTACGGTCATGCAGCAGGCCGGGCTTTCCCTTTCCGCGCCAGTCGACGCCTACACAGCGTCTCTCTCCCCTTCCAGGTGTGGCGCATGCTCAACCGCAGTCACAGACTCGAGCACTCGCGACACGTTTGAGTGCGCTGTCTGCGTACCCGTTTGAACTATCGGTCTTGCGGGCGCGAGTCCATTATTGGGCGGGAGACGTAAGGGGATATATCGACGCGCTTGCTGGGCTGTTGGCGGGGTGTAAGGCAAAGGCGAGGGCTGAGGGTAAGATCGTGCGGGATTTGACGGGGGCGAAGGCACCGAAGCAGAAGGAGGGTGAGCCTAAGGGAGCTGTCGAGCCGGGTGCGGATAGGGATAATCAAAAGGAAGGATGTGAGGATGAGGATGGGGACGGTGACGATGATGATGACGACGACGACGACGACGAAGACGAAGACACGGAGACCGATGATCAGTCAGAGGAGGGAGAAAATTCTGAGAAGGAAAATAACCAGGAAGGAGACGAAGAACAAAGATCGGACGAGCAGCATAAAGCAGAAGCAGAAGACAACGCTGATGCTGACGAGGAGGAGGATGAGTCAGACGGCGCACTCGCCACCGCAGAGGCCAACTTCTCAATGTGGCTCGAACGTTCCGCCCGCGTATGCCTTATGATCGCGAGCCAGCTAGTCGAGATAAAGGATTATCATGCCGCGATAACACTCCTCACGCCGCTGTGCACGCAACAGCTTTCCCCAGGTACCGGCGCCGCACCAACACCTGTGCCGTCGCCTGCTATCCATTCTGCTGTTGCTCGTATCTATCTTCTCTCTGGAAATATCCCGAAAGCAACGGAGCATTTCAAGATCGTCGCCTCGTGCGCGGACGCCGAGCCTGGCACCGTCGCGATGAATACGGCCCTCTTGTGTTCTGCTAGTGGAGATTGGCCTCGTGCAGAGGCAGCGCTAAGGGGGGTGCTAGAGCAGGATCCTCGGAATTACACTGTAAAGTCACATCGGATTTCAGACTCGCATACAAATGATGACGCTGCCCGTCTGTAGGCGATGAACAATCTCGCTGTGACTTTGCTCGCGCAAGGAAGGGTCAGGGATGTAAGTCACCGCATTTTGCTATGACGCTGTTCGCATCCAACCGGTGTGGTTCACCACCCATTTTCAGGGCATCGGACTCCTTGAATCGGCTATACATGCGTCCCCCGCGTCTGTGCTCTCTGCGGAGCCTTTCATCTTCAACCTTTGTAAGTTTTGCTCGTCGTAGTTGCTTTTTGAGATACTTTCGTGGCTAATTGAGCTTTCCTCCAGCAACTCTGTACGAGCTTCGTTCTTCTACCGCTATTGACAAAAAACGGGAGTTGTTAGTAGAGGTTGCGAGGTGGAGTGGGGACGGGCTTAGGGCAACGTGCTTGAAGATGCCCTCCACTTGACTTGCTGATTGTTCAAAGTGCGCTCATTGTAGATCAGAAATATCTCATAACTTGTTTTTCTTTTCTGTCTTGATTGTGACGCAACAATAGCATGCGGTTGTAAGATTTATAGTAGATCTGCATTTACTAACATATAAGGTAGATTCTCATAGCTATGATGGAGAAGCACAAAAAGAGAAGAGAAGAGCAAGAAAACCGATGAACAACGGAACAAACTGTGCGGCACATTGTGGTTGTGGTATATATGCATTACAAATTGAGGGCAAGGCAAAAATGATGACTGGCAGCGCAGACATAGACACTAGACACATGGGTAGTTAAGATGGTATGTGAACGGGTAAAATGGTTCTTGTAAACTCCGAAAAGGAAAAAAAGAAAAAAGAAAACATTAAGACTGTTGGAAAATAAACATTTAAAATGGTCATGGATAGCTTCGTGATACATTTTCAGATAACAAAAATTTCTAGTGCGTGCATGGATCGTGAGGTTTCCGCTTGAGCCAGAGTAGGGTGCTAACGTTTGGATACGGCGCTCTACAAGCCAGCTTGCCGGTTAAGCATGTAGAGCTGCAGGTCTTGCCAACCACCGCCAACCCGACACATGACCTTCTTCGTGGTCGTCTCTCCACTCGTTCTACTACCGGAACGCGTCAGAGTCGTAAGGCGGCACGTAACAACTTTCCTTGCTAACGAATTCGAGAACGCGTACGATGCTCTGATTTCTTCCCCTTCCTTGGGGATTTTCTTCAGAGGCGGGTCAACTCGCTCAATAAGGAGCCCGTGAGGGATAGAGTTCACGATCGCTGCCACCTCAGCATCGAGCGGGTCCTTCGGGTTCGATGGAACATATATATTCATGGGCTGATGGGAGTCGAGACTTGGAGTGTGCGCGCCTGCACGCGAGCCGGGTCGAGATGGCGTGCGTGCCGTAGATGAATCGCGATAGCTCGACGGGGGGACCTTCCCGCCCGGCAAGGAAGCGCGTCCGGCAGGTCGTGCCGCTGTGAATACCGGAACTTGCTGTACCCTCGTCTTCAATGCGGACTCCGGTGTTTGTGCCCTGGACAATAGCCCACCGTTCCTGTTTGCGTCTAGGGGACTCTCTGGTCGATAGAATGATAACGTCGACGACGGCCGGGACTCAGAAGAGACGTGAACACTGGGAAGTGGTATTCGGGACCTGCTGGGCGGTCGTGGAGGGTGCAGACGAGATCCGCTTGGTGTACCTGACCGCAGCGTGGCATGCGCGCCGGGCGACGAGGTGGAAAAGGTAAGTGTGGGGGAGAATGCGCGTTGCATTAAGGTGAGTTCTGCTTCGTCGGTGTCGTCGTCATCGCCGTGTTGCCGTGCAGATACTGAACGCCCGTGTAAAGAAAGTGCAGGAACTGGGATTCCACTGGGCGTGCGGGGTCGAGGACGCGGGGTTGTCCCTAAACCTGGAGTCTGTGTGCGAGAAGGAGGTGGGAAAAGGATGGGTAATGGAGGTATGGACGGATTGGATGATGGAGCAGTAGATATAGATGAAGTTACGGGTGACCACGGCCGCGATGAGGCGTTTGAATTGGAGCTACGTGATAGGCTTCTGTGGGATGGTGTAAAAGGTACCAAAGGGGGACGGTCGGAAGAAATAACGGATTTGGCTGTTGGCCGCTTGGATGGAGCGGGCTTGACAGTCGCCACCCCATCTGTCTCGACTTTAGTGGACGCGTTCCAGGGTTGTTTAGTAGATTTCTGCCTTATGGTGACATTGGCATCCAGTGCGTCGGGACGCTTTGAGGCAGGAGAGGATTCAGGTGTGAGGCTCTGGCTGTATTTGTGGCCTTTGTGATCGGGGGTAAGTGGTGTGCCTTTGCTACCGAATACAAAGAGGGATGACCGCTGCCGCCGAATTGTTTTTGCCGGAGGCTCTGAAGGGGTTTGCGATTGTAGTGACTGAGATGATGCTCGCGAAACTGGTAACGAGTCTGGTGGAGTAGCAGGGGACCTGACACTCCCTGTGAGCTTCTTCGCAAGTTTCTTTAAGGGCGACATCGACCTTGACAGAGAACTCGTCGCTGTCGTCCCTCTGCTTGTACGGCTGGACGCCCGACTGCCCTTCAGCGACCCACTAGGTGGAGTGGCTAGGTAGCCATTGGCGGTGGTGTTTCCCGAGCTTGAGCCTGTTTCGCTGAGTGCTTGATCTGCACTGACGAGAATTTTCCGGATAATCTCCATTTCCTTCTCCGTGCGATCCATGCGTTCTCGGAGAAGACGCCATCGCTTCGCAGCTTCCGCATGCCGTCGGAGTGCCTCTCCATTCTTAGTGACCCGATTGCGTACACCGTTGTCCATGATTGCGAGTACCTTTGTTGTTGCAGGCACATAATGTCTGGCGAATGAGTGAGTTTCACAAAAGAGAAGAACATCTGATATAAGACTCACTCCTTCTTGGCGTTGAAAGAACCCAAGAGAGTGTTGAACGTTTCCAGGGTTATGGGCGATTTCTCTGAACGTAGCGAACTACACGATTCTCGAGACGCGCTTTCCCCACCCCGTTTGTACACTTGGCGTATGAAATCCTTGGGAGTCCTTAGGAAATGATATCGTCGAAACGTCAAGGCTAACGCTTACCTGGCATTTATTAACGGCTTTCTCCAGGCTAACCATCATCCCATCTGCTTGTTCGGTGACGGTTCGGAATACGGTGATCCACTTGTCCTCTTTGAGCTCTTGCTGGAGCTCATCGGTCTCCTGTTGGACCATATCCCACTCTTGAAGTAGTGCAGCGTGCTTTCTTAGCACAATGGCACGCTCTGTTGTCTCTTCCAGTCGCTCTCCTCCCGTTGGCCGAAATGGTGCAATCGACTCATTGACAGATTTCAAACCACGGTCGATCGCTTCCAGACGGTCAGTCATGGACATGAGAGCATTGTCGATTTCAGCGGTTACAGCGGCATCTATGCCTCCGTCGGTCTGGGGCTTGTGTCGCAATTCTTGTATCTCTATAGTATTAGGCGGACGTGGGTTCAGTCAACCCAGGAGTTCGATTGAAACATGCCACTGGAAAAAGAAAAACCACACACCGAAGATACGCGTTTGAATGTCCGATAAACTGTAAGATAGTTCGGTGATGTGCGTTAGGATGGCGAGTAATCGGATGTCCCTGACATGTCAGAGTGGCTTTTAAGTAACCGTCCACTTACTGTATCCTCTGATGACGAGGTTGGGTGACTTACTCCTGGCTTTTCCGCTTTCCGTTTAATGGCTTTGGTGCCAATGAATGACTTGCAGTTATCGTTACATTCTCTAGTACAGAGAGAGGACAGGGCAAAGAGGTCACGTAAGGTTCCGAAAGATGTGGGTTCTCTGGAGTCGGACCCTACCTTCGTCTTCTGCCGTCAACGAAATGCTGACCGAGGATGACGACGCAGGCGACGGAGTCCCGAGGGAACTCCTGGGTATAGCAGGAGACGGGGTGAGTGAGTGGTAGTGAGAAAGCGGAGTCGAGTTTGTGCTGGGAGGCGAGAGCAGTGACATGTGTGAGTATTGTGTGTGTTTATGTCGTTCTCGTCGGTGCAGGACCGCTCGATAGGCCTTGAAGGGGAGGATCCGCCGAGGCGACGCCAAAGGTTTGTTGTGTGATCAACGGGTAGCAAGCACGACACAGCCAGAAACCTGGACAGACACGGCGGACCCTCCCGCGGAACTTGACCACTTTGAGAGACACCGAAAAAGCTGAGGAGACTTGCAGCAGACAGGCTGCCAGGTGTTGAACGCGATATGTACACTCGGTCGAGGGAATTACCTGACAACGTTCGAAGATAAAGTGGTGACGACGAGCACGGCAGGCTCCGGCTACACTCGAAAATGACATTCTGTTGTAGTACAGTATTGGGTTATGTACGTATGTACTCGAGCAACGATGGCAACCGCAAACCATAATCCAAACTTTAGGAATCAACGATCGTCAATCCTCTCTTGTTTCCAGCGAATCCACCTCCATAGGATTGACACTCGTCTTTGGTACCTTGATGGTCGGAATAGCGCTTGCATCACCTGTCACACTGTCCGGTAATGGTTGGAACGGAAGATACGTCTCTATGGCATCCCTCTCCTCCTTTTCTCTGGCCCTCGCACGCCAATGCTCTTCCAAACCTTGGCGCGCTTCCTTATCCGCTTCCCGAATCATGGCCACTCGCGTGGACCGCCACCGCACGGGATCCATCGTGTTGTTGAACCCAGGCGTAAGCCCCTCTAACGCCCAAAGTTGACTAGCTTCAACGAGGCCCCCACTTTCGACATCAAGCGCTTTCTCGACGCAAGCTTGAAGTAACGGGTGTTGGAGTAGCCGGGGGTAATACCGACCAGCGATAAGATTTAATGAGATAACTGCCTCGTATCCTGGTGTGAGAACAGGTCTAAACTTGAAACCCTCCGGCGGCGGGGGAAGCGAGAAGGGTGAGGAAAGGATGGGATGAGAAAGTAACTGGTTCGGGCTCTGTGCTTTTGTTTGACCGGGAACCGTAATCGAATCTGTGTGTGAGACGACATCCGACGTCGTTCCCTCCACCGGTACAGCAGGATTCGGATTCGCAAGCTGCGATCCCGAGGGAGCCTCAACGGAAATGCTGCCAGCTACAACGCCATTGGCAGAACTTGCAGGAGTTTCAATCCCACTCGACTGATCTGTGGCTTTTCCCTTCCCCTTGCCATTTTCCTTGCCGCTTCCTGATCCTTCGCCAGTGTCTCCTTCCCAGTCCTCATCTACAAGCTCATACAGCATACCTGTCGCCCTACACTCCTTCCCAGTTGATCCATTCACTTTCGGTACATCCACAACATAAAGTCCTTCGAGGAGCATGAACAGACCCCTCCCTGCTGCGCCCATTATATCTTCGCAATCGCTCGAACCCTCGTCAAGGGTACGAGCGTATTCGATGGCTTTGCGAGACGGTCCAGCAGGTGGTAGTATATTTTCCGCGCCCTGTGGCGCAACTTGTCCGCGAGAAAGCTTAAGCCGCACGAGTTCATCCGTCCAAATGCGCTCTGCGCCCCACCAGAGTCCCTGGAAGCGAGTCTGGGTAATAGTTTGGGTTTGTGCCAAAGTCGGTAGGGTGGGCGCGGGAGGCCCAGCAGCAGAGATCGACTCCGAAAGCGACGCATTATAAGCCATGCTAGCATTCATTACAGCGTGGAGCGACGTGCTGTCATTCTTAAATGCCGGTAAAGGCGGCGGCGGCGTCACCACTTTCGGAGATGGAGGGATAGCAAATTTGTATTCCCAATCGTCCGTTGGTGTCCAGTATCCAGCCAGATTTGCGGCAATCTGAACTGCAAGCGCGAATGGTGCTGCAGCCTCGGCGAATTGTGTCGTGGCTGAGGGCTTGAAGGCGTCCGTGTTGGTGTTCATTTGCTCCAACGGGACACGGTGGATCGCTTGTATCAACTCGTCAGAAGGCGCGTGAGCTTGGTACGGTAGAACCTGGTCGGCACGAATGTTGTACGAGTACGGAATCCCGAGTAATTTTATCTTGTACCACAATGTCTGGACAACTGTCCAAGGGACCTGTTTGTCCTCATCGTTGTATGTGGATTTGGAGGTGGAATTTGAAGATTCGGCGGCAGGCGCCTCGTTAGAGCCATCGGCAGCGTCCGCCATGACAATATCTGCTCCAGCTGCCTTTTCAACGGTTTCATCAGATGACTTTGGTTTGGCTACCGCCTCCGACTTTATTTTTGCCTCTTCTACCAACCCCGGCCAAAACGTGATCGCATCCTTGTCGCCCGTGAGGCCGAGTATAGGGGGGTTTAAAGCGCACCACAATAATTCTCCGTCTCGGAACCAACGCCGTAATTCCATCTCTTCGGCATAGGCTGTTCGAAGATCTGCATTGCGTTCCCTTGACATGTTTTGCTTTGGACCTGCGGGCTGTTTGACGGGACGTGGGGCACGGCGGATTGAAGCATAGGGTTTTCCACGATCCCGCACTTGACGGGCAGATGCAGATGTGGAAGCAGAAGCACCGGGCGCTCGCTGGCCACGAGTTGAAGGAGCACCAGTCAATGGGGTCGACCGTCTTGGCAATAGACCCATCGACGCAGTGATCTCGCGCTGTGGTTTCCTATTGCAGTACTTACAGGAGCAATTAGCCCGATTGAGAGTGGGATCGGTGAGAAGCCAGAGTGCATGAGGGGTGAACTCCGGAACCGAGCGGAAGCGTTTGACGTGGCGGGATCCTGCGAGGGAGGTGGTATGAGGGGTTATATGGTGCAAAGCCAACATGACGCACCCATGAGATATGCATCGTGGCGCGGTCCACTTACTGGACCTTTATTGTGGTCGAACATCTGGTAGCCCTCCGGCCATCCGCGCAAAACATAGCTTGGGCCAACTGTTCAGTATGCCAGGGCATATCAACGCTTCCCCATGTCTGATGATAAAAGCGACCGCACCAGGCTTATTCAGACGAACTGCCAAACTAGCACCAACCTCGCATCTCCACTTGATACAGAGACTTTCATCGAGAGGAACAGGACGCATGAAATTGACATGGCCTTCGCTGTCGACAACGCGTGTTGTGTTTGTTGGCCATTGGTCTGTATCGCCGTCAGATGTCAGGAAATCGATGAACGACGGGTTGGCAGGCAGGACGTGGCCCGTTGATACACCGCGCGCCGACATGGCCAAATGCACCAGGAGAACCAGTGGATTAGTCAGCAATTGTGAACGACTGCCCACGCTGTGCAGGATTTCCCACGGGTGGCTGGCTTCTTTCCTCCATGCCATGAAAATTGTGCACGATTATCTTCCGTCGAGTCTTTGGTTTGCCTAGCACACCGCTTGACCTCGCAGGACACTACGGTGGTGTCTGGGAACCGTGCATGCACTACATATGTGTCATGCATCACAGCCGTACTTATCAACGTCTTGCACAGGGACCAACTGGCATTGGCGTTAAACAACACGGCGAGAGAGAAGTACCAAGTTGTCCCTGCAGAACGTCTACTTGTCCTACTTTCTTACCAAGCTGATGCTTTGATAGGGCCGCACATGAGAGTTTTATTTGAACCGGACAAGGTGACATGCAATTCATGCTTCCTGCTCGTGGAGTCACGATATACAGTATCGTTCGCAAGACAAGCTAATGCTTTTGCCCGCAGATGTCAAGTGTTCGGTGACTCTGACACTAGGAAAATGTTGCGAGATCGTTCACGTCCGGAAGGCAGTAACTCGTGTACTCCCGTTCACCTTCTTTCCTCGTTGGAAGCAGATCGAACACTTGCCATCTACCGAGCGTGTTCAAAAAGTCACTCCAATCGATTGGGCTTTGCCCCGCTATCGCCTGCAACACTAGTGTGGTGTTTGCGCCCGAGTTCTATCGTTAGCTGGACTTGGAATATGTCGTGTACACTGGTCAACGCAGAGGAACTCGATGTTGCCATGAATAAAATCGATGTTTGATAAACATGTTGGTCCTTGTAGCTAGATGCCGGCCCGCTGCTCTCGCTTGTCAGGTGAAACCACCGTTGTATTAATCTAGGCGAGACTGCCAGGTCGATAAACCGATTGGTAGTTCGTGTGACCCGAATTACTGACGGCTACTCAGTAGCAACTTGAGCTTGGGCAAACGACAACAGCAGCAATCAGTTCAGGGTAAGCACGTCAAGGATGGCTGCCCAGGCGCATGCGGAGACAGAGTTTCCCGAACTTGTCAGATTCAGGGAGGAGTGGAAGGAGGAAGTCCGTCAGCGGAGGGCGGCACGCCAGCAAACCGAGTCAGAACCCCCGGACTCGCAGACACAGAGGCATGCACCACCACTGGTTGGCACCTCCCAGCTTCCCCCAGCATCCACTACAGCCTGCGATAGTTCCGACTTACCAGTTCAGCCATTGTCACAGGCTGACTTGCACAACCGAGTTGCGGTCAGCGTTTCAAGAGCGTCTCTCTACACATCCAATAGCGAGTCCAACAATAGTTCTACTTTAACTCGCGCAGTCGGGATATATCGAAGTGCAGTACAACACGAACAGGAGGGCCGACTAGATGAAGCTCTCAAACTATACAGTCAGGCTTTCCGTTTGGAGCAAAACGTTGACCGCACGTACTTCTGGGAGGAACAAAGGTCCCAGCAGTTGGCAATTCCGTCCCCTCTTGCAGCAGACTTGGGTGGTCTTCTGAAGGCCACGTTTACGGGCAAGAGCAAAGTAAATGCAGCACAGGGCACCACCATTATCAAGGCTGATACGAAGGACAAATACTGTGCATCAGGGGCTTTGGCCAAACTCATTGCAAACTTCCCTGCCGAACTTGCATTTACACCAGAGGACGAGCGCGAAGGCGTAGCTCTCAACGTGATTCCGGACGAATTACTTTTGAACGTTCTGCGTAGCCTGGATACAACCACCATCGAGCGGTTCGCAGCCGTTTGTCGCAAAGCCCGTGTGCTCAGCCTTGACTCGTCGATATGGAAGTAAATAATACATTTGCATTGCGTTGTAAAGCACCTGACACATTTCATCAGGGACTTCATATATATGGCCTATAAACCCCCTCAGATCCCTGACGCAGACTCAGTGAATGCGATAATCAAACGCTTTAATGCTGATTATCGACAAACTTACATAGAGCAGCCTCGTCTGCGACTAGACGGGGTGTATATCTCTGTATGCCATTATGTGTGAGTCCTTTCGTTTATTACACAGGATGACCTTTCGAACACGTTGCCAGTCGCCGGGGTGTGAGCGATTACGCGTGGGTTAACGTAGGTCGTAATCTCACAATTTCTCTCCGCATTCCAATCGCTACACCCAGAGCATGCATCTCGTTACGTACCACCGGTATCTGTACGTGTTTTTTCCAACCCCTCGTTGTATGTACGTCCAAATGTTTTATGTATGCGCTAGGCGCTTCTTTGCGGACGGAACCGTGCTTTCGCTGCTTGCTAACGAAGAACATACACCTCAAAATGTCATACCTGTTCTCAAGCCATCACTGCGTATGAAGGTACAGTGTGCATGACTCCTATCTCGATCTGCGTTTTACGTTTTCCCAGGGTTTCACCGTAGGCAATTGGCAACTTGATGGGTCGATCGTTCGAATATCCAACTTGGTACGTGCCGTTTCCAGTGCATTCCCATGTGACCTGCTCACTTACGCTCTCGCACTGTATCGTGTGGGTAGCATTCACCACACTATTATCCTTCGTCTCGCTACAATTTTCAGATGTCTCTTGCACTTCAGTCCAAGCCGCTTGGGCGGTGGAACAGGCTTGAGGTTCTCTCATACGAGTCAGTCAATGTTGAAACAGGGGAGGTCGCACCTTTTGTTCTCAAGCACGAGCGACCTTTCTGGTTTTCGAGAGTCAAGAGCTACCCTGGATACCATTAAGACAGTGGCCTGCCCATCGACGTGCTTCATACTAGGTTTGGTATTTCTCAACATAGTCTTGCAACTATGCTAACCCATACTGTCTTGGCTGTGGTTCATGTGTGTACTCAATATTGATTGATTCTTACTTGTGGTATGTCAAGTAGGTGGCCATGTCTGTGCTGGAAGTCTGCCACTTTGCAAGCACAATTTACTAAAGAGCTTTTCAATGTCATTGGAGAGGACAGTTCAGCTTCAGGATCAGAGATGTGTCTGGGTGGAATACTGAGATAAAACTTACCATTTACATATGGACATCATGTCAAAAGTTGTGATGGTATGTGTAATGGAGGTTCAGACTTTTACATATATGGCAAATCTGTGAGCATGTAGATACATTGTAAAATACAAGGGTATATCAAACTAAACTGCCATAAAACATTGATGCCACTCTCTGCCATGAACCATCTGGCTTAAGTCCAGCTCCAGGCAACTGCCTTTTGGGATAACTGCTGTGTTCCACACTGAATAAAATGGCCTCTGAAATGTTGGAGGTATCCAGAGTAACAATCTCCCCTTTGGACCTCTGATCCAGCCATCATTGAAAAGTTTGACTGGTTCATGCCTCACATTGGCATCTTCCTGCAAGAGGCCATCAAGGAGTTGTTGATTGTCATGCAGAGCATGTGATGAGACTGATGAAAAGCAAACTGTGTATGCTGTAATAGATCACATCAGTCAACTGGGTAAAGTCAGATAGATGGTAAGTAGGTAGTACTCACAAGTGATGGTGTGGGATGGGTGGGATACACCCTCTATGTTGTAAGCAGCCCAGCCTGACTGCACATATTCATAGCCATGAGCATCCCAGACCCTCTCAGTCTTGTCACCTGAGCCTGAGACAATCCTCTTGCCATCAGAGGAGAATCCAACAGACCAGACTGACCAAGTATGCCCCTCAAGAGGGCCACCAATCTGGACACCTCTCTCAGCATCCCAGACCCTCACAGTCTTGTCAGAAGAGCCTGAGACAATCCTCTTGCCATCTGAGGAGAATCCAACAGACCTGACCCAACCAGTATGCTGCTCAAGAGGGCCACCAATCTGGACACCTCTCTCAGCATCCCAGACCCTCACAGTCTTGTCATCTGAACCTGAGACAATCCTCTTGCCATCAGAGGAGAATCCAACAGACCTGACCCAACCAGTATGCCCCTCAAGATGGCCACCAATCTGGACACCTCTCTCAGCATCCCAGACCCTCACAGTCTTGTCAGAAGAGCCTGAGGCAATCCTCTTGCCATCAGAGGAGAATCCAACAGACAGGACTGAACTAGTATGCCCTGCCAATGTAAGCTGGGCAACTGGCCATTCTTTAAGCCCTCCCACAGAAAGTCCAACAATGCAAGAGAATTTTGGCATGAGCATTCTTGAGAGCATTGTGGCTGATGGTGTAAATGGCAGTGCAGAAATGTAAAGGTGTGGGGTGCTGTGTGAGATTACACTGCCAAAATTATGCAGAAATTTGATCCCATCTTGTGCTAGTGCCAAGGTATCCTCAAAACTATTCTGGCCCTTGGACATCACATTAGATGAAGTCAAACATTACTGTAATTCACCCACCTGTAGCCATGTTATAGTGGAGACCAGAGCACTTGTGACATGTTCAAGTCCACTGACAAGGCTCAATGTCTCAAGCCAGAAGAGAAACTTTTCACATCCAATAACAGCCTTTACCAGTGTGGCTATTCATCAGGAAATTAACACTTTACTATTTTTGACCTTTTTGTGACTTTTTTTGACTTTTTTGTGACTATTGTGACTATTTGTGACTTTTTGGGAAGGAACCTACTATCTGTACTTTTTTTTTGACCATATACAGCATTTTGAACAATGAAAAGAGAACAGAATCTATTGAGACAACTAAGTGATGATATATCTAAGCCAAGAAGACTAGAAAATGTCTGAAAATTCAGAGATATTGAGCCATTGGTGTGATGCACACTGTCTGAGAGAAAGATCACAATATCTCTTTGGAACCTCCATCAATTTGAATGTATGTGGTATCTACTGAAAGCTATGAATTAGGTGGTTTGAACAAGACCAAAATCAGCAAGAAAAGTGCAGCCATGTCTGCAGGACATGGGTAATGATAGTAGATTCCTTCCCAAAAAGTCATGTTAGTCACAAAAAGTCAAAAATAGTAAAGTGTTATTTTCCTGATGTTGCTGGGTCAAACCCAGTTCTCTGCAGATGGTGTCCCCAGTATTGACATGAGTAGGATAGATTTTGTGAAATATTGTTGCTGATTCTTTCCTGCAAATCAACAATCTCTGAGTTCCTGGAGTAGGAACTTTCCAATCCACATATGTTGAATTTGAGGTCATTCCAAAGGGTGTGCAATGAAGCAAAGGCAAGGGTGCCATGCATACTAAGTGCACCAACACAATAATCCCCACTCTGTGATGGATCCAGGAGGAAGTCATAGAATGACACATGGAGAGGTCAGACAACAGAACACCTGTCTGCAATCCCACTCAACAGTGGGGCCATGAATTCTAGAATGATAATCACATCAAAATGGTCAGCCTCAGGAGGGAAGTGTCTGTGCATCTCATTTAAGGTATCCAATCACAGAGGCATGGATGTCGACATGATCTGCTGCATCATGGAACAAAACCATGCAAGTGTGGTCTTATCCTTGGGTACAGTGTCTTCCAGGATTGTCCTGTACATGATGTCCAACAACACCCCTCCTTCTCCAGCACCATGGGACATGATCTTGTTGTAGCACTCTATGACAGTTCAGCCAGGTTTGTTGGGCTCAATGAACTCACAAGCTAAATGAGCCCACTTGAATAAACCACTTGAATTCTGGGCAATTTTCTGGATCTCTGTCTCCCCAATCTCTGGAAGTTCTGCAAGCTTGCTAGAAACATATAATCAGATATCCTGTTCCACTGATACTGGAGAGATGTTGTCCAACAAGATCACCTTCACATGTTGAGTGGCACCCATGACATGTTTGATGTCCCACAATGGTCTCAAGGTCAAGAGGATGTGGAAGTTCAAAGGGAGACAAGCAGCTGTGGTCGACGAGAGCAGTGACAAGATGTGCTTCCTTGACTTGACTGACCTGCTTTTGTCCAAGGCATCAATCATCACTATGACATTCCCAACTATCTCTCCATCAACCTTGCACATCAGCTCCAAAATGAGTTGCTTCCACTGTTGCATTACATCAGGAGTTGTCTTCAGAGAGTGGTCCTTCGACATGGTGTCTGCCAAAGCTTGCCAAAACAATGGATCACGATCAGCCAGATCATGAGCAATTGTCATCAGAATCTTCTCCTTGCAATGCTCATCCAGCCAGTCGTGAGCAAAACAAAAGCAAGAGCTGAATCCTCCCACATCCTTGATCCATGATGCAATTGTATGAGCAATGGCTGATTTTCCCCTTCCCACTTGCCCATGGAGTCGCAAGATCCAAGGAGCATCAACATTAGGATCATTGATCCAGTTTATTATCTCCTGCAAAATCTCCTTCCTTGTGCCATCAAGGCATTTCTTCATCATGTTCAGCCCTGTGCCCCCTGCATAAGCCATGCTGTCAAGATTCAAATCTTCAAGTATGCAGTATGTGTTGATATGGATGTCCCAAATGGTGTGATCACAGTATTGTTGCATCAAGTCATCAAGGGTCTTGACATAGTTATCAATGATGGTCTGTGTCTCAGAAAATGTTTTTTGCAGTTCTTTTCCCTAACAGTGTATCATGTGAAGATCTGAGGCACTGTTCACCCTCCAAAGTCAAAGTCAAAGTTTTTGACTTTGACTTCAGCAATGTAGTCATGTGATGATTATATAAGACAACAACACAACTTGTAGTTCAATAGATAACATTGTGATAACAGATCAAACAACTCTGCTATGGATCTTGAAGCACAGCAGCTCCAGCACCATTGTCATCGCCATCTTGCTGCACTTGTAGTAGCAGTGATGATCCAGGTGCTATGCCTCTATGACCTCCTTTTTCATTCTGACTCAGAACCAATCCCCTACCATACCTCAATCCTGACTGGTGAGGGGTGGATGCTAGAGCTCCTGAATGGTCATCCAGACAGAATACAGACTTGCCTTGGCATCAGCCATGGGGTTTTTGATCACCTGATGCAGGTGCTCACCCATCATGGTTTTGTGCCTTCTTGCAATGGAATTTCTGTGGAGGAACAACTTGGGATATTCCTCTACACCTGTGTTACTGGGTTGTCATCCCAACATGTTGCTGAGAGGTTCCAGCACTCACTGGGGACCATCACTAGGTAGGGAGTTCATTGAACTGTCTGATATTTTTCTCACAATTTTTTAGATATTTCAAAGCAATGTTGGCTTTCTTTTCTGGGGGACAATTCTATGCATCCCAAGTGCAATTCCCCACCAACAACACTCCCATATCAACTATGATTACTAGTGACCCATGCTTCTGATTTTTCCAGGATCGTATTGGTGCAGTTGATGGCACTCATATTCAAGCATTCACTGCTGCTGAGGACCAGCCTTACATGAGGAACCAGAAGGGCTACCTATCTCAAAACTGTCTCTTCATCTGTGATTTTGACTTCTTCTTCACATATGCCCTCACTGGCTTTGATGGGTCAACTGCAGATGCAACCATGTGGCATGATGCACACAGGAATGACTTGCACATGCCACCTGGGAAGTACCTTCTTGCAGATGCAGGGTTTGGGACCTGTGATGCACTTCTGGTTCCCTATCAAGGTGTTCATTACCATCTGAAAGAATGGCACCAGGCTGGATTAAGGTAAGTTGCTATTCCATCCTGCTCAGTGTACCTGTAACTTCTATTTTAGACCTCAAAACTAAGAGGAGTTATTCAACCTTCACCATGCTGGACTTAGAAATGCCATTGAACAGATATTTGGTGTTATAAAATGCAGACAGAGGGTTCTTCAAATTCCCCCTGAATATAGCATCCACACCCAAACTCAAGTACCTGCTGCTCTCTGTGCCCTCCACAATTTCATATGGTGCTATGATCCAGAAGAGTTCTTTGACCCTGAACTTGCCATGGACATAGGAGAGGGTGATGGTATTGGAAGCCTTGGTGATGGACCAGCAGATGCTGCAGAGAGAAGGGCTGATAATAGGTGTGACAACATTGCAGAGGAGATGTGGATTGACTATCAGCACCAGCTTACAATTAGGGGCCTTCTCTGAGCCTGAACATTCAGATTTCATGGTGTACAAATATATGTTCTTACAATTGTTCCACACTCATGTAGAAAAATAACTTCCATTGTCAAAAGGAAGCCAGTCATAGTCATGTACATTTTATTATGTACATATTTGTATAAAGGGGGGGGGACTTGAAAAGATATGCAGAGGGGGTACATTTGTATATTGTAAAAAAAAAAAAACAAACACCTATCTC